TATTACGCTCAGTCGAACGTAAAAAAAAAGTGTGAGGCTGTCGCAGTCAACAGCCGACACTAACAGACAACAGGCAACAAGTACGTGGATGAGCGTATGGGATTGAGCGGTATGGTAAGAGATAAGATACGAACAAAGGGGCAAGCAGCTCTATATACTATACGGTGCAAACACCGAACAAACAAAAGACGGTGTCCAATCAAGATGCGATTCTGTCACGTGTCGTAAGCCTCAGGCTTACAGCATGCGTAAATCCGTGCTCGTGTCAATTTATAGCACCCGTCATTCTAGCTGATATATATCGGAACAATCGTCAGAACCAATAGTATGCCAAGATTCGATTATTCCTAATTGACACTATTGTCCATCCACATCTCACAAAATTCTACCGTGGTGCAGGCAGCCCACTCGCAGTTGCTCCAATCTCAGTTAGCTCTATCAACGGGTCCAACTTGCCTTTGAACTCAGGCAGGAAGGCTGCATCGGTATATGGACAGCGCACGGATGGTGAGCCTTTGTAGATGGGGGTGTATGTAGCTGCACAGATCTCAAATTCTGTGAACTCATCGTATGAGACCTCGACTGTGTTCCGAGGATTGCGGTCCCCTGCTGCGATGCGCTGACGAGCCTTGACATACGAGTTAGCGAGGGCAGTGAATGAGATAAAAGAACCGCGAGTATACCTGCGCAACAATTTTGGGATCGGGGTTAAGGTCAAGAAGGCGACGTGCCAATTTGGCAGCGGTTGCATGGTTGTTGGCTTTGGCGAACACACCAATAGCGCTCCGTAGTGCGATCTGCATGTGCTGTGGCTGTAACTGACAATGCGTGAAATATGCGGCGAGTTCAAGGCTCCGGCGAACATTGTCAGGTTCATCCTGTGCGATACGTCGCCGTTCAAGCTCAATGGAGACACCGAGGAGATACTCTCGGGCGGTCGTCACAGTGTCTCGCCACTAGTAGTATAATCAGTTGGCGTTGATATCCAGTGGTTTGATAGTGCTCACTTCTTTGGCCTCTTTATCTGATGAGACAACCATAAGCAGCAATGCTAGCAACACCGACCGGAATGTTGCCTGAGCCTCTGACAACTTGTTTCCGGAAACGAAGCGGTATCCCTCTGACAGCTCTGTGCGGATCGAAGAAAGAGTACGAGCAGCAACAGGCAGCACCCGTCCAGGCGAGGTCTCCTCGGGGTTCTTCCGAATGTGCAATTGCAATGGCGGCAACGAAGCAATCGGGGATACGTAGACATGTGACGAACGGTAGATGGACAAGAACGATGGCTTCAAGAGCGCAAAGTTCACAACGCCCAGCTGTCGGTTGAGAAGCTAGTTGTAGAATTGAGCGTCTATTCGAAACGAGGAAGTGACGTGTAGCTCACCTGCATGGCGGAGTCGAATGATCCAGCTGCGACATGTTCAGCTGCGAAAGGCGAGTTCCGGACCCAGAGCTCGTTCTCGCTTACACCAGGTGCAGCGCCGGCGCCAAGGTCCTCCTCTTCGACGGCATCCTCAAACTCTTCATCCACATCTTTCTCCTCGTCGTCTTCTGCCTCTGCATCAAGCTCCCATCCATCTTCCTCTACATCTGGTTCCTCATCCTTCGCCCACTCGTCCAGAGCGGTAGAGGCGCCTGCACCTGAGTCCAAGCCATTGCCATTGATGTGAGGTATATCACTGTCTCCATCAAGATGGCCATTGGCGAGCGCACGGTCAAAGAAGGATTCTCCCATGGAAATAGACGGCCAGTTAAAGTTGGATGTAGGAGTGACAACAGACGGGGTTTGGAGGGTACATTTTCCAAATGCAGGGACATCGTCCACGTCGGCCTCGGTAAGGCCAGCCGCCTCAAGGATTTCAGCTGCTTCTTCTTCCAAACCATTTGTCTTTGCTGTAAGATATGCCAAGGGGTCTGGGACGAAGTGTAAAGTCTTGAAAACCTGAACTAAAGGAATGTACTTACGAAGCCCGACGTCGCGCAAAACAGTAATACGTCCAAGAACATCGCCGGCATAAAGCGCATTGTGGAAGCGCGACATGGGGTCGCCTCGTGCGTCTGCAATTTTCTGCATTTTGGAGAGCTTTTCTGTACTGCCTGTGGCGAGATACAAAAACGACAAGCGGTCGAAGTTCTTAGTTTGCTGGTAGGCTTTTTCGACGATCTGAGATGCAATAAATTGATTGTTGGACAACACGCAAGGAATGAAGCAAACCTTGTGATTGCCCTGCTTCAAGGCTTGTTGCGCTAGACGCTCCCAACACTCAGGCCGGTCGATCGCTCTTGCAGTCTCAAGTGCGACGTCCAAGTTCCCACACTCGATGGCAAGATCAAATCTGGTGTTCTTGTCTTGCACAAAGTGCAGTGCAATCTGTACATTGTATGAACCTTCCATATTTCAAGGATCTGCACTCGAAAACAAACCTCCGGGAAGCCCTTTTGCTGAAGATACGCAATGATGCTCTGCCCAAGCAATGTCGACGTGCGGATGATATGAAGCATCTCGTCATAGTTATTGCGCAGGAGCGCGAGTTTGAAGCGGTACTCAGTCGGATCGAACGTGATGGTGCGTGGGCGTGCAGATCGGTCCAGGCAATGAGCGGTTTTACCCTTGACACGGGTAAGGTAGACGGGATTATCTAGTGTGCAGATGACGCCATGGTCACTGAAAAAGCAGATAGATCAGCTGCATGTAAGCTAGCGGGAAGAAATTCAGTACCCTTGAGGCAAGCAGTACTTGATATGGTTGAGCGTGGAGTAGATAAAAACGCCTGTGTCATCCCAAGCCCCGGACTTGATTCGTATCGTCTCATGGATGAGGCTGTTTTGCGAGAAATTTTTGTTGGCAATAGTGATTGCTATTCGTGGCTTTGAACTCAGTCCAGAGAACTGTGTAGGATGAACTCACTGTGTTTGCTCATCAGCGCGACCAGTGACCCGTCTGCGTTCCAAACAACATATTTAACAGGTGGACTGTTCAACTCTGCGATCGTTTTCTGCTGTTGGATATCATACAGCACAACAGTAGTTGTCGAGCTGAGAATCAGGCAGGCTGTACCACCGTAGAAAATTTCATTAGTCTGGGCTGGGGGTTTGATGGTTTTCACGACTGAATTCGACAAGTCGCGAACTTCAATGAGCTGCAAAGATTATTAGAATAATATCATCTAACCAGAAGATTAGAGCGACTACCTGGGAGGTTTTGTTGAGTACCGCAAACCGATTTCTTGCAACAAAGATTGCGCTGTGAGCCGAGCCGCGCTTTCCATCTGCAGACGAGTCTTTGACCTCGCCATTGGACTGCGTCGGCAATGAAGAGAGCTCAAATAATCCGTTGTCCGAGGAAATGGTGACCACAACAGCCCGTTCGGCAGGGTTGTAGCTCACAGTACGCGGAGGAACATATGGGCTTCCGAATTTCCGTACGCTCAGCAAGCCGATGTCGGAACCCGAGTTGAAGTCGTAAGTACGCACATACTTATCACGGATATAGTAAAGCATATCCCCATGCACGGTAAAGGCGGGTCGTTCGCGCTCGAGCTTGAACACAATGAGACCACCGTCATGTCCCGCTGCAAACAAGTTGAGGTTTGGATGTGCAGCCAATATCCAGAACCTGTCGTTCTCCCGCCTGAATGTCTGGATTGCTGTCCGCTTGGCCAGATCCCAGACTCGGACAGTCTTGTCCTCTGCGCAAGATACGATTAACTCGTGCTTTGGGTGGAATATCGCACTTGACACGCTGTTGAAGTGACCTCTGCATGAGTCAACCTCCCATGCTCGGGTCTCGCTCATTCGCCAAATCTTGATCGTCCGATCATCAGCTGCAGACACGATCAACGGTAGTGTAGGGTGGAATGAAGCCCAGTTTACACCACGATCGTGTCCTTCTAGCACGTACTTGACCGTGGAGAACGTGTCAAATGTCTCGAAGTTGTTAGGGCCATTATTTGGTGTATTCTTGCGCAGACCGGAGATGTCCCAAACTCGTACGGTTTGGTCCATCGACGTTGAGACGATGAGATCGTCTTTTGGATGGAATTGTGCGGACATAACATAATGAGAGTGCCCTGTCAAAATTGCAACACAATGCCGCGAGGTGCTGTTCCATATCCGAATAGTCTGATCGTCGGACGCCGACAACTGTAAATTCGAACAACTCTCAGCAAACTATCCGATAGAAAGCGAAACATGGCTTACGATCCATGGCATTTCGTGGTGGAACTGAACGGTTCGGACGTAGTCAAGGTGACCGTGCAGAGTAAATAGACACCTTCTGCTCTGAGGTTTCAGGTCTTACCATGCCCATGAGCGTGATGTTTAGGAAATAGAAACCACACCCACCCCATACTTTGATCTTGTAGTCGTCACCTCCAGTAACCAGTAGTGCTCGACTCGGATGAATTGCGACGCCCCGTACAGGTCCTAACAGTCAATTAAATAAGATAGATATTGCAGTCATTGCGATTTGAATGAACTTTACCTTCGTGTTCTTCGAACCGATCCACCAATACGCCCATTCGGTAATTCCAGAGCTGAACACTTCCATTGTGAAGTGCGGCGGCAAGTAGTGGTTGAGTAGGATGAAAAGCAAGTCCTATGACACGCAGCTGCGTCATGAAATCGTGACAAGCTTGGAAACGAACATACCTTTAACGCGATTGCTCTTGGACTCGAACTTTGTGAGCATCACCGACATGTTGAGCGTGGACTGCCTTCAGTCGCGTCAATACCGAGTATAATTTCCTGTCTAATAACTAGGCTGTAGATGATTATATCGGTAGGTCAAGAAACCCGGTTATTCACAAAAGAGTGCCGTCGTCGTCGATCTTGCAGTTCACTTGCAAGGCGCTGTAAGCCACGACATCGCGGTGGCGGAGTTTATAAAAAGCTAAGAAAGGAAATCAATGTACAGTCTTTCTAGGAACTCAACTTGTGTCACAGGAGGTTTTCTGCTAATAGTCAGTTTCGACGTTGAGCGACAAAATTTGCAAGTGCGCATGGGAGTTCTGGGTCTTACCCCATTTTTACAGAAAACCTGGTGAGCTCTAATCCAGCCTTCTCTGCTCACATCTGATTTTACCTCTGTTAGCCCGGAAGTTATCAGAAAACTTCCAGACCGCCTCAGATCTCTCTGCGGTAAGACCATTGTCATGTAAGCTCTTTATCTGACTAATTCCCCCAACTCATCTTCGACAAAATCAGTGATGGCACCCTTATAACGCAGCGCCTTCACTTCGCACCGATGCCTCATTCGCATCGACACGTCCTCGGGTGGCATCGCATAATCACGGAACTCAAAGAGTGCAATGTGCATGCAATTTGCGTATTTGATGGTAGAGACCGCAGCATTGCCAAAGCTCGAGAGGTGAGTTGCCACAATAGCCGGAGATACTTTAGATGGATATCTTTTCTAGGTAGAACGACGCAAGGAGATACGGAGACTGGATGCAGCTCGTTCATCCATTGAGGTGGAGAGACTGAGCAGACTTCGGAAATTGATGCGATTACTACCGCAATATCATTCAATGGAACCACCGGACCGTCGGCGTGTCAGCTATGCGTTACAACACGTAGCAGTGGCTTCAAAGACCATCCCTACATACTTCCAGCCTTCTTTGTCACCATCGGATATCCTTCGGAATGATGTGAACTCAGTCACTGTTGCTACAACTCGCCCTCAAACTCGCCTTTCTGGTGCTTCTGAATTTGAGCAAATTTGCAATACTCTATCCTCTCATTCGGAGGAGGATACCCTTTGGGCAATCTACGATTCTGTTAACATGTCGGATGCAGACATGAAAGAGATTCTTCTCGCTCGCACAGGTCAATCAGTCGCCGTCATCCCGCCTTGTGATTCCAAGTCATGGCTAAATCCTGTAAATAATTCAACGTTGGATTCAAATGCTTCCCTTGTTGAAGGCATATCCAACCTTCGAGTGCAAGACCTCCTCCCTGGCCCAAGCATCATGCAAGGCGAACCTCGAGAAGCTGATTTTCAAACCTCTCAGGACGTGATTTTTGCAGATTTCGTACCCCCAGCAGAGGATGTGATTTCTGCGCTCTCCTCCCTATATCAAGAATATCGCGAGTGTGTCGCACAGATCACCTCACTACCTCCTACCGTGGATGTTCCAGAGTCCCCAGACGAGACTCGCGCCGAGTACATCATGTCCAGGTCCCAACTTCAAATGACAATAGAGGAGGGTCAAGTATGGGATACACTCGCAGACGCTCCTGAAACTGTCCTCGCAACGTTGGCTGAAAAGAGTAGTATTCTTTCCGAGTCTTACGCTCGCCGATCGAATCCTCCTACTACCCAAACTTACGAGGAGAGCAAGGAGATCCTGCGCGCTATGGGTGTGCCGTGCATCGAATCAGAGGGACCCTTTGAAGCAGAGGCTCTTGCATCCTCACTTGTTATCCATGGCAAAGCTGATTATGTTGCAAGCGAAGATACGGTACATCCTTTTTAGAATGCCACGTGTGAATATTTATTCATTCCTCACCTAGGACGTCCTCGTCTACGAGGCTCCCCTCATTCGAAATATCGCCAACAGAAACGATCCATTGATCCTCGTCGATGGGTCCCACGTTCGTACTGCTCTTCAACTTTCCAAATCCGCATATATCGACTTCCTCTTGCTCCTCGGTACGGACTTCTCGCAACGGATCAAGAACGTTGGTCCTCAGCGCGCACTTAAGTTCATCCGCGAACATGGCAGCATCGAGCGTGTGATCACACAAGAACACAAGTACCCACCGCGACTCGCCAAAAAATTGTACCTAGAACAAGTAGGCATCGCTCGGCTTACATTCGCAACATTGCCCCCTATTCCAGACCCTGAAACACTGAAGCAACACAATGTAAACCACGCGAAGGTTGCAGCCATTGTACAAAAGTATGGATTACAGAGACTACTGCCTGATCAGTGGAATTACGGTACTGCGTTGGAGGGCAATTATTTTGCTGACAATCCCAGAGCAAGGTAGTTGGCGCCCTCCACACGCGCACTCTATGATTTTATCCATTATCTGAAGTCTTTTTAGATTATGACATAATTATATCATTGGTCCGCTCTTGTCATCCACGTCCAACGTTGATATACACGCGATAGTTGATATCCAAGCGTCCAGCATATTTCGGCTCTTGCGACGATGACTACCTTCGGCCACACTCCCAAGCACCCCATCACTTCTATCTCATCTATATCTTTCACCTATCAGTCCCACAACCTATGCTGTCTACGGTCAGTGCAAGTCGGACTTCCTAGATGAGCGACCGTCCGGTAGGCCCCCGCAACGGCTGTGATTTTCCACACTACCTCTACGTTTGCAGAACTATACGGTGTGACCCTTTGTACCGCAATCACCACATCATCATACGCGTACTGTGTCAATCTCGCCAGCTGCTGTGACCCGCATTCCATTATGGATTCGTCCCTTTTTGCCCCTCTCATGATGCATTCGGAAGAAAGCTACCCCACGAATCATGCTCCGTCGTGCACTATCTCCCACTTACGTTGCTGATTCACCTCCAGCCCCTCAACGCGACGTTCGCACCTGGGCAAACCCCAGCGGCCAGATGAGACCCGATACTGCATACTGCCATACACCATGTACGACGAAGGCAATGTTTCATCGGTCGTCGAAGTGTACTGTCCTTATCTCCACGTGGATGACCATTTGACCTTGCCTACTACAATATTTGAATATTGCCTCTCCACGGGCTTTTCTTGATTTCGACGCTTGTACCAGTATTGATATGGATTGCTGGACTTTTGGTTCACGGTGTAGGACGTTTGTTGTGCAAGCTCCCCGCCATTCTAATTCGAGACTATCTCTCAGTGGTGGGTCAAGTACGTACCTGACACACCTCAGATGTAACCGCACAATTTAAATGTACGAAAACATGCCTCACCCCCGCCAGTTTAGGCGCTGTCGCAAGCGAAAGACTAGTATCCCATATCACTGGACCCCTCAGATATATAGCCTGACATAACGTCTCCAGGACGACCCTGGCCAATCTATGCATTCCTGGACACTGCGGTGATTGCCAAGTGATCTCAACCAGACCGTCTCCATCAACATGTGCGTTCCTGCAGGGCGACACTAGCAATTGCTCTCAGTTTCCTCTACTACTATCTTTCCGTCAAGTTCGAACCTCGTTTCTCCGCGCATATATCTGACATCGTGCCAAATGTCATTACCAGTGAAGGCTGGAATATCTATGATCATGATGGCGCCGAAGAGCTATTCTGCGTGTTGCATGTCCTTCACTAATTAATCAAATAATTTGATCGGAGACTGCTGCGCAGTACAGCAGGGCTCCGAGCCAGCACGTGATTATATGTTTTGGTCAAATAGTAATACTTTTGCGATCTTCGCCTGTCTGCCTACTATATAAGCGATAAACATAAACTTGACTACACACGTAAAGAAATTGCCCAAACTCGCGTTGAGCCTGGCTAGCTAAGGCAGTCTGTACGATGGTAATTGGAGGCGCTTTGCAATACAGCAATATTTATGCCCAAGTTCAACCCGTGTTATTCACGTCCGCCTGTAGGCGCGCGCGAATTCATCAGCCCTAGATCGCACTTACATGAGGAACGATCGGAATTCCACTCCAAGAAGGTCCAAGGTCCCCCCGGACATCATACGGATCTAGCAAGTTACAGATAGTAGCTGTAATTGTTTCTTTCAATAATAAGTTAAGGCGCCGTGTTGATGGAAGCTCGCCTACCATGCCATCCTGCAGCTCTGAAACCGGCACGAATTTGAACGCGCGTGGACTCCGAACAAGATTTGATTTCGTCTGTGCCATATTTCGTGGCTTATGTACATAGTATACAACTTCTTAGGATTCATGATCACATCATTCTAGAGAGTAACATTGGTTATCTCTCTTTACGCCTTCTCTGCAGATGCACTGATCATCTAGCCGTATCGTTTGGGATCGACGTGGCGAGGAGGATTAGCTGTTTTCCTAATATTTGATCCCGTCAAATGGCAGCTCTGATATAATAAAAACCACGTACTTCTGAGAGACGGGTTGCTTATTGGGCTGGCTCTGATTTTTCTTCTCCTGCTCCCTGGCCTCTTGAAGTTGGCGAGCGTGACTGAGAGATATAGCCCTCGCATCAGCAGGGCCTCTGGAACTGAACCTGGGAAATGTGTCACTTTATCGTACACTGCATTGGAATTCAGAAAAAAAATACCTGGAATCCTCAGAGGCTTCGAATGTAATCTCTTCTGGGGAAAATTCTTCCTCCTCTGAATCTTCTTCATTTGATTCGTCATGAAGTTCCGGAACGTTCTCATCATTTTCCCTGTACCGCCATGAGACCTTGCATATCTATCATGTTCAGTATGAGTACTTGCCGGGAATGGGTAGAGGGTGTTCCATAGGGAGCGTCTTCTACATGTTTGGTCATCTTAGCGTACAGTTATGTCGTCGTGCGGCAGAGCGAGCAGTGAATCAAATAAAAGACAGAGTAGTGGACAGGGAAGCGTGAGCAATCTGGGGAACGTGTATATGTGACTGGAGCGGCTGGATAAAGCTAAATTTGCGTCAGTACATAAGTAAGCGTCTGACCATGAGGACAGGCGCCAGACCCTGATAACGCAAGCGCCGTTTCCCATAGCACGTTGTTTACTAATTGAGTCTAATAGACGCTTGCAGGCAGTGGACAGTGAGTGCCAAGCTGTATTGATTATGACACTGATCGTTTGGTCTGTTGTACACCGAGTCTTCACGAAATTTTCAGCAGTATCACTTATCTGGTCGCTAGGAGTGCCAGTGGCCAACTCGTGGATCTTACCGTAGGCGTCATTTGGAAGTGGAAGGCCGGACAGATACTAGCCCCAACTGGCACTAGTCTAAATCTATCTATGGCCCTGGCATAGATACGATAGCACACATTAGTTCTGGTGGTAGGAAATGACTTAGAATTTGGACTGGTGAGGAGACAACAACTTGCCATTGAAATTAGGACACTGACTATTGTGTTCACATTTTTTTCGCCCCTGGCTGGCTGCATACGCATGGCACGCTAATTACAGTCTCGCATGCCAGCAGGTGCGTGTAATGAGCTCCTGTGGCGGGCGATATCTCCGAAGTCTGCGGAAGAGACGCGATAGGTGTGTTTAACTTTCGAGTCAAGAAAGAAGACGTACTGACGAAGTCCGAGTCATATTGGCTATCCAGTATGAATATGATAGCCCGATAATTGACTCATATAACCTGCCACCAATGGAAGATATTGCTGGCAATAATGCCGTGAAGCATTATAGCGCTGGTTTGGCCATGGAGATCCGGGTTTTCTTACTGGCAGCGCTTGGTATGGCCAACGCCAACGCCAATGCAACAGCCGTCTCCTAAGGCGAGTCCATTTTGAAGTTGGTTTTGAGCCACATCATGGTCGTGGTATGTGTGGCTCATGCTCAGGCTATTGTTGCTGCGGCTTGCCAGGCCCTGCCTTGTCCACGCTGGCAGCACGCCTGAAAGTTAACACGCAACAACCAACAGTCACCGGCTGCGAGTTATCCGAGTCGTAGTGCCACGAGATGTATGCCAGACTCCAGTATGACCTGATGATACTATAGCCTATGTGGCACCTAACAGTGCCAGCAGTCTGGTAAATTCACATCTCGAGAGTGGAAGTCACACTTACCTCTTGTCAGTGACTACACCCGAATCCTACGAGCTATCCCCGGGAGACTGACGACCCAAAGACCATATTATCGACATGATTAAAATTCGGAAACAAGCGCGGCTGGCGAATATGACATAAAGTGTCAACCTTCTGAGTCACGGTGGTTCGTAGGGGTCCACAGCACGTTAACTTGAATTACCGCGCGCGGTTAAATGTGGCTCGATCGATTGATCTGAGCCACAATTCCATACTACTAATATAATACTAATAGTACGCCACTGCTCAGGGATTTCTTCTTTTTTGCCCAACTTGATTTCAATTGGCACCACTTCAACCTCAACTCACCACAACGATATGACATCCTCACTTAACCTACTCAAGGAGCTCAGGCCTGTGACTTCCACAACCACCAGACGGTATGGCAAGTTTCTCTGGTAAGTTCTTTCAACCCAACCTGTATAGTATCCATCCATTCATTCATTCTCCATCAAGGGTGGATGCATACCACACTACAATTGCACCTGGGTTGCGACTTCGTACAAGGTGAACTCACTTAGTACCGGCGACTGGCCGTTGGACTTGAACTGACCTTGACCAACGTCCCAGCACCACATCCAGCTGGCTCTCCTTGACCCATCCAGAAGGCCAACTATATTTTCATATGAAACGTGATCGTTTCTCGGCTGTCACAGAGGAGAACGTATTAAATGTTGAAACGGACAATTTGGTGTCCAGCTACCTGGCTTTAATCGAAAAAAGGATCCTCGAATGCGGCATCATATTGCCACAAGCATGCGAACTTTTCGTCGAGCTTCGGTTTGACGAATCATCACAAACGTCTACATGTGCATATTACTTTGTGGATCACCATAGCCGCTGCCTCTTCTGGCTCGAGCCCACGTCATCAGAACTGCTCGACATGGGCATGGTGGTGTCTGACTCCCACTTAGGTGGGTGTTTAGTTTCTTCACAATAATAGTTGATTCAATTTCAACAGATATTGCATTGGAAAGACTCTACTGGGTACATGTCGAGTTTTTCCCCATGCATGTCTGTGCACAGATGACGCCACTCATCTTGGACAACTTGATCAGTGTCATCTGTCACGGCATGACAGGTATATCATGCCCATTTTTTGCGCAGAATTTGCCTATTGACATGACACGCGTTCTAAGATCGTATGACGTCGCGCTCCTCTACATTCCCATATACAGAGGAAAAGTGCGATCAACTCCTGCGGGCATTATCCTTACGACAAGGTATGGAGACACTTGTTGCAAAGAGAGTTCACGACCTCACCATTATTGCAAGGCGAACCATTAGATGCCCATACACTGTGTTTTGTGGGTAAGAAGCATGATTTTGATGTGTTATACCAAGCTGACACGTCCTAACTTAGCCCGTCTTTGGGGTGCAATAAGTCAGTTATGAAAACATTGCAATTTCTTCATAAGTGCTGAACATTCAAAGATAATCAGCGATTCATAACGTACTATGGTCAAGAAAATGCTCAATTGGATAGATTGCAACCACCGATGCCAGAAGACATAGCTGATCGCACTGGGATTCGTGCATTGGCAAACCTGATGTTGTGGGGAGTCCCTAATCACCACTACTCCAAGCTTCATGACCTCTTCGTTCACGACAATGTGTATATTGATCACTGGCAGGCTTTCATGACTGAATGCATCTCGGAATGGAGAGGGTTACTTGTGTGGGTAGGTCGTTTGTCTCATATAATGTATCAATTCGGATAGCTGAGCTGGCGTCCAGGCATTTTCGGTCCTGATGTCAGTCTAATCTCAGGGTTTAGTTGATTTCCAATTTTGATAATCATCTCACAGTGCCAGCATTCTCATTTCGATGCTGCCGCGTGCTTCGTTATCATCTGCTATGGCACCAATTCTTGCAGCATCTTCAAGCATCCTGTCGGGATCAATCCTGCTCTGGAGACACCATGATTTCGAGGATGCGACTGCCTCGTTTGCTGTGTGCACTTTCCGCTATCTTCGCTCGATACAACTTGACTCACCCTCTTTCTAGGCGAACTTCCTTCGCTCATCAAAATCGTCTGATTGGGGTTTCCTGCCCTTATCTGTTGTATACAGCATGCCAAAGGCGATGTACTTATGGAGCATAGGACTTATGGTTGCTCAATTAGTATTCTGGACTTTCCGCGTAGTTGGCGTCCTTTGGGCATCAGGTGGCGCTGGCTTTCTAGCACTAATGGGCTATGGCATCCTCTATTTCACATCTTTGGAGGATGATCATACGGGTTCCATGGCCACCATGCTGCGCAGCCATTGGCAAACATTCCAAAGCGATTCTGCGGCAGTCACCGAACCTTTGACAGTATGAATCTAATATCAATCTTCTTTTTTTCAACGGTATGTGTTCGCAAGGCTGTACTTCTAGCATGCTTATACTTCATAGGTGATTTCTATCGCGGGTCTTACTTTCGGACAGTGCACTCCTAAACGTGTATAGCCAGTACGTCGACAAATAACCCATCAAGGATGTCGAAGAGCAATTTATACCATTTGATGACACCCCTTCGGTCGGTGTATACAGTAGCAACTCAGGAAATACGATATAAGCATAGACTTGTACAGTTGTACTTTGTTCATCTCTGAAAATTCAAAATAGACACTGTATCATTATTAGCAAAGAGATGAAGGGGATGATCTGCCTTCATCGCCAATAATAGGACCAGTGGTTGTCCGCTAAATAGATTCCGTCTTCGGTTAGTGTGAGCAGCAAATATATCGAGACGAGACGAATATCTCCAATTTCTGGAGTGGCGATGAATCCGTCGTTTTGCCAAAATCAATCTGATACCTGCTTCCATTTTGAAGACCGATAACACCATGAAATGAAGCAGAAGCTAGGTACCATGGCCATAGTAGAACAGTAAAGAGGAGACAGAACAAAGAATCAGTTCACATTGGCATACAATCATAGCATCCGATGCGGGCAATTTAGATTAGAAGACTTTCTGAGTTCAGTCGCAATATAAGCGCTAAGTACTAAGTACTTGAAGCAACTTGTTCAATATAACCATAAGATATGTAGACAGACCAAAGTTAAAGTGGCTAGCACATCCAAGTACCTACGAGCAAGAAACCGAAACCGAAAACTACATACAGCAAGAAATAAATTATTCAAACCACACTTGGCCTCATACCTCATTTCGCAATATCAAACTAAAGCACGGCTCGCAAAACGGCTTGTTGTCGCGCAAAAAGAATGACGGATCGTCAAACGGGGTTTTGCAGCCCTGAAAGTGCAACCCGGTATGAGCCAAGCGTTCAATGAAAACAAGAGATATCATATACCTCGCACACAAAACACTCCCAACACCATTTGCCTCCCAAAGCCTCAACAGCGCGCATTCCGTCCCTGATTGACTTCTTGCAATGTTTGCATTTGGGCATACGCAGACGGACGTGACACGCCTCGCAGTATGGGTGACCCTTGTACACCGTGAAACCGACATCGTCGTCAAGATCGAACTCGCCATCACCCGTGACCGTCAAGCCGCCACTCCCAGAAGATGGCGGGAGGAACGGGTCCCCACACTCTGCACAAAAAAAATGTTGCTCATGATAAGTCCGCTTTCCCAGCGCCTCGTCGTCAAGCGTGATGAACCGTTCGTCAATAATCGCCGTTTTGCAGTGATAGCAACGAGGCGCAAAGTTCTGTATGACATTGTAATTAAAATCGTTACATAGCAAAGGGATGTTGAGAGAACAAACCTCATGGTAATCAAGATGACAATACGGTTTTCCCTCGTGATCGAAGCTCGAGACATGTTCGAGGAGATCATTGCAGGTGGAGCAACGAAAACACCCTGGGTGCCACCGCTGTCCCATGGCACTGACAATACGTCCAATAATTGGACCAGCGCATCCTGCGCATGATAACCCGTTCCCACGCATCCCCTTTAGCACTCCTGATAATTTACCTCCATTCTGCACATTGAACACATTGTTCTGTCCTCCTGCACTTTTTAGTCCATTTTCGCCTGGAGGTGGCGGGAGACGTTTTGGCTCATGGGATGGCGCCGATGTGTTCCATGAGTTAGGTTGCCTCTGAGAGAAACTGGGAATGGATACAGATATCTGGGGTGTAGAAGGCGATGATACAGATGTTTGTTGTATGGACGGTGAGGATGCAGAAATCTGTGGAGAAGAAGGTGATGATCCTGACACTGCGATACGCGGTGGCGTTGATGTGTTAGCAGCTGCACGCGGCGGCGTTGAATTAGTAACAGCCACCCTCGGCGGCGTAGCACGCGAACCCGCCACTCTCGGCGGTGTAGCGCTCGAAACAGCAATCCTTGGCGGCGACTCCTGCGTCTTGCTCGATAGTACCGTGCCACTACCACGATTCTCACAGTCCTGATCAAAATCAACATGCCCACCGGGGAGAGAGATAACCGGCACGCCCACATCCGCCCGTCTGCCTTCATCATCCCCACGCTCTGCCGAAGCTCTGGGCGCCGGCGTGCGATGCCACCTCGACATAACTTCCTCACCCACAAAACCCATCTCCAGTACGGAGAACTGATTAGAGGAGCGCTTCGCGAAACGGATGGGCGAGGGTGAGTGCTCATCCCCGTCATCCTCATTGCAATATCCATAGTCCTGATCCTTATTTGCAGGGCCTCTGGAAACAGATCGTCCCCTCACGCGTGCCCCAGGATCTGAAGGGGAAGGTGAGCGAGATACACTAGGCGAAGGTAGACCCACACGCTCACGGAGCGGCGAAACAGGCGGCTCGTCATCAAGGTCGTATGTAGACACGTACGCACGCTGCTTTCGGCGCTGACGCTCCATGATGTGTGAATTTGATGTAGTCGAATGAGATGAGCTCGTAGGGAACGAAGATGGAAACGAGGTGGGCGGGAACGCATTCCGTGCATTCGAGTTGCTAAGGTAGGCTAGTTTCGGTGGGGAGGACGAAGAAGGTAACGCTGGTGATGTATACGTATTGGATGATTTTTGTGGTGAATTGGAAGGCGAATTTTGATTTTGTGGGTTAGACGAACTTTTTCCGCTGCTCGCTTTTCTTGGGGAGGGGAACACATGCGCACTTCCTGCCTCAACACGTGCAGGGGGCGTCGGTAGGGGTGGTTTTGATGGCGATGTAGGGCGTGAAAACCCAGACGGAGGGAGCACAGAATTCTTGAGCGGAGATGCAGGACGCGCGAAAGCGGATCGCACAGGCGAGTCATTTATGTTGTTATTATCAAACGTAGAGGCATGAAACCCAGGTGAAAAAGGTCGGTTTCCAGCAGGCGATGGCGGTGCGCGGGGAAGCGGCGGGATGTTCTGCGGCCACTGGCTGCGCGTAGGCGAAGGTTCACGTATGGGGGATGGTTCGCGTGCAGGCGACACTCTTCGGCGTTCTTGCTCACGCACCAAGCTTCGACTTCTGCCTGACACCCGTCTCTCCATTGGGGTGGACACAAAAGAATGCTTTTGGGGTCCCTCAATCACAGATTTGCCACGCTGTAATGATGGGCGTTTAGACAGGCTTTCAAGTTCTTCTTCCTTTGCAGATGGCACACGCTGCAAAAGCGGGTGGCTCCCTAGGTCGAAGCTCGGCGAAGATGAGCGTGAACTTTGCATCGAGGGATGTCTGCTTAGATCGTTTTGCATGTTGTGCGAGGGTGACTGAGAGGAAGTGGATAGTCCGAGTGCGGCCATACGCAGTGTGAGCGATTGTGGTTCATTGTCTTGGATATGGTTGGGTGACTGGGGTGGAGGAGTCGGGAGAGTTGCTGAGCGAGTCGGGCGCGTCCGAGTCCATTGCCTTTCCTGAATATGCGCTTGGGTTTGGGATGGTTGAGAAGGATGAGGGCGCCGAGGAAGGTCGCGGATGCCGTATTGCGGGGACACATTGCCCGATTCTACTGCACTACGTATGTCGCGAATTTCATTCTGGTCGTTATACCTACCTTGCTGGCGACTATAGTCTTCCCTTGGGCTACCATATCCTCTTCCTGCGTGGCGTCCATCATTTTTTTCATCATGCTCATCACCCACGTCACTTGTATTTGACTCATCGTCAGTGGTCGCAGGCATTCGTGTGTGCATCGAACGCATCGTCGAAGACGATAAACGGGAAGAATCTGTGAACGTGGATGAGGGAGAGGGCGCGTTGCTTGCCGTATGTGCCCTCTGTAAAACAGAATGAGCTGGAACAACCAGAACAATCAGGTACATCCAGCGGTCAACATGAGTTATCAGTACCTGGCACTGGTGATCTTGGACTACTGGAGATAGGTGGAGGACGGGATGACATAATTGTTGGAGAGCGAGAGGCATCTGATATAGGTGGACTACGCGAACTCCCTTTTAGATCCGAAATTGATGAGCGGTCAGAGTACTGAAATGACGAATAAATACCTGGTTCTGGAGGCCATCTCGAACTGCTTTGAGCTGGCTGGCCCTGCGAGGAAGCTGGGATGGCTGAAGACGAATGCGAGCTTCCTGAAAAAATTATTTAAAGTTGAATTTTGCACTTATGATAACTACTATTACCTGTAACAGGGGGGGAGCGTGAATTGCCCAGTTCGGGAGGACTGCGTGAAATGCCTATAAATAAAATGCCCCTTGACTCTGACTGTGATGTGTTCAATGATTAGAAGACGGACCTGGAAGTGGGGGTACCGGTGGGGACCTATTACCAATGGATGGTAAAGGACGGCGACCGGACGATGTTTGTGTTTGGGCGCGATGAATGACCGTCTGGGCACGATCTATGACACTTGTTGGATTGCGCTCTGGGCTTACTGGACGGGAAGAGGAATAGTTGGTTGAAGTCGCAGGATGGGGAAACCCATTATTACCAAGATTTAATGGAATAGCCGAGCCAGATACAGTGCTCCTGCGTTCCATAAATGGACCCACGCGTGAGGACGACTCATTGGGCTGTGGTGATGGCCCAGGTCCGGGTAGGTCACGTTTCCAGTGAGGGGTAAATTTGGCCGGTGCAGAAGAGAGTGGAAGAGCTGAAAGTGTGTAAAAAATGAAGTCAAGTAAGAGAAGAGCACACACGTACCCCGCACATCTATATGTGGAGCGGCATTGGGGTAGCTAGATGCTGGGACAGGGCTGGTGAAACTATGGAGTGGCGTATTGTGAAAGGTTGTAGGAGGTGAATTCGAGTAGGCTGATGATGGGGGTTGATTTGGGGAAGCAAATGATTGTTCCACACTAGATGAAGGGGCTGTCGAACTAGGAAAGCTTGAAGCACCACTTGCAGCAGAAAAGGGGGAGAAACCAGATGAGCTGGTTTGGGAGCTTACGGCACTGTTTAGATCTGGTTCTGTTGGAATATTATTTTCCAATTGAGCACGAAGGTCCAAGCTTGCATGTTTAGTTGATTTAGCACCTGGATTAGGAAGAGGACGTCTGGTATGATGATTATTAATGTGGGTGCTCTCGAGGGATGCAGCATGTGCGAGGATGACAGGACGTGAAGGGGCCGGGGCTGGGATAGGTGCCGGACGTGACGGGGCCGGAGTCTGAGCGGCACGTGCAGGCGGGGGAAGGGATTCCGGACGTGACTTGAGGGATTCTGGACGTGACTTTGGGGTTGGAAGGGGGCGTCGGATTGGGGTAGGGTTAGGGAAAGATGTCGGTGGTGGGCGATGTTGCTGGTGAGGGTGAGGGTATCTTAACTGGGATGGTATCTGGATCTGGGTCGGGTGTTGGATCGGGTATCCTGGTCGGGGTGATATAGACCTGAAACCTTGAGATTGTGGTGGTGGATCCCGTGGTGCCGTTGTGTATGCCATCCTCCAACCGTCTCAAGGTGTTCAATGTAACACCTTACCGCGTGTCCTAAGAGAGGCTGTCCATACATCATTTAACCAACGCGTACATCACATGCACAAATATACCAAAATAACCTCGGCGGACCCGGCATATGTCGAACTTCAAATTTTCTCTTTAGCTTCGACTATGAAACTAAAAACTCCTATTATACAGAAGCCTATACTTACCGCTAAGTGCTTAACTTTTTACCACCACTCGCACCGACCCAGTAAGACCCATTAGGCCACTCAAACTCGGCAATGCTCTCCTTGTACATCTCAATACTATACCCTTCCTTTGGATTACTCGGAACATTGTACCTCCCCCTTTCGTTCATGGTACACCTGTAGGGAAAGTGTTCATGCAAGTGGTCCGCGAATTCTAATACATTTCGTTCCATCGTTCCGGAAATTGCGACGTAGTCAATCACGCTTAACCTACTGGTCAGGGACACTACTTTCAGCGAAAGGATCTACACTGACCTCAGATGGATAACATATTCGCATAACCCAACGCCGCCAGCATGTGGACAGACCGGGACCCCGAATCTTCGAACATGGCCATTCAGCATGTCGTCCGAATGAAAAAGTGAAAGTCTCCTCGTGCTCACTTTGCAGCCATCAACAACACGCTCAAAACCTCACTGACACCTGCGAGTCTGCAGGAATCAATCTGACAAACATCGATCGCTTCTGCCTGGAACAACTGCTTGAACACCATACGGTTATGAGCATGTTCCCCAGTCGCAACCCCGATCCCGTACGGCTTGAGTGCCCGCCTGATCGCAGCGTGTCCCAAAGCATCGTCAGGTGCTGTAGGTTCTTCGATAAACCTGGTAGTATCAAGGGTCAGCTCTCATAACTGAAGTGAAAATGAATAGTACAAACCAAGGTTTGATTTCCGCTAATCCGGTCACATACTCTATTGCCTGTGGGACATCCCAAACCTGGTTCGCATCGATCATCAACACAGCACCAGTCGGACCTGCGTTCTTGCCAGCCAGTTCTGGGCTCGAAGGATCCTTGAATCCAGATGGGTAATTCGCGGGGTCATCGATGATAGAACGGATCATTTTGCCTCTGCGCAAGTCATCCTTGAAGTCGGCGCCTACTTTCATCTTGAAGTGGTTGAACCCACTTGCAAGGGCCTCCTTCGTGAGACGAGATACTTTCTCATCCGAATATCCTGCAGGACTTCTCAGTAAAGTTAGTAGAATCAATAGGCTCCTCCTCACCAAGCCAGCCCGCTGATGTGATATATGCTGGATACCTGCGCTTGTCAGTAAGATGTGGATAGCTGAGATGTACGTCGATAAACCCTACCCAACTTTGGTAACAAGGGCTTCCCTTTCACGCTTCCCAGCTTCCTTGGCCTCAAGCATCTCAAGTGCTTCTTCACGTGTTAGCACGTCCGTGATATAACGAAACGCAGTCGCGTTTACTAGCTCTTCCTGTATGTGTACTCATAGTGAATTTAAACGGAACAGGCGTAGAACAATGTCACGAACGGGAGTCATATCAACAATCAATTTCCATAGGGGTTTGCCTCTGGCACGAGCAAACATGTCCCACAGGGCATTGTTCACTGCAGCTGTTGCAAGGTGAATCACACCCTTCTCTGGACCGATCCTGGAAAACAAATTCACAGTCAGATCACAGATACCCAGGTAACACAACATAATTCAGGAAGAAGCAAAATTATTGAGCCATACGCGACGACCTAGTGTCGATTCAGCTGAACGTTCGAGCACTCACCATCGCAGCTGCGAGTCAGAGCACATCCAGTCCCAAGCTTTGCCCATATTCTCGAAAAAGCTCTCGGGATCCCGTCCGACCAAACGTCCAGCAAGTTCCCGGATCGCATGGCACACCTATGACGCGAGGTAAGTGATGATCAGTAACATATATCCAACAGAGCGAGAGAAGTCATGCAACGATAAATAGACCATCTACCAAAATTTGTGACGAGGAAGCATGTACTAAAAGCGCTAAGCTTTGTTCACTCACAATGTCAGTACCACGACCAATGGTGAACGTCATTCCATGACCGATAAGCCCACTGTCAGTGTATATGGTAACATATGCTGAACTATAATCGCAGTCCGTATTCCTGAGGCACGTGTGATGTAGGAGATCATCGCAGATCACGACATGGGCATCGGCTTACATCGCATCAGTGCCATCACCCGTCAAAGATGTGGGAAATCGAATATCTATTATCGACGGCAAACAAGATGATCAGTGCACGCGCGCAGGGAAAGTAACGAACCCCACCATGAGTTTCGAAGTGTGTGATCTTGATAGTCATTGTACGAGGAGTGTTTAGCGTTGCCGATGTCACGGTTGATTTGAGCGAAAGAAAGAAAAGCGGAAGATGTGCCACCGTAGTCCTACTCCACTTGTATTTATGGCGTCTTGAGGATGGTGCTGAGAGGTTCTACCGGTGCGAATGCTGACCAGGTGACGCATAGACACATACAGGGATATATCACAAGACAGTAAGTAATACACTTGGTCCGAGTCAATATGTGCGGTGACCGGACAAACTGCTGGCACGCGAACTGGTATGCGCTACCCGGTCCGCCGGTCCGCACGAAGCTTAAAACATATGCATCCCCGTCACTAGCTTTACCTTATGTTCAAGGCCTTGGTAGTAGTAGACAGGCGCGTCGGTTAAATGGGTAATTGACGGACCACAGGGGCCTTAGACTGCATCCACTTCGTCGACGGCCCGGTGAGTCTCTTGGTACTGACTCAGTGGGTGTGTTTTCTGCCCAAGTTTCACTGAGACTAGCCCTACATTTACTGACAGCTAATCCTTCTAAATTTGGTCTACTACTGCAGCGACTTAATTCATAGTGTAATACCATCTATCCACAAGTACTAGTTGACGTTTCCAGCTTGAATCATATGACGAGGACTTTCACTAATAACTAATTGGATTCATTGACCTCCCAGGCGTGTCGGTGGCTTTCAACTATAATTATCATCATCACAACCGCTGTCAAAAACCGAGTGCATACGATTCTTGCACCTGAGCAGAGCACCCTGGCCTGACCTGTAACTACGTGTAGATGCGGCAGCCGGACAGATGAACTCAAGATCGACCTGCTGTCGGTACGTCACCAAAACTTGTACATGTTGCGAACATGTCTGTCTCAGAACCATACCAGTTAACAATGCTAGCATGCAGTAATGTGCGATCGCATGGGAGGATAGGAACTACAGAGCACAAAGATGAGATAAAGACATGAAAAGAGCGACGTATCGGGGTAAGATCGACGAAGGCTTTTGTTGACAGTGCATGAATGGAAACTGATGGTATGGCAAATGAGCTGGCTGTTACCCGGATACTCGTCCGTCATTTAGTTCCAACTCTTCCCACCACCCATCAAATTAACTCTCAAAACCGATATGACAAATACTCCCCTTCAAACCACACGCATCAAGCAGGTTGCGCGCTCAGTTCACATCCTCAAGGGTCTCTTTCTTCTCTTCGGCTGCGGCTTGCTCGCCCTCAACATCGAAGTTATCGACGAGATCAGGCACTTCATCATCATCGTCCTCAGTGGCACCGGTAGGTGGCCTCTGTTGCCCTTGTTGGATGGCCTGGTATGATTCCGCAAGTTTACGGAGCGATGCCAATGAATCAGGGCCAAGTTGATTCAAGATGCCAGGGACGAGCTCAGTCAGCTCCTTGACGTGACCAGTTCCATAGATCGCAAACGTGTTGGCGGAGACCGCGGCATGTACTACACAAGGCAAGAAGAAAAACACAAATTAACACAAATCTTATCTGACGGCACGCCGAGCGCAAGCTTATCTACTCGCAAGCGACGTAAAAATTCGTACACACCTTTTGGGGCAGTAAAATGCAGCACGTTTCCATCTTCCCTGAACATATTAACCTCCTCTACACCAGGAATAGGTTGCACATTCAGTTTCTTGAGGGCACCTTGGAGTTTTTTGTCATCCTGTGCGGCAGAGGGCTTGGTCTTCCGGACTATTTTCCGACGCATGGTCCCTTTACCACCTGCAACGCGTCATCATGTTAGCCTTGATTGAGCACACATATGTCAAGAAGAAAGAAGGAATGGAAGCTATAACTTCCGCGGTGTGATATAAAACACTTACCGATCCTGTTGGCTGCAGCCTGCGCCTGAAGTTTGGCCAATTTTGTGGGATCCATGATGTTTTGCGGCGAGGGTTCACGTCCCTTGGTGATGCGACGGTGAAAAGTTACAGACTAAGGTTTACGCGCAAATACGTGTACACAAACGCTAGTACAGCGGTCCTGAATTTGTACCACAAACCTATACGTATTTGGGCACCACAATCACCCGTTAATTTGGAGAGGGATTCCCCAAGTACTTGACCATAACTTATCCCTCAGGCTGGAATTAACATTTGACATCAAGTCCGTCAAAGACCTTTTGGAAGAATCATATATCTAGAGATGACCCTTACATTTCACATCCGTCCGGCTAACGTAGATGATGTGGTGAGCACATAACGCATTGCTGACGGAGCGCTGTTATCAGCACTGATAAGATTAATGACTCAGGACGCCATGCTCAAGTTGGTTCAGGATCTTGTAGGTAATCGCCCTTGCCTCGAGATTTTCATACACTGCAACTTCCCACTTTTATCTAGGCGACGTATGAAAACGAACCCGAGTCCGCAAGGGCTACCCCTGCTCTGGTGAGTCGTTTGAAAGGTCGCGGAGTCATACTCAAATGCCGTCAAAGTTTCGAGAAAATATATTCGAAAAGAAATATGCGCATACCCTCCTCGCGTTTGATGGGAGGCCCGAGGCACCCGGAGTAGCATTGGGAATGGCGCTGTATTTCTTCAATTTTTCAACGTGGACAGGCAAGCCTGGCCTCTTTGTGCGTCTAGATTCTGATTCGCCTACGCTGCACCGCGATGCTACCTCTTTATTAATGCTTCACATACAGCTTGAGGACTTGTATGTATCCCCGGATGCAAGAAATAAGGGCATTGGTAAAGCCCTTTTCGCGGAGCTGGGCAAGGTAGCGCAGGAGAAGGTAACATCACACGCTTCTTTCCGAGGACCTTAGCTGATGCATCCTCCGGCCCACAAGGGCTGCGCACGCCTCGATTGGTCGGTACTCAAGGTAAGTTACACTTGGCTGATCGTGCTACCAATTTTTCAGCGGATTAATTCTTTCGATATTTGTATATCATTCTTTCATTCAGTGGAACACGCCATCGATCGCATTTTATGAAAAAAAATTGGAGGCTAAAGCGATGGAAGAATGGATGGGTATGCGGCTGGAGGAACAGGGAATCGAGAATCTGCAGAAGCTCGCCGTCCGCGCAGCCTGAAAGAATTGAAACAGGGTCTTCTATATCCCGGGCCAGTAATAGCATAGGTACCATTGCGCAATGCGATGTCAGGGTGTCTCTGTATGACGCACGAGCTGATCAAAAGACTTATCCGACCTCGGGCGCAGTCGACGCGCAATACAAGTGGTAAAATGAGTCATATAAATCCGACGGCATACAAGGCGCATGAGTGCAGGGCCACGAAATTGAGAGCACGACTTTGTGTGATGTAAGCTACACCCCGTCGTAACTAGCCCCACCTGCCTGACAAGATTAATGTGAGACCGTTAGATATTTCCCGCTCTAGATTTTTTTAGAACACTCACCTTCCGCAGCTTCACCACAATCGGATCCTCCTTTAAATCATCCTTTTCCCGAGCGGGAACTTCGATAGAGTAGACACGCAACACCTGCTTGACATCGGCTGCATGGACGGAGATCTGCGAGATAATATAGCAAAGAGTCATGTCAGACTAAGTACTACATCATCCGAGTCATTGTCATCGATTGACTGTTGAAAGGCAGTGCAGGCGCAGCCCGCCGCCACCGCGTGTGTTGTCAAAATTGGAAAACAAAAAAAGATATTCATACACACCGTAGCACACGTAATGAAACAGACTAAGGACTGACCTTGGCCTTCCGCATCACTTTACACCCAGGACCGATCCACACTACTAGAATGAATTTCTCCCGTTGAGATTCCTTGTCATTGGAGAAGGTAACGCGAACGTATGCGTAAGACGCTTTGGAATCGCCAAGTGCATCGCGTAACTCGGCGAGACCACCCGTTCCCGTCTGTGTGACTCTTAGCTTGTCAGACCGGTCAGACTAAGTGTGTGATCATCGTAGGGAGGACCTAAACGCATGAAGGCAATCGGACCCGCTTGGAAACTTAAATTCTGACCTCATAATCGAGTAAAAGCCAGTTAGTGTCGGATTTGTCGGAACGAACATCCTGGTAAGCTGTAAGGATCAGCACCACGATGCTGGTTAACCCAATTTCACTAAGCGATGCGCTGTAATTTCGCAGACTAACCTTCATCGATTTGGGGATCGGATAGGTCGGCCATCGGGTATAATCAGGCGCGTTAAATCGAATACAAAATCTTTGCGGAACAGAAGGGAAGGAGGGGAAGAGAACAGGTCAATACGATAAGCTGGGAATTGATGGCAGTGGCTTCCTTCCTAGGAGATGGTTTGAAAGTCGAAGCAGTCACGAAACCACTCGGCAAATACCGTGACAACCCGCCTACTAATTTTACTCACTAAGTTTGTTACATTTCCCTTTCCCGGGTGAACATGCAAGGCATCCAGTTTACAACGAGGTTCAACTATTATAAGTTGACGTCACTACTTCGTACACCTTCACACCACGCGCAGTCTTGGTTTCACAAAAACTCGCTCTCTAGGTACTATTCCGCTACCAATGAACCAAGGAAAAGGGACTGGAGACTAGCCGGACACCCTGCGCCTCTGTCCCTAGCAGAAGGAGAAAGTCTAGATCTGAGTGAAGATGAGCCACCCGCGAGGCGACGGAAGCGCGCGCCGGTGGAAAACACACCAGAGGAGTGGAGACGTCACCGTCTCGCCATCAAGGAGGCTTTTCCTCAGGGGTGGTCCCCTCCACGTAAATTATCTCGTGAAGCCATGGACGGTATGCGTGCCATGCATATCTATGACAAGCGTACGTTTTCGACGCCGGTGCTTGCTGAGAAGTTCAAGATCAGCCCGGAGGCTGTGCGCCGCATCTTGCGGAGCAAGTGGGAACCGTCGAGAGAACAACGAGCGAGATTTGCAGAACGGGAGCGACGGTCGAGAGAGGAACGAAAGATGCAGAGTAGGCTTGAAGAGAAGAAACAGAACATGGAACTGATTTCTGAGACTGCCACGATACCAGAGAGACCCAATCGGAGAGATGAGCGGCCAAAAGGGCTTAATTCGAAGGATAGGTTATACTTTGGTTAACAAAATTACTGGGATCGACGGATTGGCATTGCTCGATATGTTCACACCTGCACGCTTAGCTTATATCATCGATCACAGAACCATGTAACATGCCCACCGTGTAAAAGCTTTTATACAGAAATGGAGCATCGTAGCGCTACATGGGAATCGTCAAACAGGTGTATTACTTTTATCTAACCTAGATTATTGGGTCACACGTCTAGATATCTAGCAAACGAGAGGGAGCGGTGACGGGTAACAACTTATAAGTACTTTATGGGCATAGTGTCGGAGCCGGTACAGTTTTTGAAATGAAGTATAAGGTAAATAAATGATGTGTGTCCAGTGGGTTTGTGACTAGAATTGTGTGGGTAATGTAGTGATGTGATGTTCGAAAAGGGCTCAACAAGATCTTCGTTTGTTGGCAGGGTGAGAAGGATTGTCCGAAAAGTCAAGGCCAGCTTGAGTTAAAGTGAAAGCATGGATTTCTCGTGTTTGAGATAACACGAGCCCTGTTCTGGTCGGCACAGTAGAATATCGTTCCAGTTGGGTTGAGGTGGTGCGTCGAGTTGCTCGCCTTTCTTGTCAACAAGGGAGTACCGGAAGCCAAGTAGCATCATGGATGTGACAAGCTTGAGCTCAAGTCGGGCCAAGCGTTGTCCAAGGCAATGCGTCTTGCCTTGTTACCGGAAAATTAGGTTTGCTAACAAGCGCGCAATCAACAACGTGACTTACCTCCTCCCCAACCGACGTAACCGAACGGAACCGTCGCCTCCTCGCGGCTAGGATCGAACCTCCATGGATCAGGGTAGACGTCCGGATTGAGATGAACGTCCGAGAAAGGATATAATACATATGCCCCTGATGGGATGGTCTTCCCGTCAATCGTCACGTCAGGTCCAAGGTTTCGGCGCATGGCAGTATGAGGTTGCGCAATCCTGAGAGTCTCGCGAATAAGAGAATCAAGGACAGGTGTCTCAGATTCCCAAGCCTCCAGTGGAATGGACGAAAGTTGTTGTGACAAAGAGTAGGAGACGTTAGGAGAGACGTGATTGGCTAGGAGTTGCTCCACTTCAGCAATTACTTCATCCTTGGAGTCATGATCACCAAGATAGGTGATGAGCCACGAAGCCGTTGTTCCAGTAGCACGTGCACCAGCAACTAGGAGACCCAAAATGAACTGTTGAAATGTCAGATGACTCGGAATCGCCATACTCAACAGAAAGACTTACACCGACGATGACAAGCCTTTCGTCTTTTTCGTCGAGAAGCATTTGCAGAGTGTCAGGTTTAGATATTCCACTGCGCTCCCGTTCATCAATGGCTCGGACGATAATGTCGTAGATTTTTTTGGTCGCCCACAGCTTCTTAAGCATGCTAGGCCCAGGAAGCCATGGAAGTAAGACAGTCGCAGGCGTTGTCCCACTGTCCAAGGTGTCGTAGAGTTGCTTGAGACGCGCAACTTGGACAGGATCGTCTGCCAACTCCTCGCAGGAGAGCGATCGTACAGTAATTTGGAATAAAAGCTGTAGCATACATGGTCAGGACTTGAGACGAGTCTAGTGAATCCAAAAACCAACTTCGTAAATTTTTTCAAAGGGGTCAAATGTTCCTGATGGTCCCCACGTTTCCATTACCCTTCGGCAATCCTCCAAAATGGGGGCAATGACTACGCAAGATGATAAAATGAGATAAGATAGAATAAGTGAATGAATAGAAACGACGTACGGCCACTTAAGTGTTCATTTCGCTGAACGGAGGAGAGACGCTTATGGATTTGCGCAATGCGCTTGGTTTGAAGGTTTGAAGTTACCCCTTTGACAACAGGGATCTAAGTAGCGTCAGGATTAAATGTCTTCAATGATAGAAAAAGATGCTGACAGCTCCGGAAAGCATTTTAAAGCCTTCGGTGAGGTCGAAGTGCTTGTTGGCGAAAAAAGATTTTCGGGCTGACTCTCCAGAAACAACAATGACCGTCTCCTGCAAACATCGTAGTGAGTGGTCGCCGGAGAAGATTTGGTACTATAACGCTTACCCGGAGCATATTGAACTGAAAGAGGGACTGGCCAGTTTTATGGAAACCATTGTTCAAAAACTCGAAACGTCGGCGGAAGAATGGGGTGATGGCGAGGAGATGAGAGCCGGGGAGAAATACTGGGGCGCCGTCAACAGCACCATCTTTTTGAGAGCCAAAACCAAAAAATAGAAGAATAAAGAGAATAAGCAAAGCGAGAGCCACTTGGGCCTTTAGGCTAGAAAGAAGAAATGCGTCGGCAGCGGATTGTAGGCCGACCGTATACATGATACAAGCTGTCGGACGCGAAAGATAATACTTGAGTACGGCAACCAAAACTTGCGTGATGGCGCGACTTTATATGCCACAAGTCCATGGGTCATTACACCGTGTACAAGACGCCAACATGTGGCCTCGCCTGTATGCACACATGAGTGCCTTTCGGTGATGATCAGATCTTTAATTTGTTAGCTTCGGTTCCGCAAACGCGGTAAATACGTAATTGTCTCGTGGCCCGTACGCGCTACATACGTCTTGTGCCGGAGACAATGACGACGCTCTGCAGTGTAGCCTAACGTACTTTGTGCTGCATTTCCTTAACCTCCATTGGCCGCCAGAGTTAGTACATCCGGCCCTGCATCGCAGCACTGTCTAATACCTAAAAAATAAAACTCGGACAAAGCCTCGAGGTCTTGGTGTGGCATGGCATCTTTGCATCTACTCGTCATCATCCGTCGGACGCCGGTGTACTAGAGCCTCGATTCCGTTCACCACAAAATCCATCTGTCATCTAACGTACACATCACCTTCGTAAACACACGTCCCGAGGACTCCCGCATACAGCGCGCGGTCACCAAAGGCAAACAATCAAGACCATTCATCTGTCAATTGAAATAAGGATGACCAAACTTCCATTAGGCTTACGGATACACTATGCAACGTGCATTTTGTTTCCGCGCTAACGACTCCGCCGGAGCCGTGAGCCTGCTGTACAGGCGAAGACCGCCCTTGGGGCATGTTCCGACAAAATCTTTTCCCAGGGCTGTCCAACCACAGCGTAATACCCACGACGCAGCGACGCAACACCGGCATGTCACAATTTCCATCCGTTTAAGCCAGAATGCCAATGATCGAAGGCAGTCAATACACACATCCAGTGAGCCAGAGCGGCCAGGACCACACAAAAGTGAAATATTTGATGTGATGCGAAGAGTAAGTCGAATTTCCCTGGGGCCAGACATTCCGGTATGCGATTGGCGCTGCGCGGGGATGAATTGTAATGTTAGACATGTGTGAAGGCGGGAAATGAGGCCCTACGCACTAAATCAACGCGCCCGTAATGTATAGTCCGCCTGATGCGAGCAGCCAACCAAATCCCATTTCGGAAAATAGCTTCGATGCCCCATGCGATACCAATAAATGAGCAATTGGGATCACAGCGGACAATCCAAGACCAATAAAAACACCGGTACGTGCACCTCGATGTGTTGGTTTTGCATATTCAGGGTTGAGAACGATATATGCTGCTCCTTAAAACGTGTATTGGTAAATGACTTGCTAATGGACTGATACCAATTGACAACACCGACCTGCGCCAACTAGTGCGATGGAACATAGATAACAGGCTTGCAAGGCTGGTTCACAGTAGAATCCGTAGTAAAGGCATGGTACAAAAGATCCGACGGTGAGGACTACGGAAGGATTCATCAAAATGAGATAGAGGTGGCGATACCTTCACTTACTGACGATCCCCGAGTAGTCCAGTGCATGGCACTGGGTCGACACCTGTAATCAATTTCGAATTATGAGTCAGATCCGGTAGTCGGAACTTGGAGAAGGGCTGACCTGTGCCGAATGACAAGTGGCAGTGTGGAACATGGCGCTCGCAGTGAGGCAGAACACTGCAGAGAGTAGAAATATAACAAAGACAGAAGTATCCAGCCAAGTTGCAGTGCTGTACGCCAAGATATATTGCCCGCGGAATGTCATCAGAATCCAGAGGAATACCACAGCGCCAGCAAGATGACTGAGGATGTTCACTGGAAAATGCAATGGATCATGTCTACTTGAGACAACAAGAAACTTACCAGTTTCGTTATGAGGATCTACTCAGAACAGAATCAATCAACGACATATAGATGTGAGGCGACTCAAATATCCTCACAACTGTAGATAGATGCAATGCAACCTGACCAGCAGTTCTGCACTCTAGTAGCACGGCAGTCAATCGACCATTCGCACTGTGGCAAGTCGGGTGTCGATACCAAGTCTTACCGTCTGTAGCCCATTAAAATATACTCATTATCCCTCTGCCATTCTGGTATTTCGTGCCAGGAAAGCGTCATGCGTTGCTTGTCAGGACCAGTTTGCAAAATGTGGTGTCCAGGTCCATTCTGATTGCTGAGGTTGCGCTTGCGTGCCTTGAGCTCGGACATACAGTGAAAAAACACCTCCAGGTATCGAGATTGAGAGAACAATATGTGTAGCTGTGTAGGCTTGGTATATATGAGATGCAAGGTACGAAACGTTTGGCTCAGCACTTCATGCGCATGAAGTCAAGCTCCAAGTCAAAGCTTGCGTGACAGGCACAGCATGACCCCAATTCACACTTGTCAGTCACAATTAAATTTAATACAAAGAACAGCACACTCGTCCCACACCAGTGCACAAGTGACAAAGTGCCGCCTCGCAAGTCTGAAGAATGTACCTATCAAAACCAAGGTTGTTATCGATGTGAGCACAAATCTTGACAAGCGCCAATCTACAAGCTGTAGCGCTCAGCGCTCATTATTGAACTTCAATCGTCGGCGATTGTCAGCTGTATTCCATTACCTTGGGAAATTTTCTTCTTGGAAGACTCAACATGATGGCCGCTTCAGCTTCTGGAACCTGTCCTATGAGCCACTTCTTCACCAGAGGGGCGTTAGATATCGTTAGGCATACCAAATTGGCAAGAAGTTTCCAGGGCCAGATCGGACCGAGATGAATTTATCGTGTATCATGTTACGCAAGTCCTTCGTCACATCCTGGCCAGCCGTACTAAGACCGCCGCCAAGGTCGCAGAGACTTTGTTACTGTCAGTTCTTCTTTTTCGCTACTCTCTGACACCTATCACGAAAGCTCTCGGTCGCCGACACGTGTCGCCGAAAGGTCGTTCAGTGCTCAGCGCTCAGCCACGAGCGGGATTTTTCGACGTCAACCCAACGTCAACTAGCGAAAGTGGACTGACCAGAATTCAATTGCCACTTACAAAAACACCCTTGGTCATGAATGCAGTTGAATTCTGGCTAAGTCAGAAAAATATCCTCGACAAAAGCCCTCCTCTCAAGCTTCGTCGAGTCTGAATATTCTACAAGTCGCTAATGTTATTACACGATGAAAAAAAATGAGCGTATATAGGTCCAACACACGGTGAAAATCGAAGTGAAGAATTGAGACGACGAGTCTGGCATTCCACACCGTAAACAGCTAAGAGATGAATACTTTCTTGAGCGCACTGAACTCGCACTTCTGGTCAGTCACTTGGCAAGTGACCATGCCATTGTGCTTTGCTGCCATATCTTCCAGCGCCTGACGGTAGAATGAGTATCAGTTGGTCACATGAAGAAGTCGGTGATAGGTTCGTTTTCGGGAGTGGAAGACATACCTCTCTCGAGTAAACTTGACCATTAGGAAACATCATGGGCATGTTGTCCTCGTCCATGATCTTGCCGCTAATTCTACAAACAATAGTAGAGTTGGCGTGGTGGCTGAATGGAACTTCTCGAGCTAGAGTGTTTATGCTGGGGTCGCACACCGGGCAGTCGATATTGTGGGATGACTTGTCGTTGCAGGATGGCAGCTTCAGTGAAGCCAGACCAGAATAGAGGGCAAGATTGAGAAGGGGTTCAGTGGGTAAAGAGTTCAGATTGTAGATGGCAAGCCGAAAGGCTTGAATGAGATCAAGCCATCGGGAATCGTCATATAGTCTCTGAAAGATCCAATGAGATACGAATGCAGATGGAGCAACGCTATCTTACGCGGTACGGGCCACACGTCGTAGAAGGTTTTATTGCAAGTAAAGTGGCAGCCTGCATAATCTGTGGGAGATGTGTTTCTTGCCATGACACGAGATGTTTTTTCGAGTAAGCCATGGCCTCCTGCTTCTTCTGATCACGCGCCAACTCGATGTACTCTTGTAAGCGAAGTTCAAATTCGAGTGTGCTCTGCGGAAGAACCGAGATGTTTTCATAGAGATCACATATTGCAAAATTCAGTCGCACCTTAATTTTTCGCAACGCCGTCTTGTTCTCGCTACACCATGCCAGTGCTTCAGTACAGCTGTGCTTGGAAAGTGCCAATTCAATTCTTCGGATGTCTGTGAACAGATCGATGTCCACAAGGGTCTATTGCAAACGGTAAACGCCATGAGTTGATATGAACACTTTGCGGAACTACAAACCTCTATGTTCCTGTCCTGTGCCAGTGTTCGTGCTGTGTTTTCCCGTCCAGTCCGGAGGGCCCAGTCAACAAGCCATCTGTCAAGCCGCGTGTCCGCCCACCGTGAAAAATCGAGGCTACCGGTGGTTTGCAGGGTTTCTACCGCCATGAGATGCTGTAGCCTCTCCCGAGTGACATCAAGGGTGGGCTTTCCAGCAGTATCCTGCAGTTCTGAAAGCTGCGCATAATGTCCACTGATGTAAAATGAGATCCGAACTAGCAAATAGCACCACGTACCTTGCGCTTGAGGTTCTCAACCCGACCTATCATTCCATCTACGCTCTTAGCAGCATCCTCGAGGTTGACCTCGCGGCTCTTGGATCGTTTTAGTAAGTCATTCGAGACAGTCTGTACATTTCCGAGCTCGCGCTCAATGTTCCGTTGTGTTGCACGGAAGACCTTTCGATAGTTTTCATAAGGGACCTAGCGGAGTGTGATTGTAGTGAGGTCATTGAGAACTAGCAGGCGTAACTGCGCACTCGTACAAATGGTTGCTCAAAGAGCAACACCCCCTCTGAATTGAGCTTTGTTGAGCTCATATCAATAGTATAAGAGCCTGTCTTCAAGGCTTAGCTATCGTTGACGTTGGGAGGGAATCGGGATTAAATGATCGTAGTACTTGTAATTACTCCCACGTGACCTGGAAGGCCCGAGCTGGCTGGGCAAGTAATACAAAGGCTAGTAACTATACCGCTACTCAGTACTTAAAGATCATACTGTGTGTGTGGTTATGTGGGAGCTCAATATTATATGTGGCTTGGAGGAGAAGGGCGGCTAGTCATAAATTGGCTCTGGACAATTGAATTCGGCGGTGATCAAAGCGACTAGAGCTTTGACTGCACCCTGTGCAAACCACTGTCCTGTGCACAGCTGCGGGATTACGTGCAATGAATCAGTTGGCGAATTTGTGGCGGATGCGCTAAGAGAGCAGCAGCACACGGAGACACGGCAGAGGCCCAGCACTTAGACTTATTACTCAATAGCCCCTGTCAAATTATGGGATCTAGGTGGAGTCGCCGCAAAATAGCAATTCTACCTTCGCATTGAGAGAGGGGGACCATGGGGATGCCGTCCAAGGCTCGTGCTATGGGAAATATATGTCATACACACATTTCCGTGCTACCCCATGCTCAAAAATTCGGCAGCAAAATCACGTCGCATCAATCACCGCCATCAAAACCCCAGTAACCACCCCCTTTATCTTATTGCCTTCAGCTGGCTTTAATGCTTCCCATACCCGTGATTATATACTATAGTACGGAGGGCTACAATACACTGCTATAGGATTATCTTGTATTTTCTAGCGTACACAAGAGCCTTGCGGACGACAAACGAGCTATCAAACAAAGGGCGTAATCATCAATCTCACCGCCTTCCGTTATCCCGTGAGCCCCGTTTCCACGCCATGAACTCCCGAATTAAGGCCACCACAAGAGGAACAGATATAGATGCGAATAGTGGCGTATACACCGCATACTTGTGCTCGGCAGGAAAGTACAGCAATGCCAGCATCCCAGGATTGAAGAAAGCGCGTGACGCCATAGATAATGCCTTACTGGACCATCGCAGAGCAAGGGCCGGCGATGTCACAGCAGTGCGATAAGCCTGCATTATTTGAGCAGTCTTCATTAATATGACACCAGATGCAGAACGCACCTCGTGGAGCGATGCAAGGGCATCTAGGACATCATCTCGTACCACTTGCCCAACAGGCATGTTATTGATCTGATCCACGAGCTTTATAATGCTGTGCAATGTGTCCTGGCTGCCTTGCACATTCTGCAATGCACGATGCCGGAGCAGAGCATCTAACTGCCAGTCAGATAGAAAGCTTCCTTCCATAATCAAGCCGAAGGGAACGGGTGGCACGCCTAAAAGAGCAGCGAGCTGGGTGGCAAAATTGCGGAAAACTGGTTTTAGATCATTATATGAAAGATGCAACGACGAGGAATTGAGTTCATTGTTGAGGATAAAAATACTGCCCCATTGGGGCAAAAGGAAGGAGCTCTGATTTATTGGACGACCTATTGATAAGTCAGAAATGACCATAAGCGAGTATACGCGACATTTACCTTCACTGTCAACAATGTTCATGGGTGAATGGGTCTCAGAAGGAACGAATAGAACGAAATGTAGAACAGGATCATTCGAGACGCTGGATGCTACAATGACTGGTCAGGTGTTGACACCATCGATTACAACGCAGTACTGACCAAGTGTCCATTCGGCAGAATTGATAAACACCGTCAAGTCTTCCTGCGTAAGCCCTGATACTTCGGTGTCACCAAGGGTCACGCGTCTCGGCTCAAATGCTAATGGAGCATGGTACTGTACTTGACTTTCGACAGTAAAATTGTGCAAAATAGAGAGTTGAGACATCAGCGGATATATGAATTCTGATAAAGTGTCTTGAGAGTTGGTCTCGATATAGAGGGGCCATATGGATTACCTGCGAGCGCAGCTTGCACATCCCATGTTGCAACGAATCGATTGGGGGTTGCATCTTCGTTTAGTAGCGTGAAAGCGAGACGATAGTGATCTGAGTATTGAACGACACGCTGCGAATGTGAAGTGCCTGACTCTGGAGGAGCGATAAGGTCGGACAATATAGAGCTTAATCTCGTTGCTAATATGAGAGCAGTCGAATTCGTTTAAAGATACAGTACTCTTATTGACTCACCTGACTGTGCATCGGTCCTGTTCACCCGCAAGTTTCTTGAATGGGCAATTGAGGTCTGTTCACCAAGAGCAACTGTATATAGGCTAGATGCTACTACAGTAACACGTTAGATTGCCCTGTCCATTGTATAATTTACGTGAGCGCACAAACCTTCATCATTTCTGTCTTGTAGGCGTATGTCAACGCCTGTCCACCGTCCAGGTTCATTTATCGCAGAATCATGAAGTAATGTTTGAACTTGAGAGTTTAGAGTGGGATTTTGTTGGCTAATGGACGCATCAAAGTGAATAGCGATAGGAAAGACAATGTTATTCTGAAGTTGTGATCGTACTTGACTGGTCGGAAGTGCAAGTCTCTCGATACTCGTCAAATGCCACCAGAATGGGAAAGCCAGAATAATAACGATCCAATACGAGGCCAAGACTGCTCTGCGTATCCAGTCTCTTTCGAAGCTAAGTTTTTCAGGATCTTTGAAGCCAGAGCCAGTGTTTGCGAAAGCAGCAGAGTTCATCCTAACAGAGTCCTGAGCAATACTTAACACCAAGTTGCCAACAACGACATCGACCCGCAAATGGGGGGTCGGAGTTTCAATCCCTTCTTGCTAGAGATCACTCATCTACCTCAGTCGTTTACTTCGACTGAGTGTCTTCGCTCCTAGTTGCATCAAAGTTTCAAACATCCATGTTCGATAACTGACCTTCACTTGCTTTCAAATAGCTATACAAATATTCACATCACCACGACGCGCTAGGCTAATTTTCATTCCAACTTCTCTTTCATTTCCTACCTGTGACAAGCGTTGTAGCATCTTGGAGGTCCCAATCCTCTTAAGCATGACTTCTGCAAGCTACGAAACTTCTACTTTTGCTAATCCTTCGTCTGCACACGACATACGACGCTCTCTAGGTGGCAGTTTCTCATCTGTATACGACGTAAGTTCTCGTGAGAGTCGTACTTTCTCGGGTCGTTCAAATATCCTCTTTCTCAGTCACCCTATTCTACTGCACGTCGAAGATCTCCATCTCCTGGGCCATCTTCGCGGAGATACTCCCCGTACGATAGTTATATCCCCCGTGGGGGACCTAGCTATCGTAGTGATGATCATCCGAACATTTACAGGCCAACTGCATGGAGACCAGAACGCTATAACAGCCGCAGTCCATCCCCAGATCGTTACGAACGGTCTCGTTCTACGGAACCACGCTTCTGGGATCCCGGTTCCCGCTGGCAGTCGTCTTGGCAAGATCGAAGATCCTCTCCGAGTCCACCACCTCTACGGGAAAAACTCCGCAGAGATACTATGGCAGAGCGAATGTTCGAGCCATCAGACTCCTGGAAGCAATCACACGTCGATCGACCCGGCCGATACGAAGCGTTTGTCCATTTGCGTGTCACTTAGTATATTCTCTCATCATCGTATGTAGGTTGGAGCCTACAAGTCCCAGATTTCCAGATTATCGTGCCCGTCCTGCACGAGATTGCTCTCCTCAGAAGTCACCAGGGTATCCTCCTACTCATGGTGATACTTATCGTCCTTATTCTAGTGGTCAAAGCTACCGAGAACCACACGTGTTCGTTCGGTCAGATTCATATCGGCCACAATACGATGATAGTACTCGGCGGTCACCGCGCTCAGTTGATAAATCGAACACAGATGCTTATTATCCGCGTCGACCATCCAGTCAATATGATCACGATGATACGCGGTCTTCGACCTCCATTGCTAGTACACCGCCTCGCCATACTATTAACTCTCCCCCCCCAGACCCACATATCACCGATCGTGACCCCCGTAGGCATTCACCATCTTGCAGAGCTGCATCACCTCCCCAGTCCGTAGCACGATCTAGAGCGTCCTCGATATCTTCTGAAGCCCCCCTTAAAAGATTAAAGTCGAGATCTTCATCCCGATCATCTGCTTCTTCTCGACCTGATAAATCTATTATGTCCGTGCATAATGGTCCTAAGGACATTGTGTCACCGAAATCAAATCGAGAGAGTACAATTCAACAAGTACCCACGCATGTGTTGTCGCGAGATCCTGATCGACTTGGTTCTACATCGAACACTCTTGCTGGAAAGGGTTCTACACACCCTAAGCCTCTACCCCACGAGTTGCCGCACGTGGACGCCAAACCGGTCCATCCTGTGGTGAACGGTGAGCTTAATGGTCCGCCTTTGGCATCGATTTTCCCGCGTTCTCCACCAAGTTTATTGTCAGGAGAAGGTACGACCATCCATTTTGCTTGTCGATAACCTGAAGACGTATACCAATTTAGATATTGAGATGTCTCCTCCTGGACTCATATCATCTCATGCTCTCCCTGGTGACGTGGAATTTGCCTTCTTGGGAGATTCTGCTGGTAAAGGGACTGAAATGCAAACCAACCAAACCTCCCTTCTTTCTGATGACATTAGTCCTGCTACGCCCAGTCTTGCTTTGAAATCTGTGGGGGCGGTCGTCAATGACTCACCAGCGTCCGCGACCGCGACCACGGCTCCTTTACCAGAATCAAGAATACCGGAGAAAGATATTGATGTCGGCTCCTCGCGAACATTAACAGGAAACACTCCCTTTCTTAAGTCTGTTCCACAAGTCACTGCCACCGAATCGGTCGGTAGTCCGTCTCATATCGAGGCAGGAGAGCAGCCTTTGACTCCTGCACTTGACGTAGAACAACCCGCAACCTGGTTTTATGGTCGTCCGTCTTATTCAGACTCGACCGCAAAAGCCCTCCGTTTTGTAGTCTTAACGAGGCTTCAATGTGATCGTCAGACGCGCGATGAGCGTGTTGTTCCGGTTCTTAGGGCCAATCGGGCGATCCGCGAGCCTTCTCTGCCTTCACCCATTGACGCGCAAGACAAGCTTTTTGAGGAATTTGCAGCTGATCAGCCCCGTCAGGAAAGAATGGCGTTACATTCTCAGTCTATTAGATCGTCCTTATCAGGACACTTCCTGGAGCGAGAAACAACCCTTCGGGAAAAACAGCAAAAGCTGAGAGAAGAATATCTTGAGCTACATCAGCAATGGATAGCGCAATGTGCCCGGCTCGATAACGTGTCAAAAGGTGGTCTACCTGAGGAATCCATGCCAGCTTCTGCAGGCGGCAGGTCCACCAGACGATCAGCTGCTGTTTTGGGTGATGCTGTTCGCTCTGATCTTGAGATGGAGCAAATCATCGCGAATCTTGGGATGGAGGAGCTGACGGATCCAAGCTACTTGGCGATCAAGAACGTTGCAAAGATACCGGATATGGTTTCTGTCGTTGATGGCCGTGGTCCATATTCTTACGACGACACGAACAATCTCTTGGACGATCCTGCGGAATTCTACAGCTCGTCCTCGGCTCTTGACCTCTGGACAGAAGAGGAGCGCATTGTCTTCAAGGAGAGATACGCTGCGCATCCGAAACAATTCGGGCTTATTGCTCAACATCTACCCAATAAGACTGCCGCCCAGTGTGTCACGTACTACTACCTGCACAAGCCGCACGTCGACTTCCGCAAGGCTATTGCACAGTATGGTGCAGGTCGGCGCCGAAGGAACGGCAGGGGGGCTAATAAGCAGAAAGGCAACGCGCTGCTTGCGGATATTCGCCGCCATGATGATGAGGTATTGGCTGCCCACCCCACCTCCTCGGCTGTACCCAGCAAGCGCAGGAGGGCTGCTATGCTGCGATCCAATGTTGAACCCAGGAGAAACCAGTCCCGCAGGAGTACCGTCCAGCCTGATCAGACCCCCACTTCTTCCGGGACAACGCCAGATCCTGAAGCGGATGAGCAGAAGCGCCGGCGGCGCTCCACCGCAGTTGCACGTTCGTCGGGTCTTGCTCAAGAAGAGGTTGAACCTACTGTACGTCCGGGTCCAGTTACTTACTACTGGCGTTTTTGTTGATATGTATGTTTGACGTGTACAGGAACCAGGCGCTGAGGTTCCACCTCCAAAGCAAACCAGAAGACCCCGGAAGCCAAGAGCACGCGCAGTCCCCACCCCGTCAGAGGAAGCCACCCCCGCTCCTGAACTTCCAGATTATTGCAAGTCGTCGTCGATGCCAATATCATGGTCCAAAGAGGACAAAAGTCAGACCTCTCCCGCACAGCCTCTGAAATCGGCTTGCTGATCTCAGTCCAGGTTTGTTCCTTGAGCTTCTATCTCAACATGGTGATAATGTGCACCGCGTCGCTGCCTCCATTCCCCACAAGGTCTGTGGTGATTTGGTAGCAGACTGTGGCGCCGCTTAGCTTGTCACATGAATGAATTGGCATCTGTTTCCGTTGGAGATTCGACACTTTAATTATCTAATTCAGTAGTTATACTGCAGGTCCTTTCAGGCGACTGTCTGATACGTATATCCTCAGCTTGTATCTCACTCACGTATGGTAGTTGTATAATTCGTTAATTGTAGACTCAGGCCAAACGAGTGCATAGTGTGCGGAAGATACCCTGGGCGTCGAGTCATCTACGACCCTCTACCATGATAACGTGGTATCCGAAATTCGTTTTGACTAAAGGCGACAAAATGGGTTTGTCGACAGTGGACGGGGTAAGGGCGAACGCAGCATCTTGGAATGCACCCTTTATGACAGATAAATTTCGCTTATCTGAGTCAGTCAATGACAAACTACTTACAACCATAGACCCTCGCACCATCCAGCCAAGACTGCCACCAGCTGGGACGAGATTTTTATGACATTCCACAATTATATCTGGTCAGTAAACTCACCTTTAGCTTTGTCCTCTGAGTATTCCTGCGCTACCTTGTCGAAGCGCTGCCCCTCCTGCAAACCACCTATCAGAACCAGTGCACCTTCATATAATGGCATGCGTCACCACCTGGATCTTCTGCAATGCCTCAGTTGCCTTGGAGTGTTTCTCGCATAGAATATGGCGGACGTTGACAGTAGTTGCGGCCTTCAGACCACCCTTTCCCTGGACACAACTCGAGGTGCGGTTTTCATCAGAAGCGACTGTTGTAGCTTACTTTGCCCTCGGATTGATCACCTTTGTTGGTGTTCTTGCTGTTTCCACCTTTCTTTTCCGTAGGCTTTTTCTCAGCCGACCCTGACTGTTTCTTGCCCATGGCGTGGAAGGTGAATCTAAGGGTAGGCAGTGCCAGCAGTGACTGAATGATGTGCTTACTAAAAATAGAAAGATTCATTTGCAACCGGAATGCCAGTCTCTCTAGAACTTCCTACTACAAAGTCTAGCAAGCCAACCAATCAGTGCCAGTCCTGAACTCGTGATTCCACGCGTCCATGGTCCAATCAGAAAATGACTCAGGCGACAGCGCTCAGGTCAAGGCTCATTGGCAGATATGCCGCTGAGGCCTCTTGAAGACTTGTCTCTCATGTCCATTCTGGCTCTTGCTCCAAGCTACTACGCTTCTTCGTTGCTCGTTGTGTTGCTCGCATCTCGTTGTTTCATCTTTCACCCGACTCGACATACTTCAACATTTCAATCCCTACGAACCGTCGCCTCTGTTTCCACAACGCTCTCGATCATCTCCCATGGCAGTGGTTTTTGCACTATGAAATACACTAGACTGTACACCTCACCTTCGTCTATTGTACGAACAGTCGTCGGAAATATGGAAATACATGCCCAGAAACCTGATTCACTTCTGTCTTCTCCTATCACTCATATCTGCCCAAATCGACTCGCAGAACCTCACGTAGATCTTTGATCTGTGACTTCTTGTCGGCGGATGCATGTTCTAATATTCTACCCTCGGCGTAACACATCAGGAGTCAAATTAATAGCTTTTCAACAATATGGAAGCTGCCAAAAGACATCACACCTTACTCGTACCAGCTTCACATCTGTCTGGAAAAGTATAAGACCTGTACACCCACCCTACTACTTGCCCCGTGTCGGATAATTTCTCGTCTTTGCCTTGTAGAGTTGTTATCACCTGGACGCTGCACCCAGATCATGGCAATCCGTACAGAGGTGGGCGAAGCTCGAAGTTCCGCAGTCTACGATTCGTTAATTTGTCTAGGTCACATCAGACGCACACAAAACACGTTGCTACATCGCGCTTTTCAGCGATGGCACATCCACCCCCTTTCCCAAGGTTTCTCTGCACTGCATGGGTGCACCAATCTTCCCAACTATTATATCTGCTGTAGCCGTCTGGTCGAAATATTCTGAAGCCACCCGGACGAGTGATCAGGCGATTGAGGCGGAAGACACTGCTAGCAGGTGCACCGCCACTGCTATCAATCTCCCAGACCATCATGAAACATTGAAGGAAGACACTCGTTTCCTTCTATATTGGATGGCGCGCACCCTATCACAACATGCGTATTGCATGACAACATGTCGTCCACAAAATGGCATCGCATATCCCCAGCCCAAACTGCTTCTAATCACCATAATCAATCCAATCACGGATCTCGACAATGCCCTACTACTCAGTTACAGGCTGAAGGACCTTTGACACTCGTCAGCATCGAGGACTTGTCGTATTTCTTAGCAATACCAGGGTCATAGAGTGCACATCAAAATAGACAAGGATGGTGGGTGTACACCGTTATCTGCTAAGTCTGCCCAAACATGACAATTGTTGGTAATGCCACTGCACTCGCGTTCAACGTCGAACACCTGCCTTCATGCATCCAAACAGCAAATAACGCGGTCTCGAGTGGCTAATTGGAGGTTGACTAGGACTGGTAAGACAAGGTTCAGTTCGTCTATCGATGGCTTGCCTATGTGGGCAATTGGGGTATTGGCGGGCGTGGCTTTCTCATTGCACAATGTCAAATTGTCTTTTAAGTCGAACCAGGTCACAGAACTTCACGCAGATCTCTGATCTACGACTTTTCATTAATGGGTGCATACTCTATTTTACCCTAGACACAACACCGATCAGAAGCTACGTGAATAGCTTTTGAACAATGTGGAAGCTGCCGAAGTTATTACACCTTATTCGTACCGGCCTCGCGTCTTGTCTGGACCAGTATAAAACCTGTCGCCCACCCTGCTTGCCCCTTGTCAAGTCGTTTTCTGTTGTATTCCCTGCAGATCTATCATCAGCTGCACGCCACATTTACATTATCGCGATCCATACAGAGGTGAGCAAAGTTTGAAGTTCCGCAATCCACGATTGGTCAATCTTATCCTAGGTTGTATCGGACGCACGCAGACAACAGGTTGCCCTTCTCAGCAGCGCAAAAGTCGCTAGCCACACACAAAGTTTCTCTGCACCGCATGGTTGTCCCACTCATGGTCCCAGTCGTGGCGTCTGCAGTGTCTGCAGTAGTATCTGCGGGGTCCGCCACGTTTGCGGCCATCTGGCCAATGCATTTTGCCAGAGCCAGGCGACTGGAAGCAGAAGAGACAGCAAGGAAGATGAAAAATGACTTAATGGAGATTTTGATCCGCGTAATGTTGCAGAACCATCTGGATGAACTGCAACAGTCAGCTGCAGAAGATAGTCGCAGAGTGGAAGAAGCAAGGCTCGCTGCTGAGAAGAAATGGTTCGAAGGTGTTCGCCCCGAGTGTCACCCTTCAGAAGAAGACATCAATCGGATGAAGGCCACGTATCATTACAATCCGGGATTCATCCACATCGCAGTTGTTGGCTCTGCTGGAGCTGGCAAGTCGTCCTTCATCAATGCCGTCCGTGGCTTGTCCACAAATCATACCATGGCCGCTCCTGCGGGAATCATCGAGACCACTCGCACCGTCACGAGGTACCCTGATCCGCGCCCGAACTCCCGGACAATTTGGTATGACGTTCCCGGATCAGGCACTCTAGATGTGCCGGACTGGAAATACTTCAATGACATGGGCCTCTACATCTTTGATTGCATCATCATGGTCATAGACAATCGTTTCTTGGATTCCGACCTTGCCATCCTCCGCACTTGTGAGCAGTTCAAGAACATTGAGGCGTTCCTTGTTCGCTCCTAAGTCAGACCAGCACATCAAAAACATGGTGTCCCAGAAGATGGGCTTCGACCCTTGGGATCCCGACTCAGACATGGACGACACAACACGTTCTCTTTTCCGGCTGACGAGATCACAAGAACACCAGAGGTTTATCGATGAAACGCATCAGAATGTCCAAATTAACCTTGAGAAGGGGAACCTCCCTCCTAAGAATGTCTACATCGTTTGCAACGACGCCATGCATCAGACAGTGTGCACTGGCAAGATCCACCCCACAAAGACAATTGATGAGGCAAAGCTTCTGGATGATGTCAAAGAATTCACGTTGAAGCGTCTACAGTTGGGGTGTTCAACGTAAGCCAGAGTCTCCCGTTCGATTATCAATCGGATAGTTGAGTACAAATTTTACTATATAGCTAGGCCTGTCCTGGATCCTGACAGCCCCAACACAAGGCTTCTAGTATTAGCACCACATCTTTTAGTCTTTTGTTTGCTGGTTATGTTCATTTTCATTTTCTTGTCGGATTCACTTGAGGGAGAGATATATCTCTCCCTCAAGTCTGTAGTCTTACATATCGCGTTCTCGGAGTATGTTACATACAACAGTTTTTTGTCAGTTGATTGAAGTGTAGCTGGAACAACACGATGCCAGGCTGATTGAAGTCGAACCAAAATCTTAAATTAGAAAGCTCAACGGTCTTATACTAAGTCTGTACTTACCCAAATGTGAACGTTCATGAACATCGATGATTGATATGCAGTCCCAAAGTCTGAAGCATCACATTTTATTTCGTGGCAACAGACTGCGCCGTGTATTTGCAACTGAATGCTACACTAGAATTACTCAGATTGTTTCAAGAACGCCTCGACCAAATGTTGCAAAGGAGGCAGGCAGAATCATTTGATCGATTAGATACTAGGGATGAGAGAATGATACACAGCAATACCAGTGACACATCCAAACTCTCCCGGATTGAAAGTCACGTTCATTAATGTTCAACCCCGTCAGTGATGAGGAGACGCTTGACGAGGCCATCCACCTCGCAGCCGGCCTATAAGTCATACAATACATGTTCTACAGTAAGGTCTAATCCTGATTGGTGATGGCCACCTAGCTACATAGTAGGTGTTAGTACTGCCTAGCCCGTTGATTTCCTCTCACGATGTCCAAAATCAAATCCAACAAACCCTAATCTTCGGCCTCTTCTATGTCTTGACCGTCTTGTAGTGTCCACTTCGCAGCCGCCGCCGCATGACGGAAAGGTTCATCGGTGGCTCTTCTACCGACGATCTTTGGATACGGAGTTGTGCTTGACGAAGGCCGAGAATAATCGACCTCTTCGGGCTCTCCAACGACGTTATCTGCGTATTTCGCATTCTCCTGGTATTCTGTATAATATGGACTAGGCGGTACTGCGGCGCCCGTGTCATTTACTGCTGCTTGTCTTTCATTTTTGGACGCCACAGAGGTGTTGGACTGGTATGACCGAGTTTCGGCGATAGAGTAAGGGTGATCTTCACGACCGTTGGCACCTGGTAATTCTGGTTGGTGGTTGCGTGGGGTTGGGGCATCCACCTCGACATTTGCTTGCGGGAGGCCTGTCAATGTATGGGAGCTAGCTTCTTCAGGGTCGGATTGGGGCTTGCGTCTTTGGCTTCTTATCATCTCCAAAAACTTCATGACTCGAGCCCGAAAGGATGATAGTTGCTGGCCAATTGCGTGCCACCACCAGCGCTCTCTTTCCCTGATGCGAATAATGCCGTATGTTATCATCCCGAATACGATAAGTACCGTAGTACCGACTATGGCTCCGGAAGTTATATCCCTGGAACTGCACCAATCGATGGAAAATGCCACAAAGAAGAAGATCATCCTAACTTGAAGTCAGGGCGTCTGCCTGTAGCATTATGGTACAAGACTCACCCCCACATGAGTAACGCCTTGGGAATGCTGTAAATTATGGCCAGCTTTTCAAGTCCATGCTTTTCGTCGTGAATTTTTAATGCAAATGATGCCTGACACAACTACCGTAAGAAACATTCCACTTGTACAGCATGTTACTGACCGCTTCCAAGGCTGTATTATCTCCAGAGGTTTGTTCATGCCAGACCAAGAACATGCCGAGAATTATACTTCCTAAGCTCGTAACCAAGGACATGTAGCTTATAATCTGAATGGCAGATCTCCCGCCGGTATCAACAGTGCTGATATCGAGAAACCCAACATTGACGCTGAGCAAGACAGTGGCCTACCAATGGTTCCAAATTAATTTTGTTCAACACAACAGAGATGGATTTACCAAGAGATTGGAGTCCTTGAGCTGCCTTTTCAATTTCAAACTAAGTGCATTCCACCGTGCCGTGGAAGGAGTTTCATCTACAAAGGCCTTGTGCAGTTTTTGGACTTGCGTCATGGGGTCCAAAAAAAGGAAGGGTGCGACCACGACCATCAACAATGATGGTGTGTATGTCCAACCATGAACCGTTTTGTCAGATATCAGTCTCACGCAATCCTCCCCGTGAAAGTTGGTAAACTGATTTTCACCTAGAAAACCATCAAATCACAGCTGGATAGAAAAAATGAGAGAGTATTGACTGAATAACTTCATGATACGGCCTTAAATGATAATCGACATTAGGAACAGCTGGAGTCCAAATTCAAACCTCACCAATGATAATAGCAGTATGACATCGTTGCATCCGCTGCTTTTCACGGGAATGAACTTTTTAGAAAAACTGAATTAGCACAGAAATTCATGAGGAAGTATCGACGTAGCGTATGTACCCTTGAGTCCATTTACCACCGAAATATAGTCCTTGAGTTCGATGACATCACCTAGCGCAGAAGACCGCTTCGATGTTATGTGATCTGATGGTTCAAGTTGCAACCAAACATATTGGGTCAAGATAGAAGACCTAAACAAGTACTAACCACATGTCGCATGCATCAACATATCCTTAATCTCATCGACATGGTCTTGTGAAACTAAACACAGGTCAGGGAAATATTCCCAATGCAGCCTATGCTCTTCGTCAGTATATTTGTATGTGAACCTATGATTGTATTAGAAATTGGATGGTATTGTGAGCCGTGTCGAACGGACCTTTCCTAGAATACAACCAGTACTGTGCCTGAATGGCAAGCCCTGGCAATGAGAATCAGGACGAGTCGTCAGATCCAGATGCACTGAACAACTACGATCTACCCACGTATGTGTGAAAGACTCCTGATGCCTTTACAATCTCGGAGCACATCTTCGACGTCAGACTCGTGCAACCAAAAGAGGCATCTGCTATTGTGGTTGACGAAATAGTACCAAGCGATGCCAGAGTTATCAATTGCAACATCGTTCCTCTTTAGCTCGAGTACAAGGTCCACCTGCGTCAGGTCGAGGCGGCGGTTCTCTTGTTTAATGATTGACCTGAGCCCACTCCACAAGTATTGCATGTAGTCTTCGATGCCCTTGTGTATTTGTGGATCAAATATATTTACTTCTGTGAATGTCCTCTAGATATAGGAGTCATACTAAAAATGCTGGTCTTCAATAATTGATAGATTTTACGCACTTGTTTTTCGTTTAGAAAGTAGCGAGAACCTTCTGGATGAACAAGGGTGGTCCATCCTTCGGGCAAAACCATACTTGAAAGAGTTTATGTATGAAAGAAGATGGTTTAAGTACGACTTACCTCGGGTCATGCACAGGAAACGTGATTGTCATAATGGGGACAGTAGTCAGGACATTGTCAGTGGGCCTTTGCAATGTCAGCTCTTGAGTACAAGTAGGACAAAAAGCTCATCTTCACCGGGTAATACACCTCTTATATCTCAAGACTCCTGCCGCAACCATAGGAAATATTCCTGGGAGTATACGTTGATGGACCTCAATCTCTGAGCCCGGCATCTCGTCGCTACGGGGCGGAGCAACGTAACGAACATGATCGGCAGCAAGATCTGGTGGTGCAGGTTGTAGCGTCATGGAATTATGGACGTCATTCGAAAGATGATAAACATGTCCCTTGTGCGGTCGTAATCCAGTAAATGATGGTGTAAGACTATGTTTGGAAGCGCCAAGCGCGGGATGCATCGTGGAGGCCGTGGGCCTTGCAACCAAAGAACGAGCATCATTCGTGGATGTCTGCGATCTTGAATGTGACTCCCACAATCCATAGAGGCCTAAAGGACGTGATGGGCCTGGACTGCCAGACCGCTCTAATGGGTCGCCACTGGGGAACGGCCCACTCATGTTGCTCCCCGAGCTCTCCCCTGTGTGGAAACTCGATATAGAACCCCTGTCTATCTCTGCAGTACCCCCATTCCGTATTGTTGTATTAATCTGTGACACAGGTATCGCTGTATTTTTTCGCGGGTGTTGTGAATGGTTTCTTGAACGAGGATCATCCGAAGAAGGCAGAGGCAGAGAACTCGAGCAAATGGGTGCATCCTGTCTTGCGATGTTCTCTTGGGAACGCGGTAGAGCCTCGTTGGAAAAACGGATCCCAGCAAACAATCTCCGACGACATGCACTGAGCTTTAAACGATCAGAAACAAATCGGCAGAGTAAAGACAAAAAAAGCGAAAATGAACTCGCAGAGCGTCGTGCAAGCTGTGAAAGCCACTTCTTCACTGTGTTGAGAAAGTGTACAAGGAATTGTGCTGTCATCTCTAGGACCTATAAAGCCTTGTCGCAGTTTGAGTTAGGGAGCTCAGCACGAGGCTACAGCGCAGCGCACTAAAGAATCTTCCATCAAGTGCTTAGGCGGCCGGACCTAGTAGTACTATAACGTGACCATATGCGCGCGTCTTGTCCTCTGCAAGTTTAAATTATGTGATCTGAATGAATTATACTTTGAACGACTAAAATTGTATCATGTTTTGATTCATGTCGGCCAAGCGTATGTTTACCTGTATTTACTACCACTATCCACTACACAGCCACAGACGCGTCGCTTTCGACCCAGAGCAGCACGTACATCAAATTCCAATCTCGAGCTCGCCATGAACGAACATATCTCAATGCGCGTCAACTCTGCCCGTCTTTCCGGAATCAAGGGCAGGACAGTCCGCCTCCCTTGCAAAGTACTCCGAGTCAGCTAATTTTCATTCGCGTCTTTCACGAACGCGTCTGACCCCCTTACCTCGCTCCAGCTTTCAGATGACATTGCCATCGTTCGAAGCGAGTGATGGCGGTCAGGTAGAAATTCAAAGGAAGGTCAGAGCTCGTGCACTCCTGACTTTTCATAACTCTTATTGTCGGTGGTAGAATGTGGATATGACTGCCACCTATGTCGAAGTTATTGGAAACGTGGTGGATGCATCCACAATAAAAGCCATGGCGACACTCCCGTTGGATTCAGAAGGCGAGCTAGGTATGTTTTCAATAAATCGTATAACCTTGTTCATTCTCATTCCGCTAATATAGATATGCAACTGGTCAACGACGTGATTGAGCTTACGTTTGAATCGAGGTTCGATAAGCTTTTCCCTCGGTACAAAGACACATAGCCTAGTGTGCCTACACATTGATTATCTACCAGCACATACAAACTTCTCGTTGTATTTTACCGCACTGCATCACATAAATCAGGAAAATTATACTCCATCCATCGCCCCTATGCATTAAGATGGACCGGCTTTGGCCATCTTCTTGTCATGTCCCCTTTTCCGATTGTGGTTCCCCCTGCTAGCTTTGTGCTTGTCTTTCGATGCTCGCTCTCTCGCATCACCACCATCTCCAGACCCTCGGCCGCGCCCCCTTCCTCTCCCTGCTCCGCGCGCACCCCTGCCTCTTCCGTGATCTCCACCACGGGACGATGACCCAGAACCACCTGCGTTTCCGGTCGTTGACAAATCTACTAGCCTATTCCCTGAAAACTCGTGTTTCTCTAAGATCTCGTCTTTGTTTGGCTGGATGCAGGGTGATGAGAGTATCAGTACCGACCAGTCAACGCAGATAATGATAACATACACTACGTTCCAGCATAATCCTCCATCCCTCAATTTGCTCATCGGACCAGCCTTATATGTTAACTCAGCAATGCAGCCACTAATGAGAACAAGTGAAGACTCGCCGGTCTGTGTTTTGAGTTCACTGCGTGCTTTCGACCTCCGTGTATTAGCATCTCTAGCAAACAGCTCCGGATCACGGATATACGCAAGCTCCAAAACAGTCTCTGGAGTGACTTTCGACGGCGGTACCCCATCCTCGTCGCCATCGTTTTCGCCCTCGCTGCTAGCCTCTCCATCACCAATAACCTTCACCTCGTTTCCAAAGTCGAGATCATGATCGACTTCGGCAGCCTTGCCGCTGTCTTCATCTTCCTCTTCGTCATACATGGCCTCTGCACGTCGAAGAATGTCAGCTTTCATTTGCTCGGTGGCTGCTCTGTCCCTGAGCATTGATGCCTCATCTTGACTACAGAGCAGAATAGTGAGTGACAGGATATACAAAGGAATATCGCTCCATACTTTTTCTTCCCCACGTGTATCTTGGTAATATCTAATACCTCGTCGTCAAACACGTTCTTTCTCTCAATAGGCTCATTGGGTACAGTATGGGCACTTTTGTTCGCACCGACATCCTCTGCAGCAGAGGGCACTGCACCCGCAGTGCCCTCCAATAGTGCTTCAATAACCTTCTCTGCATTCTTGAACACAGACTGCGTGAGGAGCCCCCGGATATACTCGGGCGATTGGTTTGGGAAAATATCCATGACCTGCAAGATCTCCACGTCGAGATCATGCGGCTCAGGTTCAGGGCGGCCTGCTTTAGTTTTGCCCTTGCTTGAAGACTTGGCCTTCCCAGAAGCAGAGGTGCCAGGCGGGATGCCAGATGATTTGATGATCAGCTTGAGTGCTCCAGGATCTTTTGTCCCAGCGGCGGAAGACTCAATATCGAAGGAACGAAGGGTGGACTCGAGCAGGTCAACTCGGGCATCTTCACGTGCAGCACGGCGTAGAGCAGATGCAAGAGTGCTAGACAAGTCATACGAGTGCTGATAGTCGGCTATCAACGATCGGTTGAGGAATGGAGCAGCAGTGCTAGTAGCAGTGCCACCCGTTTGTACTGCTAGTGGGGGTGGGAGGTTCAATAGTGCAAATATAATGCTAAACGTCCGCTCTGACTCTGCTGCCAACGCTGTGCCGGATGCGACTGAGAGGTCTTGGAGCATGGTTGTGATGATAACTTGAAAACTGTCTATGAGGTCGACTTTGGTTTCGAGCCAAATGCGCTCCCAGTCATCCAGCTCACGTATGCCGACGTCTGTGCGCATTCCACCGTACGAACGTGCTAGTGCAGCGAGTCCTTCTTCGTAAGCTTGTGCAAGTCCTATCATGAAGTCGTGGTCCCTCGCGAATGGACGCACGAGTTCGGGTGGACAACCAGAGAGCAGACTGAGAAAGCAGCGTGAGGTTTTGCGAAGGCCGTATAAACCGGCAGAGCGGGATGGTTCGAGAAGAGTGGTGAGCACAGGAACCATATCTGAGGTAAATACAGTAGCAAGGTTTGGTGTGCTAGCGAGGGCTGTAGCGAAAAGGGCACGGACACGGGTTGGGTAAGGAAAGTATGCGATGGCGATGTCAAGGAGTGCCTTCACATCGAAGCAAGAGGGTACGATAGCTAGCTTTTCCGCGAGGAACAGGACGCGTGCGTGTACATGATTGTCCGTATACGGTGGAGCATCCCAGATGAGAGATTGCAAGGTTTGATGGGCAACGTTATTAACGTAGCTGAACAGAAAACTACGGGTGGCAAGGGTATCTCGTCTTGCGGGAGGTAGTGCAAGGATTTCAGAGAGGGCGTTTGATAAGTTGCTATGGAAAGTTGCGAGCTGGGAGGCTGATAAGGACTTTCTGGCACTTGCAGGAGGATATGTTGGGAGGGGTGCAACGGTCGGCATTTTTGAACCTAGGCCGTGATGAGTCTATAGATCTAATGCTAATGTCTGTCAGCTGGTCTATTGCGATTAGAAGCACAAACATCAACGTATGATGGACGTTGGATAGAGGCGCGCGATGTGGTTTGCTTAATGATGTGGCAGTACTCCGCAACCGGTCATTTACGCTCAGCGCTCGGATCTCTGAGAGTCAGAATCAAGTTGGAAAAACGGTTCTAAAGGCTAAAGCAATGATGTCCACCTTCTACTTAGTAGTAGTACTAGTAATACATAGAAAATGATCTCAATGATCTTGACACTGAGCCTCGCTGGCTCTCTCTCCAGCGGCTCTTGCGACTTTTCACTGGGTATCACCATGCATAACATCAAGTGCACGATGCATTGAATAATGTCAATGATAGTTATTAGTGGGTGGTGAGATATATTTGCTCCATCTTGACCCACTCTGTATCACGGTTTTTCGGTTGATTTCTCTGGTGCTATACCGCAGAATGGCCCTTGTTGAGCCGTATGAGTAATTGGAGGGCTGTTGTAGGAGTCACAGGAGTACTTAATGTCATAGTACGAGCACAGCACGGAACAGAAACAAGGACCGGTAGCATACCTGTACCATTATTTACATTGGAATTCAGTCCATTTAATATCTTCAAGTCTCTATTCAAAGTCTATTACTTATTGCCGCTGTTACGGCATCGGACTCAGCCTCTCCGGGAGTGTGCTGCACAAAATCACGTCGGAAATGCTTATGTAAGTTACCAGCATCACCTTAAGTTAGGCTCGGGATCACTCTCAAGCGACTGGAACTTTCCTGGTGTTCAAGTGATGGCGGCCTGCGCAATAGTACTGGTTTGCAAATCAAATTCGACTGATTATATATTCAGCACGGAAGTACCGTTATACACCACCAACATCTCCCACTCGCTCACCCCCATCTCTCAAATATGACCGTAATTTCCAATGATCCCAGTTGGTGGCCAACAATCAATTCAAATATGATTTTCAGCTATTGGACAGGTTCGTCACATCAAGATGTCTAGTTCTAACATTGACTCGCAGTTTCGCAGTTGCTGCCGGCGTCGTGGTAGTATATGATTGGGGTGAGCGGAATAGTGTTCGACAACTGTTGATATTCTCACTGTAATATTTCTAGTACTAACACTGGGACAAGAGGTAGGTCGATGTTATCGTCGGAGCAGTCAACTCGCTGAGAACGGTGTCATAGATTGAACTGATATGGGTGAGTGACAAATTCCCGTATCAGAAGAAAACAGAAGAATACAACAAATTCGCGACAGAAGCAACGCTGGTCCCTCATGACTGTGCTGTATTTGGTTGTTCGTACCTTATGTTATATCATTAGTGTGGTTGGCAGGTTATACTAACTTCAGTATGTTTCAGGTACGCTATACTGGAATACCGTATTCTGTGTATGTGTCGAGACCAACAATTTATCACCGTGCTAATCGCTCATTTCTGACAATTAGTATCATTGTTCTGGGTACGTCTCATATGTGCTGTGTTCGATCCTTTTGACTCAGGCTGGCGGCACATAGGATATTCACCATTGGTTTCACTGACGGATACAGTGAGTATTACACAATCATCTCATTCCTACGCTCACAGTATTTAGTGGCGAGTGAGATTCTGACCATTGAACTTGGCTCAACATAATATCTCAATAGGTGTAAGTCGGAGCTTTTGATACCAGCACGAGGGTGTTCACTAATTGAGTGTTTTAGGCAATCTTATGAATCGCGCTCAGAATGGGACAAATGGGGTCATATATATCATGTTGGGTGGTAAGTTTCCCAGCTGCAATACCTCTGTGATATTGACTCGACTAAAATACAATGCAAGTCATCATGATTGCTCGCTTATATGCCATGTATCTGGGATCCAGAATGATGCTCATTTTTCTTGTTGTTATCTTTTTGGCTGTTACCATTGTTTGCGCAGTAATCGGAACAATGGCGACCAGGGACAGTGTAGCGGGTAAGCTTTACTTGTTGACTTGAAGAACGCAGCTCATTGCACAAACACCAGAGGAGCTAATGCTCTCTGGCACGTACATGTGCGACGACGAACCTGAAGGGGGCGACCAACTTGCGTATTTAATGTTTTGGATGGTCTACGCTGTCTGGGAGATCCTCGCACTGTGTCTTTCAGTCTGGATAGCCGTAAAACACTTCCGTGACCTGGGACGACTCCGCCGATCGATAGGACCGACAACCGGGGACTGTTTCAGAGTGCTGACAAGATCTCACGTGCTTTATTTTGCAAGGTGAGCTTGTAATGTGAATGCGGTCATCTTTTTCTCAAGTTTCGCACGTGCTAGCTTTGTTTGGGTCTCTTGCCTCGAGTTTGCTATTAGCTCTGCAGAGCTCATGGTGCGCCGACCTGTCGCTGACGTCTGCCTGTCACCACTGCTAATCATTTCTGTAGAATACACAATCTATGGGAATTCAGATACTTGTTGATGCTTCTCAAATTTCACAGTCCATGCAGATGTTTGTGCTGGGACCACGCCTCATCCTTAGCGTTCGAGAATACCACGCTACACTCGTGGCCAACTCCGATGCAGAAATTAGCATGAATTCGATTGTCTTCCAGGAGCGTGTACTTATACCAACTAGTAGTACTGTGTAGCGAAATCCTTAGCCAGTGGTCTGCAGGGAGAAGAAACCGGGTCGAGGATCCGTCGAGATATTTATTTAACATATAGTGTTTCAAAGTATATTTGAAAGGTCTAGGCAGACCTGTTTCTTTATTATTACTGTAGCTACACTTGCACCATGTGACCAGTCGAAATGATCCAACTGCCAGCAGTCCTTGACGCCCGATAGTAAAATACAATGAGAATCAGTATAAATTGCCGAGACAAGAAATTCTACGCGTTTGCGCAGTTCCGCTATCTGAGCACACAGATAATGAAGTTAGTGCGAAGCGTGAAGCCCAGATGGCTGCTAACTCATTGGTGCTCAGATGCGTTGTCCTCTATCTGGGCCACGGAGAATGAAAAGGAATGAATCGCGCGGACTCCTGGATCAACGTATGCCTCTATCACGAATGAGCATGGCAAGGAGATGAGGTCTGCTGAGTGGGGACTGCAGAATTGGAGAATTGGAGTTTTGCTAGTCAGAAGACCTCAAGCATACCTATCAAACTACTAATGAGGCATCAACCAAGAGATTCTGTTGGAGTCCCCTGCTAAAAGGTGGAAGAGCAACAGGTCGCACAGGAAAATGCAAGGCAAGAGAGACTTTGAGCCACGTGCCACAGTTTTCGAGTGTTTCAAACATACAAGATGACATTGAAGGTAGTAAAGAGTATCATAGTAATTTAGATCGTCTCGGACGGCATGGAGCTCGCCACCAGGAGGGCAGTGTTCTTCGAGGACGCGAGCCAAACGACAAGGCACCTTTTAAACAAAACCACTGAGGGAGGATCAGACATCAGTTAAGAAGAAAAATAAGACGCGACCCTAGACGTACATTTTGTGGTATAGACGGAACGTCTCCAAATCGATTGAAAACAGTGGCTATAAAGAATTGAGAGTTTCATGTAAGTCGACCCGATTTTGTGTCGGAAATCGCTGATAACATTCTAGATGCAACGAAGTCAGCCACGCAACGTCCTGAAATGACAGTAACAGCTTTTATACCGCATCAGGTACTTTATTCAGCCCACATTCTTCCCAAAAGACTCCCTTTCCTACCAGGCTGGGACTTTCCTAGTAGCGCTCCGATCCCCTTGTGTATTGCCGTATTCACTGGCCTCATAGTAGACGCTGAGTCATAGACATGAGGACAGGGCTGTGGCAGTGGTGGAGGATTCAGCTTCGGGGCCTCTAAATCCCGCTCATATCTTGAAGGTTGACGAGGTGACCTGCTCAGCTCGTCAAAACGCGGAGCGTCGAAGGTGCGCCGGGCTGCCTTCAACTTGTGCAGGACCTGTTCGTAAAAGTGTATCTCTCCATCTAGATACTCCCTTGTTATGGTGCTAAAGTTTTCCACTTTCTGGTCATGATATGTGTCCATCTCAGCCATCGTAGTGTTCAAGACAGTTTCGCAGCGTGCGGCCATCTCATCGTTTGACTGGACATATGTATCAAGCCATTGTCTTCCACAAAAATCGTAAACGTCCCGACCTTTCCAGATTTGAGAGCATCTTTATATCGTGAAACAGTAGATTGGTGGGTTTCAACAATTCCCTGAAACGATCACACTCAGGGCAAAGACAGTGATCGAACAATCCAAGATACCTCATACAATTGGTATGGATGAGCAACGCTCTTGAAGGTGTCGTGAGTTGCAAGCTGGGTACGCCGGGCCTTCGTCTGTGGTTAGTACAAGTCTTCATAAGGAACATGACACAGACATGATCGTCATACAGGTCTGCAACAATCTGCAGACCATCTGATGTTTTCTGCATCGCTTTTGTGAGCTTTAGACAATCTTCGAGTCATGTCTCAGTTAGTCATGAACTCCAGAAATTCACGTGAGCACCTTGGCAGCCTTCACGCCAACACCAAGCTCCCTCTTCGTTCAAGAGGCCGTTTCTCTGTTGAGGGGTGTCCCCCGGATCTTCGTTAATCCCCGGGGGAGTAGAAGACAAAGGTGTCGACGTGATCAGCGACAATAATGAGTACGACAACAATCGTTCGGCTTTCGACATCTCTGGAAAGCACGTTGTGATGATAATTTGGCACAACTGACGCCCGTACTCACCTAGTCTCACTTCACGAATGCGACCAAAAACGTTTCTCAAGCTCTGCGTGCTCTTGCCCACTGCAAGGGTGTGACGACTGAAGCGATCGATTACTTCTGTGGCATCGTCCAAGTCTACGTTGAATGCGGGATGAAAAACATGTGCGAAGAATGAAGGCCCAGCCGCAGGCATTGAAAGTAATTGGGGCATAATCCGTTTCCAATCCTTGGACATGGGTTAAAAAGCAAAAGTGAACCCATCATTTTCGCTCACCGCATCATTTTCGCAACCAAGAAAAGATGTGACAACTTCGGCATATCGTGCAACAGGGTGCTTCACAATACACCCAATATACCTCTCGAGTTCGCCTCTACGAGCTTCGACAAAATCAGCACTGAACCGTCCAGCATACTGTTTCTCAGGAAGTGGTGGGAGTGCAATACCAGGAAGACGTCTAGTTAGCGAAGTGTGTAACACGATGAAGTGAGAAAACCGTCGTTGAACTGTGATGCGGGCAGGAGAGATCGGTGGGATGTATGGATCATATGATTCATCTGTAGCCGAAGAAAACAGTGAAGTGACACTATACATGGTATATGCTCCTGAAAGGCCCGACGTGCGCTTCGAAGGTGAGTGAACCAAGACTCGAAACTTTGGAACTTTAGATTGCCACGCAGGGCCAGCGTCAACATAGTGCCTGTCTGCTTCCCCCAGCCCAAGTCTACTGAGCCTATTATCATCGTTGATGGAGTCTTCCGTAGAGATCCGCTGGTGTGAAGAGGATGAACTTGGAGTGACTGGATCGACGTAGCCTTCGAGAACCCACTCTTCTGCACCGCTTGTCACGAACCCGGAGAACCGGTTCAAAGTCTTGCCTCTAAGAAGGCTTTGCCTGAAACTTGGGAGAGGGTTCGTCCATTCACCGGTATCCTGAGGGACGATAGAAAGTGGCTTTGACTGATGCTGGAAATATGCTTGTGGAGTGATCGTGCTGATAGGTGGCTCGTTTCTCCCATGGACGGCTAACGGTGCAGAAAGAAAACTAGTCGTGCACTTCACGGACAGCATAAGCCAGATAAACGTACGAACATCGAGCGATCAGTATGATCAGTACTCACCGTGTAATATGTCTGAGGTAACAGTCCTATTTCACCAGAGCTCACTCTCACCAAACTCCAGCCATCTCCGGCCTCCTCCTTTAAAATGTTCAGTTCATCTCCAGCCTCGACGGTCAGTTCCCTGGATTCAGCCTGTCCTTCAAACTTGTAGAGCGCACGAGCTGCTTTGACGGGCTCTTCGACAGGCTGCAGTTCATGATGTTCATCTGCTGGCTCAGGCTGGTCGTCTGATAATGAGTGACATTCCAAATGCTCCGTCCATGCACTGGAAGTGATCATTCCGGCGTCGAAGGGAGTGTCAGAACGTGGACGTGTATCGTTGCCCGAAACTATAGATGAGTCTAAGGTTAGTTTGATGACTCGAGGTAGCGTCGCCGGAACAAATAAGGGAAGAACAATTGTACAGTCAAAATAGCCACGCCTCTTCAATATTCAATATTCAATAATGAGCAGTGTCTGCGCTAGCTTCGAGAACTTACATAAAAGTATGGACCCATATTGTGTATTCCAGTCAGAATATAATTGGATAAGCTCAACGTTCATTTTCCCCAGTTACTACCACACTCACTGGACACACCATACCACAAATTTTCTTCGTATTCACAAGGTACCGTACGTGTATCTTTGTCGTGCGTTCTCAATTATCTAATAATAATCCAGATGTCTGAAGACGACGTGACACTCCCACAATATTTCTACCGAGTGTTTGATGAACAGTCTTGTTCCCAGTTAAATCATTCTGGCGCCTTTGTGGCCAGCATACCTTATGCTGTCTACGACCGCGACCATCGGAATGCCCGAGGTCAATTGGAACGGCATATGGATTGGAGTAATTGACGTCGAACTCCCTTTATATCTGTGACGTGTTCACGAGCAAAGGCTCTTGAATTTGCTTTGACTCTGTTGAACATGGGAAGTCAGGCTGTTTCAATTGCGAAGATCGACAGCTCGCGGCTCGAAAGAGAAGGCACGAATGTGTACTGGATGTGCGACCTTGTTGAATATACCGGCGCATATATCAAACGTGAAGCAATGAACAAACATGAATTTCTATGTGTTGGCCTCATTCCAGCCAACGCAGTCATTCAATGCTTTACACTTGGCGATGACAACGACGATGACAACGACGATGACGACGACGATGATGACGACGACGACGACGACGGCAATTAAGGAATCCATCAGTCAGTGTAGGTGAGTCTAATGTTGTAGTTCTATCTTTGGTTGTATTCAGAATCATGTTTCAGATCTTAACAGCTTCTGCAACATGTACATAACGGTGGCATGATTCCATTATGTAGGAGGTGCACTGGGATGGTTTATTCCTTGCGCATAGTTTCTCAGTACTCGTTAATACCTACTTACCATCTTGACGATAATTCGAGTCGCAGCCCATTGGTATACCAAGATGCTTACCTCTGATTTTGATAGTAAGGGCCAGTGATGGATCAATCAACAATATTTCGATGAAGCTTAAGCTCAAGTCCGGCTTATCACAATGATAGTAGGCACCATATTCAAAGCGCTTCTGCGGAGCCATGCAACAGTCACCGGCACCCTTGTTATCTAACGTTAACGCCCACCCTCTTCATCTCAGAAATCCATCCAAACTCCTACTCAACTATCCTTATAAATTTACTCTATGAATGATGATACTCTGTATGAGAAAAAGCGCTCGCAATGGCTGAAGATAAGTCTCATACCCGCATGAGAGCGCCAGAACAGTCATTAAAGTGAGGTATGAAATGTTGATCTAGCAGCACTCTCCCACATTTGCAGAATGGATGACCACGATGTTGTTTGCGAGTTGTTGCGCAAAGTGATCAATCGTTTCCCTTGAAACGCTCGACAAACCCCCTGAGAAACCCTGGGAAAGAAAAGTCTGCCAATTGTTACATGCAATCTTTGCATGTATCAACTGGCACACTTTTATGTTCGGTATTGCAAGCCCAACTGCAAAAGATCTATATAAAGCCCACGCGGATCTACTAGAGCAAGCAAATTCTCTACATAGCGTTGTAGAGACTCGTGCATCTCATAGTGTGATATGGCGCTTTACACTAGGGAGTATACAGCACCAACTCGCAGCATCACTCTGTGTACCATCCACAGTGATTCCTATATGACGCGCAGCTTTCCCACGCAACGCGCGCCATGCGCGCACCATTCCCGCGCTTCACGATGTATACGCGCGCGCGCGTTCCCGCGCTTGCGCGCCCTATAGCGCCAGCCATCCAGATGCATCCATCCACTGTCCACCAAGCTCCCTAGTGCGTATATTTCCATTTCCTTTATTAGCATAGTTCCACCTTTATTTTTATCATAGTTTCTCACTCATATATATTTTTACATACCTACTCGGTAGCGCTTCGGCTCCGCATGAGCGCGCTTAGGCGCGCTATATAAGCGCCAGCAGTACATACTATTATTTACCTTACTTTTCACCCAACTTTACCTAGTACTTACTACTTAGAAAGTCGCAGTAGAAATCTATTCATTAGCACAACACATCTCACATCCTTTATCTTGCTTATATCTTCACATAAGTTTAGTCTCTCTTATTTCCGCTTACACGCGCGCGCTTTCCCGTGCTTCGCGCTAATACGCGCGCGCTTTCCCGTGCTTCGCGCTAATACGCGCGCGCGTTCCCGCGCCTTCATACCTTGCGCGCACCTGCGCTTTCTCGCGCTTCGCTGAAGCGCGTACCTCTAGATCTCCGCTGCACCTGCTTCCCCTTTAGGGTCGAATGCACTTGCCATCTCAAGTATCGCAGACTAGGCAACGCACGACCTACAACTTTTTAGATACAGTCAGGAGCATTTCTTTGTTCCTCTCAGTATTGTTGTTTCTACAGCGTGAGTAACGTTACAAGTACGAGTCAATAGAGGATATCTCACCTCAGTCGAGGAACGCAAAGGTCTGAGGTATGCAGGCCAATAATTTGGGGCTATAAGTAAAGGTTGGCTTTACTGTCCTAGTAAGCGTATGAACATCGAGCGATTAGTATGATCAGTACTCACCGTGTAATATGTCTGAGGTAACAGTCCTATTTCACCAGAGCTCACTCTCACCATACTCCAGCCATCTCCAACTTCTTCCTTCAAAATGTTCAGTTCATCTCCAGCCTCGACGGTCAGTTCCCTGAATTCAGCCTTTCCTTCAAACTGGTAGAGCGCACGAGCTGCTTTGACGGGCTCTTCGACAGGCTGCAGTTCATGATGTTCATCTGCCGGCTCAGGCTCATCGTCTGATAATGAGTAGCACTCCAAATGCTCTGTCCATGCACTGGAAGAGATTATTCCAACGTCAAAGGGAGTGTCAGAACGTGGACACGTATCGTTGCCCGAAACTATAGAGGTTGATTTATGGCTCGAGGTAGCGTTGCCATAATCTGTCAGAAAGAGAACAATTGTACAGTCAAAATAGCCACGCCTCTTCACACACCGGGGGTTTCAATGTTTTACCTCTTGCAAGATTTCGATTAAAAGCAGATCTGGACCTAGCTAGACCATTCCAGACCTAGCCCAGAGCGTTCAGAGCAAGTACTTTGGATTATCTTTCGAATGAAATTTCACTGGCGGCAAAAGTTTGCCCCAACAATTATGTAATGAGTTGTAAACGTATAAATTCAGCGTCACGGGTCCAAGTCAGGTTCGGTTCCCACACTCACTGAACATCCTACCAACAAATTTTCTTCGTGCTGTGTGTTTGTCGTGCGTTCTCAATTATTCAGATGTCTAAAGACGAGACAGAGCTCCCACGATATCTCTACCGAGTGTTTGATGAGCAGTCTTGTTCCAAGTTGAATCATTCTGGCGCCTTTGTGGCCAGCATACCTTATGCTGTCTACGACCGCGACCATCGGAATGCCTGGCATCAATTAGAATTGCATATGGATTGGAGTAATCGACGTCGAACTCCCTTTATATCTGTGACATCCTCACGCGGGAGGGCTCTCGATTTTGCTTTGACTCTGTTGAACATGAGAGGTTCGGCTGTTTCGATTGCTAAGATCGACAGCTCGCAGCTGGAAAGAGAAGATGTGTACTGGATGTGCGATCTTGTTGAATATACCGGCGCACATATCAAACGTGAAGCAATGAACAAATATGAATATCTATGTGTTGGGTTCATTCCAGCCAGTGCGGTCATTCAGTGCTTTACACTTGATGAAGATTAAGGAATGCATTAGTCGGTGTGGGTGATTCCGATGCTATAGTTATATCTTTGATTGTATTCAGAATCATGTTTCAGATCATAAAAGCTTGACAGTTTCTGCCACATGTACCTATGATTCCATTATGTAGGAGGTGCACTGGGATGGTTTATTCCTTGTGCATAGTTTCTCAGTACTCATTTTTACCTACTTACCATCTTGACGATAATTCGAGTCGCAGCCCACCGGTATACCAGTATGCTGTTATGCTTACATAAGTCCGCCTTATCACATTGATATTCAAAGCGTTTCCGCACAGCCATGCAACAGTACTAGTCACCCTTGTTATCCAAACTCCTACTCAACTATGCCAATAAATTTACTCTGAATGATAATACTTTGTATGAAAAAAGCGCTCGGAATGGCTGAAGACAAGTCTCATACCCGCATGAGAGCGCTAGAACAGTCATAAAAGTGAGGTATGAAATGTTGATCTAGTGGCACTCTCTCCCACCTTTGCAGAATGGATGACCACGATTTTGTTTGCGAGTTATTGCGCAAGGTGATCAATCGTTTCCCTTGAAACGCTCGACAAATCCCCTGAGAAACCCCGGGAAGAAAAAACTGCCAACCATAGGATTCAATCCATTAACTGACACACTTTTCTGCTCGGTATTGCAACCCAACGTCAACGTCGTCAAGGATCCATACAAAGTCCACGCGGATACAGAGCAAGCAGATTCTCTACGTAGCGTGAGTAATGTTATAAGTACGAGTCAATGGAGGATACCTCACCTCAGTCGAGCGCCGGGAACGCAAATGTTTGAGGTATGCAGCAGGCATTGTCATGTACAGGTACAGAAACATACAGGCGCGAGTATCGAGTCTATGGTAGAGTTCAGTTGCTCTTTGGAAGTGGAGTATCTGCATGCAGCGTCTTCATAGATGGGAGGATAGCTTGAAATTCACCTCGAGTCACTGCTAGTCTAGTCGAGTCGGACCATAAAATATTAAAAAACCAAAACCAATGGCAGAGACATATCAGTGCCATTTTGCGGATGGGATACTAAACCGTAATGTTCGCAGTAGCTGCTCAGGTGAATAGTGTCGAGATCACGAAAAGTAATACATTTATTTACCCGTCAAGTTCCAAGTCGTCTTGCAGGCCCACCCCCTGCGTCTACACATCGACTACCCATAAATCTATTTGCAATCAGGGAATCCAAGACCACCGAAGCCTGTCCAAGAAGGGTGACAAGCACGGAAATGATGTGTTTTATCAATATCATGAAGCTCGCCAATCTCTTCAGGAGTCAAATCTATGATCTTCGCATTGTCTGAGGATAATAATGAATAACAGCCAGAATTAATGATGAAATAACACCTCACTCAAGATACGCTCGTTGGTCACGGATTTGGGAAGCACTGTTATATCATTGAGAACCGATTTCTTTATAAAAAATGTTCATGAAGACTACGTACCGGTGTGCATGGGCTTGTTTGCATGAAGGGATATCAACACATTGGCAGGTTGCACATCATACTTCGCTGCAATTTTTGTAACAGTCTCGTTTTTCAACAAGGGGGAATTGTCGGATCCCAATGGAGAATAAGCTGTCATCACGATTCCCCTGTTCTGGCAGTACTCGACGACGTCATCTTGAGGACACGAACTACGAGCAATGATTCACAATCAAAGTACTCAAAAACAAATTCATTCGACTTACGGGTGGAGCTCAATCTGGTTCACGGCCGGTACGACGCGTGCAACTTTCAATAAACGTTCAAAGTACTCCACGGAGAAATTGGAAACACCTGATGCATTCTTAGTACAAAGATAGCACACGAGGTTGGGCCACTGACCAATAGCCTTCAGTTTCTCTGGGTGAGCAAGGTATAGGTCTTCCATAGCTTTCCAGGTGTCCAACCAGTCGTGTCCCTTGTCCGCCTGGCCATCTTTTGTCATGGGAGCTGGCCAGTGCATGAGCCCTGCTCTAGGAATTAGTCCTCGTTAAGATCGGCCAACGGGCTGCCGCTTACAGAGGTCTAGATAAGTAGTATCAAGTTTCTTGAGTGATGCTTCAAGAGCTTTTGCCGGATGCCTCTGGTCGGTATTATCAAGCTTCGTAGTCAGAAACATTTGGTCTCTTGGCAGACCAGACGCCTTGATCCCCTGTCCGACTTCTGTTTCGTTCTGGTATCCAGCGGCAGTGTCGATATGCTTGTATCCATTCTTCAGGGCGAATTCAACAGCATGTTCGACTTGGCCGGGCTTGGACTTCCATGTGCCTATATTCAACGTTCAGTACATGAGATGGTTCGCCTTTCGGCTGTGCTCACCAAGACCGACCGTGGGCATAACTGCTCCAGTGTTGAGTTTGACCGATGTTGTTGCAGGCATGCTGATAGCAATATACAAGAATCAATTGACAGGCTGATGGCCTGGCACGCCCTAACTTTATAGCCCTCTTCAGAGCTATATTTACCAAGCAGTGACAATCGCGAGAGTCACGACCTTCACCTCATGCCTTCAACGGACCACATGTGCCGAAAAGCGCATGCTTTGCGAACAACAATACGGATGTGACGAGTGTCTCCAAGGGGCTTATCACCTCTTATCACCTTGACGGTTCTACTTGCAGCCGGGGAAACCGAGAAAGCCCCGGCCAGACAACACAGGGTCGCATCCCCAGAAGTGCTGACTGTATTAGCAAGATAACGAGGCTTCCAAGAATATGATCATCCATGACTGGTTTGGCACAAGTATGAAAAGGCGAGATCAGAAATGAGAACATTAATGGTTGAATCCAAGAACGGCAGACTAACGCATGGGGGTACACCCTACACCACTGCATTTCGGGATTTGGAGAAAGCCACGGAGCACGGGGCTCCAAGACTAGTTAGTACTGTCCTCCAGAGAGTTCTCACTCTCAATGGACATAAAATTGGATAAAAAAAAGAGGTTGAATCAGCACAACTCTTTTGATGACGTCGCGCGCGGAGATACATCGGAATGATATTTGAGAATGACAAGCTGATGTGAATTACTTTTCAGATCAACCTGTTCAGCTAGTCAGAGTCCTGCATCAAATTGCTTAACTCAAATACATATCGAATAGTGATGAGCAGTCCGTCCTATGAAATGTACGATTTTCTCCAGTGTCTCCTAGCTGGGATGTGACAATTGGTGGGAATTGGCTACTACCTTGGGAATAAGCAATGGAGCGCCAAGTTGCCTTCGGCCCTCCTACCCTGCTCGGAGGCCGCACTGGCATGAACGTCCCGATCAGCCCGGTGTACCAATGACGCCATTTTTATTGCTGACAAGAAAACCCGGCCGTGACAACAAGGACCATGAGTATTCCTAGGACCCAAATCGGGGCTATTCTAGAGTCGAACCAAGCCCACATCGTGAACACAGCGATTAATCCTCCTCTGTTGTAGTCCGCGGGTGGTTCTGCTCTAGGGTTCTTGATCTGGGAGATAGCAATGTCCCTCATTCTAGTGGTATACCATGCAGTCCCGACGCCGCTGCCAATGAGCTTTACACTTGGTACCCATTTAGAAGCTCTGAACACTGCTTCTGGTTCCCGTGTAAAGGGTTTATCAACCCAAGTGCTAGAAGATTTGTTATTTCGTAGCTGTAATCGTAGGATCTTGGGTAGGTCGGGACAGAGGACAGCGCATCTTCCGATGCCTAGCAAGTCGGCGTGCCTCGACATCAAGGCAGCTTGTAGGTGAGAGTGGGAACGGAGGCCGCCAGTCAGTAGAATGAGTGGGACGGAAGAGAAAGGGACAGGCGATCGGTGAAGGTCCTTCATGACTGTCCGTGAAAATTGCGCAAAGAAGGCTTGGCGGTCTAGTTTTCGAGATCCACTGCATGCCATAAAGTCTGAGTAAGAGATCGGGTTAGACTGGGGAACATTCTCCTTATATGCTCCCATACCGGGCTTTTCGTAATCTCCTCCACTAATCTCGATAAAGTCGATGACACCCCAACTTGCAATGGTGCGAATGTGATCCAGGACACGTCGTTCGCTTTCCTGAGATATTTCCTCGGTGTTTCCAGAAGTTACGTAGTCAGCCGAGTTGATTTTGATTCCGATTATGAAAGTAGTCGGCACCACCTTGCGGATAGCTTCAATTATCTCGGACAGCATGCGAGTGGCGTTTTCCGGTGCTACTGAATATTTGTCGTTCCGAATATTACTCTGACGCGTAATTGTAGTTAACTTTTGGAAGTACACAGTGGCCACACCTTAGGGCTCATGAACTGTGCCAGTAAATCTGCAGATAGTTCAATTCGACCCAGATACATCAACACAAATATCATGTCGACTCACATCCATGGGCAGCATGAAGCTGGATTCCATCGAAGCCTGATTTGTACGCCAAGAGAGCGCCTCGCACGAAGCTGGATTGGACATGGAGAATGTCCAGTGCGGTCATCTCCGTAGGAACTTGGAACAACGCATGAAATATCAGGTTAGATATTGCGCCCCCTCCACGATTTTCATCATGTCTTGCCCCAACACGGACAGAACTGGGGGCCAGTGGTGGAACAAAAGGCAGTCGACCACCAATAAAATTCGCTGATTGGCGTCCAGCGTGTGATAGCTGCATGATAGCCAGGGAGCGCGTGCCATCGACAGCTCCATGGATAACTTCCGCCAACTTCTTGAAGGGTTTGACGTCCTCTGCATCAAGTGTGGGTGGTACAACGATGTCACGGCCCAAGGTCAGATGCTGAGGTGAGACCTGGACATTTCCAGTGAGAATCATTCCCCAGCCATGCTTTGCCCATTCTGAGTATAAGCCATAGTGGAATTCGTTTGGTGGGCCACCAGAGAAATTTGCCATATGCTCGTACATAGCTGTCTATGACAATAGAATCTGTTTTAAACAACTGTCTTCGAATTATGTAGACGGAAACACTACCTTCACCAGCCTGTTCTCAATAGTACGACCGCAAGGCAAATCGACTGGATTGAAAACGTTACAGTCCATGGTTGACTCGCTATCGAACTCGTGAGCTTCAGATGTGCTCTAGTACATGAGGGCGCGTTTTCCTCAAGGTTGGGTTGTCGCGGAGAGGTCACAAATCACTGTCAAAGTTTAAACGTTCTGGTGAATGCTGGTCACGAATTATGCTCCCGGGCTCAGGGCTCAGGTACGACTCGATCACGTGTTGAACTTGAAGCTTGAAGCTCGGAGTATGTAGACCATACCAAAGTAACAAGTTGTATTGGGGACAGGCCCTACTGAAGTCTTCTTTACACGGTCTGAAGTAGTTCGACTAATGCAAGGAAGGTGTGACCAACTCGAACGCTGGCAGTACATCATACACGAGAATGCATTTATTATCTTGGATCAGTACAACAAATTATAGTGTTTCCCTTCATCGACCACTTAAATCCAGGGTAGCTTAAATAAATTAGGTCTACGACCGCGACTGCAAAACTTCGTAGTAAGCGGTATACTCGTCGGGTGTCATAAGTTCGGTATCTTCATCAGTGACTTCCGAAAATGGTTTCAAGACACCGTTAACTGCGAAGGCGGCACAATGATGAGGATACTAAAATCCTTGATGTAGAGAACGAAAACCCACCTAATACAGGGGTATCATCCACCCCGTTTACTTCCATCATAGAATCAGTGATATCTGGTTCTAGTTCTGGGACATCGATTTTGGGCAACTTTGTTGCCGCAGCACCCTCGTCCTCCTTTGATCGGGACCGCTTCCTGTAATCATTTAGGGAATCTAGGTACTGCACAGAGGGTTTTTGATCATCCTCTTCCAACTCTTCGCTTCCGAGGCCAGATCTGGGCGTATTCTGAGAGGAAACTGCATTAGAGGCCGCCAACGAGGCATAGTACTGATCGTAATCTGTATACCGTTAGATCGTCATAATGATAGAGAATTCATATCGCAAACGACATACAATCCATCTCTTGGTTGATTTCTGGTTTCACATCTTCCGTCACCGCCGTTAGTTGAAGTAGACGCGGTAGAGTGCCGATAGTTCCAAGCCCTTTCAGAGAGTCGTCACTGGATACTGGCAGACCCTCGCCTTCTCTCGCCACAGCACGCGCACTCTCCTGCATGCCAAGAGCTGTCAGATCTCCGGTGATAGTACTCTTCAAATGCCATGCTGGCAGAGCGTTTTGCTGTCGTTTTGCCGCTGCCTCGGCATCTCGTTCCTGCCGTCTCGTTGCTTCGTCTTTGTCCATTGACATGACTATGCCAACACCATCTTCTTGTCTCCCACCAGGCCCAGATCCTGCTATTTTCAAACCTGACACCTGGCCAGCCTTTTGCTTTTCAACATCACCAACATTATTTTTGACCCAAGTGGGAACATCGAGCCTACAACATACTGCGTCAGGAAGGATATGTGATTGATGTACTGAGATACGCACGCTGGAAGAACCATAGACTCTGTTTTTCTCAATCCTTCGACAACAAAACGCATCTGGTGGTTGAACCTCTGCATCCGGTCCTGACTCCCCCTGACGTTCTCCGCGTTCTCGTTCTCCACAACTTCTGCGCGGCAATCCTCGCACACAAATATTCCTCTCGAAAAATCCATTAGCTTATCAACTTCTAATGTTGTGTACGACTTGCTACACTGCGGACAAATATAACCTTTGTTGTCAAGTTCCTTTAAACAGAACCATTTGTTTTAGTGAGTGACAGAAAGAAAAAAGAGTCTAGACCGACATTACGGAGACCCGAGTCAATGATTCTCCGCATTTCTGCGATGCGCCATTTAACGACATCGCAAAAGTGCTTGTAGTCGATGTAATAGTACTGTCTTCCGACAGACCTCTGAGCCCCTTCCTTGAGCTCATTTTGGCGGTACCTTCAGGGTAAAATCAGATATGATTGCGGAGAAATAATCATGACTACACCTACACTTGCACCAGGCGGTCGTTCCCTAAAACAGCCATAAGTTTATTCAATTCTTTCGCCTGAAGGCCCATCCGCCCGGCCAGGTCATCATCCTTGAGACTGGTGCCAAATTAGTGGTACACATCGTGGTTGAGAGGTTAACGGGCTCTGTTTCATCCACATTCTAGATACTTACACCGGATGACGGGCTAGCTGGTCCATGATGATAGTGAACTTTGGTTCATAGAATCCTCGGGAGACATGTTGGACAAGAAGACGTAGCGACTCTTGGTCTTCTTTGGTCGCCATAGTGCTGTTTAAGCCCTCTGGAGTCTGCGACCGCGAGTGAGCTGAAGATTCTTAGAAGGCTGACTCAAGAGCTCAAACAAATGCTTAATAAGCGAGTGGAGCGAGTTATACAGCAACTTGACAGTAGCTCTTGTTGCTAATGTCACCACCATCTTGATAGTAAGTAATTCGACACACTGGCACATGTTCACGTCTTGGTCCAATTTGCGGTGAGATAGACGAAGCTGGCTGATAATTATACAGGATAAACTATTAATCTACCACATGCATGGAGCCTCCAATTAATGATCGAGAAGTGCATGTTCCTTTTCGCACTGTCTCTACGTTAGGCACGACTTCTCCTGCCTAATGGACAGATCGCACGATCATCATGGAGAGAGATGCTCAAACCATTCGACCAAACACGCATGTCACCCAACGTGAAAGTGAGTATTGCAGAACAATAAATTTTGTACATCGCTGACACGAAGTAGCTACATAGAACTTTCAAAATATACTTTGAAACGTTATATGTTAAATAAACACCTCGACGGATCATCGACCCAGTTTCTCCTCCCTGCATCCCACTCGCGAAGCATTTCCCTACACAGTACTACTAGTTAGTATAAGTACACGCTCCTGGAAGACAATCGAATTCATGCTAGTTTCTGCGTCGGAGTTGGCCACGAGTGTGGCGTAGTATTCTCGAACGCTAAGGAGGAGGCGTGGTCCCAGCACAAACATCTGCATGGACAGTAGAATGTTAGAAGCACCACTAAGTATCTGAAATCCCATAAAATGTGTATTCTACGGAAATGATTAGCAGTGGTTACAAGCAGACATCAGCGACAGGTCGGCGCACCATGAGCTCTGCAGAGTGAACAGCAAGCTTGAAGCAAGAGACGCAAACAAAGCTAGCATGTGCGAAACTTAAGAAAAAGATAACCACATTCACATTGCAAGCTCACCTTGCAAAATAAAGCACGTGAGATCTTATCAGCACTCTGAAAAAGTCCCCGGTTGTCGATCCTATCGATTGGCGGAGTCGTCGCAGGTCACGGAAGTGTTTTACGGCAATCCAGACTGAAATACACAGTGCGAGGACCTCCCAGACAGTGTAGACCATCCAATACATCAAATACAGAAGTTGGTTGCCCCCTTCGGAATAGCACATGTACGTGCCATAGAGCACTAGCTCCCCTGGTGTTTGTCCAATGAGCTGTGTTCTTCAAGTGAACAAGTAAAGCTTACCTGTTACGGTGGCCTTGATTGCTATTGATCCAGTTACTGTGTAAGCAATGATTACAGCCAAAAAGATAACAACAAGAAAAATGAGCATCATTCTAGATCCTAGATACATGGCATGTAAGCGAGCAATCATGATGACTTGCACCATGTTTTAGTCGAGTCAATATCACAGAGGTATTGCAGCTGGGTAACTTACTACCCAACATGGCATATATGACCGCACTTGTCCCATTCAGAGCGTAATTCATAATATTACCTAAAAAACTCAATTAGTGAACACCCTCCATATGTTGGTATCAAAAGCTCCGACTTACACCTATTGAGATATTATGTTGAGCCAAGTTCAATGGTCAGAATCTCGCTCACCACTAAATATGAGCGTAGGAATGAGATGATTGTGTAATACTCACTGCATCCGTCAGCGAGACCAATGGCAAATCTTCTATGTGCCGCCAGCCTGAGTCAAAGGGATCGGACACATCACATTTGAGACATACGCAGAACATTGACACTAATTGTCAGAAATGAGCGATTAGCACGGTGGTAAGTTGTTGGTCTCGACACATACACAGAATATAGTATTCCAGTATAACGTACCTAAAGCATATTGGAGTTAGTATAACCTGCCAGCCACGCTAATGATATAACATAAAAGGTACGAACAACCAAATATAGCACAGTCATGAGAGACCAGCGTTGCCTCTGTCGCGATTTTATTGTATTCTTCTGATACGGGAATTTGTCACTCACCCATATCAGTTCAATCTATGACACCATTCTCAGCGAGTTGACTGCTCCGACATAACATCGACTTACCTCTTGTCCCAGTGTTAGTACTAGAAACATTATGAGAATATCAGCAGTTATCGAACACTATTCCGCTCACCCCAATCATATACTACTATGACGCCGGCAGCAACTGCGAAACTGCGAGTCAATGTTAGAACTAGACATCTTGATGTGACGAACCTGTCCAATAGCTGAACTTAATATTTGAATTGATTGTTGGCCACCAACTGGGATCATTGAAAATTACGGTCATATTTGAGAGATGGGGGTGAGCGAGTGGGAGATGTTGGTGTATAACGGTACTTCCGTGCTGGATATATAATCAGTCGAATTTGATTTGCAAACCAGTACTATTGCGCAGGCCATCACTTGAACACCTGGCACCAGGAAAGTTCCAGTTGGTGACTAGTGAGTCGTGACCAGCTGGTCTGTGACTGTGACTTTTTTTTGTTTGCCCACCGGTGGTTGCAGACTGGAGTCACTGGACAGGTGCTTCGGTTTCTTGTTACGTGTCTCATCACCGTCCTTGGAACGACTGGCGTTTAAATCTATCTATGTATGCAGTGCAACGTCAAGGCTAAACGTAAAACATAGGCGATATCAGTACTGTGCGGTTCAGAAATCTTCACACTTTAACTTCATACTCATATGTCAGCTGGACTCCGATATGCTTTGGGTACTATCGTGAACGGCACCGCATTTGAAGTTGTATATGCTGCCGACTCAGCACGACTAGTAAACGACCTTGTTACCAATGCACATTGCACGCGAAACGCTTTACAAGCCTTTCCCATTCAAAGAAGGATCATTGTGTGCTATCACACTGCAAACCAGAAGTGGCCGCCGTTAAGCCTTTACTGCCTCGTCAGAGCAATCCTGTTAACGTTAGCAGTCATTCTGGTTGCTAGCCAGAGAACCCGCACGAAATTTGGCGCGGTGAGTGATACTTGGTATGGACAAACTAACTTTGAACATGCAGTAAGCTTTGCGGCGTGCACAGTGGTAAACGACATTGCTAGCTATTTGTGTTTTGACTCATTACAGATGGTTCTGGTCTCTGAAGTTCGCCACAACATACGTCACTTGTGTGGGGAGATCGATCTTATCATCCTTGCCCCAACGGGTTATCACGTATACTGGCTTGGTTAGATTGCAAGATCTTAATAATTTTGTGGATTCCGACTCGGATGCCCTTTTCTCTCAGATCTGCGCGAACAAGTCTGCCCGCCTCTTGTGGATGGTGACCCTATTCGTAGCGCCACCGGTCGCCGCTGAAGCGCTGATACCTGGCATCAAGGAACTCGCCATTGAATACATTATAGTGCGAGGACCTCACTACCACCTCAATTACCGGATAAGAATACTTCGCCTGACGGTGTGTTACAACAGGGCATAAACAAACTGAGAATGGCTACTTAAGGTCTCAAGGTGCAGAACAGAATAAAACATCCCCCATTCCCTACTTCAATCATCAGGCTTATCCGTCGTACAAACCTTACTAGCAGATGGTACATTCATACCGCGTGCAATAACTCGAAACTGCAGTTCGGAGAAGGCGTTGAAGCTGAAGAATCTCGGTGCCGAGGTCGCTCAAGCCGATTTATGGGACATTGGCTCGTTGAAGCAAGCCCTGTCCGGTGTTGAGACCGTCTATGGAGTTTCCTCCATTTCCTCCAAAGGCATGACTGATTACTACCTGTTTTAACAGGTCACCGACTATTATGATCCCAAGAACTTCGCTCAAGGTCACAACAGCGAAATGCTACCTGGCAAGACGTTGACGCTGATAAAGCAACGGATGTTAAGTACTTCATTTGGAGGTGAATTCCGCCATTCCCTCTTGTAACTTTGGCCTCGATGCGTGCCTTCCGCAGTTCTCTTCCGCACTGTACAAGGGTATCCAATGGGAAGTATGCAAATGTTTACCACTTCGATAGTAGGTCTTCATTTGTCCAGCGAAGCGGCATGGTTTAATTATCAAATTGTCAGACAAAGCCAACGTAGATGACTATCTCCGAGAATCTGGCATACCCCATTCTATCTTATATACCGGTAAGCAATTTTTCATTCTTAGCGTCTTTCGAGTAGTTGACGCCCATCATTCAAGGCTGGTTTTCGGAGAATCTTTGGAAGTAAGATATCCTACCATAAAGCCTACTTGCGCATAGCTGATGCAAACTTTGTGGCAGGTACAATACTCTTGCGCCTGTGATCGCCTTGAGCTAACCGTGGCCAGACACGACGCTCAAACCCCTGAGTATTTTACGTGGTTCGAGCGGGGCCTTAACCAGTGCGCATTAGCGCTTCTCAAGCACTACAAAGATCCTGAATCAGAGGTTATCTCCCGCACGTTCTATGCCTTCAGTGCAAAGTTTTTCAGCAGGGTATGTGATCAAAACCCAGGAATTTGTTGATTCAATCTTCCTGCTACCGTCAGCGCTGGGGAAGCCAGTATCATTTGTGTCCTCCGCGACCACTGGAATACAGGTTCGTATATACTTTCTTCTCTGATACAGTACATGTACTCACATGTTGCACAGGAAATGATTGGTATCGTTCAGCAGGATTAAAACCTTGATGCTGATAGATTTTGATGATACGATTTTCTGTCCGAGTTTGGACTATACCCGGGTACCGTTATCCCTGGCCCACGATTAATCAATTTAGGAGTGAAGTTCCATACTACGGAGGAATTTTCTCAGGAAATTAAAGGCAGATATGCTTGAATTTCATTTCGAACAAAGATCGTTTTTTGCACTCCTTGAGTCCTTGTTGATTCGTTCTCAAGACCAATCTATGATTTAGCCTGCACTAGCGCATAGGCTCGATTACACCCACGCAAGTCAAATGACATCCAATACTAATGTGACATTGATTGTGCACGCAAGTATCCTTACACCCGAACAGTCGAATGAACGCTCAAGTAAGCATGATTCGGTTAGAGGGGTGTAAAAATATGGCACAAGATGCCGTCGTAGCCGACTTGACATCGGGTTAGGAACTCAACGTCCAACATATGTCGGGTTGATCAGAAGCAGTTCAAAGTTAGTTCCGAATCCCACACAAACACTTCTATGCAATGCATTGGTGAGATATATGTCCGAAAAATATTTCCCCATGCGGCGGCCTGCCGATTCCTCAGCCTTGTGGTCGCATTATATATTAATGGTCTCGCCAAGCAGGTGTAATATGTCGATGTCAGGGGTGTGTCTATGTCACTCCGTAACAAATTTTCAGGCTCAAGGACTGGTGAATGATGCCCAAACATTGACGGCAACGAAGTTCCCCTCCTGTTGAAGTATAGGTTTGATTTGTCCATGCAAACATGCGTCCAAGATACCGTGAAATGGAAATGAAGGTTGTAACACTACACTATCATAGTCCTGCACGATACACAGTAGAGTCGTGAGCTACTGATATAGCAACTCACATGAGTCATGGTATACATACCCTGCATAAACAAAACAATTACATAAAATACCTTCGACAAAATATCCTCTGAAGTGATCCTACCGCATTCAGGTGACGCATTCAGGCTCATATGCACGACATCCAACAACTTCCAGAAACTTGGTGCGCTCTGCCTCCCGACGGCACACAAGACTGTTGCCAGTACCCATACACTTCCCCTCAGCACAACCGCCTGAAGTGTGCAATGTAAATCCTATACTTGCTCCAAGAGCTCGTGAGGGATCTGCGAGACATGCGTGACCATTATCTCGCCGTAGACGTGGTAGAAGCAGCGGAAGAGTCGAAGGGTTGGCAGCATAATCATAGATACGGGTGCGTTGGGCACAAGATAATGAAGGAGCGAGGACCGCAAGGATGTGGAGGCGTAACTCCATAGGAAGATCGTAAAATGGAAATGATTCGCTGGCCAAATCGCTGGTAGGGTGTTTGTTCGCGGATGAAAGAGAAGCTTTCGACCGAAGAATGAGTGTCCGGGAGTACTTTAGAAGACTCAATGCCTCCGTCTCTACCTGTCTTTTCCAATAAGCGTTTCGCCGGTGAAGCACCCGATGAAGAGCACGTTCCGCGTCCTTCCATGACACCTCCGCTTCAGAGGATAACAAATGTTCTGATTGTTGAATGTGAGAGTTGTCATTCGGAATTTCTGTGCCTGCTAATTGGTTCGCGTATACTTCCACGTTCATGAGTGACCAGTTACCCATCTCGATCGCACGAATAACTTCCCATACGCCCTTGATCCCTAGGCTGTTGCCACTACATTTGAGAGTGTGCAGGGAATACACTCCGCCGGTATGGCCCGATGAAATCCACTCTGCGAGTCCAGATGCACAGCGGGCAGTCAGTCCCATGGCGTTGACATGCAACTCCCGAAGGCGGGGTGCCCTCAGGTGACGCAAGAAGATCTCAACGACAGCATCACCAAGCTTATGGTTTCCCGTGAGCGAAAGGAACTCTAGTCGAGAGCGGTTTACTGTGGTAGCAAACCAGGCTAGGACATCAGCATCAGGTCCTATCGTGTTCTATTATGATAGCGTTCATCCACCTTGCGAAACCGGAAGATGGATGATTACTGACGTTTGCGAGCCACAATGTCTTCAGTACTACTTCATCCCCATTCACATAGTCCGCAATGTCGCGCAAACCTCGACAGCTTATATCATTATCATTGAGATGAATTTCCGATATCGAACTGCGATGTCGTGAGGCCGCCGGAGACTTGAGGAACGCAAAGAGTGCAGATACACCGTCATCCCCTAGTCGGTTGTTATTTAGCTTGAGCTTTGTGATTGACCGCGAGGAGTTGAGCTGAGAAATGATGGTGTGTGCACCTGTTCTAAACATTTAGATTTTTGTTCTGTTCGACTGGTAGAACCCCGCAGGATTCACGAACCTTGAATGCCTTCAAGAATCTCTTTAGATACTATGATAGAGCGGGAGGTGGGGATGGAAATCGCCATGAGGGTAACGGCGGGCAAGGGGGCACTTAGCAGCCGCAGGGAAGAAACAATCAACCTGACAACTTGAACTCAATATGATTTAATATTAGGGCTGCTTGATTCTTTGGCTCGGATCCACTTCAAACTTCATTTTCAAACACGAGCTATCATCGCTATGTGGCATATCAACTGACATCGCTTGTGTCTTGAGTTGTCGAAATACGCCCATCCGGTCAAAGATTTGTATTCCGAGAAACACACATGTCACACATACTCGGCTGATTTATATCAACGCTCCAGCTTCTCTTCCTCCACAAAGGTTTAGCCAAATGCAACCTTGCAGACGCGGTCAAATCTCGCAGAGGATACAATGTGTCGCAGGATTGCGAAATCATCTCCACGGTTCCTACTGTAAAACCTTCACCCGATCCCAATGCCCACGAGCCAGTCCTCAGCCATATCATGCAAACTGCAACATCTCAAGGATTGAATTCATCCAAGTCGACTCTCATCCATTCAGATAGTCTTCTTGACCCGAAGAATCTTGAGACTCTTGACCACCGAGTCCTGTGTTAGAGTCTCTGACGAACAAAAGATGATGTCACAAATCTCGATGTCTGGGGCAAAACAAGTATGTCCCCCTCTCTATTCAATTTCATCCATGAATTTCACTGGCCTTTAAGCTGTATCTAGTAAAGTTCGGTCTAATTTGACCACATCTTGTTATCCTTACAACGTCACTCGAGAGCCGATGGCAACCGCGACTATCTCGAGTTCAAATTTACGTGCCGCGCTGTCAACTACGCCACATCAATGAAAATTGACGCAAACTGGACACCCTGGGGAGAAAGAACTTTAATTGGGGCATCATCTCGGTCGTTTTGGTTGTAGTCGCCGCTCAATAAAGTGATGTTTCACCTGTAAAGCATGCTTCTCCTGAACAGACGTATTGATGGTCAGGACTGCCAACGATGAGATACAGCTTAGCTCACATTCCTCTCAGCGCCGATGGCCACAAGCCCGTTCTTTTCGGAAACGCTACAAGGTCTAGTGCGATGACATTTCAATACTCTAAACAGTGCGTTATAGCATCATTCATAAATGATTACTTGATGATAAAACATTCAGTCCTTGACAGCACCGACAGGTGTAATCCTTTGCTCCGCAGTATCCACAGTTCGGTTATTGAAAAGCTTGTCGCTTCAAGAGCGGTACATCAATATCCCTCATCTTACCCCACACCCATATCTCAGTGTCTGCCACCCGAAGATGATTCGCCTGCGGATTTGGAAAACCATAGTGCACTCAAACGGCGCATTACTTTTTAGAGGAACAAAATGCCGAGTTCCAGGGCCAAAATACCTGTAATGTACTAATGGTTGATTGCTATGCGTGGCTGTCATGATGACCCGTACCTCACTGCTGGTTCGTCTAGTGCATTTGTACGATTGTGCGGCGCCCTGTGGCGAAAACTAGGTACCAGCACTAGTGTAATATCACACGTAATGAAAAAGACCTCGAAAACCTCGAGGACTGACAATTGGTGCATAGCACCAGAGTCAGTGGAAATTGCCCAACCCCAGCATCAAATATATCCTCCAAGTACACTACTTATTAGTACCTCAATAAACCTTGCCATGACCAAGCTGCTGTTGCCTCGTAGCTCCGTTTCTTTTCTTCAGTCACTCTTTAGTAACCCTCTTGCTTTTCGTTGTCTTCCCGCTGGATAAACGCGAGCCCTTCGCGTCGCGTATGTTTTCGTGCCTCTAGCACAGGGCTCATAACCTATACGCTAGCAAATGATTGGTTCAGTATCGTATCTAGACAATAGTTTGGACGATGTAACCCAAACGTGTACCGTAAGTGATGAGCTAAGGTGGTCAGGGGGATCGTTTAGCCTAGTCAGCCAATTAAAAATCGTTAATCGTGCGGAAGCGTCATATGGTATGGAAGGCAGGAAGGGCCTCTACAACGCATGGTGTCGATGGTGAATCAAGATAATGAAATAACGTATGAGAATGGAGAATGAAGCATCCAACAGGATCCAACATGAGCTTATTACTCAGTTGGTTTTTCTTCGTCTCAGCGGCATTTTATATGCGTGTGATCACAACTTTCCAAGGATGTTGAACCCTGAAGCTCGAACGACGGCCACGAGCTTGAGTCACGGCCCTCATGTCCTTCACATCCCTACTCTTGGCACTCCTCTATTATGTCATCACGACCAGCTTCAAGTGTCGACTGAGGAGCCTCTGGCGCGCGATGAAAATGGTCACCAGTGGCGCTTCTAGCATAGATTCTTGGAGGTGGCGTTATGCTCGGAGGATGTTCGAGGTCCCGGGGCTCTTCGACCACTTCAAATAAATCAGGCAATATGGGTGCCTCCGTGTCGGTGGCTACCGCTGCACTGTGTGATCCATGCTTGGACAAGATGTTTGTCGTGATTGGGAGAACATCAGAATTCCGTGGTGCATTGGCCGGTGTTTCAGCCATCTCTTCTGATGTAGAGCTTGGCAATGTGTCAAAGTGCACAGATAATGGGGCACTACCATGCTCGCGGTGAGCCTCCGTGGTAGATTGATCCTGGAAATCCGTCTGGGTATTTTCTCGAATCTGCTGCAAAGAGCCTATGCGTGACAAAACACCTGGGCTGATGTGTGAATCCGATGATGGCCGCACGAAGTTGCCAGCATGTGGATGCTGAGGTGCATGTACGGAAGCCGAGTGGTGGCCTGGCTGAATATGGGGGGTAGGGGAGTTGGAGCGATTTTCATGGTTGTCTGGTTCTGGATCAGGTAACGTGGTAACATGATTATGATAGGTGCGCATTGCAACATCCGCATCGGCAGAGAGGCCAACAAGGTCGTTTTGGCCGAGCGCAATGATTTGCTTCCAAGCGTTAGCCAGACGAGACAACAGTTCCTGTGTGATGTTCCCAAACAACCGCCAGATTAGCCGCCACGACCATATTGCTTCGTCCCTCGTGAGAATGATGCTGCTGAAAATCATCACGAATACGACCAGTGTCACAGAACCAACAATGCTTCTGGATGTTTTATCTCCAGCCGTCCACCAATCGATCGAGAATGCCGCAAAGAAGAAAGCCATACTAATATATTGATATCAGGGCCTCTGCCAATTGCATTAGGGTGCAGACTCACCCCCACATCAGCAAGGCCTTTGGGAGGCTATAAATTATAGCCAGCTTTTCCAGGCCGTGTTTTCTGTTGTGAAGTCTTCCTAAAAATTCTGCCTGAACGAACTGCTATGAGAAATGTTTCCGTAATACGGTTGAATATACTAACCGCTTCTGTGGCTGTATTTTGTCCAGAAGTTCGATCATGTGATACAAAGAACAGGCCGACGACTATGCTCCCCAAGCTCGTCACCAAGGACATGTAGCTTGCCATTTGAATAGCATTTCTACCGCTTTTATCAACAGTGTTGATGGCGAGAAACCCGACGTTGGCATTAAGTAACACAGTGGCCTGGCTCGACAATGATCGCATGAAAGTTCATAACAATGAAAAGCTGGTCTTACTAAGAGGTTAGAGTCCTGAAGCTGCCCCTTGAATTTTAAGCAGAATTCTCGCCACCGTGCTTCGTAAGTAACCTCATCCACGAAAATCTTGTGCAGTTCTTGGACTTGAGCCACAGGGTCAAGCAACAGAAGGGGGGCGAGAATGATCATCGCCGGTGATGGTTTATATGACCAACCATGGACCGATTGTTCAAATATCAGCCTCACACAGTCTTCACCGTGATAATTCACAAAGCGATTATGAACTTCAAAATGACCGTGAATTACAGTTAGATGCATAAATGAGAGAGCACTGACTGAACGTATACATGATGCGGCCTTAAATGATGATCAACATCAGGAATAGAATAGATCGGTCTCGGGCTCAAGCCTCACCAATGACAATAGCAGCGTGACCTCGTCGCATACTCTGATGCGCAGGGGCAGTCCGAGTGGTATGAACTTTGAAAAAATGGGATTAGCACATGGCGCCCGTAAGGAGGTATCAAAGTAGCATACCCTTGATTTTGTCAACCACAAAAAGATGATCCTTGAGTTCAATGGCGTCAAACGCCGCACAAGACTGCAGCGATGTTAAGTGGTCTACTCATTGCGACCATATGCATCAATCAAATTATCAGATCGAAGAGAGCACTGACCACATGTCGCATGTACCAACATATCATTGAGCTCATCGACAATGTCTTGTGTAACCGGACACAAACTAGGAAAATAATCCCAATGTTTCCTACATTGTATGTCAATTTACTTGCATATGACCTAGAATTTCATTAGGAATGGGACAGCAAGGTAAATATGCCGTGCGAACCTTTACCGGAACACACACCAGTATTGTGCTTCAACAGCAAGCCCTGGTTATGAAAACAAGGACAAACCGTCAGATCTGGTTCTCCTCAGAACTATTAGCTACCCACATATATGCGAGAGGTTGTTGATGCCTTTACATTCTGAGATAATATCTTCGGGATTGAAGTCATCTAGCCAAAAGAGGCATCTGTCGCGGTGATTGGCGAAATAATAGCAACAGATGACAGAGTCGCCACCAAAGGTCTTGGGCTCAACCACAAGGTCCACCTGCTCCATGTCGAGTGAGAGGTTCTTGTCCTCGATGGTCTGCTGGAGTTCGTCCAGCAGATAGTGCATGAAGTATTCAATGTCATCGCATATATCTTCTTCACAAACATTCATGTCTGTGAATGTTCTCTGCGCGTTATAGCTCCAAATCAGACGTCGGTCGTCAATAATTCATGAAATTGACGCACCGTTTTTTGGTTCACAAAATAACGGGCACCTTCTGGGTGCACAAACGCAGTCCATCCTTCGGGCACATCCATGCTTGAAAGAGTTGAGGTGCGGCGACTGAAAAGTCATAAAATGACTTACCCATGCGCAGCCAATGTCAAAGCAGGGATGGTAAAGTCGGTGACCTTGTACTCTCTTTGGAAAGGTCAGCTCTTGGGTAAACGCAAGAAGGCAGACTAATGTTTACCGGAAACGGCACCTGCCATACCTCTTGACATCATCCGGAACCATAGAGCTTAGCTGCGGGCCGTCATAGACCACGACGACCTCTGAGCCCGGTACCTGCCCATTGTTGCCGGGGGGAGCGGTGTAATGCACGTGATGATCTAAACCGTGACCTGGTATCGGCACAGCCTGGGCAGACGAATCCAATGGAGTATAAACCGTATTCCGGGATCCGTGGTGTACATCGGCGATACTATAGATGCTACTCGGGCGAGACGGGTGAGAATGGACAGTTCCCGTGTGTGCTCGATATGCAGCTTGTCGAACTTCCGAACCAGCAATTGATCGTGTAAAGGAGTGACCCGTGCTCACCGAAACACGACTGCTGGACGCGTGTAGGGAATATGGCATACCAGGCGCCAAATGCCTCATGGATGGTGTGCGCGTTGTATTCAAAGAATGAGCATCGTCCATGTATCCTCGTGGTCGTGAATGTATCGTGGACACTTCATGGTGGTCAGAAAGGTGCGAAGGACCTGGACTGCCGGGCTCCTGCATTGCGCCGTCCTTGGGGGATGTCTTGCTTTTCACAAAACTCTCTTCCATACGCAGAGACAAGTGTGAACTTGACACAGAGCCTTGATGGAACCCATCTGTGTGAGTGGCACTAGTGCATCCTATCGTTGTTGGATTAGGGTCCAACGGAGGGATCCCTGTATTCTTTCGTAAAGGTAAATGGGATCCTGTGTAAGGATCGTCTGAGGGCGATGGTGGCTCTCCAGCTTCCCGCCCCATTTGACCAGGCGGCAGAAGACTCGGGCAAACACATGAACCCTCTCCTTTGATATCCTCTTGAGATCGCGGGGGCACCTCGCTGGCAGAACGAGTGATCAATCTCCGATCACCGAGCTTCAAATGACGTGCTACAAAACGATGCAGTGAAGACAAGACAGCGAAGAATAAACTCGCAGAGCGACGTGCAAGCCGTGAAAGCCATTTCTTCAATATGTTGAGAATGTGGGTGAAATGATCTGTGATCATGGCGGGCTATTGCACAGTAGTACAGTAGCAAGAGGGGGAGGGAAAGAAAAGAACAGGCCATCATGCCACATTTATCCAACGCCACAGCCTCAAGGCGCTTATTACGCACTTGCTGTACTGGAGCTTCGAGAAACAAGTAAAATTTATCTCATGAAAATGTAAATCGGAGTGGTCCATCAGAAACGCAACCTTAGCATGGCAGCGAGAGTACTGCAGGGGAAGCGAGGACGAGGATACTGCGCAATGTGATATTAAGTGCCTGGTGTGGAACATAAGTAATTACATGGCGTGGGAGGATAATACTAGGATGTCACAAACCCTGGTTAGCGCTCGCATATTTCTATGGAAGCTATCAAGAGGCTTCTTAGGTCCGACTGTCCGAAGAGAAATCAATCACGTTTTGAATGCCAAGCATATCGCAAAAAGCGGTAGTCTGAGTATTAGTGTACCAAGGTGCTGCATAACCAATGTCAGCGAATATATCTAGACGAATTAGTACTCTCACGTTGTTGATTCTTTTGAGCTCCTTCACTTCCAGGACCAGGGGCGCTCTGCACGAATGTCTGGCAATCCAAAATGGTTCGGATGCCAGGTAGAGGGACATCGGAAGAATTTGCTTCGTTATTGTGCACATTGGACTTGACCCACACCATCTCTTCAGCAACCATCGCACGAGCTGTTGCTTCATCGGGATAATCTGCTTGACGCCGCCTCATGGAGAAGAATGGGTGAAAAGCACGTGATATTGCCAGCCATTCCGGATCGAAGGTTAACTTCGGCATGCAGCGTTGTCCAGGCATGGTAGATTCATCCGATGTGGTAGGCACATCGATGACCTATATTAGAAATTATCGGAACCATGCCCTATCGACACAAAGTCACATACCTCCATAAATTCTCGTTTTGGAAGGCATTTATCCAATGCGAGGAAGTTCGTCATAGATGGCTGTGGCCGATAAGCAACGGGAGGCGATTGTATAACTTCCTCTTCTTCCTCTTCTAGGGTTATTTCATCAGGATTGTGGGAAGTCGTTTGCAAACGAGAATCTTCAATTGGAGGATTCTGAGATTCAACTGCATCGAAATCATCATCTGCAATTGCTATTTCATCTGGGTTTTGTGGTGGCGAAGTAGTGGGCAGAGAATTTGACCCAGTACCGCATTGCTCATGCTGTACGGTAGCCTGAAAGCGAACATGCAAGTGCGCTGAAAACCACCATTTTGGTTTCAGTGTCCGCAAAAGCCCCATTAAAGGAGGAGAACCCAGGTTGCCCGTCTGTACATCCTGTCTGAAAAATGGTTTGCGGCGAAGGAGGCCCTGAGTGTCACCATGTCGCTCGATGTATTGGGGCCAATCATGAGAAAGGAAGATATCTGGGGAGGATAGCTGTGATGTATCCAATGTGAGATCAAGAACTCACAAAGACTAAAATTCACGCACCAAAGACAGACGACGAACGTTAAATTCCCTGATGTGATATATGCTTCGCATAGTGCCATGATCGTAAGGTAATCTTTCGTAAAAACCTGCTTGTGTTTAATGTGGAGTATCCGAGAACATGATTGGAGAATTACCTAGACTGAAATCATTACTTTTGAAAATTCCAGACGCACCAGCGATACGGATACCGTTCACTTGGATGCATCCGGCATGCCCAAGGAAGTATATGTTTGGTGCAAGCCACCCACCATGATACCTGTGAGAGTAAATAAGGATACAGATAGCGCACGGAGCGGGTGCGTACAGTTCTGACATGTAATTCGATGCCTCGTGATTCCCGCCTATTACGATAGTAAGCACCGGAGCAGTCTTTTCTCCTGTATAGTATCTAGAGAAAAATGGATCAATGCATGTTTATGTCAACTAGGTATTGGCACGTACTTGTGGAAATCACCTAGCTGCTTATACTTCTGCGGGACAGCCATGCATTGCATGTCTCTGTGATTGCGAATAGCTTGAAAGTCCCCGCACATGAGAAGTAAATCCACAATATAGTTGTGCTTGGCCTCTAGATCGCGTAGGTGCTGGTAGATCGCGTCCAGTGCGCCATGGCTGCATCCCTCCACTGCAATCTATTAGAATGAGTCAATGAATAATTACTATGACCAGTGGCAAAACTCGACCTTCATGGCCTGAAAGAAAGTGAAGGCTCCTTCTTTGAGATTGACCAAGTATTCTGAAACGATTATCTTCCTTCCTCTATGAGGTCACGATGAGACTAAGTCACTCAGAAGGTCTGTGGCTGTACAACTCTTTTTGTTCATGGTAGACTCAAGTCTCAAGTAGTAAGGACGGATGAATATATCTAATAATTAACTGAGCATGAATTCGTACTACTTATGGTTAAATATCAGTGAAATTCGGACCAACGCCCAAGCTTGCACACAGAAATCAATAGAATCTGAAAAGTTCGGTGTCCGTAGAATGAGTACATGGTATCGATATCGATGGACCCGTCAACGCGTTCCGTCTCAGACAGCGACGCTGATTGACGCCAGACCTGGAGAGTTGATCCCCATTGATTTGAAGAATAAATGGCTCGCATCCTGCGGTTCTCATAATGTATGGGCATAAATCAATGCATTTCAAGGACCACAAAGCAACAAATTAGCTATAAAATTTAAAATAGGCCACTCGCATGTACGCCCGTTTATGTTACCAGTTCCTCCTTCCTATTAACCTGCTGACGATATACAATGCCTGGCTAACCACCTGAGAACTTCGCGAGAGTTTCGACCATGTTTGCGATCCATACGCAATCGGTAACCTAGACATAACACACAAATAAGTGCACAATAGGGAGCAGCGCGTGTCGCTGCCATTGTATAGGATATAGTGTCAGAAAGATGCACAAGAGCAACTGAGTTGGACACGTTGCGAGAGGCATGCCACATGTGTACTCGATTCGTGACTGTCCACATGATCGCCAGATCAACCGAGACCGGCCTCAGACTCATGCACATGTGCCATATCCTCGATGTCTTCACACAGATAGAGACGAAGATATCGGTTCAAAGTCTCTGAATGTAGATAATTGAGGAATTCCAGAGGGAAGACGGGGCTGGGATTCAAAATAGCGGGGACCAAACAAAACCCAAATTACCAAGAACTTTGAATCTAATTGGGAGAAGCTGTACATGTTCGACTTGAACCTGAATTGTTTCGAGCTCAATGTGTGATTCTGGTATATTCTGATGGAATATCAGGCATGGGATCCGACGGACAAGCCCGGTGAGTACAACTAGACAGTGCCTTCAATAGATCGACTCTCACCCGGGTTACCGTATCCGCTCTCAGAAGTATGTAAACCACAGTGGAAAATGCGATCGTGTCTCCCTCGACCATCTCCTACTTATTATCATGTACTTCAGGCTATCTTCCCAGAAAATTCGACATCATTATGATGATGATCCGGCCACTGTTCGTTCTGTCAGTCATCAGCGCTTGAAGAGCGTCAGCGCTAGACTTGCATCAACCATTGGTGAGTACTGAGCGCCTTTTGTTCATCGCTTCTCCATGGTCCGAATAGCCGCTGACGTTCTGGAAGCTGCAAGGAATATTATCAATGCTATACAGCGCCGTGAGATTGTCCATAGATTGGATATCGGCAACAGTTCAATGGGCGATGAGGGTTGCGTACAGCTTTTCAACTTTCTAGACTCTCCTGCTGGTCGAACATGCAAAAACAGCCTCACCGAGCTGTACCTCACAAGGAACGGTATAGGTGGAAAGGGTCTACGTGCTGTATCAAAGTTCATCAGGGACAATGATGTGCTCAGGGAACTATGTCTGTCCGGTGTGAGTACGGAAACCTCCGGTGTTATCCCGTTAAAGTCCCTCAAATTGACACTTTCCTCGTGATTAACGCAGAACCCATTATCGACCGATGCGGACGTCATCGCACAATTTACCACTGCACTGAACAGCTCGAGACTGTGCACGCTCCAGCTGATCCATAACGGCACTCTCTCTGACACCTTCATTCGCGCATTCCTTCCCAGCCTCAACGCACGGTATCTGCGTCAACTCGGCCTTTCTGCCACCAATATTACCCGCGTTGTGGTCCCTACCATCATTGAATATGTCGCGTCGCCGCGTTGCAGACTGGACCAATTGCAGTGCAATGCGAACAGCCTGACACTGCTCGGTGCACGTGAAATCATCAGCGCTATAGAGCATGAGAATTACAGCCTTTTCAGGGTCAATCTTGATGACCTGCATATTGATGAGTATGATGGCGATGGCGAGGAGCGCACTCTTGCGTGGCAAGAGGGTTGGCAGATTTTAAACAATACATCCCAGAGGAACTTGACGAAAAAAATCCGGGTGAAAAAGCAAGCTGTCGCGCTGCTGCTGTACAGCCGTGCATTGTTCCTTCGGTCGGGAATGCGGGACCTACACGGCGGTGCTCTTCTTGACTTTGCTTCTGTTTCCGCCCTCAATCGACTTTCCGCAGGTGTCAAGTCAAATATCAGTTTCTGCGCCCTCGATGTTCTTCCAACTGCCTGAGGAAATACAGCAGGAAGTCATCGCCTTACTAGCACCGGATCTATCTCACCGGCAGCGTATCCGCGTTATTGCATTTGGCGCAGATTTTCGCACTCTTCCACAACTGGATGAACCACGTCTTGAACCAGCGAATGCGGTACATCTCCCGGCGTTCATGCGAGCAAGTGTCAGCCGGCAGACTAGTGCCACCGCCAAAGTACCACATGAAGGTTCGTGGAAACCTCCAGCGTGGTGGCAGTGTGCGTGCCCTGAGGAGAAGCGTAGAAATTGCCGAACTCTCCACCGCTGGGAGAGAGAGAGGCGAGATGTGTGGCTGACGCGTGTTGGATGCGACGTTTGGGAACCTGAATTTGCCATGCGAGACGCACAACATTGATCGCGACTGGTTCGGACTCGTTTATGCTCCTGGGACATCAACGGTCGTAAGCGCACCAATATTTACGTAATCTGTGTCTGTGCGTCTGCCATCCAACTGCCGTCCTGTACGTCCTGGAAGTCTCATGATATATTTCTGCTCTACAGCTCTTGAAATAAGCTGTGCGCTGCTGTGTTTCTCATGTCAAGTACATAAATTTCAAGTTTGCTCTTCGCTATCCTCAAGTCATCTCTTCATTCCCCCTGAATCTCTGACTCGACCGAGTTACCCAGTTCTAGGACCTTAAATTATTGTGCTCGACAGCATATACTGTCCAGCAGCCGGTATATTTGACTCAGCATCTTGAGCCCAAGCCTATCAGTCTTCAGCCTCGTTCATCAGTAATCAGTCTCAATGCCGGGTGACGTTCCTGCCAAGCCTGAAGGAATACAAAGGGCACTCCTTATTGCTGTGGAAAGAGTATCCGGTTTCCCCAATCTCCCTCAAGCGCACATAGATGTGATAAAAATGAAAGACTTCCTTGTGAAGTGTATGTATGCTTTATCATGGAAAACATCGTGAATTAATTTGTTGCTGCAGTTCGTGGCTACCGCCCGGAAAACATTGTCACTATGATGCATCATAACAGTGTTTCGCCAAAGTTATTTCCCAGTAAAAAAAACATGGTGAGCATCCTGAATTACGTATTTTCCATGGCTAATCGTAAAGCACAGCTGCGTGAGATTGACGTTATGGTCAAACATACATCTCAATACGACCGGATGTTTTTCTATTGTAAGCAAGCTCTTATGCATTATATTTTCGAGCGCTAATGATTGGTAATCCATCAGACACCGGTCACGGCGATCAAGTGACTTGTAAACACAACTCTGAATCCGACAACAAAGATGAAGGTAGCGTTCCAGCCTCTTTGCTTTAAGCTTTGTTAAAATATTCCATAAAGCCATCCTTACCTACACGGGAAAGCGCATCATTGATAATGTAAGCTCCATGTCATGATCATCGTCTGGTTCGTGATGCTTAACGACTCCAAGATATTGAAAGAACATCTCGTTGATCCATTGCCTCAAGGCGCCAAGCTTTTCGTGCGTGTTCCTATTGGATCTCTAAGTCCTACTAATGATGTTGTCTGGTAAACAGGCGCTATGGGATTGTTGCCACTCTCACACAGTGCTGGGTGCGTAGGTTTAAAGTCCGCGTTCATTTTTGTACTAATGCAAGCTTCAAAGATTTGGAGCATTCCAACTGCAACGGATTATGGCGGAGGCCTCTCAAAGTCCTGTCAGGTGAGAGCTATATTTTATTGCGTCACCGAGTCGATACTGATGATTTCAGGTCTGGCGAGGAAAACCAAGACTCTCGGTGGGTATTTTGTTACTTTGTTTGTCATCACATTAATGTTCGCCCCACAGGAAAGAGGCTCAGCTCCAGCATCTCGATGGATAGTTGGGAAGGCCGTTTCTCGTCAAAGGACGACTCTCAATCAAGAAATGTATCATCAGGAACTGATGGCATGGACATCTGCAGAGTGTCTTCTCCTGACTCATACGTACCTCCATGTTCATTCAATTGCCCTATGACGCCCCCCGAGAACCAAGCCATGGCCTGTGTCGTGCGTTTTTCTCTTACTGGTGTATTCTGATATAATCTAAAGTCGATGTCCCCGAAGGTTTCTTTATCTGCATGCAAGGATGATCAATTGGCATATGACGACAACGTTACGGGTGAAACTGTGACAAAGGTAGGGCACAATCTTCTAAGCATTTTCAGCCTGACTGATGTTCGCTTAGTTCTTCATCGAGTACCTCGGTGAGAAGCATGTTCAGAGAAAGAGAACCATAAAACTCATCCTCTTTAGAACGTAATCCCAGACCTTCTTATCGCGAGCTACTCTCCCACATACGGTGGGTGGCACTTTTCTGTCTTCTGCGTTGCGCTGATGAGCATCTCTCAGGGAAAAGGTCTATGACATTACTCGCAGACGTATACAGGCGGCAGGCGAGACAACGACAACTTACCACCCGCATCATCTACAGAGACTATCGGAAAATGAAGTCTTAATCGAGGATTGGCGCAAATGCGATCCCCATAACCACAGCGATGACGGAAATGACACTTCCACTTTGAGCTCTCAGCAGCCTTCGGTGGGTTCGTTGTTTCTTCATCCTGTTCGCCATACTTATCCTGTTTTTTGTGCAGTATTCGAGTCACTACCGCCTGGTGAGTATATTAACGTGGCTTGTGTACTTAGTATCATGCTCATGTTCATCTGATCCAGGATATGTCGCAAATCGTTGAATTATGAAGCACAAGACGTACTGTCTGGCAACGCTACTACTGATGACATTTACCTTATAATTAATTTAGTATTAACTTGTTCGGGAGGACCTCCAGAGGTCTTTCCCTTCTCACGTCCTGGCTTCGAGCAAATACCACTGTTCACAACTTATCATTTCCACGACAAGACGATGCTACCCTACATTAATAGTTATACATACCAGAACCTGTCCTTTTATATTCTACTTAACAACTTGCATGTTCGGATTCATAACTGCCATTGCCGCCACAACTCTTGTTTCGAGTATTATGGGTCATGATGCAGCGACGAACCCCCAGCCGTCACATTGAGTAACCGAGTTGTAGCAACTGCCTCTGGGATTGATATAGTGGATGTAAAGCCGTGAACATGGGTAGCAAAACCTAGTGATGAAAAATGGCGAGCAGCAAGCGGAATAAGTTCATCAGCATGAATAAGCATATTAGAGGTGTGTGGTTGAGGCGCAGCTACTCCATGTGCGAGGTGAGAGTGGACGAAAAGCCGCAATGCTAGCGCTGCCGGCACGCATCATCCGAGCGGAGAACAGAAATTTCAAATCACGTATCAGTAGTGCAGTCAGCCAATTTTATAACGTTCATCGTTTATTGAAATACGTTGACGCGTCTTTCGCGCGAGTCCGCGGTAACTTCATCTACAAAGATCAATCAGCCTCTGGTAGTAACCATCGATCTCATCCAAGATCGTCTACAAAGAAATGACTAGCGGGTGGTGTCCATCTGGCGACATGCAGGAGAGGAGACGCCAGCTTTGCCACATACAGCGTGAGTTTATTGGTCTCAGCGTCTTACGGACTTACTTTATAGTAGGCTTTACATGACAATTGCAGGTATCGCATGCATTATGCCAGCGCACATCGACGGCCGCCTAGCTACTTATTTGTGCATTTTGCACCTACGAGGCCATTCAGGTCCCTTGGAACTTCGCCGCAGCAGTAGGCTCGGACTCCGAGTCGGATTACTTGTAGTAGTGTGGAGTAACCGGCCCGCGAAACAAATGTTATTCTTGCATAAGAGATGTGAGCAATCGTCCAAATGTTGCCGATTTTGCACTGATCGGTTACTGGGTCTTGCAAAGTCCCGTACTGATTCCATTTATCGGGCCCAAGATGAGCCTATCCCCATCAGCAGGTGATTTTGGCGGCTGCCGCTTACTATGCCTGACAGTCGGTATACTCGTCATTGGATAAAGCAGATCGGAGTAGAGCTCCTAGACTTTACTTGCGCCCCGATTATCGGACAAGAAATGATCGTACTCCATATGACAGAGTATCGCAACCGACACAAACAATCTGAGGATGGCTACTTAAGGCGTTGAGGTGCAGAATGGAATGAACATCCCCCATTCTCTACTTCACTCATTCATACCTGCAATGTCAACATCACCTCGCATAGTTGCGGTGTTTGGAGCTACCGGAACTCAAGGCATGCTGATGACGTTCGTGCTCAAGTGTCTGGCTAACCACAATCATCAGGCTCATCCGTGGTACAGGCCCTACTAGCAGACGGTACATTCGTACCGCGTGCAATCACCCGAAACTGCAGTTCAGAGAAAGCATTGAAACTAAAGAGCCTTGGTGCCGAGGTTGCACAAGCCGATTTATGGGACATCGACTCATTGAAGCAAGCCCTGTCCGGTGTTGAGGCCGTCTATGGAGTATGTCACGCTTGCTCCATTCCCCTCCGAGGACCTGACTTATCGTTACCTGTTTTAACAGGTCACCGACTATTATGATCCCAAGAACGTCGCTCAAGGTCACAACAGCGAAATGCTACTTGGCAAGAATCTCATTGACGCTGCTAAAGCGACGGATGTCAAGTACTTCATTTGGAGGTGAATCTGGCTGTTCCCTCTTGTGATTTTGGCCTCAATGCGTACCTTCCGCAGTTCTCTTCCGCACTGTACAAGGGTATCTAACGGGAAGTATGCAAATGTTTACCACTTCGACAGTAGGTCTTAATTTGTTCAGCGAAGTCACACGGGTTAATTATCAAATTGTCAGACAAAGCCAACGTGGATGACTATCTACGAGAATCCGGCGTACCCCATTCTATCTTATACACCGGTAAGCAGTTTTTCATTTTCGGCGTCTTTCGAGTAGTTGACACCCGTCATTTAAGGCTGGTTCTCGGAGAATCTCTGGAAGTAAGACATCGTGGATTAAAGCTTTCCTACGCATAGCTGATGCAAATTTTGTGGCAGGTACAATATTCTTGCGCCCGTGCCGGATTCCGATCGCCTGGAAGTAACCGTGGCCAGATATGACGCTCAATCTCCTCAGTATTTTACGTGGGTCGAGCGGGACCTTGGCCAGTGCGCATTAGCGCTTCTCAAGCACTACAAAGATCCTGAATCAGAGGTTCTCTCCCGCACGTTCTATGCCGTCAGTGCAAAGTTGAACTACACTCAATTTGCATCGATCCTTCAGCAGGGTATGTGATCAGAACGCAGGAATTTGTTGATCTAATCTTCCTGCTACCGTCAGCGCTGGGGAAACCGGTGTCTTTTGTATCATCACAGACCACGGGAATGCAGGTCTGCAAATATTTTCTTTCTCTAATGTAGTCCATGTGCTCACATGTTGCGCAGGAAATGGACGACATGGTCGGTATTGTTCGGTATGATTGAAATTTTGACGCTGATGATATTTTGTTAGTATGCTTTTCAGTCCGAATTTGGACTATACCCGGATACCGCTATCCCTGATCCACAATTAATCAATTTAGGAGTAAAGTTCCATACTATGGAGGGATTTATTCAGGAAATTAAAGGCAGATATGCTTGAATCTTATCTCGAACAAAGACCGTTGTTTGCTTGTCAATTTATGATTGATCATGCAGTAGCGCATACGTTTACTTGCACCCACACAGTCAAATGACGCCCAAACGGACATGATCATCGGTAAGGGTAAGTTTATGGGGTATGGACATACGAGGTCGCCGCCGATGAGTGCGATGTCTTGACTGCAAACCTTTGATTATGCGAAGTATATTCAAATCACCAAAACCCACGTACATGTGTCCCTGATGAAACGCACATGGCTATCCACAGTACCCAAGTTCAGACCATGTTCTTTCGTATGGGACTGTCATATGTCATTCTTTTGCTGTATGTACAGCATCGGGTCACAAGTACAGCAATCAGGTATGAACTTCCAGTACTGCAGTCCGTCTTTCTGATTTCGAGTTGCTTGTAGTTGCAGTACTAGTAAATACTGCGCCATGATAACAATCAGAGTTGCATAAATCCTTCTCATACATCATCTTTGTATATTTGAACCCGGCTTTCAGTCAAACCTTGGCAAGCCAGATCTAGATGATTCCGTAATTGCTTTTTAGAAGTTTGAAATTTGACGTTCCATCAGAGCCGGCCACTATCATAGCGCGACCGGTCTGACGTTACACTTCATAGCGAGCGATGGCTGTGCTCTAGTAATTGTGAGCTCAACACTGCTCAATCATGTGCCTTGCTTGGGAAAATGGCGGCCGACTCATTCGTGGGTGCTGTGACTGTCAGATATCTCTAATCTCTTATAATCACAGATACTTCCGATACCTACCACACAGTATCGGTCTGATCTCCTCCTACTTGTCATCGGTCACTTTTTTATATCGCCCAGCTGAGCCAGCTCTATGTCTGAGTCTTTGAGCCAAGGCGTATCCCGCAAAGGCAGAAAGAAGGCACTCCTCATCGCGGTGAGGCATGTAATGGGGATCGATCATTGGCTCCGCCACACACACTATGATGTACAAGAGTTCAAAGAGCTTCTTATGGGTTCGTTCTTTTCATTATGTGTGGACCCCCACAATCAGTAACGCTCTTACAGATCAGTATGGCTACGCTGAAGATGATATTGTGATGCTGGTGGACAACCGCGAATTGCACAAATCATTATGGCCTTCTGAAGTTAATATTGTGAGCTTGAACTGAATCGGCTTTGATACTTCTTATTCATCCTTACTTCGTACCTAGCTCAAGAGGATCGAATGGCTCGTTGAAGATGTTGGAGAGCACGACAGGCTGGCATTCTACTGTTTGTTTTCGCTCATAGCTATGTCAGTTAGACTCACCCTTCATCCTATCTCGTCAGACTCGGGTCATGGCGGACAGACTATTTGCCACCATGATAGTGAAGATAATGGTCAAGATCAAGGTGATGTCCATCTTCCCAATGATTTTGCCCAACTAACGTTTCTCCAGCTATCTATGAATATAAGGGTGGCAAGATCATCGACAACGTAAGTTCAAGGATCATATAGCCAACCGTGACACTGAATATTATGTTAGGTCCTGAAGCAGCATCTGGTGGAACCAGTGTTGAAAGCGAAGGGTTGTCAATTGTTCGTGAGTACTTCTGTATGTTCGTCAGAGTCAAGTATTTAATATTGGTCTTTCATAGGCTGTGTTCGATTGCTGTCATTCCGGAACTATCCTCGGTGATTACTCCACTCTCCCTGCCATTTCTACCGACTAACAATCCACGTAGACCTCAAGCATTCTAACTGTTGCTTTGCATCACCGTCCCCTGTTAAACCCGTTGCGACCTCCAGCCAGCAAAGCGACATGGATGCAAGTCGAGCACCCCTTGTTGAGAAATGGTCATGGTTGTCGAAAAAATATCATATTTCCCTCCCGGTAAGCATACCGCGGCTGAGCAACAAAGTCCTGGTTATGTCTTCGCAGTCCGCTATTGGTATGTATCTTCTCTACCTTGCAGCCTCCCGTTTTCGACATTGCTTTGATAGGGCTTATAAATCGTGTCGTGTTACATCGTAAGTTCAATGTTACCGTGCTTTGTGTCATCTGACGCAGACTCTAGTTCACAATCACGCTGCGAGAATACTGAAGGTCTTTCTCTCGAGCACACCACCTTGTGCTAATGAAGTCAATGGACTTGTGCAGACTGCACCTTCAAGACCACCAGTCTCAGTCAATACTGACTTTGTTTCTCAGTCTCGCTGGCTCACGTCCCCACATCGGACCGCGATGTCACCCATCTCAATGTACCCAAATTGCAAATGCAAAGGTACTTGTGTCATGACTGCAGAAGAAGAGAATCAAGGTCGTGTTGTAAGTTAATACATATTTTCAGCATTCACGCAGCTAAAACTTCCACTATAGGTGTGCCTGTCAGCTTGTAGAGACAGCGAAGAGGCACATGACGATAATATGACAGGTGCGACTTTCACAAAGGTGAAGAACAAGCTTGTGCCGCATTTGCTACATCCTCATGAATACGTAACAGTTTTTTATTTCTTCTCTCAGTAAGTTTGAGATACGTGTACATGATGATCCCTGAAAACCTTTTTTCGCAGGGAAGAACTCCAGTATTTCTTACCGGGGCTTACTTGACGACGTTAAGTTGGTTTTCTACGGCTATTCTGTTGTTTCGACATCTCTTAATTTATTTTCTCCCAGGTCTCAAGTTGCCGACCTTGAGCAAACGAGGTTAGCAGTGATGTGGAGAAAGACTTTTGGCCGGTTTCCGGTTCGAAGGAAACAATTCGAGGTCACATCAGAAAGTTCAATCGACCGGAAAGGCTTAACTCAAGAACCTCGAGTAAGTGCAGGACTTGGTTGATGAAATGAGGTAATAACCAATCAGCCTCCAGATTACAAGTAATTGCCCATTCGTATGTGTTGTTTTCTTGCACCTGAGATCTACCACTCAACCATCAAAAGGACTGGGACAAGAAGGTTTCCATCTAAGCGTTAGCCTTCAAGAAAGGCTAAGGTCAGCACCGTACCTCCGGAGAGCCCGATTCAAGTTGAACGTTTTACAGTTTATTTACTTATCTGCTTTATCAGTCATCTATTTTCCATCGATAAGCATGATATTCATAACCCGGGGCTGGTTTCACACTGTCGTTAAAGATTACGAGATCGATGAGTGGGCACGCTTTATGTTGCGGACGTGTTCCCGTGTTGTAGGCCACAGACTTCGTGCCAAAGTCTTGGTTGTCCGGAAAGTGCCGGGAAGTCACGTTCAACGCGCCTGTCGACGCGATGAGTTGAACGGTTCAGTAACGTTCTGCTCTGCTAGATCGGGTACGCTGAAGCTCATCTACTATAACGTTTACCTCCTCTTGGCATTCGCAAAATCGATGTTCTGAAAGAAGATTGTCCACCGCCTCCCGATCTGACTTGGAGTCAATGCTGCTCCGTGTAGTAAGCCTGTGTAAAGCTGTGAATTTCTTAGAACTTTTCTACGAACGAACAGCCTGAGCACCTGACTCTGATCACCTCACTCGTGGGTATTATTTTTGAATGCTATGTCACAGGAATTCTTTTATTCCTCTTCGACCTCTTATCACTCTTCGACCCCATCGCTCCATCACCTCGTTTTCAATTATCGGTTGGAGTCAAGCAAGTTATAGAAAACTTGGTCGGAACACTCAACAGTCGATCAACTTACATTTCCATAGACCGCAACTGCCGATCGTCTATCCCGTTACGGTCACCTCATATCACTTTCAAACATATCACTTGCCTTTTGGAAACCTCAGGTTCATCCTCTATCTGCTGCATATATGGCAAACTCTACCAATGATGGAAATAAGAAGGCCCTCCTCATTGCAGTCCGATCTGTGAATAAAAAAAGCTTCCTTAAGCCTTTGCAACATGCACACGAGGACGCCGAATCGCTCAAATGCCTCCTTATCGGTGAGTTGTATAATCTCCTGGGCCCGGATCATTCTTCTTAATCTGGATCTTCATTACGCTGTTTACAGATAAGTTCGATTACCCCGAAGCGAATGTTGTCTTGATGAAGCATGATGCGGAGCACCCAGAACATCTCTGGCCATCACGGAACAACATAGTAAGGCACTTGATGACGAAAGCTCGCCAAAGTGACTGACTGAATTGCTGTTCGGCAGCTTAAGCAAATCACCAAGATGGTTGCAAATGCAACCCCAAATGACCAGTTTTTCTTCTATTGTAAGTGAAAGATGTCTCATCAGTTTGCAAAGAATCAGAATGACACGTTGGAATGAACAAGATTCCGGTCACGGAAACCAAGTAACTTGCAAGCACCATACGGAAACTGATGGAAAGGACGAAGGTATACTTGATTGCATATTCGCTCTTCGCATCTGATCACATTTGCCAGTCATATACGCGTACACTGGCCACTACATAGTTGATAACGTACGAGTCCCTCATACGTTGTTTCTTGATTTTTGACTGGTCATGCGTTCACAGAAACTAAGAAAGGTACTGGTAGACCCTTTACCTCAAGGCAGTAAACTTTTTGTAAGTGAATGTTTCAAGGCGCCGTACAACACGAACTCATTTTCTTTTGGGGAACAGGCACTGTTTGACTCTTGCCACTCTGAGACGATTTTGGGTTAGTGCTAGTGATCCCACAACCCAGCTAATACCCGATCTAATCAGCGTCCAAAAGACCTGGAGCACTACAAATGCAATAAGTTATTGTCTGGAGACGTTGTGAGAACTCGACGAAAGTCATTAACGGGACGCTTCTTGCTGGGTATGTTAAATTTTTGTGCAAGACTCTCGTATATTGACATAGGGACAAGATTTCGTGTCAAGACCAAGGACACTTCGTAAGCACTTCACACTTTCTTTTCTCTAAACGTCTGACTCGTTTTGTATGTCCATCGATCAGCAGCCAACAACCAACAACCTCTATCGCGTGGTCGTGCGGGAAATCCTTCGCTGACGTTAAACAGCATCCTTATGCGACCTCAATCTCCCAACAGCTGGCTTCCTCGCATGTTCTTTGAGAACTCACCTTCTGCTCTCCGTCGGGTTTTGTCCCCAGTCTCGTGGTTCAAGTGTACGGGTGACTGTCAGAAAATGACAGTAGAAGAGCAGAAAGCAGCTCATGTAGTGCGTATGATTTGGTCCTGGTTGATCTACTTACCAGCAACGTCACTAGGTCTCATTGTCTGCGTGTCGTGATAATGAATATGCGTACGATGACGATGAGACTCGTGGCACTGTGACTAAGGTGCGAGTTCCACATCATTTTCGATCGGTTTTCCTAACATGCTCCTCGCAGTTTTTTATTGAATGCGTATGTAAGTATGATTCGAAATATCATATTCAAACATGAACACATACATCGGAACACAGCACAAGATCCCAAACCATCACTGTTCACCTTGCTAACACACATCAAGTTAGGCTTCCGTTTTTTTACCTGATTCTTCCTGACAAATACACAAGAGATCGTGTGGATAAATTGAACGAGAAACGGCAGCTGCAGCTCAGGATTGCCGACCGTCGCGCTACCGATGTCGACGATAGGATGCGAGAGAAGACAATGCCAATCCTCCGACGCCACACAGAGGTAGTCATCCACGACTTGGATGAGTACATGAGTTGTCAGAAAGCTCGCTGCACCTCAAAAGCGAGAGCCAAATGGCAGAATCCAGGGGTAGCTTTTTTGTTACTTTTGTTGTTGTCGTGTCTGACTAGCCCAATAACAGTACGCCAGCCATTACCCATTGGTTGGTTCTTCCCTAAAATATCTTACTTCGTACCTATTAACTAACCACTGGTATGCAGGATATGGATCAAGTTGTTGATACCATCTTCTGAGAATTTCTGATCTCTTGATTTGCTTCTGCATGGTTACCAACTTATGTTGTATTTGCATTCCCTACCGTTGATATCCTTATGCCATCATTGATTAGGTCAATTTCTCAGGCGGAACCGTACTAGTAGGCTACGGTCTATCATGACCGCCCGCTCTTTCGTGACTTTTTTCTACAGCACTCAATTTTGCACCAATTACTTAGCTATTTTACTGAGACATTCCTATGTATTCTACTATCATATTCCAAGTGAAACGAAGCAATTCGGTTGAGAAATGGTGGAGATCGTATTTTCGGCGTGACAGCAGCGAAAAGTCACGGATAGATGTCACCTGCCGCCCATGCCGACGTCGGACATTGAATTTGATTGTGGGCTGTCAGGCTGTAGCCTATGCAATTCGCGAGTTTGGTTTCGTCGACACGCTATGAAACGTCAACGAGGCAAGCTGACGGCGTCTACTAACCCCGAACATGAGTTAAGGATACTCCCCGATGCTTGTAAATGGCGCACGCAAGATTATTTCACGGGCTGCACAGGCACACAATCATGATGTAAGGGAACATGTTTTAGAGTCCCTGCGCTACTAGTTTCATTCTATAGAATAGGTTGCAGGGCAAACTCTTGCAGAAACACATGACGACCTCGTCACTATCGCTGTCGCTCTTTCACTCCCAGATTGTACAGTCATTGAACTGACTACACACATCAAGGAGCATCTTGCGGCGAATCCGGATTGCGCTAATCAGCCAAGGCGTTCAAGTTGGGAACAAATGAAACAGGGCGAGCCGCCCACAGAATCTCTGAATCTGCCCCTTCCATTTCTTATCACTTACATCTCACGCATCCATCTTACACTGGCCTCAACATTACTGCACCACATCCTCATTTCCACATTCCCTCAGCACTATTATATACTCAGCATCGATCATTGGGATTTATTGTTATACATAATTGTCAATACATACTGATAGCTTATAATTCAATACCATCTGATGATCTTAATGACTTGATGTTGATGACGGTTGACGTCTGCCGAGCGGACTGTGAATTCGGCAAATGTGACTGTTTGTGACTATTCGTAATATTTATGTGATTCACGAAATAAGCGGGCAGTTACGAATAGGCCGTGCGCTTCTAGGGGATAATATTATCTGCTTGGACCGACTGCGGTAGCCAGCTGTTGACTTATCAATGGTGCTCAAAGCGTTTCGAATTGCGTACACCTTTTCCTCCCTTTGAATCTCCTCCATTAGCAGGCCTTGAGCTTTCGGGCTACCAAGAGCCAAGCACTCATTTATTCAACAATTATACTCACTAGTTCATCACACAATTTCCAGAAATGCTGACATTCAACATCCTCGCTCTTGTGATCCTAGGATATGCTGATGCATCACGCGCTAGGAAACATCATAGCGCGGGCTGTGACCTGTCCGGTGCAAGACTCAACGTGCCTGCTAATCAAACGCAGCTCATTGCGCCTACATACGCACCGAGCTATATTGGTATGGGCGTCGGGACTCAAAACTATACTTGTAATACTACGCTATCCACATACACGTGAGTTCAAGTCTCGTTCCTTCAACACCATTGCTAATACCATACAGACTTGTTGGGGCTTACGGAGAAATTTTCGATAGCTCTTGCTTATATGGCACTTCTTCTTTCGAGAGCGCTTCAACTGTTGCTTCTAATGTGTGGTATGCTACTACCAATGTAACAGTCCAGCAAATCGTCACCATCCTGGGGCTCACGCACAATTCTGGCGTGCTTGGACAACATTATTATGTTCCCAACCCTGTGGGATCCGGTTTGTCTCCAAAGTGGGACTTCACATCATCGGGGGCGACAGCTGGAGACCCTAATGCCTATGTCATTGGTGCTAAAGTTGGCGATCTGCCTAGCGCGAACTCGAGCGATATCGATGACTTAATGGTAGAAGCTGTCGAGGGAGAATTAGCTAGCTTGGTTTTCAGGGTGGATACCGACGGAGGTCAGCCACCCGCACAGTGCGAAGCAGGAAATATCACGGTCAAATACACTGCTCAATATTGTGAGTACTTCCTGAGAAACCGTAGCAATCCACGACAACTGACAAGATTCCAGGGTTCTTCTCATGAAACATCTTAGAACACAACCTTCATTCTACCGTCGATAGAACCCCGGTCGTACTGCCATTTAATGCAATATTCCCTTTAGCGTCATCTCAAAAGCCGTCAAAATAAAACCGCAAGGTGAACGGAGGTAGATGGTCCAATCGGGTTTTTGGAAGATATATGTCGTGGTGCAATCTTCCGAGAATGCTGCCTCGTTTGAGAACCTCGGCCTCCTTTTATGTAAACTTTTCACTTGCGATGGTGGCTCTGTCGGTTCTTCGCTTGCTTCCAAATTGCCTCCGTTTGAAGCGGTGCCGTCCAACAGACCTCCCAGTTCGTGTCAGGCGATCGCTGAGAGCAGCTCACAATAGTGCATTTTCATCTTGCTTCAATTGTTTACATCGTGAGCAAATTGGTATGTGATGCCTTGTTTATATTTGTGACACTCATACATGCTCACTACGCGTCAAGGACGCATGGCATTACAACCTTCTTCTTTCTTGACACAGTACTAAGGGAGCCACGAGCAAGCCACGGATGAGCGCAACATTATCAGGGTTAATAGTTTTCCCTGGAATGAATATAGGGCGCAGCAGGAAGCCCGCGAATATCCAATACAGGCATCGAACTCATGGTGCTTGTAAAGCCTTTGCGGTCATTTAAGGTTGATTACGATGCCGCGTACCCGTCGCAGATACGCTCAATTATACTAGCTTGACTTCTGTGATTCGCAATGATCCGTTGATGGTTGATCGACGTCAATCCTGGTCCCAGGACTTCTGCCCCAGTCCTGAACCAGCCCTCTTCTTAGAATGAAAGAGATAACTGACTTCAAGGGGAATTGGTGGTTTGTTCCGGTGCAGAAGGAACAGATGTGTTGTCCTTGTGACCGATGCACATGATATGCAATTGTGAACCGAAATCATCACTTTCATTGTTGGAAGGACGGATCACGTCCTACTCGTCGTGCCTTGCTGGCTGTACAGTATCGTGAAGGTGGTGTCGTGTACTCTAAAAACTTTGATATCGATCTGGCATTACAAACCTGTCCGCGGACGTGTTTCGTGGTTCCCTCGACCTAGAAGGTGATCGGATCAATTGATGTTGACGTGTAACAAGACCCCATGAATGAGGTCTTCATTAAGCTACGCTCTAACACCATCCTATAAGACGGGTACTCGAAGTACTGGACACCGACGGACTACTAGGTCTGGAGTGATTCTGTAAGGAAATATACTGTCAGTATGAAAACCTTTTGTCTGCATCAGATCGAGTCCTTTCGTGGTCATATGCATCTTTCCTTCTGTAGGTAGCATATTGTATGATTCGGACAGTATGCAAACATTGATGATTGATGGAAGGTCAACCGGTCATGATCATGATTCGCCAGATGCATGAAGACTACAACCTTGATGTCGTGCTAACAGGTCCAATTGTAAGTTGGCCGAGACCCAACTTCTTTGCCCAGCTCCTTAACAATCCCACGCCTTCGCCTTCCACTGGGAGGGATGAAGCGGGTTTACTACGAAGACTGTCCTTCATAACGCCAACAAAGGGGCGGTAGTATGTTCCAACGATGCCCCTACAATAGAGACCATCAAGTCCCGGTTTATTACAGTAAATATAACACACCAAAGCATCCCTTGCAACAGCGGCATAATTACCTGATCACGAACCGTGATCCAAGCTAGTTTTCCCCAGTCAACGCGTGTGATTTGTTGTGATGAAGTGATGACTGGTATGACATGTGTAGCAACGGTGAATGAGTCGTCAGTGGATGATGGAGGGTCGACACCGCCTCCTCTTCCCGCTATTTCTTCCACATGAAGGCACGTCTGCACGCGGCTAAGGTATGTCTGTTCGAACCGGATATCTGGTATAGGAAGACGTATCCGATGACCAGCTTCAAGGCCCTCATTCAGTTCGCCGTGTTTACGGCGAATATGGTCTGGAAAATCATACACGTAGTTGTGCGAGTCGGCAGGTGACGGGTATCTGAAATCCTTGTTGGCCATGGCGGGTTGCGGATTGGTACTGTGGCCTCACTGGGTTCAGGAGCGAAGGGACAAGTTTTATGTAAGTGAATGCGGCATTTTCCGATTTCGAAAGACCAATATTGGCATCAAACTTGCACTCGAACTTTCATCCATACTGTAAACTTGCATACAGCATCATGATATGCACTTCGTTGGGGCAATCCTTTCCTGCTCCAAAGGTGATGTTGGATCAGATTATGGAAAAACAGAGCGTAGCGGCTGGCAACCAACCGGTGTGGTTTCTTAGCGTTGGTTGTAGTTGATCGGACTTACCTCGCACCATTATCAAGGCGCAGGCAATTGACTCTAGATCCTTATTGACTACATGCGTCCGTGATCGGATTGCATTAGGCAATTCCACTGAAGCGATGGCAGTACTTGGTTTTCGATGAGTGCTGCGAGCCATCGATCCACGCCCTTTCCGACGTTTCGAGGAAGTCGAAGTCTTGCGCATTGTTTGCACGTGTGCCCACATAAACTGCCTTTGGAACCCTATCACAGGCCCCGCCCGGCGATTGAGACGTGGGGACAGGTTGCGGTTTTAGCCTCCCACTCCTGACATTCAACTTTCAGGGTACGGTAGATAACCCTACCTTTACCTCTTGAATCAGAACAGAGTGATAGTACTCTCATTTTGACTTCTCATGACGATCAATTTCCGCACTCACACTTGCTTCGCTGTCACAGAGTCCCTCCCCCCCTTTCTAGGGGTGCGCTCGTGATTGTTGGCTAACATCCGCTTGTTGAATTACCTCGTGGAAAACATGCGCCTTTCTGAAATGATATAGCGCGGAGTTCGTAGCATTACCTACGTATCCCTGGGTTTTCCTCATGTACGCACTAGGCCTTTTGCTTTCCTCTATCTACTAACAGATGTTACGTGCTGAGCCGCACCAAACGCTTTCTCTTGTCATTATGCGTATACAACGCTATTTCCAACAATGTTCATCCTTTACACACGTTCACCGATTTCTGAGCCGCGTAATCGAGCTCCTCATTAACCTTACTCGACACTTTCGTCACTCATCACGGGTTCAAGATGAAGAAAAGGCATTGGCAACGACATACGAAGTTCGCTCTCTACAGCCAGTTGGCGAATACATTTGTGCTAGTCAACTGCCGCCGAGCTCGAGTCCAGATAGCAGACCAAGTGAACCATGTTCCCCATCAGACACTCCCTATGACCCACCTACGCGTATTGTAATACCCCGTCGCCCAACTAGGCAACATACATCTCATGAAGTCATGTCCAGTCCTGAACGTTTGACGGTGCCGGGTCCGCCAGAAATGAGGGAGTCCTTCCCCGACCGCACACCACCTACTCCCACTTCTACTACGGCCACAACTCGTCCTCCTATTTCTGTGAACACCAGGTTTAATAAGAGTTTTCTGAGTGGCTACCCAGACCTTTCCCAGATTTCACCAAGCCAGCGGACGCCTATCTCACCAGATGATTTCGTTCACCGACCTACACTTTCTCGTGCAGCTACCTTCGGTGGTAGCTCGGAGGGCCCATCACTCACCACACGGTCTTATCTGAGCCCCCGTCGGCATACATTGGCAGTGCCAAACTCTCCAGACCGTGAACCCATAAGCCGACCAGGCAGCGCCCAGTCAAATGTGTCTCTTGGTCGAAATTCATATCGAAAACATGATGGACAAGCCCCACGCCCTCGCTCCCCCACTCCGAGCCTTTACGAAAGCTCATCGAATATGTGTGGCCCGTCTTCCGCTACCCTCGCCGCGGCTGTGGCGTCGGATGCTGATGGCTCACAGGTTCCTTTTGCTCCGCGCGCTTCATCTTCAGGCCATGCGCATTCGAGGGACACTACTGGACCACGTTTTGCTCCAATGTCAGCGAATGGAGTCAAGCGTTTTGATCGACATTCCCGAGAATTTGCTATGATGTACGCATTCTTACGAATATCACACGCGGATACTGAAATTGAGTTAGCGATCCTTCAATATCTGACTACAAGATCAAGGCCTACCAAGTCGAATACCCCAGTCACGAGTAAAAGTTCACAATTTTGTATTGCCAATTACGACTAATATTCTCGTCGTGGTTTCAGCGGAAACCTTCCCGAAGGCTGGACGGCGCATGTACACCCGGAAGGTGCCCGCTACTTCCTGCATGCACAGACAGTGAGTGATGATTTTTCCCGCTATGTTATAGCTACAAATCGACCCCAGAGAACATATACAGAGTCAGATGTCTGTTCACAGGAGGTATTGCACGACATCACCTACTTCTCAAATTATCTTCACGGAGAACTTCGCATCGCCATTGACACCAAAAAGATTGACGTTGACTACGACGATGTAGAACTAGTGCTTGAGCCGAAGAAAGCAGGTTGTGCGGATATCATATGCTGCTACTACTTCGTCAACCCTCCAGAGAGATGTCTCTTCTGGCTAGATGAATATGATGCAGAGGATATGCTAGGGGAATGTCGGGGGTTACTGCTTTATCTCACAAACGTAAGTGCATTTTGTGGGCGAATATTTTGATGTTATAGTATGGAAATTTTGTAGGACTGGCAGTTCAAGCTCAATACTGGTGTGTGTCACTACCAAAGTACGTCACAGATGTTATCTCATGGTTCTTGCTGACAACCTTCATTAGTCTTGATTTTCAAAACTTAACGAACACCATTCCACAGGAAGCACTGGGAATTGTTTCCCAACCTTTGCCCAGTTGCGCACGATATATTGGACGAGCTAAAGGAACTCATGCTCCATGCCACTTGCGGTTAGTATTTGGCCACAGACATAGCTCATCATCTGAATACACCCTCAGATCACCTCACAACCACACGGTCTGCAGCAGCGTTAAGCGCCGATGAACTCAAGCAGTACTTTGAAATTGTGAAGTGGATAAAGGGTAATGCCACGCCTATTCTTCTTGTTCGTTGTGGTAATTTGGATCCCCAGTGAACTCATCTGGCGACAGAGTGCATGTAGTGGTCATCATAGGTAAGGGCGGCATACCCATCTTTGATAATGCCGTTGATCAGACGAACAGGGCGACTCATGCACACCTTCTGTGAGCCTCTCAACCAAGCTATTATCACAGGACGCTCAATATTTTCCTCAGGTCGCAACCAGTACCTGAACTTCCATGGTCAGCCATGTGCTCGGTTAAGTGTCGACCAGACAGTGCGCGGCTGGAGTTATAAGCCATCGATTTACATGACTATATTTGCTCCACTCCTATGCATGGCCCCCGTTGCTCACGTAAGGTCCCTGCACACCAGCTTTGTAGACGATCTCGCAAGTACCTCAGAGTGGAAGATATTCATCACGAAACTGAATGGGCAACTCCAGAACCTAAACCTTCTTGTGAGTCAAATTTTGCTCTCACAGTATCATTTTGAAGAGGATTTTTCTAGGGTACGGTGCTCCTCGGTGCCAATGTTGGTTTTCTGGCAATCCAATCAGTTGACTCAGGTGCCGGGCGTTCACCGACGCAAATAGCTAGTTACATGTCGCTGGTTCTTAGTTTCGGCTCTATTTCCCTGGGTCTGACGTTCATCACTCTGGATCTCACTGGCAGAGATCGCGGCTCTGAAGCTGTAAGTAATTGTCATTTGCGCACTCTGTGAATTCATTCATTGTGCCTTATACATCATCAGTCAAGGTTTCTGCAACGGATGAATGACGGAAAACACGGCCTGGAAAAGTTGGCGATGATCTACAGTCTCCCTTACGCATTGCTCATGTGGAGGTGAGTTATTTATCCCTTCTAGACGATCGCCAGCTGAGCTTGAACCCAGCATGCTCTTCTTCATCGCGGCATTCTCCTACGAATGGTGTAAACCCGGAGACGCAGTTTCTAGGTCTATCGTCGGTGCCGTACTATTTACTGTCTGCGGGCTCGTCGTCTGGTGTATATCCTGTGGCATCCGATAAGCGTGCGCCGTGGTGGTGGGAGTCAGACCAGCCGGAAGTGGTCAGCAAGGTGACCAGCGAAGAGACCAACAAGCGCCCGGATCATAAGCGTCCCAGTCTTGCTTCTCGTCTGCGTGGCTGGTTTGCTACCGCAAATAAACGAGTTTCAGTGGCCTCTGTTCGCAGTGCACGCAGCGGACCACCACCTCATACCCGAGAGGGGACTCGGATGTCCGTACCGCTCATCTCGTTTAGGCGCGCGACAGTGAGCCAGCAGCATCCGCCCAAGATCACCGTGACCCAGAGACCTGAATCAGGGGAACCAAATGGCACGAGTCGTACTCCGGTATCAGAGGTGGGAGTGGGATATATGGGATATATTTGAAATGGACAAGATGCGTCCCTTAGAGATACTTTTCACGTTACTCATGTCACGTCGCGTTGATATTATACTTAGACTTGGCTTATGGCGCCATAATTTCTTCGAATAACGCTGGGAGTCCGGACCAACACTTAATCAATGTTTTTTTTTTCGTTGTTCAATCCAGTTTTGGCGGTTCAACTGGCCTCGTAAATTATGGATGACGGGAAGGGCATGAATGAATTCAGTTTACACTTACTACCCAATACTTGCCCACTGTCTTCTGGACCTCCCGTCTGACCATGGCATCCTAGTACACGCTCTCGCCGCAGTGACAACCTACAGGCAGGAGTACTAGAGGGGGCGCTGAGGGTAAAGGTAGGCAGAATTACCCGAGCCCGTTGTCACGAGGACGCCGGTTATGATGAGTTATGTTGGAGGTGTTGATCGTGGGTTTGCGACTCGTTGGCAAAAGTTGGCCAAACCAAGACTCTTGTGCCATATCGAGAACAGCATGGTGACAACGTGGTGTTGTTAGGCTTGGGTAAAGGGCCTGGGGCTTTTGTAAGTTTTCTGTAAGTGCGACATTTGGAAGCCAAGCAAGGGGAATGCAAAGGGCACGATAGAATTATATATGCCGTCAAGACATTCATCACTGAAAAAAACACCGGGATAGCTTCCTTGCGCTCGTCCTCCGGCACGATTTCTTCCAAGATGCGTGCATACATATTATCCAACAGACGCGTTCCTTTTTCAGACGTTCCAGCCATCACAGCTTTGCAGCGGCCCACCGGGCCCACGCCCACTTTGTTCATACACTTGATGTACTCACAGGCGAGACGAGCCCATTCAAACAGGCCGTCAGATTTCAGAGAGAGCGCCTTGAAGTGCGCATCGTTGAAGACGTGGTGCAGGTCTTCCAGCTTGTGCGAGATATAAAGTTGTATGTCGAGTTCTGTGGATACAGACGAGATACCACCCAAAGAAACGTGGCGAACATGTGGCGCGGCGTGCAGAGTGTTGTGAATGACTTCCAGTGGACGGGAAGTGAGCAGAATGCGGAAGTTCGCTGGGAGTTTGCATGGTTGCGAGGTGGAAGTGTCCAGTTTGCCAGCGAGCAGACGAAGGATTTGTTCCCGAGAGTTAGCTTCGCCGCTCTCGTCTAACGCATCAATGACTATCAGCACGGGTGCGGCGATGACTTTTGAGGCCATGTCTGTCGATCCGACGACGAGTTCCTGCCATTGTTTTATAATATCTAGAGTGCGCTTGAGTCCGTCGTGATCACGAACTGCTTGCGCCAAGGCTCGTCGCACGATAGGGTTGCAGTCCGCCAAATCCCTTGCGATGGTCGTAAGTATTTTGTCCTGACGGCGATCCGCTTGCCGAGTGCGATCGAAGTAGAAGAATGAGCCAAGACCACCGTTTTCGATATACCAGTTGGCTATTGTATGGGCAACAGCCGATTTACCCTTGCCTGCTGTGCAGACAGCCATAAGACGCGTGGAGCGCCCTCCTCGGTGCTGCTGATCCAATTCTGAATGTCCTTCAGAAGGTCTCGCCGAGTATTTGGCAAACAGCATTTAGACGTACTCAACCCGGCGCCCGTTGCGTACTCCATCCCTGCGAGGTCCAGACTCTCAGCTACACCAGGAGTCGTGGGATGTCAGATGAGGCTCAAATATACCCGAAAACGTCTCTTACCCATACGGTGGACGATCACGACGGTGTCGCGAGCCGCTTGGTCTCGGAATTGCTGCATGAGACTGTCGAGAACATTGCTGTAGCTCTGAATCGTTGCGTCCGTTTCGCCGAAAACATGCTTGCCGAGTCTTATCCCTATAGCACCATTAATATTGAGTCCCAAGGGACGAAGCAATGGGATCAACTTCACAGGCGCTCTTCGTCTCGGATTAATGGCTGATAAAATCAGCGCACTCCAGCGTCTGCTGCGCTATCAAAATGAGCACGGCTGTCCTGCTTTCCATAGGTTTGGTGGTAAGAGCGTATGTCTGTGGTCTGGTTTGGGTGTGTTTACACCGTGTCGCCTCTAACCGTGGGGTCCGTTTTCATCCAAAGTCAAAAAGCTGCGACCTCCAAATTACTCAAGTCTGGTAACCTGGTTTGTGTACAGATACATTACAAGGTACAGTTTGTGTCTGGATACACGACTCATCCACGTCCAGATAGGGTCTGGGCATTTTCTCGTTTCCGCAGTGATTGTTCCATGGAACCGCACTCCCGAGACATGATTCAGTAAGAGTGTCTGAACCTTGACGTTTATCCAATGCCTTCGACTACTATTAACGTCACCTTTTAGAAATGTTTGCCGATATATTCCGCCTTCATGAGATCTGATTGGGTCAAGTTATTCCTGAAGACCAAGTAGAGGTAAATTGTGATAGAAAGAGAAGGGATTTGAAGTTCGTCTTAGTCAAACACGGATCCGAAGTATGACATAGAAGGGATGCCTCGTAAGTGCCAAGTTGGAAGATATCCGAAGAATCTTGCTTCTTACGATACATCCTAGTTCGTGGCAAATAAAAGCCCTCGCGATTTTGACTAGATGATCCCTTCGACCATAACACCCGAATACTCACTCCAATTCCAACCATGCAGCTCACGCTCATTTTCACCACACTCGTTACATTTGCTGCTATTGCTGCGTCACATTCGACGCCAAAATTGGTCAAAAAACATGCTTGTGAGCACTGAGGACTCGTGCCATTCTTGTTGGTGAGAGTGATGCTGATATGCTATGCAGCTCTGGCTAGGCGCCAGGAACTTTCCTCCAACCTCATCGGTCATCTTAAACCCAGGCTTGGGATGCCCGATACACCTGATAAACCTGATGAACCTGACTCGGTTGACTTTGGCGATACGCCTGATACACCTGACTCGGTTGGTTTTGGTGATACACCTAATTTTCTCGCGTCGTCTCCCCTCCCATTTCCTCATCCCGCCAGCTCCTCTGACTCTGACTCCTCCGACTCTGACGATAAGTCCGTCGATTCTGACTCCTCCGACTCTGATTCCGACGATAAGTCCGTCGCTTCTGACTCTTCCGACTCTGATTCCGACGAGAAGTCTGTCGATTCTGATTCCGACGACTCTGATTCCGATGAGAAGTCCGTTAATTCTGACTCCACCGCCGATGCTGATGCAAGCGGTGAAGCCGACGATGACGACGACATTGATAATGATGACACAGGAAGTGAGGAGCGCGGGATGCGCGAGGAGGGCGAGGAGGCTGAATCTTACCATGCCCACACGAGAAGGTCTGACACAATAGACAGTGGCGACACGGGGCGTGAGGATGTTGGATCTCATTACGTTCACAAGAGAAGCCCCCACTCCCGCGACCCTAAATCCTCCGCCTCTCATTCAACCGACGAAAGTGACAATAGTGACAGTGGCGACACGGGGCGTGAGGATGTTGGATCTCATTACATTCACGAGAGAAGCCCCCACTCCCGCGACTCCAAGTCCTCCGCCTCTCATTCAACTGACGAAAGCGACAACAGTGACAGTGGCGACACGGGGCGTGAGGACGTTGGATCTCATGACGTTCACAAGAGAAGCCCCCACTCCCGCGACCCTAAATCCTCCGCCTCTCATTCAACCGACGAAAGTGACAACAGTGACAGTGGCGACACGGGGCGTGAGGATGTTGGATCTCATTACATTCACGAGAGAAGCCCCCACTCCCGCGACTTCAAGTCCTCCGCCTCTCATTCAACTGACGAAAGTGACAACAGTGACAGCGGCGACACGGGGCGCGAGGATGTTGGATCTCATTACGTTCACAAGAGAAGCCCCCACTCCCGCGGCTCCAAGTCCTCCGCCTCTCATTCAACCGACGAAAGTGACAACAGTGACAGCGGCGACACGGGGCGCGAGGATGTTGGATCTCATTACGTTCACAAGAGAAGCCCCCACTCCCGCGACTCCAAGTCCTCCGCCTCTCATTCAACCGACGAAAGCGACAACAGTGACAGCGGCGACACGGGGCGCGAGGATGTTGGATCTCATTACGTTCACAAGAGAAGCCCCCACTCCCGCGACTCCAAGTCCTCCGCCTCTCATTCAACCGACGAAAGCGACAACAGTGACAGCGGCGACACGGGGCGCGAGGATGTTGGATCTCATTACGTTCACAAGAGAAGCCCCCACTCCCGCGACTTCAAGTCCTCCGCCTCTCATTCAACCGACGAAAGCGACAACAGTGACAGCGGCGACACGGGGCGCGAGGATGTTGGATCTCACCGTGTTCACAAGAGAAGTAAGTCATTACAGGCCTGCTGGATCACTATGTATAACACCTGTCACACCAGAGGCTTTTGTTTACCATCTCAAGGCCGAAAAGCGCTACAACTAGGCAATATATCCGAGAGAGGTATTGGGTCTTTTCTTCTTGCATTACTATGAAGTCTCATTGCTGTTTAGCTTTCGAATTAGGGAAGGGTTGCGAGAAGACGTATTGAGTTTAATACATCATAGAGCTACAGCATCAACACGCAGGCTAGCTCAGGTTGGTGTGTTAAAATCGATTCTGGAGATCCTTATTATTTGCACGAGAAAGCAGATAACTTTGTTGAATCGATTAAGACGAGCACTGACGATCACATTCCGAGTTTCTTACCTACTGGCAAGGCTTCACCTTTTAGAGATCATATTCGCGAGAGGTTCGAGTAATAAGTTCCCTACTTCTGCACCAAATATTCGCGAGTTACGTCTCTCTAGCCACTGCATGCGGCTGCTACTATGTCACTGCCATTGGCTCTTTGCTAACGATAAGGCGTAATTGTACTTCTTTGTAAGTATCAGATGAGCTTGCTACAGTCTACCTGCCAGTCCACCTGCATGCGATCCGACTGGGTTGAGTTATCTCATGAGGGCCTCGCATAAGCGATCAATACAGCAACTTGAAGAGAAAGATTTGAAGCTCGTACGGGTATCAGCAAGAACAGGCTCGAATCGTATCATGACGCCTTGTAAACGAAGAGCCCTGAGTATCATAACCCCGGGTGTCCTCTCGGTCTTACGATATCCCGTGTGGAGTTGAGCGCTCATGTATTGATCGAAGTTCATGGACACTTTACAGAAATTGACATGAACGACCATCATATCCGGTTCCCGCCCGCTACGTGCACCCAGTCTTCCACCGGCAGCACGCTACCGTCCACGTCCAGTGCATGGCCGTATTTACACCGCGCGCTGCCAGCACCTCGACGCACCTCTGTTTCGGGGCTTGCCACCACCGGCCAGAAAGCTCAACGATCTTCCGAAACAACACAGAAGCTTGTCCTTTTACCCTCTGCACCACAAACAAAGCCTTTACTAACAACTGTTTCCGATGATATCCTTGGCTACGAGACTGATACCCGCGTCATTCGTGAATACAAGTCAGCTGGCGAGCGCGTGGGCAAGGAACAGAGAAATACCCAAGAGGGGACTCGGATGTCCATACCGCTCATCTCGTTTAGGCGCGCGACAGTGAGCCAGCAGCATCCGCCCAAGACCACCGTGACCCTGAATCAGGGGAAGCAAATGGCACAAGTACTCCGGTATTATATCAGAGGTGGGAGTGGGATATATGGGATATTTGAAATGGACAAGATGCGTCCCTTAGAGACGTTACTCATGTCACGTCCTGTCACGTCGCGTTGATATTATACTTAGACTTGGCTTATGGCGCCATAATTTCTTCAAATAACGCTGGGAGTCCGGACCAACATTTAATCAAGGGTTTTTTTTTCGTTGTTCAATCCAGTTTTTGGCGGTTCAACTGGCCTCGTAAATTATGGATGACGGGAAGGGCATGATTGAATTCAGTTTAGGCTTACTACCCAATACTTGCCCATTTGTCTTCGGGACCTCCCGTCTAACCATGCATTCTAGTACACGCTCTCGCCGCAGTGACAACCTACAGGTAGGAGTACTAGAGGGGGGGCGCTGAGGGCGGGGGGGTAGGCAGAGTTGCCCGAGCCCGCTGTTACGAGGACGCCGGTTATGTTGGAAGTGTTGATCGTGGGTATGCGACTCGTTGGCAAAAGTTGGCCAAACCAAGACTCTTGTGCCATGTCGAGAACAGCATGGTGGCAACGTGGAGTTGTTAGGCCTGAGTGAAAGGGCCTGGTGCTTTGTAAGTTTTCTGTAAGTGCGGCATTCGGAAGCCAAGAGGGCGTGCAAGGGGGCAAGGAAAGATAAACGTGTTATATTCGCCTCATTTTACCGCACGGCGCAGGCGAGTTCACGTGACTTCGGTAGGGCTTGCCCAGAGCGATGTAAAGGTTGGTGTATGTGTACTTGATACAAAGTCACTCGAGGGTCGCCGTGACTGATCCGACTCTGGATGATGTTCTTTCCTTTCATCCTGGCAGTTGTGACACTCCTGCTTTCTATCCTTTACAGGCCGTCTGAATTTAACACAGATGCGCTATTAGAACAGACTGTGTCGCCTCCACGCGTCCTCCTATTAACTGCTCATCCTGACGATGAATGCTTTTTCTTTGCGCCAACAATTCTGGCACTTCGGCGAAGTAGTTTAAGTCCTGAAATCTTCTCCTTATGCTTATCCAACGGAAACGCTGATGGTGTCGGGGAACAACGAAAGGGGGAGCTTGCGCGCAGCTTAGACATCCTTGGAGTTGAGAAGGATAACCGTTGGATTATTGAACATCCGTGCGTCATCCCGTTACATAGAGTTCATAAGAGTTTGACAAGTTGCTTTAGACAGCTGCAAGATAACATAACACAGCAGTGGGATGCAGAGATTATTGCTCAAGTCCTTCAACCATTCGTGATCGAGCATCACATCACTTCTGTCAGAAACCAAAACCACTTTCATTGATGTAGTGTGCTACTAACCGTTATTTTATGGCAGATCTTGACTTTTGATATCAAGGGCATATCTTTGCATCCCAATCACTTTTCGCTCCCTTTGGGTGTATCATACCTCATCAAATCTCTGTCATCTTCCTCACATATATCTGTGCCACGTCTCTTCAGTTTGGTCACAGTGCCGGTCCTTCCAAAATATGCGGGGCTGCCGTCTGCCATTCTTGCTCGCCTTGGCATCGTCTCTCGAGCTTTTTTAGCCTTTGAGCCTACGGTGGATTCACTTCCCGTCTTTATTTCAGGGATTTCGGACTACCTCACAACTGCACAGGCCATTTTAGCGCATGACTCGCAGATGGTGTGGTTTCGCTACTTGTACATGTCGTTTTCGAGGTATATGTGGGTCAACGAATGGGTCGAGTTCAAGTCTCAGAATGCGTAGGGCAAGATCTACTTAATACTACCATACCAGGGTCCTAAGTCAGAGTAATCTAGAAGACAAGTAGCAAAATACATCATGCTGGGCTACAAACATACTGAAGATATCATGTTCGAAAATACTTACGTCGGATAGAAAAAGCTATCCAGTCCTGCTACTAGTTATCGACATCATGATCATGGCATAACGCACTATGCTTTCTCAATTTGTTCTTGTTTGTTGCATTTCAGATTTTTGGTTTGCCTTGTTGAGTTGCCAAACGCCTGGGCCGCCAGAGTCGAGTGCACTATGACACGTTTCAGTGCCGCCGTCAGCGACAGTAGCGATGACGAACACGATGTACATATGGTTCAGGACTTCAAGAAGTCCCCGGTGCGGTCGCCACCCAAACTATTGGAAAACCACAATGCCAAAGCTGGTTCAGATGAGGACATAGGAGTTGACCAAGAATCAGACGAAGAAACTTCAGAAGAAGATAGCTCGTCGGACATGCAGGAGGACGATCTAGCTCCCGCTCGCTCAAGAGTGACACGCAATCACGGTTTGACAGCGGATTCCGATGACGAAACTGAGGACGGGTCGGAGAGGTACAAGTTCGCGCTCTGCTTCGTCCAGTGAATCCGATGTGGACGTGTCGGCTCAACGCGAAGATGCTTCGGTGATACCATGGGCTAGACAAGTCGGTGTGGATGCACAGAAGATGCACGTCATGCAGACTTCGCTATTTCGAATCCCGGAGGAGGCCGTGGCAATTAAAGCTATGAACCGTGCAACGCGACCTCAATTCAAGTTGCCGCTTACAGTCAGGCGAAAACATAGTCGCGACTCCATTGGAGATGGGCTGCGGATGGACTCACAGGAGGTTTGTCGTGTATATTGTCTCAGTACAAGTCTTTCAATTAATTTCATATTTTCCAGAGGGCATCATTTGCGCATGACATAGAACCACCAGCTTACAGACCGTCTAGAAAATATGCTCGAGTGGAAATTTCTGCCTCTGCTGTAGCAGGCTGTGAAGATGGTCTGGTAGATGCTGGTTTGGCGTTTGGCCGATCCTTCCGCGTAGGCTGGGGACCAGGTGGTACTTTAGTCCACCTTGGGCGACTCTCTGCTCCGTCGAGTCAAATGTAAGCTTTCGTGCATCTTCTTGCAATAATAATGTTTAGCTGTGGACGGTGTATTATAGCAGTGACACCTCTGCGAATTCTTCAGTCATCACGAAGACAATCGTACCGCTCTTCGCACGTTCTCATAAAGAGGCCAGCGTTCGGCTTTCACGTCTGCTGCAACACCACTTGAGCAAAACACCAATTGTTAAAGACGAAAGTGGAATCCCATTCGCCGATCCAACGGCCGAACTTGATTTTTCTTCTTTTGTGTCCCTGTATCCTTCCTCCGACCACTCCGATGAACAGTCTCTTTTCCGACTTGGTCGCGCGTTATTTGACAGCATCGACTTACACCTCGCACCGGAAATAACTGTTGACGTGCGCAATCGGATATCTGCAGTGCGCCGAAAGGCTGCACTGTCAGATTGGCTTGAGGAAGCTGTCGGCTATCTCGTAGATGCTGATCTCAAGAAATTTTCCTCTGGCGACTCTGCTGCGTGCATTTACACTCTCCTTACAGGTAACCAAATAGAAAAGGCTTGCGAAGCAGCCATGGACAACGGCTACATCAAACTTGCAACTCTGATATCACAGGCTTCGGGCGACTTCGAGTTCAGGGAGGACTTGATGGAACAAATTCAGCTTTGGCGGGAACAGCGGATAGACGTGCACATCGGGGAGAGCACGCGCAAAATTTACGCCTTACTCGCTGGAATACTAGATGTTGTGGAAGGTTCAAAAGCCAGTAGTCTAGAGCATTGTCCGGACGTTGACCCTATCAAGGGTCTAGACTGGAAGCGCACATTCGGTTTACATCTGTGGTTCTCTGAGCCGATGGACGCACCAATATCACAGGTCTTCGAGTCCTACAACCGATCACGACAAGAATCGCCTTTTCGTGTCGCCCCTCCACTTCCATCATACCTCGAGCACTCATCAGAACCGTTGCCATTCAATGTTCCTACCCCATCGCCTTCCGACGCTCTCTTTTCTTTAATTCGCCTACATGCAGACCCTGCATGCTCATTATCACAGGCCCTCTCCCCACTCTCATTCGGGCCTTCACCAGGCGATTACTCACTCTCGTGGCATTTGTATATCATCTTATCACGGTGTATGCGTATCCGTGACTTCGCCGATCGTGCCGATCCGGGAAATCGCAGGGACGCCATGGATGATGATAATGAACAAGATCAACATGAAGGCCATAGTCCAAGTGCTGACCTGCTTGCGAGCAGCTATGCACATCAACTGGAGCAGCTTGGCATGCTCCAGGAGGCTGTTTTTGTACTTTTACACATTGAAGGCTCTGCAGGGTGAGAACACGTTGTCAATCTGTATGTCTTGGCTACTCACGGTGATGGCAGTCGTGAAAAGGCGATAAAAGACCTTCTTCACCGCTCTGCTGACAAACTGGACGAGTGGATGTGTAGCGGCATTCTTGGAAGCCTCAAGATCCCTGTGGCTTGGGTGAATGAAGCAAGGGTCAGCATTTTATTCTTCTCCTTACTGAAGCACTCACCCTTTCGCGTAGGCTGTGTATGCTATTTATGAAGGCAAAGTTTTCGAAGCCTACCAATTATACTTGAATGCAGGATTGTATCAGCAGGCTCACGACCTTGCTGTTGTTGAGCTTGCACCTGAGGCAGTCATCCGGCAAGATCTTGATCCTACTTGTATCATTATTTGAAAGAATTGCCAATCAGACTGTTGATGGATGGCATACTCGGGGCAAGGTAACGTCATTTCTTCTTCCGCTCGACCCATCTATCTGAAACTTGGAAACTTGTGGCCTGACTAGGTCTACATGGACTATGCTCATGCCATGGCACGCATTCCCGAGCTGCATGCTTCGCTGACAGAGTCAGCAGTGCCAGACACAGTTGAGGAGCAGGAGTTGGATAATTTCACCCGTACTGTGCCCCGTCTTATCAACGTTTTGCCCGATGTGTTGTCCAATCCATCCGACCCACGACACAAAGTCGCACTAGCCGAGATGATTTCTGGCCTAACAGCTGTGCTTGATATAGTGAGGCCCTTGGCACTGGTGCGTCTCTTCTTTTTTTTGTTCTGCTGACTAGGAAGCTGAACGTTGATCCTTGTCGCAGTCGCAGTCACAAATAAAGTTGACCGCAATCGACGAGGCAACCAAGTTACGCCACATACAAACAACATTCTTCGAAAAATATATGAGGTCAATTCAGGCCTCGTGATTCCTGTTTTGCCGAAAGACTGCTTCTTCGCAGTTTATCGTTGTATTTAACTGTTGTGAATACCTTTCCTTCCCGTATTGTATCTATGCATTGATTGAAGTGGGGACCTGCTCGTTCATAATATTCGTGTGATTCTGGTTCAGCTCTGTTTGAATTTCGTTCACTGAAAGAGCGCTTAAAGACCTGTTTTGGGTTGACTTCGGAGTTCGTCTCTTCCGTCAATAATGCTGTCCCTAGCCATAGAGACTGCTGATGCGCACCATGATACGGACTTACGTATCAGGTGAATCAAATATTTAATGTCCCTGAAAAATAGTATCGCCATAAACTCAATCTCTATCCGATCATATGCGAACTGAGCCGGGAACAACTTCCAAAAGCTTCGGAGTCACGACTTGCGCGTACCAGTGGCCACTCTGCTCTGGCTAACCTTCTACCAGCCTAGTTTGTGCCGTTACACGCCTATGAATGGCACCAGCCGGATCGCCGCAGTACGCATGACGTGTCAAATTTAATCTTGTTCATACAAGTCTAATTGGCTCATAGTTCCGAAACTTCACAGAGCTTTCAAATGCGGGCTTGGTAATTCAGTCCCTTTGCCTTTGCAATCATACAAAGCAGTGTCGGTAGCCTCGCGGCCTCCACTTGACATGCACGAGCCTCTCAAGGGGTGTACTAGTAGTGCCTCCGAGTCTCATAGTAGTAGGGCTCCGTGCGTCACGGTCAATTTGAGTGACCACAAGGCACTTACTCGGATCTTGAAACAAGTATTAACCAGTGCTAAATACCACAATTGCTTGCTCCAACTGTTTGTTTGTGGTGATGCTACTTATCAGACAAAATTGGGCAGCTTACTGAATTTTAAATTTTAATTTGGCCATCTACGCTATTGGTGGGTCAATGACGGAGAGGTTCGCCGCGCACCGGAAGGAGCTGCGCGGAATGATTACTGCGCTGAACCCCCTTCTGGAGTACCGGGAGGAGTCGTATGATTCTGTTTCATATAGGAGCTGTCACACCTCGGTACTAAATCGATTGCGGGTCCTCCGACCATTGAGCTGGTCACCAGTGCAAGTCCATTTAATAGGAATAAACATTAATTTATGGATGTTCTAGATAATAAATACCAGCCATCTAGTATACGACATCTACTGTTTGTCCATGTGCCATGCAGTCCAAAACACCGTTTCAGTCTATGTTCTTCCCGCACTGCAACAGAATTGTAGCCAGCACGCCAAGCTCCAAGAGCCCAAGCTGTACCGCATGGGGCGTCAATTCAAGTGTCACAACATCGTGTGTCTTCGATACTCGGGCGAGTACGTCATACGAGCCCGGAATAGATAGCTAGTTGGCAGCATAGCACCCGGATCAGCTATGGTTCGCGCGGTGGATAATATCCAACGTACCTGCAGAAATCTGTCATGTGGTCTCCAGGAGTAGCCAACGCCGTTGTGGACCATGAATCGGTGACTACCGGATTTTACATGAATGACCCCCGCATTCAAAAATTAAATTAAATTGGACGCACCTCCTGTCCGTCGAGAGTCTAAGCCAGTGGCCCATGGGCTGTTTTGCGACCAGAGAACGCACCTCGACTGTGGGGTGGTCCCGCCACTCCAACAGCGCGATATTCGAGCCTTGTGCATCCTTCAGCATGGTGTGGCCCCCGTTCGTCACGACACGGAAATACGTCTCGTTGCGCGGTCCGACCACCATGCAGTTCAAGATCGTAGGGCTCAGCGACGTGAACTTGAGTGTGATCGCGCCCGGAAGTGTTGAGGGTGCAGAGGGGTAGGGGAGGGCGCCGAAGATGGACGGCGGGGGGACGCTGGAATCCCAGGTCGACTGACCGTTTCCTGCGTTCCATGCATCTTGCGCTGTGAATGGGTTGCTTCCGTACATGACTGCGGACGTGAACAGGGAAACGGTTGAGTGAATGAAGAACTTGTGTGTTGACAGCTTGGAGCAGCTCCATTCTTGATATACGATCCAACGCATAAATGCGATGCATGAGAGGGGCATGACTCGCTCACTGCAATGTAATTCGCATTACACAACTGAACGCACTGGTGGACCAGCAACAGAAAGGTTGTCACATGGAAAATAATGCCAAGGTAGAAGTGTGTCAGCATACTATGCAAATCTGGGAGAGAAATTCCGCGGCCTGCCTGGCGTGACCACAAGTCAGTTATGGTACACCGCGGTGACATCTGACATGGCTACGAAGGATGTGCTTGTGCAGAGGTGCCGAGCATTGAGGCGCTATATGCAGTACATACTGTCATCATTGGTCGGGAGTTGCATGTGATATGCAGTGCTGGACGTAGTAAGGTCAAGGCACGCCGACTCACCTAGGCGCGCACACCGTAGTTAACGGACAATAGATTTTTGCGACTTAGAGTCGGCTGCCCTGTAGCAAGTGTTTTAAATACCCGCGTGTAGTTGGAAGTTTGAGAAACAGCATCCGTACCTCGTCGGGAAGGCATCAAAACATTATCAATATTAAGACCACAACATTCCCAAACACGTCTCATCCAGAAACGTTTCAAGTTGGTAGTTGAACGTTGAACGTTGACTCGGAACGTTCAGCGCTACTCCGGTCCATAGTGACGATGTCCTACTAAGCATTCGCAATCAGAGTTTGAAGGAGGTCGTTAATAATGACATTCCTCACTGACCACTGTTGGTACCAAGCCGTTGCAAGACAACAATTTAATTTTATAGTTGGACTTATTAATGGCCAGTGCAGCTCAACAAATTGCCAAGCTGAGCACCACGCCACGAGTCTCACGACAATGACGGCACTTATGATAACTGGTGAAAATAACTTGCATGCAGTAAACCGCAGTAAACTCGAGGGCGGAAGAACGACTTGGCATGAACATGCAGAGCAGTATTAGACTGACACGGATTCCTGGACGATTCGTCGTTCATTTGATACAAACAAGCGAAAGGGGGGATACTAAAAACATAGACATGCAATGATGTACAACGGATGTTGATGCACTTTCATACAGCCGACCAATACAACATGTGTACCGCTTAGAGAAGTAAATGGACACCGTACTACGTGGCATACCTGCAATAAATAGATGAGATGAGATCATACTGAATATTGTTGATACATACTTCCTTGTCCACTCCCGAGCCGTTGCTTCGTAGCGGGTACGATCAGTCTTATACAGATGGGCGATATCGTGCACCAGAGGATCATCGGGATTGGGATCCGTCAACATCGAACAAATCGAAAGTAACACTGCATGAAGCACGATATAGGCCACAATAATGAGAATATAGCATACTTGCATACCTTTTGATATAGTCAACGCTGGCGACCACTGATCCCTCAAAATATCCAGACAAATGGATCCATTGGCATTGATGTTAGGGTGATAGATCTTCGTCCTAAAGCTGACTTTGGGTGGCTTGAAGGGGTAATCGGTTGGGAACGTAATTGTTAGGAAGAAGACCCCGCCCGAGTACGGTGAGTCGGTCTATCACAAATGCCACGAGCGCTAGATCAGTAATAGAACCGAGATTAAGAGTAAGATGTCGTACAGGGCCCATGATTGTTGCTTGCCATGAGAACATGTTGTCGCCTACAGGACCTGCGCTGCAGGATGAGGGTGGGTCACGTCCGAGGTCAATCAATTCCTGTGCGCCACATGTCAGAATTGAGCGCGGGCATCGCCACAGGAGCACAAGTAGTAACACACGGACCTTGTTGATGCGCTTCAAGGCCATGGCAGCGAGTTGTTATACAAGATTCGAAACTGCAGCAACAAGCCAGAACGAATCGCCGAGAGATCGACCAGAATCGCACACGATCAGAGGATATGATTAGAGCATGGGTATAGACGCGGGATGATTGGCAACGATATCAAGACAATGAGTATGAATAAGGCATGAATAGTGAGAAATATGAATTGCCCGTGAAAACTAGGAGAGGACTTACAGATGAGTTTGTATGACGATGAGCGGGAATGCGGTGGTGGTAAAGGGCAAGTAACAAGACCAAGAGATTGTGGCTATTTATGATGTTTGTATCCTGTTTGGTCCGGTCGCTGACAAAAACAGCGCGTATCTTTCGAGACCTGGAATCTCTTTGGCACAATTCTATGATAACCGTTTAACGGATTAAACCCCCGGACGGGCCCCAAGTTCCGTTATTGTCGTGTTAATCCAACGAGTACACCAGACACAGTTGATCTGGAGCGCGAAAAGACCTACAAAGTGAGCATGTGATTATTAATAGAGTCATAGGTAGTTGCTGTGTATACTACAGTCGGCTACTCCAGCCCGGCTGCCAGTGCTTTCAGACCTTGGGCAACGTTCTATGCTAGAAAACCAAAGAACGCCTCGACAGCACTAGTAAAGGTCAGCGGTCGAGTACATTTGACATGGGCGCTCACTACCCTCAACCCTGATTCACAGCTCGTTCGAGACCAGGTACTCGACCAGATAACACCCAGCTTGCCTCAATTTGATATTTTAAATACAATTTCAAGATCGCTTGATGTTATTAAATATACAATGTATCCAAGTCCCCTGTGATAACGCCTGAACAAATGAAAAAACTAACATACTTACCAATCCCGCACAATCTCCTCACTCCTCGTCCTCATCATCACTGATGACTAGCACCGTTTCCTCGCACGAAGGCCAAGAAAATCTAGTCGTCACAGCCGGTGTCTTACTCGGCACACCCACCGAATCCATCTCCATCAATCTGCATCGCAGCTCAGCCCCACATTGTCCCTAATGTTCAAAGTTCACATACCTGCTCCACTCACGAACAGCGCACATGATGTTTTCTTTCTCTTCTTTGCTCTGCGCCTGGCTGAGCTCCGCAATAAGCTCCTTGCTTCGTGTAATGTACTGTTCAAGCTTCTGCTGCTTCTGAAACATCTCCTGTCGTGTATTCAAGGGCACCGCGGGTTTGAGCGGCGTCGGTTTGATGCTTTCTATTGTCTCGGAAATAAACGTGACAGCAAGTTCTTCCAAGCTCCTACTCAAAAATCAGTGTCGATAAAATTCTAAAAAAAAAAGGCAGAACAAACGTTGCTGACGAGACGGTGGGACTGGGTTGCGCAATGGCAACTTCACCGTTGACAGCAGATGGCGCAGGGGGGAGTGTTGCAGGGCCAGTGGACATGGGAGAGGTAGTTGCGCCACGAGCATTCGCCTTGTTCTGCTTACTTTCATGAACGAGCCTTCGCAAGTTCATTTCATGTGCGATCTTGTCCACCGATGGTTCGTGTACCGACGGTTCGTTTGGCAAGGGTACTGGTAGTCGTGAGGGGAAACAGGAGTCGGTGGAAGGACATGTGAGAGAATTGACCATGTTGAAATTTTCTATATTTTGTGTGAATGCACTAGATTCAATATTTTCTTCGGATTCCTTTTGGGGTGCGAGTGAAATGACCTTGGCTGAGTGCGAATGTTCTGCTGATTCGTCGGCAGGTGTTTCTGTAGACAAGAGAGACGATGATAGGTTAGAATGTGAAGTGGAATTAGAACAGATGGGTTGCTGGTCGAAAGATATTGACGAGGAGATCGTTGAAACTTCTGCAAATTTTCCGTCGTGTTGTGCGGCCTCCGAATTCAACGCAGGAAGTGGACCATTGTCCGCTGAAATAAGAGCCACAGCACAACCTAAGTCCACATCCGTAGACCTAGGAGGGTCCACCTTTGCACTTTTTTCTCCACAGATTTCACTTGCCGATAGCAAATCGCCGGGCATGCCGCTCGTCACTATTGGCGAGGACATTTCCACATCCTCCCCTCGGTCGTCGTGAGATATGACGAGCTGAGTGGAGTGTGGCCGTGAAGATGCAATGGACAAATGATCCTCGTCATCGCCCCCTTGAAAAAAATGACCAACCCCAACACCATCCTGCGAGCCACTAGACACCTCAAAACACACGGAAGAATCATCGAGCGAGAACCGACGTCCACGAGGGGCTGGTACATCGATGGATGCCTCTTCCCGCTCAGTAGATGGTACGCGCCCTTGTTCGTCGACAATGGTATCTTCACTCGCCGCAACTTGTACGCCACTCGAACCTGCCTGAGGATTCGGCTCAACCAGCTGCTTCCGCTGCAGCTTTTTCTTTTGCTTCTTGCTCGACTGAACAATCGGCTCGTTTATCTTTCTGCTTCCATCCTCCACTTCGCCCTCCTCGATCTCGCCAACGCCAGCGTTAGAACCCACCCCCGTAACCCTATACCACCATGCCCGAATCGCATGTTTCCCCTTCCCCTTCAGTTGCTTACTCTGAAATGCCTTCCGCGCAGACGCAGAATCCACAAATTCCACCAGTGACTTCCCGTTCTTCGTATCCACATCGACGCACACGGGCTCTGCTTCCCCTGCATTCACCGCCCACTTGTGCACCCACGACGGGTTACGGAAGCGCGTTGGGATGCTGTCTAGCACGAGTGTACATGAAGGGTTCGGCTGCGAAGCGAGGTGCTTCGCATACGTCCCTGTCTTACTGTTTGGGTCTGCCTCCGGTGCATGTCCGATATGGAGGAGCTTGGGCTTCCGCATCCGCTCTGCGAGCAACTTCTTGGAGGAAGGCAGTTCAGGCGTTGAAGTGTCCGAGCGATCGTGGTCGTGGTCAGGATCGGTGGCCAATATAGCTTGATATCCGTTGGACTGGCTGCTACCAGCAGCAGTCGTGGATGCATCAGTAACCACAGGAGTAAGCCCACTGAACGATGTCAGACCTGTAGCACCTCCAGCTGCCGCAACGTATGGGTCGGCAGAAGCAGGTACTGATGCTGGTGGATATCCAGCAGGAGGAGTCGGGACCGGTACGTATGTATATGTTCCCGGGTTCGAATAGTCAGGATATGCTATGAAATAGGTGGGTGGAGGTGGAGGTGGTGCAACAGTCACCATCCCATACTGCGTGTGCCACGGCTCAGATGGTTCTGCCCCAGTATAATATGGAACCGGCGCGCTTGGGAATGCAGGGTTGTATATGGCGCTTTGCGGTTGTTGTTGCTGCATTTGCGGAAACGCAGATTGTGGGGCAGGCAGGATGGCTGTGGCCTGCCCGTCAGGGTAACTGTTAACTGGCTGTGTTTGTATCTGAGGATACCCAGGCTGCGGTATAGGAGATGCAATAGCGGAAGGCCCAGCATATCCATTGCTTGTAAGTTGCTGCTGCTGCATGGCACGTGGTGCAGTCGGCGGAGACCGTGGTGCAATGGGTGGAGTTTTAGGAGCCAGTGTCGGGGACCGAACTTGAGCTTGAGACGCGAGCCAGCTACGAGGTCCTTTAGGGGGAGGCGCAGCAGGCAATGGAGGACTATATGGAATATTTGACCTAGGACCTTGAGGAAGTGAAGGCACCCGCACCGGGCTTGGTGATGGCTTCGGAGGCGACGGGGCGGTAAGGCGTTCTCGTTCTTTGCCTTTCCTACTTGAGGCGAGCGCTGCCCAAGGCCCTTGGCTAATATTCGCGGGGCCAGTCGGGGCAGCGAGCAATTTGGGTTGCAATGGGCAATTCTGCTGGGACCTAAAACCTCGCTGAGGAGCTCCAAACGTATGCTGTTCCTTTCTCCGTTTCTTGTTTAGCTTACCATCACCTTTCCTCGGTGACCAGCCAGTTGCGTAAAGCTGGGATCGCTGAAACCCAATACCGCTGTCCACCCGTTTGCGTTTCTGAGCAACCTCAAGGCACACAGGCTCCACTCGACCTAGAGCGAAGACCATCTGGGTGAGTGGAGGCCACGCGCTACAGCGGCACTTACCGTCGAGGCCGCGTCCTAGACCGCGGCCTGGGCAATAGCCCATGTGCAGGGCCATAGCGTAGCCCTTGCTCGCCGTGGAAAACTCCTCTGAATTACCATCTGGTGGAGTGCGCAGCTGATCATTCTGTTCACTGTCAACAGAATCCGAATCAACTCGCAGCTGGAGGTCTATCATAGCTTCGTCCTCATCGTCTGAGATGACGATGGGAGAACTGATAGAACCAACACCTTGAGCGACCATGGTATGGTCGGTGGCCTGAGGGGTAGATGAATTGTCTGGTGGTCGGAAACCAAGATGTATCGAACTAAGAAACGTTCTGAGAGTCGATCTCATGGGTTCGTTTAAAGTCCGCTACAGTGAAGGATGCACAAGCTCGATGGCGAGCTCACAAAACGCAGATAACATGCAAGAAACACGTTGTTTGGAATTTTACAATTACTACAGTCAGCCGCAAGAAGGACCTCCGAAAACGTGATTTCCATTCGGATTACAGTAACTGATCGGCTTAAGGCCCCGTCAGACAGCCGCAAGGCAGCTAAAAATGCGCAAGGATGCAACAGTGCTGTGCAAGTCGAACCAGCGACCAAGGGTATTTCAATACACTACTTGTGCTTGCCTTCCCCACCTTGGTCTCTTTGTATCAGCCCCACTCCTACAATCACGCCGTCTGCGAGAACATCAGCCACTTTACGGCCTTCTTTGGCATGGTGCTCTGCTTGTTTAATAAATTCGGCCTTCACAGCCTTAGCGTGCGCAATCTGCACAAATAGGACATGAATTTAAATACGGCAGATAGCAGGAATACTCACCTCTTTCGTGTGGTGAAGGCACTCTAGGTAATCATCCGCCTGCAGACGGCATTGACTAGGCACGTCAGCTTCAGCATAGCACTGTGAACATTAACTGTAAGAAGTCAATTTCTCGAACGGGTATTCTCGGCTATTACTTTCGAGAATTCTTGCCAGTAGGCAAAACACCGCGAGCGGCCTAGACACGACATTGTTCAGCATTGAACATGACCAGCAGTAAATAGTCGCACCTCCAGTGTAACTGAAACCTGACTGTGTGCAAATGAAACATTAGTGAAAAAGCTTGTCATTACCAGACAGACACATACCGCCATCGAACTTGGGGAGGAGAAACGAGCGTGACGCGAATGGATCCCGGGTCACGGTCACAAGCACTAATATGAAGACGTGACAGAAGTCACAAACCTTCATTAGTGCACCGCCACACTCCGTACTGAAACACCCTCTTTGTCTCAATCCATACAACAACGCCAAGAGCAATGGCTGATCAAGCAGAACTTGTCTTTGTCAGGAGCTTTGTAAAAGTCATTGGAGCCCAGCCCATCGTGTACAGTGACGACTACAATCAACCTCCACAGAATTCACTAAAGAAAGTCCCTATCTTACCAGTGCGTGTTGGACTCGAGGATCGTGTTTCATGGCATGTTCTTACGCGAAATTTGTTTCAGGTTGAGCTCCCCCCTGTTCCAGAACGTAAAGGAGAACCTTCTACACCGCCAGGTAGATGTTATCTCCACGTTATCACTGATGGTCACCTCACCAGAGATCGCTAGCCGCATCAATCAGTATTACGTTCAAGTCAACAAAGCCTCCGCAGTCGTTCACGCTTGCTGTGCAGCCAACAGATACTGTATCCGAAGTTAAAGCCTTGCTTGCTTCTCAACCGAACGCACCGCCCGCAGAAGCACAGCGGCTTTTACTCAAAGGAAAGGCACTTGCTGACGCAAAACTCCTTAAGGAATACAGTGTGAAAGAAGGAGACACTATAAATTTAATGCTTAAACCCGGGTTTGAGTGGGATCCTACTAAATCTTCATCCCCGCCCAGCACTTCACCAGTAAAGATGAAATATTCCAATCTTCCCGAAATACAAACACCGCAACCGAAACTGGCAACAGGTCATAAGCATACACGCACGCCCTCCATCGTATTGTCGCCATCACCATCAATCGTGTCTCTCGAGCCTGAGGTCAAACCTCACGACATCGATCTGACTCTTGACACGTCTCTGTTACCCACCGCTTCAATATCGCGCGCAGCGCGGTCAAGTTATCAGACTGTTATCTCCGAGCCACCGTTTTGGGATCGCCTGTACTCTTACTTGAGGTGAGTAAATGATTGTGTTATGAGCAGTTCGTACCTAAACATATACGATCAGAACGGAATTCAGTAACGATAGTGATGCACTCATCGCTTTTGAGGACTTCCTCCGGGCAAGCAAGGGAGGGCTGACAGCCAGTGAAATCGCGAAAATCCGTGATCATGTAGGCGTTGTCGGAATGGCGGGCACGTAGAGTAATGAGCATCTCTCGAAAAGTTAGTTGGGCTTCCACATTGCACACTTGTCTTCGTAATTCGCGTCTGTCGCGGCTTACCATAAATGCTTTACCGAATTAGCTGGAATTCACGCAAGTTGCAACGATGGAAACATGCCAGAAAATTGCCAGAAAAGGTAATTTTCCGTGACTTAGTAATTTGTCTCAACAATATCTATGAATATTCCTCCGGAGTGCTGTTCTGGCTTCGCCGTTGTAGGCCAACAAGAATAATTGTTCCATGGACTAGAACGTGAACTTCCCTCCCGAAAAATCTGCCCGCCCGCAGCTTCAGCGTAAGTGCGTTCATGTCCGAGTCGCGCCGAGGAGGATTTAAAGCCGCCAACCTGCATAACCTGTGTGCACAGATGTATACTCATTTGATACATATGTTCATGTGTATCAATTTCCGTGCTGCGGTTACATAGCGACCTGTCAGTAATTACGGGATGATGGTGATGTCATTACGCTGAATGACAAATCCATGATGACGTGATTATATAATCCAGGCGCGCCCAGGCTGGTGAAGTAGACTCGTGACCAGTCCGAGACGTCTATGATCATGAGGCAACTTTCCATGTATGGCTCTAGACTTTTGATGCTTACTAGCCACTCCAAACCCCTGACTACGCCATCTTCTTCCCCACGGCCATCATCTCATTCATTGCTCCACCGCATACGAACAATGACCTCTACAAAAGACGTGTCGGGCCAGAGTGACATCGGTAAACTGAGGGCAGAGTCAGACGGCTCCTTCAAAAGAGCTCCATCAAGCTTCAGGAACTTTATCAGTAACGATGGTAAATTCCAGCCGGAGAAAGGTAAATCACGAAAACATATTTATTTTGTCGACAAGCTCAGTTGATTTACAGGAAGATACCATCTCTATATATCTTATGCATGCCGTCAGTGATAGGATTGATGCAGTCTCATTTTGACTGAACATTCCTCAGCTTGGGCTACGAGAACTCTTATCACTCGGAAACTGAAAGGACTCGAAGATTTCATTCGTCAGTTCCAACCAGTTGTGTACACTTCACGAGTTTATGCCACCTTTTTGCAGCTTTTTCTGCGGTGTCCCCTCATATGGGCGCGCAAGGCTGGCCATTCAAGAATGCAGATCCGAGTTGGGAGGATGCAGATAACGACCCAGAACATCCGAATTTCCAGCATGTCAAAGATCTTTACTTACTCGCTGATTCGAACTATGGTGGAAGGTATGTCTATTCCCCTCCCATTTGCCAACGCTTGTTACATCGTAATCAGATTTACAGTCCCGGTGCTGTGGGACAAGAAGCTCAACACTGTTGTCAACAACGAAAGCTCTGAAATCATTCGTATATTCAATACCGCCTTTAATCACTTGCTTCCTGCTGATAAAGCGGCGATTGATATCTATCCTGAAGCACACCGCCAGGAGATCGATAGTATCAATGAGTGGGTGTATGACACCGTGAACAGTGCGTCTGAGTCTGTGGGTGGAGCTTGTCTTGATGACATCGTACACTGCAGATGGCGTGTACAAATCTGGGTTTGCACAATCCCAATCCGCGTACGAGAACGCCGTTTATGCCCTATTCAAATCCCTCGACCGAATCGAGGAGATACTCAAAGGAAAGGATTACCTCGTAGGCAACACCCTCACCGAAGCGGATATCAGGTTATTCGTTACCACCGTACGTTCGATCTTAAACGCCCGTTCTGAAACTTACTGCTCCGTTTCAGACCCGCTTTGATCCCGTGTACGTAGGCCACTTCAAATGCAACCTGCGCGACATCCGTCACGGGTACCCTAACATTAACCTGTGAGGTGTCTTCCATCTTTTTAGGATGTTTGACAGTCTCATTTTCCACAGTTGGATGAGGAAGTTGTACTGGAACAACGATGCCTTCAAGTCGAGCACCAAGTTCGATCACATCAAAGAGCATTACTACTGGTCCCAGATAATGGTGCGTTATGCTGTAGGCTCTTAAGCGCACTCATACTCACACGCAGCAGGTCAATCCCTCCAGGGTAGTTGCCGTTGGCCCAGTCCCAGACATCGAACCTCTGTAAAGTTCTATTGTAACTGTAGTTCTAAAGAAAGAGCCCATCTAGCACACGACACAGACGACAAAGTTCATGTATCCCAAGAGTATCCCGAAATCGACCGTATGTATTCTACACTTTTGGTCCGCCAATATGAAATGATAGACGATAAAGAAGACAGGCGAATAAGAAATGTGAGACACAACTGACATCGCCAGTCCAAGCTTTCAATCAGCATGATTATAGTAAAGTGTCAATGGGCAAATGCTCTAAAAAGTCACAATGACGCCCATAGAGAACCCTATCACAATTGCCGAAACAACGATAGCCAAGCGTTGACAGCCTGCAGGGGGCGTGGTCGGTAGAGCAGCTGAAGAACCCGTCGAGTTTGGCGCGCCGGTGGACGATCCAGATTTCAAGGCACCCTGTGCAAAAAGAGGACATTGTTGTGAGCCATTCTGACCACCTAATACGGAGGATGATTGTGATGCAGGGGAAGATGTAAGGGTAGGCGCGGAAGAGGAAAAAGTGGTGGAGGAGAAGATGGAAGAGGAGAAGGAAGAGGAAGAGGAGGAGAAGGAGGAGAGAATGGAGAATTTATAGATGAAGAAGTTTGAAAAGACGAAGTTTGGAGGGATGGAGTTTGAAGAGACGAAGAAATCGTTGGAAACAAAGAGGAATTCGGAAGAGAGTATGAGTATGCACTTGCGGAACTCAACGAAGGACTTGAATACGAGTAAAGCGACGAAGAGCGCGATAAAAGCGTGGAACTTGAAATGTCCGGTGAAATTGAAGTAAGCGTCAGAGAGGCTGGCACATCTGAATATGTGCTCATCATGACAGAAGAAGTACAAAAATCACTAAAGCACGAGTGATGATGAAAGTCGGAAGTGTGATGAGTACCCACAGTTGCTGTTGCTGTTGCTGTGCTGGCTTTGGATGTAATTCCTCCGGTCAAAACGCCCTGGCCGTTACTGATTGTACTGTAGAAAGTACAGCTGGAAGAAGAGGGTATGGGATGCGCAGATGGTGTGACAGGCTCCCCTTGGTAAAACGTGGACGTCCCATAGACACCCATAGGCTTCGTAAATGCTCAGCTGGACAAATGTGCATGAAATGGGATTGGCACTAACCTCAGCTGAGTCACCCAAGCACTGCTCAAACACTCCCGGAGAATAGTTCGCAGGCATATTCCACTCGCACCCCATAACATCATAAATATGCTGACACATTGTCGGTGCATCTACCGCGGGCTTGCAAGCGCGGAAGCAGAATTGATCATCTGCCACAAAATTCTGGGTGCGCAAAGAACTTGATCAGGACGCTTTGGCAGTCTTTCCGAGCAATCGGTAAATTACCGTCCACTCGTGAATTTCCTCCAACGTGCCGAATGCGCTAGAGAACACAAGACCGCCGATAGGATTGCCGTTACCATCTGCGCCGTGAGGGTCAAGCTCGCCACCACTGTCGCCGGCAGGAATGTTGATGTTTGTAAGATTGCCGACGCCTGAGTTCACGTTGGAGTTGTGGATCTAGTTTGTACCATAAATGGTACTCACCTGTGACCTGAACGTAGTCTGGAGTGACGACGACGTGCGCACCAGTGATGGAACCGTCTGGGATCAGTCGTGTTCCGTACCCGCTCTGAGAGAAAATTACTACGTCACTTAGGAGGCTAAACATAGTGGCAAATCACCTGCATGCACCATGCTACTTCGATTTGCTGTAAAGTTACAGGTTCTTTCTTCGCGATCACTGGACAAAGAAGTGAAGGCATGTACCTCGGTGTTCCCGATGACCGAGTCAGGGCCTGGCTGAGGAGGTCCCCAGATACACCAATCCTGAACAGTGTTGACTGGCGATGCGCTAAGTCAAGGTTAAGGATGCTTATCGGCGATTGGTGGCGCACCATAAGCATTCTGGCACTCCGACGTCTGACTGTAGCCAGAGGTGCAGTTGTTGTAACCTGCCTGCCCCTGCTCGCTTTGATAGGGTGCGTTTGAAGGCAAATAAGTTGCCGAATAAGTAGGACTTTGAGCATAGCCTGACAGGACCAAAGACAGTGCCACGAATGAGGCAGAATGAAGTATGGGGGGCGACATTCTTGGCGAACAGACGTTGATATGCGGAAGAGAAGGGAAAGGGAGAAATTTTGGGAGTGTTGTCCTGCAGGCACGGTCATAAGATGCCTGCATTTCACCTATACCGTAACTGCGCAGGGGCATCTTTGAAGTACGCCACGTTTAGGCGTGTTCTTTACATGACGTGAGACAGGCGAAGCACGTACATGACCGAGTGACATCATGAACATTGTGAACTTTGACGTTGCCCAATCAAGTTCAACCTTGAATTAGTCATTATCTGGCGCGCAGCGAGCTGGATAAAAAGATGGCTGTTGAGCAGTAGATCTGACTATCATTGAAGGCGCTCAACCGTCAAAGAAAGGACCCGGATCGACTCAGTCGACGTCGATGGGCAGGAACACAAATGGTTGTACGTTCGACTTCTTGCACTTACATATATTTTCTTGGCCTAACGTTGTGCAGGGCCCAGGCTGTAAACGTTCTTCTGTATACCACTTTAGGCTAGTAGCATCGTACCCATGGCTTGAGTTTTTACTCGGGAATATCCTTGAGGCGAGCTTGAGGAGTACAACTAGGTTGGAGGTGATGTAGCGAGTGACACTGGCAGGAAACCAAGAAGAGTTGTTAGAAATTGGATTCTCGGCACCAACTTGAAGTTTATGACTGGAACGGCGTGCAAGCGCTCCTGCAGTAGATCTATCTTCTTCCGTTGGCGTTGATGTTCGCATGAGAAGTAGAAGTAGCCTGAGCGTAACCCATTTTCAAATGCGGTCACGCCGATAGTATTGACTAGTTGTACTGACAGTGAGTCGGCAGCATCCGTTGTACAGATTCACTCATTGGTTACCACTGCATAAGTCAGCATTGGCCGATTTCGCAGTCCGCTGCACCCTGGTTGCTCCGGAGTCCGAGTAGAGGAGATAGTACGAACTGGTTAGGCAATATATGATTGCCGGTTGTTCCATTTAATTATTCCATGTGGAGGGTCATCATGATTGATTGATCGTTGGTTTTGAATGAACTTGAGGTACTTGCTTCAAGAGAGAGCCTTTGAGAGAGTTTAGAGCGGCTGGGGGGAGCTCGTGACGACGAGAACGTACGTCGAGTCCGTATATAACTGCAGGGGGTCACGAGCCTATGCAGAGACCTCGTCATATTCGCTACCGTGACTTGTAAGATCCGTCGGTACTATTATATAATGATAATATCATATTGATGTTCCCTGAAACGAATTATAAAAGACATTCTCGTGTTACGTGTAAATAGGGTCTCTTATTTCTCTCCTTAGTACAGACTTCAGAAACATGTCGTCCAATCTGCTCAACGCCATTAAATACCTCGTCCCCATTCATTTTGAAGACCTCAACTATCTTTCGGCTCTCCTGCTAATCCCAGTACCAATCTTATTGGTTCATGTAATTCCTTATCTCAGGGATCCTTACAACCAGCGGAGCATACAGGGTCCATTCCTTGCCCGCTTTTCGGATTCTTGGCTAGGTTGGGTAGCGAGCCAAGGTCATCGCTCAGACGTTGTACATCAGTTGCACAACAAATACGGTAGCATCTGACCCACTTGACCCCACATGAACTTTACCTCATGTTCCTGCCCATAGGAACCTTTGTGCGTCTTGCACCAAATCACGTCTCCATTTCCGACCCGGACGCACTGCAAATTGTATATGCCCATGGCAACGGCAGCCTGAAATCCAACTTCTATGACGCCTTCGTCTCCATTCACCGTGGTTTGTTCAATACTAGGGACCGCGCTGACCATGGTCGTAAGCGTAAGATTGTCTCTCACGTCTTTTCGCAAAAGAATGTCTTGGAGTTCGAACCTTCTGTCCGTCTCTATGTCAGCCAGCTCATGAACCAGTGGGACCGTTTATTCGACGAAGCCCTCAAAAACAAATCTGGCACCGAGGGAGAAGGTGGTTGGTTTGGTAAGGGAGGTCGTTTGTGGCTCGATTGCCTTCCATGTATGTACCCATGTCTCAATTTCCAATAGCACTGATTTGTGTCATGTCAGGGTACAACTATCTGGCGTTTGATATCATCGGCGACTTGGCGTTCGGATCACCGTTTGGAATGATCCTGAACGCCAAAGACTCCGCGCCTGTTGCTGTTTCACAGAAAGATGTCATGAAATCCTACGGGTCGGAGAATGAGTGTGCATACGTCGATATTCCTGCCGTCCAGATTCTTAACGATCGTGGAGAGTTCTCGGCTTCTATGGGCGTTCTACCTCCCACGTGGCGACCCTGGGTTCGTCTGCTTCCCTGGTACCGCAAAGGTGGAATAGCTGTCAAGAATTTGGCTGGTCTTGCAGTCGCCGCTGTCGCCAAACGTTTTACAACTCCGACCGACCGTGTCGACCTCTTGAGTAAGCTGCAAGAGGGACGTGATGATGAGGGAAATCTCATGGGGAGAGAAGAGCTCACCGCAGAGGCCCTCACTCAGCTCATCGCCGGTTCCGATACTACTTCCAAGTAAGTCTTCTAGCCAATCATGGTCAATCATCTTCCCCATTCAGCTCAGCTCGTCATGTGCCATCACATATTACCTTGCCGCCAATCCTCCTGTACAGCTCAAGCTCCAGAAAGAGCTTGACGACGCCCTCGGTAGTGAAGATGAATACGTTTCGACATACGAACAGGTCAAACGTCTACCTTATCTGGAAGCTGTTATCAATGAAGCCTTGCGTATTCATTCGACATCTTCTATGGGTCTTCCTCGTGTAGTTCCTGAAGGCGGTTTGACTATCCAAGGCATTCATTTCCCGCAGGGTGCCGTTTTGAGCGTTCCAAGTTACACGATCCATAGGGACACCAAAGTGTGGGGAGAAGATGCGGATATATTCCGTCCAGAGAGGTGGTTTGAGCATGATAGTGCCACTTTGCAAAAAGCCTTCAATCCGTTTTCCTATGGGCCCAGGTACATGACGTTTAATGCCACGCGATCGCTGACCTGCTGATGACCCTAACCCTCAGAGCATGTGTGGGACGCAACCTTGCGTCCATGGAGCTATTAATTATCATATCTTCCATTCTCCGCCGCTACCAATTCGTCCTGGCAGATCCGGATAAAGCGGTATGTTCCTTCCATGCCGGTCATCTCACACGAACTAACTGTAATGAACTAGTTTGACACACGGGAGGGCTTCCTGCGAAAACCGGTGGAGTGCTGGGTGGGAATTAAGCGTCGGCAGGGATGAAAGGCAGAGTAATCCCGCTCTGTTTTAAGTTTATCCGCGACTCTTTATTTGCTGTTGTTCTGTTGTTTTCTTGTACAATTGCGACTGAAATTGGGCTTCTTCCACGGTACACTGTGACCGAACCAAAGTTTCAGTGGTTTTTCACGGACTCTGAGATCTGATTTGCTGGTTCTATTCTTGTTTCGTCGGTCCACCATTACCTTGATAACGACATTGGAATGGAATATAGATATATCACGGACTCCCTTCTACTATCACACTCGTTCCCTGTTCAGCAACGGTCTCAGGACCTGCATTCGTGCAGATCCTTATATAACTGAGCCTATAGTATATCTTGAGCACATCATATCTAAGCCCGCCTCAAGGCTGCGTGCAGTGCCCCACTTTATCTGACTGACAGCCTCGCGCCATGCGAAGGCAGCACCATGTCCTCAACGCGTAGTCAAACAAGCACGTCCGCACAACATTCTAGCACCAACAATTCTAACAACAATAATCAAATGATGAGTAATATTTTCGGCGCAAATGAATCGCCATCGCTGGTGGTTGCGTTTCTGGCGATCGGGCTGTTTATGGTGGTCATGGCAGCTTTGTTTGGATGGAGAAGGATGCGTAGAGGGAGGCTCGTGGTCCAACCTGCCAGGCCAGTTCGCGTTCGCGGTCGCCCAAGGAAGAAACCGATCGCGATAGGAGAGAAACCCACACTTTGGGATATGTGGACGAGAAGAAGAGACTCGGAGGTCACGATCGATTTAAAATGGGAAAATATAACGGTGCGTCAGGCTCCGCAGTCGGCGTCGAAACATAGCGCTCAGATATGCTATTGGCTCGTGGATGGCTAGCCCTTTTGCGCCACGCGCGTGTTCTGTCGGAAAGAAAAGCCTCGTCGGCCGGTCTTGATGAAAGCCACCGCTGTCGAGCCTCGAAATGTGCCCCGTTCATCGTTTGTGATGACTCGGATCTCGGCTTTTAGAGAGCACTTCCGACTGATTCGGAGTCCTCCACCTCCACCTCCGCCCCCGCCCCCGCCAGAGCCACAAGCGCATGAACTTGATGATATGTCTGAACGGCCGGAGGGCTCGTTCGTCGTGATGGCCTTCACGATTTCCATGCCGTCGCCTGGTACTAGTACTAAGAAGCGCGATAACGCCACGAACTCTGAAGTATCAGACCGGGTGTCTACGCCAGAGCTGCTTCATGATACAGAGTTGGGAGAGTATTGCATCGGGTCGGTGGAGGTGTCGTGTAGTGAAGATAGGTGACAGGGAGTGGCAAGCAGAGTGCAGAGTACTTATTCGACAGGGCTGTTTGGTCTTATCTTTGGATGCCTGATCACATGTATAATTTATGTACATGATGTACGACACTTACCTATACCTGTCATAGCTGTAGGGCTTATTGTTTCTATAATACTGGTTAGTACGGACATTAAGAGGGATTTAGTAGAACTTGCCCCGTGGAAATGGCGGCCGTTGAACGTTGAACGGTTGCATATATCACATGAGTTGTCTTCGTGTCTTGAAGGTGCTGGTGAAGCTGTGAAGGCTCACTGGCAAGCGCTGAAGCGCTGACGGGCCGAATAGCATAGCCCAGTCAGAGAGAGCCGGAGTGCAGCCGAGAAACGAATACATTTGATTTCCTAGTATCGTCAACCATACCAGTGCGTCGACAAACTACAGTAACAGTACTACTTCAACGTTCAACGTTCAACGTTGACTCGGGTAACGATACAGGGCTATAAGTACAAAGGATATAAACATATGTAGAGCTCGAAAGTGATACACGCGCACGATAACGCATAAGTAGAACAGATACACGATGCTGGGACACTAACAACACACACCTGACGAGTCGAGGAGGGGTCTGATATAGTAAAATAAAACTGTAGGTCAGCAAATTAGTTCATAAGTGATTCTCCTTTTTTCAATGCGCCACATTCTCATCAGCACTGCTGAGAGAACATACTACCAGCTAGTAGTAGGGACGGGGTCTAAAATCGCGTGACAGCGTGAGGACCACCTGCCACTGCTCTCTCCTCCTGACCAACGAGGTAAGTCCGGCAAACATGGTCGTTGAGAGCAGACAATCCACTCTGCGCACACCCGCCAAGCGTGTGTACTCAGGGTCTGAAGACGCCGTGCAGCGCGCGCGGTGTACATCTTCAATACGGCTGCGCTGCTTGAGCGACATGCCCTCCCACTCATACGTCCGCAGAAGCCCGCGGAGTGTCTCATAAATCGCTTCTAACACATCTTGCACTGTCACCCCGGTTGGATTACGGACTATTATCTCCCATCCAGGGGACAGTAGGTCACAGACGAGTTGCAACTTTGGGATAGGAGGATTAGTTGCAAACTGTGACAGGTGGGATGACAATAGAGGTATGTTTGCTACATCTGCATAATGCATTGGATTGTAGCGCACATCCCATTCTATGGGGACTTGTACGTGATAGCGCTCCCCACTGGGAGAACCAATAAAGAGGGGGTTGAGCTTGACACCGTGCGTGCGAGTTATGGATCTAGCCATGGTAGGTGAAATGTGAAAGGAGGTTTGAAAGGTTGCGGGAGGACATAAGTAAGAATACAAGTTTTATACCTGATGAAATATCCAATAACTGTCACTGATGCCTTGCGGCAGTGATGTTTAGGGCTCCACCGCAGAATAAGTTCGGACCCCGCAGTCGATACCAACAAAAGAAAACTGACTTGCCTCATCGAAGAACGCGCCGCATATTTGGCCAAAAAGAAGCGACGCGTATGCACCTTGTTAGGTTTGATGTCTCCGCATACATACCAGAAAGAGAAATGGTTATAAATGTTAACACGGCGTTCTTCCTATAATCACATCAGCCTCAACACGTTGTGATGTTGATTGTGTGAAATAGTGACGACAGGTTGCGGGGAAGAGGGGGAAGAGCATGCTGTATTGCTATGGGGCTAAGGCGGTGAAAAGATAGTCTTCTAGAAAGCGATGTCGGGCATAAGCCGAGCCGAGCGGAGACACGTATTCTCCTTTGAATGTAAGACTTCGTAAATGCCTGGGGCGTAGCCATTTGAGATGTGGAGGAAGATAAACCAAATCCAGATACGGTAGAGGAAGATGCACGTATGTATCACGGGTACATCGGCTTATGTCGGGCGAAACACACAAGGACAGTAGGACAGAGGAGTGAGTCACTGGGGCGCAGGTCCGATGAGTTGTGGCTCCAAAAAACACGAGGCTTTTGTGGCGAGATAAGTTGTATTAAGTCGTACTATGAATGGAATGCAGGGAGGCGTCGTTTCCAAACAGGGGGAGGCGCGATCACGGACTGGACGGAATGCCAACATATCAAGTGAATTTGGGACAGAGTTGCCTTCCGAGGCCCAGTTCAAGAGGACACGCAACCCTGGATAGACAATACTTGTTGGCAGGACCTATCGGATGATACCGACTTGCTGTATATTCTAACCAACGAGGACGTAAGTATCAGAATCAAGACTGTCAGATCAAAAAAAAAAAAGATGTGATTTGGTGGTGGCTCAACCCATGTATTTGTGCGAGTAACGGACCAGTGGCTCGTCTCATGTTTCAAGTATTGCAAAGTAGACGAAGCGCAGTCCAGAATAACAAAGAGTCCAAGACTATAATAGTGCAATAATTAATATACCCTGGTAAGGCACGTCAAAGAAAGATAGCACGAAACACGTAGCAGTCGTAAAAATCAGAACAAGCGTCACAGCTACTGCGAGTCCAAGTCATGATAGTACACGTTCGATGTCCCAATAACGATCTCATACAATGGTTGGTGCTTCTTCGATCCCACACCTTTCGACAAAGGTGATAACAAATCTGGCGGTCGCGGCATGGCTATCAAGACAGAAACTTGGAGAAGAGATCGATCCAGCGGGAGCTCCATCTTCGAATGATTCAGATGTGGGGAATCAGTCACTTTAACTAGGGTGGGAGGAGAAAAGAGATAGGTTATCTCAGGTGGTATGCGGTTGATAACCTGACGTTTCCAGAAAGAAGGTCTCGGCGTTTGGCGGTCCAGTGGCGGTGGCAACGGAATGTCGTACTTTTCCGTTGCTAACGGCTATGAAGGTGACACAAGATCAGAAGGACCTAGGCACTAACGAGAAATGGGCGCTACCTGTGTGTCCCTCCATTGCGAACAGTCCTGACCTAGTAAAACCTGTGCATCCCACAGTAGAGGCTTCTGCATACGCCTCCTCTGCAAGGGGATATCGATATCAACCCGCAACATCTCATCGATCATCTGACGCCGTATGACCAGACGATGCCATACGAGTCCACTGATCATGAATAAGCCGAAGAGTGACAATACACTGACAAGAAAACCAAAGAGTAGAGATGAACCGCTACCCGACGTGTTTCCACTGCTTGTCGACGTCGAGCTGGGAGCGTATGATAACGTCGATGAAAGCAACGAGGAATATTGGCTCGTTGATGACGCAGTCATGGTTTCCTTCAACGACGACACCTAAGCGTGGGGGGCATTCCCAAGGCAAACGGATGCATAAGTATGTAACACATTACGGTGTCGAGCGTGAGCACAACAGTGCCTCCTAGTTCCAGAAAGCAACCTTTTTTTGTCTCACTAATCGACTCACGTGACATGTCGTAACTGACTGGAAGGACAAAAAGAACGGGGCAGCATAATAGAATACAACAGGGTAAATGATATTGTTTGCAACTTACAATGCTGTAAAATAAGATAAAAATGGAACCTTGCAAGCGTCCATCACCAGTTGAGATCTGGAGCGAAAATGCCAGTAAACCTGAATGGTCCTAAAATACACCAAAACCCACGCACCGTGTTGAAGCATAGCTCTTGCCCGTTCCCTCCTTCGAACATCATCCAGAATTCCCATAACGTGTCTGTCTAGCATATCGACGTATGGCTTGAGACTTGTATGCTCCCAATCTAAATCAAAATATGAGTGAAAACAACGGGTACAGTGACAAGTGCACTCACTTGCACCCTCGCCTGCCTTGTCGAGCTCTTGAAGGAGTTGCATGACTGTGGGAACTGCATTGGGGTCGAAATTTTCCACACGGTTCGGGTCAACGGGGACGCAGACTCGGCCGGTTTTAGGATGCACACAGAATGGTGCTTTGAGAAGATGGTTTCGGTGCTTGGATACTTCGGCATCCAGGCGTGGATATGTATATTGCAGGATGATGTCCTCTAGAGCGGCTAGATTTCGGGCCTATAAAGCGTCAGGAATGGCATGGATAGTGGGAGTGAGGTACATACACCTGTACCCTTCACCTCAGCCTTCAGCTCGTCCCATTTCTTCGACGATTCTATACCGGACTGTTTCTCCCACCGCTCCTCGAGAGTCTCGACAATTTTCTTGTCCGGAACCAGTTTAAGCAGCGTCCGCCAACCGTCCTCGGACAGGAAGCATTCTTGGTTATCCAACAATGGATACCACATCCTACTCCCTTCATCGCGGGCATGCCACAGAGAAGGTGGCAAATCCCCTGGGTGGCTCTTCGTGCCTATGCCTCTTACATTCACCTTCTTCGCCATCTCCTTACCTCCTTCTATCACAGTAAGCGCCCCGACTACAGCTCTACGTAGTTCGTCGGTGAGCCCCATGGCCTCGTCGTCGCTGACCCACAAATGGATGCCGCGACGGCCCGAGTATACCCATAACAAATGATGATATCCAAATTGCATGCGCAAGGCTGAGTCAAGGACGCGCACGGCGTTGGCGATGAATGCCCAGCAGCGTTTACATATTCCCGCTGATGTGCAGCATGTGCGCACGCCATCATAATCAGTCATATCGATATCGAACACCAGCTCGCGCTTTAACGGGGTGAAGAGCTTCCCAGATTTCACAGACCGCGCCAATTTCCGTTCGCTTGGCTGGGACGTTGTCAGCATAAGTGCCAGGCAGATTGAAAGACAGCTCACCCGAGATGAGTACATGGGCCCGATCTCGAAACGCGTCGGATTGAGTGCGCACACCTGCTTTTTGAGTTCCTCTGCATTCGAAAAGCAGTTATAACGTAGATACACGTCTCCCTGGAGAGTAAATGCGAATTCGCGGTTTGTAAACAAATCTTTTGGTGCGTGTTCCTGATTGAGCCATGTGAAGATGGATTTGAAAGGGTACAGCATGCGGTAAAACTGGAGCATCACTTCCGGCGATGTCTCTGCAGAGTCGGCCATTGTTGAACGAAGGAATAGCAACTAAGTGTACACTCGATGAGTGCTTCCAGAGCAATTTGAGTGACACAAAGCACGTGAGGAAACGTCACGCGCGCAAGTCACACTGTGCTTCGTAACGGCCGCCGCCACAGTACGAACTTGCAAGTAGTTTGGAAACAAAACACCAGATGGGCATGAAACCGGTATATATTTTGGGTATTTCACATCTAAGTTTTTCAGTACGCAACATAACGTCTTGCATGTCATATGGACTGGCTGCAAATCTCGAAACGAACGGATCAAGTCAATACAACTTATGTGCACTACACGTGCGAGAGACCGAGCAATCAACATAGCTGCAAGATGACCAGTCAATATTAAATTTGTAACAGAGGCAGAAGTGAATATTCGTCATTACGATCGGAATGTGCATTCATAATCGTCCGGCGTTCAGTGCAGGCTTCCATGTCACTTGTGCATACATAACAAGCTAAAGATCAAATGTCCAAGAACAGGTTGGATCTCATTGTCATTCTACCATCTTCTAGTTTGTCACTGACAGGAATTGAGATTAGACTCGTTGAATCGAACTGAAGGTGTTGAGTGGCAAGTGTCTGCGGCCCTTGACGGCGTAGTATGTGTTATGAATCTCCAAGTTGCAACAACTTAGGATCACAACACAAACGACATTCATTGGAACACTATCAGTAGTCCTAAGAATGATTTTAAAATGTCGTGGCGGCCGCCAGGGAAATGTACTGACCTGTATGAATCCTTCAAAACAACAACTACCCCCATGTACCCAAAATTTGCCATTCGAGCAGATTAGAGCTTCTACTGGAATATTGTGAGGGCATATAAGATAATACCGACTGAATGTCGTGTGCAATACAGATAGAGGCATGCACGGTGGTATCACTTGCCGAATTAAAGATGGCGGCGTGAGTCCTAGGTTCATTTGCGCCTCTTTCCAATAAGGAAGGGGAGTCCGTAGAAAGACATCAGAGCCCCGTCGACTGAAGGGTATAAATACGATTCAGCACAATAAAAGGGACGACGAGCATTGAGCATCAAGGACAGAGAGAAGAGGCTAGCCGAGAAAACATCCTATGCACCAGTCTAAAGTCGCGGTAGATGGAGTCTGTCCATCTAGTGACTTAGTCCTACATTCGAAGCTCCTTGAAGAACTGACCCCACCAGAGGTCGGAGAATTTTTTGTTGCGTGGCAAGTGCGTCCATATTAGTATGATACAACTCTTCCACGTGCACTTCCGGGCGTGTCTGTGGCTGAGTTTGACCTTCAGTTTGGACCACTGCAGCTGAATGCCATCACTAATCTTGCACTGATCAATAATGTCTGTCTCTGAAACGCAGACACGGCAGGATGACTTGAGATCCACAGAAGATATGCAGAGCGTGGAGGTTGTTGACGAAGAGCCCGGAGACGATACGAACTCAGGTGCGATGACCAAGAAACGGAAAGAGAAGGAACCGCAGCACGAGCGCGAGCCGGGAAAGTCAATCTTACCATTTTCAAGAGTGCAAAAGATAATCAAAGCGGACAAGGTAGCTGTCAATGTGATCCTACCCAGATGGCGTATAGCGTGATGCAGCATTTCAGGAACTTCCAATAGTCGCGCGCGACGCGACTTTCTTGATCTCACTTGCCACCGAGGAGTTCATCAAAAGACTTTCAGAGGCATGCCAGAAGCTCGCGGAGCGGGAAAAGCGAACAACCGTGCAACAGAAGGACGTCGGTACGTCTGGAGCTTGCCGTGTCAGTACTTCATTTTTCAGTTTCATTCTCTAGCAGCAAGTGTAGTGCGGCGAGCAGATGAATTTATGTTCCTCGAGGGTACGTTCCTCTCGGGCTTAATCATCTCCTCTTTTCACAGCGTCGCATGCAGAGATCATCGCTTTTCAACGCACGGAACCTCCACAAAAACGCAAACCTAAAGCATTACAGGATGCAGAGAGCCAGAGTGAACCAACGATGCTCGATAAGTTTGTCACTAGAGGAGAGGAGAGTCAGGAACTGGATAATAGACCCCCTCTGGATAATGGAGACCAGGACGCTGTTGGAGAACCACGCAAATTTAAGCAATAGTACGTCAGACATCTAGATTTTCTGAGCTTTTTGCTAATTCTTCTCGCCAGTAAAAGCAAGGAAATTCTATCGGACACAGACGATGAGGAGATGTCATGATTCTGGTAGATTTCTCAGTATTGTCTATGTCACTTTCGTTCGCGTTGGACTCCTGTCGAGTCACCCCCGCCGATGTTGTCATGGACGAAGATGGGACAATGTATGCAGGATAAATGCGTAATCTATGAGGATAAGAATACTCGGCCCGATTCTTTTGGAAGACATGACTACCCAGGAATGGCTGACGAAGGTAAGTACATTCCCTCACTTTTCAGATCATCACATGGCCGAGGAGGTTTGTGTAAGTGTGATTCTTTATAGCTAATGCAGTACTTGACTACTGTTTCTCAAAAGCATGGGTGACTACCAGGGCCGTGTAGCCTCTCGCGTGGGTGTTTCGGAGTGATCTCCGTCGCCGCATCACTCAAACGCTATGCGTGTCTTCCGTGATCACAACCAAACAAGTTCGCACTCACACCGTGCACTGTCCATTGACACGCTCAGCGATTACCGTTCTCATCACTGATTTACATCTATATATACCATACGATGATCCTTTCCTTCTCAGGACCTTCTCATATTTCTGCTCATTTTGATTCTTCTCTCCCTTTCTGTCTCCCTTTCGCAAAATTACAACTACCTTTCCTACTGTAAACCATATAGAATGTCTATCGTACTTACCCCTTACTGGTCACCGGATGAGGGCATCCAGAAGCTCAAGATAGAAGCTCGGGGTGCGTTTGGTCTACTCCATCGATATCCATACCTCATACCGAATTTTCACTGCCTTTAGCTAAAGCTCCAGCTGCGCCAGGCCTCGCGCCACCAGTTTTCAGTACGAAAGCTCAGTTGGATCGTACCCTTCTCCAATTACGCTCCAGGACATCCCCTATCGAGAAATATACGTTCCTTGCGCAAGCCAAGCAAGCAGATGTCGAGGCCTTTTACAAGCTATGCCTCGAGTACATGCCAGTATGAGACAAGTGATGTCAGAATCTTTGAAATCCTCAATTAACTGTTTATACTCAGGAGATCATACCTATAATCTACACACCAACTGTCGGTGATGCATGCCTACAGTACTCAAAAATTTACAGGAACCCCGAGGGTTTGGTAATGAATACACATACCTCATGGGTCTCCTTGGCTTAATGGGTGCTGCAGTTCATCTCTCTCAAGGACAAAGGCAGAATTGGGAACATTCTGCGCAACTGGCCCCTTGCGAACGAGGCTCGGATCAGCGTTGTCACGGATGGTTCGTGTCATCCAATTTGATTGGATGATCAGTGCTTAATGATATGCACCAGGTTCACGAATACTTGGGCTCGGTGACCTTGGTGCAAATGGGATGCCCATTGCCGTTGGCAAACTCTCTCTTTACGTCGCCTGTGCTGGGTGGGTCCACCCCAGTCTTATTCATGTAACCGCCTGACCATTGATTCCAGTATCCGCCCATCGTCCACTCTCCCCATCACGCTTGACCTTGGAACTGACAACTCCTCTAACCTTTCCGACCCCTTGTATCTTGGGCTGCGCCAACGCCGGCCCCTTGATGCGGAATATGATGCCTTCATGGATGAGTTCATCACCGAGATGGGACGTGTCCACCCCAAAGTTTTGGTGCAATTCGAGGTCCGTTGACATCCTTCAACTTTTCCATTGTAGAAACAAACAATCTTTTGGGCAATAGGATTTTTCCACCGACCATGCATTTTCCTACCTTGAGCGTTTTCGTAATAGGCTCCCACTGTTCAACGATGATATCCAAGGTACAGGTGCTGTTGTCCTTGCAGGGCTGCTTTCCGCTGCACGACTGGTTCCCATCCCGCGCAACGAACATAGAATCTTGCTATTTGGCGCCGGAAGCGCCAGTGTAGGAGTTGCTAAGCAGCTTATGAGCTTTTTTACAATTACTGGGGTGAGCGAGGAAGCAGCCAGGAGTCAAATCTGGCTCGTGGATTCGAAGGGACTCGTTTACGTCGGCAGGGAAGAGGTTGCTGACTACAAAATGTGTATGCCCCCTTTTCTTTGGAGAGGTGGTTCACACCTAACAGGCTATGTCATAGATTTCGCAAGGAGGCATTACACAGGTGTTCCAATGAAAGACCTTACAGAAATTGTCAAGTATGTGAAGCCAACTGTGCTCCTTGGTCTCTCGACAATCGCGGTATGATTCAAACATATATTCTGTATTCATTGTCACGCTCACTCTCTTTCAGGGTGCCTTTACCCCGGAAGTCATCCGTCAGATGTCGCAGAACACGCCTCGCCCTATCATCTTCCCTCTCTCCAACCCCGTCCAACTCTCAGAGTGCACGTTCACTGAGGCTCTCATACACAGCAACGGCACCGCAATCTTCGCAAGTGGCTCGCCATTTGGAAGCGAGGTCATCGGTGGCGTCAGGAGGGAACCGGGTCAGGGTAATAATATGTACATCTTCCCTGGTAAGTTCTCTCTCGTTCTATGCCTGTATCTGAGCTGGACTGCTGGATCCCAGGGCTTGGTTTGGGTGCGATACTGTGCCGCGCCAAGAGCGTGACAGATAGCATGGTACAAACGGCTGCGTTCAGATTAGCGGGTTCTCTTTCGTGGGATGAACGGGCACTAGAGCTCGTGTACCCTCGTATCGAGCGCATCAGGGAGATCAGTGCACATATTGCTGTCAAGGTGATACGGGCAGCGCAGCAGGCGGTATGTATAGTTACCTTATGATCCTCGAAAGTAGTCAAAAGCTTAAAACGCATTTTCAGGGCGTAGGACAACTCGACGGATCTGAAAAGAATGAATGATACAATCTTATTAGAGTTTGTCAAGGGCAAGATGTGGAACCCTTAAATGTTCAAAGAAACTGTAGTGCTTAGTGTCCTGTGAAAAAATGTCAGGACGGTCTTCGGGTTAGTCAGTAGCTTGCGATTTTAACAACACGAAACACATTGATTGTAGTTGCGGTCACGATTTCGACGCGCTCCCAAGTTCAGCTGATCGATCCTCCCGAAGAATTCCCTGCAGTCACATCTCATAGTTAAGAGAAGCTCTTCTCGGGTCTGTACTCGGGAGTCGGTACGGGTGATCGAGACGTTTCACGTGATCACTGTAGATAGTGACGGATGTTGAGTTCGCCCTCACAAGTGGTACCGCGACAGTTTGTGTCCGATGCAAAACATTTTCAAGTGTGTTCTGGTATAGCATGCGTCATGCACAGCAAGTATATTTTATTACTAATTTCTGTATTAAGCTATCGTTCACTGATCAGGTCCAAATACCAATGAACGAAACGAAACTGATAGCAGGCTTGTTGAGAAGATCCGTTACAAATCTCACCAGTTTTCCATAGCCTCGAAGAATCCAATGAAAAACTGCTCTTCTCCAAGAACCAATCCGACTCAGAATGCTGATTTAGATCTATGACGGAGATAAGTGAGATAACACAATTGAATGAAACATACTCCAGGGCGGATCTCAAAAAACGTTCTGTAGGAGTCTGGAAGACATCAGACTACGGGGAGACCGGGCTATTAGGGAGTTGATGGAATACATACATAAATTTCGGGTATCAACAATCACCGCTTTTGATCATAAGAACTTCATAGTATTCGTGCCACAGAGTAGGGACTGCCCAACAACCCAGACTACAAACCTGTCAACTAGTCATAAGCATCAGTAGTAGGCCAAATTCACCAGACGCAACTAGGACGTCCGAGTCTGGTGCATCGATTGGAATTCGTACATAGTCGATCACTTACTACTGTGATACAAAACTCTCAGGTTCGTCAGTCTTCCCTGGAGCTTCAGATTATCATGCCATTACCAGGCTGGGGAAATGGAGATTTGATGCCCAATCAGATTAATGACGATTATTATTGGGATATCTGTAAACCTAGCAACATAAACGTCTGCGTATTGCACAGATTAGCCGAACCACTGCTCCAATTTCGGAATTTTCGCGCCTATAATAAATTGTCACTGCCAATAATAAATCTTTCAGAATGTTCGCAAATAACAGATATACCTAGTGTAGCTGTTTGGATAGTGGTGATGTTCAGCTAGGTATGAAGGTTGGCACTTGCGAATCAAATTGCCTTGGAAAAAAGAATTAGGGCGAACCGATCTTGAGTCAGCTGGCCCAGTGCGTGTTTTTCTAGGCTCCCTTGAGGATGTTCTATATTGAATAATGACATCACCAGCTACTTGAACAGCAGACCCAGGGGCCCATGTCACCCCTCGCAGGGACAGGACGCCCGTGAGAAATCGGAGTGTGCGTCCGGTGTGATGTAAGTGTAAGTCATGAAGAATGCTGGATATGATCGCGACGGTTGTATAAAAACTAATGACCTCTGGGAGGTTAGCCGAGCAGGAATAAGATTTAGTCAAGGGACTGTGGAGTGGACGAAGCAAGGAGGAACCATGAGAAATTCGGGTCAAGCCTGAGAGTGGAGGGATCTAATTTCCAGAAAAGGAGAATGACGTAGGGCTGGTGGCGCTGGGGGCCCTACCCTGTTTTTGTTCGTGTGGAGCATTCCGTGTAAAATGAGCGAAACAGATCCAAGCGCGCAGCTCAGAAACGTTTAACAGGTTTTTCTTGTTCCTTATTTACAATACCCTAAATTTTACTTTTCAGATCTTGTCGCAGGTCGAGCTCGCTGTTTACTACGTCCTCCAGCATACTTGCTAAACTGGAAAAACACCGTGACTTCAGCACCGTCAATTTTGTAGCAACCGACGCGTTACGCGGGCGATAAAGCCGCGACGCATCGCGAAGCCCATACCCCAACATAAATAAAACCAAGCCAACGATACCCTTGCAGCCGTACTAGCGCCTTCCGCTCCAGATGGGGTCAGCGACGCCTCTTTCTGTGCGTTGATCCACTTACTCTTCCCTTCCTCTATCGTCCAGGTGCTAATGCCTTTTTTATCTCTTTTTCCTCTTCACTTATCGCAACAGGATTTCTCTCCTCCTCGCCTGATACATCCTTCCGAGTTCTCGGGTCCCACAAATGATGACATTGAGGCTGTCATTCAAATGGCCACATCATCTAGGCAATCTCAGGATTCCCGTCAGCTAGCCCCCCTACGAGATACTCGCGCTCAGTTGTTCGTTGGAAATGTATGAGCGTCTGTAGACCCTCCTGAGTGCTGATCAGCCCTGACCAGATATTGCAGCTCCCGTATCGTGTCCGTTGGCAAGACCTCAAGGATCTTTTTCGTCGCGCAGGCACTGTCTTGCGTGCTGATGTATCACTAGGGCCTGACAATCGCTCACGAGGCTATGGCACTGTCCTTCTGGCCACCGCAGAGGATGCGGGAAGGGCAATTGACATGTTGAATGGATTTTGCTGGCAAACCAGGGTCCTGGAGGTGCGCCCCGACAGGCTTGGCGCAAGTGTCGATGAAATGGGCAGCAACCTTGCAATCCGAGGTGCAAATGGGCACCCCTCAGGGTTCTCATCTTCAGGCAATCCACATGATGAAATCACATCTGGACAGGATGTGGTGGGTGGCGCTGGAATGAAAACCCTATTTGTGGGTAATGTGAGTCTGTCAAGCTTCTTGCCTGATTTTGTCCCCTCTTTCATTGATACTCCTCCCATCATGGATCATCATGTGGGATTCGAGTTTGTGCAAGTAACCTTCTACCATTACCATCTCTGTATATTTCTTTCTTGGCCTATATTTTACATGTGGTGTCGCAAGTATTCATTTGCTCATATTTCTTCTACTCCAGCTTCCCTTCCATATCCAATGGCAGGATTTGAAGGACCTGTTTCGTGCAGCTGGTGCTGTTGCTCGAGCAGATGTTACCGTTGGGCCCGATGGGCGCTCCCGCGGGTTTGGAACAGTCAGCTTTGTCACAGAAGATGGTGCTGAGCGAGCATGTAGGATGTTTGATGGGTGCGTGGCTGCCTTCTTCATGATGTACCATGCACCTTCCTGGTTTCTTATACATCCCTATCTTGTTCACATGTTGATCATGAAATATTTTTGCTGTGAGCGCTGTGGCGTGTCGCGGCACTACACACGATTGGAACCCTTCGATGTCTTCGTGTTCTGTTAATCGATTTCGGCCCATGTGCTGACTATTCTTGATCCATTCCAGGTATGAATTCAATGGACGACCATTGAAGGTCCACTACGATAAATTCTCGCCGTCCGCAGCCTCGATACCTCATGTTGGCGTACAAATACCAGTCCCATCTACTCTATCACAATATGATACTCTTGGATCCCACTTGCAATCCCTACAACTGGAATCCCATCAGTTGGGACGCCAACAAAATGAACATCTATCTCAGCTCACACTCGATGGGCTGTTGCATTCGCAGCTGGATTCTCTGATGCACCCCCCATTAGATCCACTTCGACGTGCTGATCGAGATCCCATAACATCATCTCAGCTGGAAGTTCTCCTAGCTCGCTCTATTGCGCCATCAGGTTCTCGATCCTCCGACCTTTCTCTCGGTTCAAGTCCTCTTACCTCCGCCCCCCTCACGTCACCCTCACCTGCACTCCTGCATACTCAGTCCCTTGCACCGTCAGCAGCCCATTCACTAGCACCTACGCCCACCCATCCGCATTCATTGACAAGTTCACCTCATCTAGGGTTCTCAAATAATAGTTCGACAACCTTCGTTCCCCTTAGTCTGTCTCTGGGTAACGACGCCCTTGCCATCAAGTTGCCCCCACACTCGGGTGTTGCCGATTCCCTCAGCTTGAAGCTAAATACGGACATGAAACTCGGGAGCGACAATTATCCGCTATCATCCAATAAATCGCGGACATCAAACTCCAGCTCGCCGCGTCCAAGTGTCTCTGCGGGCTCTTCGCAAACGCAAAGCTATACTACAACGAGTTCATCAGGCTCATCACGGCCAAGCTTTAGTACAACGTCATCATTGACTGATGGCACGAACTTCTCACAGCGGCTGTCGTTTGGCGCATCGCAATCCCAGCGACCGTCCTTCAGCTCTTCAACATCCCAGCGGCCCACCTTTAGCTCCACATCTCAGCGCCCGTCTTTTAGCAGTGGTTCTGCGCGGCGCCCTACATTCAGTGCGAGCTCGCTGTTGAACGAGCCGTTCTTTGATGACGAACGAGAGGGGCAGGGGTCTGTGGGCCATCCTGTTAGTATGGGCACGTCGCGGGAGAACTCGGGCTCGAGCTCGAGCTCAACATTTTCCCTACCGCATAAACTGACTCGTCCTAAGTCGGACGTAGGCAGTGATACCGCGTCAACGTCCCCTCCGGCGAGCGGGGGATGGCCAAGTATGTCGAGTCCCCGGCAGACCTCGCCTAAATCTGTCGTACTTGCACATCCAATCCTCAATTCAGACTTGCCGAATAAGTCTCAATCCATGTGGGGCGCTTCAGAGGTCGAACCAAGCCGGGGATCCACACCGGCCAAGTTTGAGGGGCCAGGAAACACTAACGTCACCACGACTGCACTTGGATCTCTGGGTTTGCGAAGGTCCAAGGCGCTAGCTTCCAAGGCTGCTGAGAAAAACAAAATATCTTCACTAAATTCGAAGCCTACATCTTCGTCTCCGCAGAAGCAAACATCGCCACAGAAACCGGCATCTTCCCGCAGACAACCTGGACCTATTGCGCTGCCTCCTCCATGTACATTTACACTTCCACATCCACCGGTGCTATCCCCATATCCTCCACCCCACCCACATAGTCCAATGTATCACGCTGGCTATGCACCATCTCATCCCATGAGCCCGTTGCATCATCCTGGTGTGCGCAGCCCTATACATCACCCCACGATCAGCCCGCTCCATTCCCCTTACCATATGCACTATGGTGTCATAACACCACACGGCCTGCCGCCCATTACTCCAAGCATGCCGCCATTTACATTCTTGCAGCCAACAAACGGGCACGCTAATACCACAGAGCAGCAGAGTTCAAATAATGGGAGTTATCGGGGTCAGGCAGCGGAAGGTCAAACTGAGGCTCCCCCGCCATCATCTCCATACCACCTCCCGCCGCACTCCCAAGTTCCGTACTCGTCACACCTGCCTTCACACATGTTCTCCCCCGGAATTCCTCTTTCGCCTGGGATCATGGTGCCCGTATCCGCCGGATACCCGTCATCAGTGACGATGGTGCCGTTGACGCCTGGTGGGGTGCCGATGACGCCTGGCGTGACGATGACACCTGGTGCGTTTTGGCCGCAGGCACCGTGGATAAACCCAGCTCCGGGAGCCCCCGTGCATGCAGATGAGCAATGGCACAACCATGGTCATCCCCCCAGTTCTGGGGGCGATTATTTTCCTCCACAGAGTGGACCGGCTGATGATACAGGTTACTTCCCACCCGTCTGCGCCATTGCAAAAGAGATATTTAGGGAGGGAAGTGAATTTCATTCGAGTGAGCAAGAGGGAGAGAGCCAGTCGAGGGCTTCCTCGTCTTGCGCAGGGATGGTTTCTCCTGCGCCTCGATCGCCGCAAGGGGGAAAGCATATTGACAGCGACCGCGGGCACAGGGAAGCGCGACGGACAGTGTCACCCCAGCCAAATCGGTTTACGACAACGGAAGGGGGCCATGTACCCCGTAGGGCGGGCCTAACTCATCGGCCGGAATCAGATCCAACCAGCGGGAAGAGGCAGAGCTGATACGGGTTTCTCATTTATTTGTAGGTTGCAGGTCGGGGCAGGGTCTCATTTGTTTTTGCATTGTAGTACAATCTTTAGCATCATACCTACCGGAATATCTGTGCATACCTATATATTTTCTTGATTGTTGATAACGTTTCCTAATTCATGTTCCTAGTAGTTCGTAATTAGATAAAGTTTGTCTTTCTATAACGGCCATCGCCAGGAAGTGTTACCGCCTCCTACCGCCATCGACCGAAAACCGTTATTATAATGGCCTTAGTTTATCGTTGATCCCGCGTCGATGCAGACTAATATGTTGACATTGACATGTGTTGTATTCCAATCCGATACTATTACATACTTGGTCCGCACAATCATTCCACGGGTCCAGGGTTCAGCGTTACGTTCCACAAATCGATCTCGCATTGACACCCCTCCCTGAAGATTCTAGTCAACTTCTCATAGGGAATGTCCTTCCAGCTCTCATAGTTAGCCTTGAAGAAATCTATGTAGAGACGGCGTCAATGGTTAGATAGAGTCCCACAGCGCATCGATCCCTTACTGATTTGTTCAATCGTGGATTTGCGGTGCTTGGCGTTATCGACAGCCCAGATGTTGTACCATGCAGTGTCTGGAAGCATCATCAGATCAGTTTGGAGGCTCGCGCACTACTGGAAGAAGATACTGACCTTTGTGGACAGCATTCGCTTGGAGGTCACTAGCGATCGCATAGTACGACTAACAATCAAGTCCAAGTCAGCCTTGACTGTTATAAATTGACCTCATATCCCTTCACGAACCTGAATACCGGGGACTTGGGCGAGCAAAGAGACTACCCAGTTCTGATCCTCCGCAGTATCAGAGATGAACTTTGAGTATTTTTCAGTTGCCTCTTCCCTGTTGGCGGCGAAGACCGCAGTGTCTGGGATGTTCAGCTGATCGGGATCGGTGCAAGTTTTGAGGGCGTTGGGAGCCCACTGCGTCAGCGTGTTGTTGAGAGTTGAGGTCAATTTCCCGTATATCGTTGGGTTGGGAGCTTTTGCAGCGCGATCAGCGTTGTATGCTATGAGTTGCACGCAGTAGAAGAAATCTTGCTGTGCGTTGCAGAGTGATGAGCCACAGCTTGAAACATCAACAGGTATTAAATAACGTACGATCATGTACCATTTGAAACCATGGAGAACGTGCTTGTTGTCTGCGTCTGCAACACGCATGTCCTCGACAAACTGGTTGTGAAGCAACTGGTTCCAAATGTCTTGGTTGTCCCGAATGAGACGATTGACAAGGTCCCTGTAGATGTGAAATGAGTATGGTGAGCCGATATACAGTGGGAAGACATGCTCTTGGGGGATATCATTATTAAGACCTGCATCAGGCGGGCCATCATGGCTAAGGTCTTGCGCAGGAACATCATGGTTAGCCGCTGACTCGTTGAGACGGTGGTTTGCTTGGGTGGGGTATTCTGCCATGGTGTTACAGTTCTTGGGGAATGGATTGAAAGCGAAAAATCCTAGGCCATTTATACGTGCATGAAGCGAATAATCCGCTACTATCTATCAGAGGTTAGGCTACTTTGAACCTGACCATCAGATGATCTGGATAGATATGAAGTTCAAAACCACCGGATAAGTCGCGAAATCCGAGATGAAAACTAGCACGAGGTATCTGTAAGAGCTAGTTCGGCAACTCGATATTTTCGATATTTTTCAATATTTGCTTTGGCATGTTTGCGAAAATGTTCACCGGCATCGTTCCGAGATGTCGGAGCTCGAACCTTGCTTCTCTCCTACTGTACATATTATCAATGGATGTATACCCTCATCTAACCCTAGAGCGGCGTAAGAGGCTTTTTGCTGGTGCGGTCGCGATCACTGCAATCTGTGCACAGTACACTACTCTTCTCATGGCCCAACCTGAAGTCAATGCTCCCCCTCACTCCAAGGCCCCACCAGCGCAGTGGAATGATGTCGAGACTGTTACCCTTGTAGACTATCTCTATGATCATCGCTCAGAGGCTGAAGGGGCAGGCAACTTCAAGCAGCAGGTTCTTGGCTCTGCTGCAGAGTTCATCAACAATCATGAGGCGCTTCAATCCACTCGCGCAGGTCCACTGAAGACAGCGAAATCAACTCGAAACAAGTGGACATCAGTAAGCCCTATTTGATCTCATCTGATCTAAGCTGACGAGTCTCATCTAGCTTAAAAACATATTTCATGCTATCGAGAAGTACCGCAACCAGACAGGGGTCCACTGGGACAATGAGACTGGAGCTGGGATTGAAGGAACTGCGGCTGCGGCTGTATGGACATCGTATGTCAAGGTATGTCCCCTCTTCGTCATATTGATTTGAGCGCTGACTTTTGTCAGGCAAATAACCTCATGCGTCCTTTCCGCAACAGGGGATGGGAGCATTATGAAAAAATGCAGACCATCATCCCATTGGGCGGCGCTAGAGGGCGGCACGTCTTCCGTCCAGGTGGCGCTGCTCCCTCCACCACCAATGCTGATAACGATCTTGCGGATGCTGCTGGCCCATCAAGCACTGCTGCTGTTCCTGCTGCTCCAAGCGCTGCTGCTGTTCCTGCTGCTCCAAGCGCTGCTGCTGTTCCCGCTTCTGCAGGCCCATTAAGCACTGCCGCCACCTCTACGTCCATCCGCAAAGCGCGGCTGGAATCTGCGCTTGAATCTCCATAGCGTAGGCCGGTGGTAAGAGCAGTATGCGAAAACGTTGCTTGAGAACGCCAAAGATGCGCTCAATGACGTTTCGTGCTGACGCGTGACGTAGATTAAATAATTCCTCCTTGTTAGAAGGCCTGTAAACTTAGTACTTAGCACATTGAAAATCAATCGAGAATGAACTTACCGTATATTGGCGCGACCCCATTCGGCAAGATGATAACGCACGCTTCGGTAGGGTACCAGCAACCCAGGACGTAGAGGATATCCTGCGTCGGCAAGAAAATATTTGCCAGCGGGAGTGCGAAAGTCGTAAGAGCAGGCGTCCTCGTAGACGCGAGCATCAGTGGCCGACCCTTCCCAGCCTGTAAGTGCGTATGTGAAGTTGAGCTCGAAATCGCATGCGAAAAGGCAGTTCTGCGACACGAAGCCCTTGCGATTACGATACACCGGACGTTCGATGGCCTTAGGCGTGACGTGGATGTGACTGCCGTCGATCGCCCCAATAGCGTCCTTGAAAAAGGGCCACCATTTGGGGTTCTTCCGAATTTTGCGGGGGACCGAACCATCTGGAAAGCGCACGTATCTTGAATAGAACGGGTCCGACGTGAAGATGATAAGCATCTTGCGGAAATAACTACATACTATTAGATACTGTCACTTGAAATAAAATAAAATAAACTCACCGTGAAATCGTTTCGTTCGAGCGTTGAAATCTCTCCGCAACATGCCTGATTGATAGGCCAGTCACAGAGGTGTAAAGAAAAATCGCAAGTTGTTCCTCGAGGGACACAAACTTGGAGTCTGAATGGCCCATGGTGCGAAGCTCGGAGATAAGCTCCACAAATGCATTGGCGCGCATGCCAAGCTCACACCTGATGCGCTCTGGGTGACCAGTGAGCAACTCGATCACCCAGTCTTGCCCAGTTAGCGCTGAAGTGTGATAGGGCTCGGGATCTTTGGGATATATTGATTGTAGGATGCCGTGCGTAGAAGCAACAACGATGCTGATTACGAGTACCATGCATTTGAGGAGTCGTTCCCGGACCTCTGGCCGAGGATTCGTCATGAGCGCTGCTAGGCGTTGGCGCTCCATCGCGAACCCCAGTGGTTGGGGATCCATCAAGGTATATACCCTACCCTCATTATCACTGATCTTGTTGATAAGCTCAAATTCAAGCTCCGAATCGCCTTGGACTTAGGGGGAGCATTGACTTCAGGTTGGGCCATGAGAAGAGTAGTGTACTGTGCACAGATCGCAGTGATCGCGACCGCACCAGCAAAAAGCCTCTTACGCCGCTCTAGGGTTAGATGAGGGTATACATCCATTGATAATATGTACAGTAGGAGAGAAGCAAGGTTCGAGCTCCGACATCTCGGAACGATGCCGGTGAACATTTTCGCAAACATGCCAAAGCAAATATTGAAAAATATCGAAAATATCGAGTTGCCGAACTAGCTCTAAGCTGAGAAGCCTGTCATTTAGGGAGCGAATGCCTAGCCGGCATCGGGGTATGGGGAGACCGTAAGCCGGCGTTGATCACATTTTACGTCTGTTTGACACACAGGGGAGCATGTTCCTGTTCAATGAACCGAATATGAGATCGTAACACACCACGGGGTATCTATTACTCGCGGAAGCTCGAGTAGCCAGCGGGCCAGATCACCCGAGTATGACATCCAAGTTACTAAAGACTGGGATCGTGAGCCGAAGGCGGGGTTCTAGTACTTCGCAATAGCGGGGATTAACGTGCCTTTTGTCCAAGGAGGCGAACGAACGATTTGATGATCACCTCGTGCCCAAGCCAGAAGCAAGGACAGCATTTGATATCGGCCTTATTCAATAGGTCAGATTGGCTTTTCACAAGGGATAGAGTCAATATGTAAGATCCTGATGTTGCAAACTCACCGATACATGTACAGCCTACAGGGAGCAAATTGCGGCCCGTGCGCGCGCGCCAATTGCACTCGCTTGCTCAAAAGTCCACTACGACCCCACAGCTGCACAGAAGCGTTCATGTATCCACGATGTCGGTTCGGGGCATCGTCGAGTAAGGTCTGAGACACAGATCCCTCCTGAGGCCTGAGCACTGGATGAGGATACTTACTAGTGACAGATATTCAAAAGGACGAGTCGGTCTTTGAGTTGGAGTTGAAGCCACACACTCAAATTTGGCATCCGACGTCACTGAAGGCCTGAGCCATGAAGCATACCAATGCCTTGCAGTACTTGACTTTTATCTCCACCAAATTTGTCACCAAACATATACTATAGATCGGTGGTCACTTCTAGGGACGCTCGCCATGGAGCTCACTATCGATTACTTGAAAGGTTGGCGCACTTGACAAGTTCCAAATCGAAAAAGAGTAGATTAAAATAATGTAAATGGTACATCTACAATACAACAGCGCATGCTGTCCAGCGAGATAACAGTAGAACGATCAAGTATAAGCCTACTTCGCTGATGAGCTCGAGAACTGCAGATGCAATGAGTAAGATAGACGCGATATGAAGGTAAAAGAACTGACCTTGGTGACACTCTTAGTGCCTTCCGAGATGGCGTGTTTGGCAAGTTCACCAGGTAGAATAAGTCGTACAGATGTTTGGATCTCCCGAGAAGATATTGTCGATTTTTTGGAGTAAGCAGCAAGTTCTGAATGGAAGGTTAGAAATGATCAAAAAGACAATGAGAGTACATACTGGATGCTTCCGTTGCGATGCGCTCAAAGATGTCGTTGACAAAAGAGTTCAAGATGGCCATTGCCTTGTTGGAGATACCGGTATCAGGGTGCACCTGCCTCAACACTGCGACGAGAGTCAGATCTGGAACTGTAAGAGATGTGAATGGCACATACCCTTGTAAATGTAACTGGAGTAGGTCTCCTTGCGGACTTTACGACGCTTCTTCTTTTCACCATCAGCCCCGGCAGCAGCAGCAGCAGAAGTCTTTGTAGCCTTCTTAGCCTTGTCTGTAGTCTTTGCAGGTGCCTTTGAGGCAGCGGTGGAAGCAGGGGCCTTTGAGGCGGTGGAGACTGGTTTAGGTGCCATTTGATGAAGAAAGAGGTGGTGGTGAGTGTGAATGTGGACGATTATCTGACAGATTTGGTTTGGGCGTTTGTATTTATCGTTTGTGACGCGTGTGGTCTTATTTGGTACCAGATCAACGCGTCCACAATTCTTTGTTGATTGTTGAACCTTATTGAATAAAATCACGTGTTGCCAGTATAAATACAGCTGTTCATTGATCCCGGCTCCCCTATTGCGTTCCGTCGTTGTACATACACACTCTCACAACACACTCCAATCTAACTATCATGTCTGGCAAAGTCGGCGGAAAGGCCAAGTCTGGTGGCAAAGCCTCTGGTGAATCATCATCCAAGTCTCAATCCCGTTCAGCCAAAGCCGGTCTTCAATTCCCCGTCGGTCGTGTTCACCGTCTCTTGAAGAAAGGAAACTACGCACAGCGTGTTGGTGCTGGCGCACCTGGTAAGCCCTTCACTGAATTCAATTACTCAGTTGTTGATTCTAACTCTGGAAAAGTCTACCTTGCAGCGGTACTAGAGTATCTGGCCGCTGAGATTCTGGAGCTTGCCGGTAACGCAGCACGCGACAACAAGAAGCAACGTATCGTTCCTAGACATTTGCAACTCGCCATCCGAAATGACGAAGAGTATGCAAAACATTCCCAGTCATTCCGCAGTGTCTAACTCGCTTTTCTATAGGCTGAACAAACTCCTTGGAGACGTCGTCATTTCACAGGGTGGTGTCGTTCCTTTCATCAACCCCGAACTGCTGCCCAGTAAAAGTGCAAAGGGCAAGAAAGAGAGCCAGGAAGTATAATCTTATTATTATTCGATTTATTTTCGGTGTTCGGTGTAGGATGTATTTGTATTTTTTCTAGTAATCATTTTCTTTTCACTCTGGAATACATCTCGTTGATCCTATTTTTTAATGCGTGAGACGTCCGATTTTCGTGATAGTCACGTGCGCGTGCCTCAGTTTCAGCTTTTTAAACCACGTCCACTACCGCAGTTAACTGCCGTTGCAATTTCTTTCTTGTTCTTTCGCGAGTCACAACGAAAGGTCAATAACAGAATTCACAATGGGAACCAAACGATCAGGAAACGCGGCTCCCCAGCAATCCCCACCAAAGCCACAAAATAACTTCACAAAGTGGATAACACGTATAGTTGCATTGTCGCTCCTCGCTGCAACGTTTACCTGGCTCGATGGTATCAAGGTCAGTCACTCCTCCAACTCTTCTACCGCACCAAATAACTTCAACCACAGGACCGGTGGTATGTTCTAGAGCCCAAGTTCCTCCATGAGCTTGCGCAAGAAGCCATCTCCATCTCTCCGAATGACCCCCAAGGCATGATCAACCACATTCTTACTAACCTCACCTCAACGCACCCACAACTCGACTCTCCTGCCATCTCCCTCAACACGAACGCCTCTGAGTGGGTATTCAGCAATGCTGGAGGCGCAATGGGCGCAATGTACATCATCCACGCGTCCATCACTGAGTACCTCATTATTTTCGGTACCCCTCTAGGCACGGAAGGGCACACGGGGTTGCACACCGCAGATGACTATTTCCATATCTTAGTCGGCGAACAGTGGGCGTTCAAACCAGGTGCACTGGAGATGGAGAGGTACGGCCCTGGGGATGTGCATTTCCTCCCCAGGGGCACGGCGAAGCAATATAAGATGCATGAGGGATGCTTCGCGCTTGAGTATGCTCGGGGTACGTGGCACTTTGGGATGGCCTTGTTATTTTGTCTCAATTTTTTCTTTCTCTTTTTTCAGGCTGGATCCCGTTGATGATGCCCTTCGGTCTCGCGGACACATTCACGTCTACCCTAGATCTTCCGACGTTATACCACACTGTTCGCATCACGGGCCGAGAGATGATTAAGAACTTGCTTGTTGGCAAGATATGATTGATCTCAACTATATGAGACACGTTGGTTTCTGACGACGCCTGTGATATGTTATAATACCCCTAGCCAGAAATCTTGCGCTGGCCGTTTTACCACGCAGTAATGCCATTTACTAGGAACTTTTGCTCATCCCTGCTGTTTGATGGCATAACTGTCAGAGCTCTCGGTATCTGTGAGAGAGGTGTAGAGCAAGATGACCACAACTGCCACAGTATCGAGGTAATATTTGATAACAACTTGATGCACACAGGGAGGGTAAAAATCCATGATCAAAGGCCCGTAAAACTAACGCAGACGACAGCGATACAACATGGTAGAATTACACACCAATATGAATATGAATGAAGACCGTCCACTGCTCGAGCGGCACTTTCCTCTTCATGGAGCACGTAGCATGGTTCTCCATGGCATGATGTCGAGCAGCGTCAGAGGTTTGTCTCTGAAAAAACGTGAATAGTAAGGCTGCTCGTGCTCGTGCTCATGCTCATCGAGTTCGGACATGGGCTGGAACAAATGTGCAGAGTGGAGAAAAGGCGCGAGACGCTGTTGAATAATCGTTAGCCATCGACGTAGTCCTTTACGTATGGGAATATGTACAGCACATAGCACCGGTCGCAGATTTGAGCGCTTCGACTACACAGCAATGAAGCCGTGAAGCAAACATGAGTATAACACATGGAACATGGCTTCAAAAACGGCATGAATAAACGACTGCTCAGCTTCCTCAACTCCCAACCATACACCCATTGATGTCTAGTGATTGCGCACTGCGCTCGTCTGAAAGATGCTTCCCATGGGTGATACTCTAGGCCCTTCTGCCAGCTAAAGCTGACGACATGCTTAACAGCGAGGATCTGTTTTCAAAAGCTGTCTTGTGGGAGAGGGTTAGATATTGATCCCCGTAAGTAGACTGTCTCGCGAGTAATGGCTTGTACGGTTCTTACAAACATCAAATTGGAAATAAAGATGGGCTCCTGGACTCAACAGCAATCATTGTCGTTGCTGGATAACCTAGCGACTATGTCTTCCTCCATCAGTAAGACACCAGTGACCACGCCACAGCAGACTATGCGAGGTCATACTGACTGGACGGTGGTGTGCACTTGCCTGGCGGCCGACACAACATGAGGATAACGTAGGATTGCGAACCATGGCATTGTCTCCAAACGGCAAGACAATTGGATGCGGAAGCAATGACTGGAAGTTAGGTTGTGGGACGTCGAGACGAGGAAGGTCATTGTCAAATGGTGGAGGCTGATGGCTCTCATGGTGTCATCGACATCTACTACCGCGTTGTCGAAGGTGTGGTTCTACTGCCTCTAAAAGCTTGTGGAGGGCTCTGTGACAGTGTTCATTGCCTAGAGGACAGAGGGCCAAGCACGACAATGCTACGAAGGTAGGTGCCCTCTGGACAAAGTGGTAATAGCTTGCAGGACGGTTGCATGGATTCCTTGAAATCGACGACAGTGCCCTCCTTGCTATAGCGCCAGGCCAGCGCACTGTCCTGATTGTTGTGAGGATGCGAAACAGCGGCCTTCAGTGTGAGGGAAGGGTGAACACCACAAACAAACGGGAAGAAGTTGTCTACGAGATGCATGAGTGAGAAAGAGGTTGCTCACCGAAAGGCTCATCCCCACGATTGAGCAGCGCATCCCACGATGTTTCAAGTTTGCCAACGACTTCTCCATTACCCAGCATCCGATCGATTCCGATGGCTAATTTCTAGCGCCTACTTGAGTCAAGATTGATAGATATGTAGATGCCTGCGGCAGTGCGGCTACGCGCTCAGAAGGCACTTGCAAATTTCCCCCGTTGGTGATAGGAAAAGCGTGAATGGGGACGTAGATGTTGTTGAGAAGTTCAGGTCATGATGCACTTGTATTTCCATGTTGCTCGATGGCAGTTCGGCACGTTAGATGCTTGTATGATTACACCAAGCGCTAAGGCTAAAGATCACCAACTAGCATTATCGGAGTGAAAGCATGTGCTAGAGAAGTGGACGACGTCAAGGTCAGCAGTCTTGATGGACTCTAAAACATATGCTTACTAGTGTACAAATCACCCACTACCCATCCTAACAGTATCCAAAACGGCCCTCACCAACTCATTCCATAACCGTCTCACAATCGAATCTCCGCGTGCTTCCAATAATCTCCTCCGTACCAAGTCCGCAGGTGTCTCTAAGCGCTGCCGTCTCCGAAGCATCAATGACAGTAGGGGAATTAGGAAGAACAAAACCGATAGAGTGGCTATTCTGTTTGCGGTGAAATAGTGGTTGAAATAAGATCGAATGAGTGCTAGAGAGGTTGGGGGCTGTGCAGTTGCGAGATTGTGGTCGACTGGAGGAAGGTGGGAGATGCGAACGGCACTAGCACTTGAACTCCCTCGGGGCATACTTTGGTTGTGGCCATGGCGAGGGGATCTAGTTACTGTGACGTCCGAAACTGCAGAGGTGGAAGATGCGGATTGTTGGCGGGTAAGTTTTGGACGAGGGGATGCTGGGACTGCGGTGCGGGTGGATGTGGTGGATAGAGAGGAGGAGGAGGATGCTGGGGATAGAGAACGGAGTGGAGGTATTGACATAGGGGAGGGAGGAGGCTCAGGTTTTGGCGTCTCCCGCTTTGTACTCTCTAGCGCTTGAGCATGTTGAGCCTCAAGAGCCAAATAAAGTTCCTGGAAATATCGTGTTCAGTACAACACAAGAATCACGAACTCAAACTCACGCGTCTTTTATCAGACGAGAGCTCATTCTCGTATGACAGAAATTCTTTGACATATTCCCACTCACCCAAACGAGGCAAGACATGCAAGCAGTAGAGTTCCAGAACTTTGTGATATGGTTCACCTGTGGAAGGTACGACATCATATCGACCGCGTTTCGACAACCAGTCCTCTGTGATCTCACGACCAATATTTGGGCAATCTATCTTGATGCTGGATGCTATGAGTGTGATGACGATTTGGTGCGGAAGAAATGCGGAGCTAGGCTTTCGATATAGTGATGAAGGAGTAAACAAAGCGAGAGATCGAGCATATAAGTTGGAAATAAATGATTGGGGAGACAGGAGTAGGGATTCTCGGAGTGGCTGTGGTAAATCAACGAGGTCTGGAGTAGAAGAGAAGACGGTGGTCTCGAGGGTGATGCGAAGGATGTCCCACTTTCTCCGGTGGACATCTAGGGGATCAGGCGAGGGCGCAAGGGGAGGTGGGAGGAGCGCGAATGCAGCACTTAATAGTGTGAACGTGATTGCGACGTCTCGGTGAAGGAATGCCCTCGCTGCACGGTTGTACAGCGATTGTAGTGTTGCCTCCGTCGTCGACGAACTTTTGCTGGTCGGTTTATGAAGTAGCTTGTCCGACGTCGAGACAGTCGCCGTTGTCATCGTTGTCGTGGCGGTCGGCGTTGGCGGTCTGCCCGAACCTAAATTGCTCAGCTTAATAGACATTACCATACATAGGTGTCAACACTGTCAAGGCTAAAGTGGACTCCGCGCGCACATAGCGTCGACACCAACTCTGTTCTTACAGCATGTACAATATAGATAGCTAATGCCCAGTAGCCTAGTCAGCCAATTGAAATCGTTCAATCAAGTGACGCGTGTTGAACGTGCGCATGACAACCCACTCCACTGAAGTGCACACATCGGAGTGGGGAATCTTATGTGACATGGGATGCCGAGACATGACTGGCTTTGGGCCTAGGCACGGGTGACATGGATGCTGAGATGATTGCCGCATCGTCATAAAAAGATAACTATGTCAGTTGTCTCTTAGAGCCAAGTTTGGGCAAGGGGATCGCAACAACGCGTCCTTCTAGCATATCAATGAAAGGCCTCTACATAGACATACAATTCATGCACCCTTTCCCTCCATCACTGCCTCTACCAGCTCTCCGATCCATCGCTCGAACACCTCCTGTGCCATCACACCCTTTTCGTCGAAGAAGGCCGAGTATTCTTTGGATTCGTGTGTTCGGCCCTTTGCAAGTAGTGATTTCCCCCCTGATGTAGACTGCACGTAATTAATGGAAAGCGAGTATGATGGTGAATTCGTGGGGCTCGGCTTGAGAGATAATTTAGAGGACGGCACTGGGAGGGTGCCCGAGGAGATCGTTATCCGTTCTGTTATTATCTGAAGAGGAATAAGCGGAGTGAAGGATAGCATAATTGTTTCAGACTCACTCTCTTTGAAAAGGTTTTCCGTCGACCGACAAATATGGTATCGCCCTCCACGAAGTAGGAGTATAATGTCTGAAGGGAGGTGAGGACCAGGTAGCTGTAATGCGGGGGGGATTTTCAATAAAATGGATCGTGATGTTTCATGAGTGAACATTTACAGTATGAACCCAACCCAGACTCCTGGCTTCGATTTCTCGAAGTCAATTTTCCATCCATAAAGTCCCGTAGCTACTGCCGTGAATACGCCTGCCCATCCCAAAGCCAGCCGCACATCGGTATGAAGATGTATTTGTTTAAACAAAACGGGTCTCGATAAGTACTGCGATGGTGAGTGGTGTGAGCCTATTTTCATAGCTACAATATTAAAACTACGCACTCGCTTAAGGGCATCATCACATGCGTTCTTGAGCTCAGCCGCGCTGTAGTTGTTGACCTTGATAATCTCGCGTTCCTCCGGAGAGATAGTGATGCTCAATGGACCAGGTGGTTTTTCTGGAGAGGAAGCAACTGAACTTGGACGACGCTCTGGCGTTGAAGGTGTTGGCGAAGGTCCTCTGGCATTCTTTCGGGGTGCCATGGTGGTGCTGGAGAAGGAAAAGGCGTGTGTACGGTGCTAAGCACTGCAGTTGTATGCATAAGAAGGACGTGTCACTGTACATGTGTGGGAAAATACTTCTTCAAGTAGCTACTTGCTACTTCGATTGGCAGTGGGAGCGTCAGGCCCATAACAAGACTCTTCAGAAAATGTCTCGGTAATTTCGCGTTGTGCTTGAGATATGAGGATTATGGCACCATCTTCTATCGCCATCCTGGGTGGTGGTCTCACTGGCCTTTCCGCCGCTTTTCACCTTTCACGTCGGTTTCCAGCAGCTCAGATCACTCTGCTGAACAAGGACATCCACTTTGGCGGATGGGTTCATTCTAGGCGCGCTAAAATCACCCTCAAAGATGGTCGCGAGACCAGCGTGCTTTTGGAGGCTGGCCCGCGCACTCTTAGACCAAATTCAAAGGGTGTTCTCGAATTGGTGGGTAATTGGCTAGTCTAATACAACTTCTGTGAGGACCTTCTCATCGGGCGCGTCCCAGACTAGATTAACCTTCTGGACCTATCGCCGTCTCTTTTAACTGTCCCGAAATCATCACCAGCTGCTCGGAATCGCTTCTTGCATCTACCTGGCACAAAGGGCCTTCTGTGCATTCCTTCATCTCCGCTCAGCATTCTTACTTCCGGGCTCTCACCTAAGTCTTCTTCTTTGCATTCCCCCCTTGGCCATATCCTTCTTTCAGCCGTCGTACGAGAGCCATTTCGCCCATGGAACAGGCCCCTAATGATCGAGGACGAGTCGGTCGACGAATTCTTGAGTAGGCGTTTCGGGAGCGAATTTGCAAGGATTTTCGGAAGTGCACTCGTGCACGGTATTTATGCAGCGGACTCCCGGAAATCGAGCGTCCGCGCAGCGTTCCCATCGCTTTGGGATGCCGAGGAACGCGGTCGTGGCTCTTTAGTAACTGGGTTTCTTCGGCCGTCCAGAGCTTCAGCGATAGCGGATGTCAATGACCTCCCATATCAGCTGGGGGATGTAGATGGGCAGATGCGCGGAGTATCTGTGTATTCGTTCTCGCAAGGGATCGGTGCGTTGGTAGATGCACTCTTGCGAGAGTTGAGAACGCGCCGGAACGTGCGCCTAGTTGGCGGTGTGTCAGCGACGGGACTACGGATGAATCCGAGAACTGCACAATTCGAAGTACGTATGCACTTCGAACAGGTAGTCTTTTGTTAATAATTATTTGTGCCCAGATAACGACCTCGTCTTGCGAGACGCTGCGCGCAACACACACAGTCTCAGCTGTGCCTCTGCCGAGCTTGAAAGGGCTCCTCTCGCCCAAGACGCCATTGCCACACCTGACTGCAAATCCTTATTCGTCGGTGACGGTCGTAAACCTCGTGTTCCTGGCGTCTCCGGGACATGTACTCCATCCTGTGGGATTCGGGTACCTCGTGCCCCGAGCATCATCTAGACATGCAGAAAACGCGATTCTGGGGTGCGTTTTCGACTCCTCGTCAATGTCGACACAAGAAGCGCCGTGGAGCGCGGATATTGTGAAAATGACTGCGATGCTCCGCGAGCCTGTGGCCTCAATTCCTCGCCTTGTAGATATGCTCTCTGAGCAGTTAGGTGTGCGTCTGCCCGATCCGCTCATCGTGAGGGTGCACGACAAAGCACATTGCATCCCCCTGCTGCGTGTGGGGCACCTCCAGCGGATGCAGGAGTTGAGCGAGGTGCTTCAGGGAGAGCCATGGAGCAGTAAGCTAGAGGTGATCGGCGCCGGCGTGGGGGGCGTGAGCGTTGGTGATTGCGTCGAGGCTGGGAGGCGGGCGGGTAGGAATTGGGCATAGGGTTCATTCATCGCCCTTTGGACTGCAATAATTGCTGTATGACTTCTACGTCAGGAGTGCGAACTCGACGTTGAATGGTTCCGGACCTGCCACCCTTCATAACTACCGCATACGTGTCCTTGTCATGTCACGATTACTGCCACTGACATCACTCATTTTGGCCTATAGTTGTCATTGGAACCAATGAGAGCAAAGCGCCTGCACAGCGATTCTTTCGGACAGGGCTGACCGTGAAACTACGATGTTCGATATTTTTGACATTCATTATATCGGATAAAGCAGGGGCGACATCCGATACATCCGTAACGCAAAAAGCACCTCTATGGACCTATACTGGCAGATGGCTGTACTTTATTGCTACCAAAGTTTTCTTTTTATAAACTCACGCATGATGATTGGGCGGCTAACAAGCTTGAAGGCTATGATGCGTACGGAAGAGGATTTTCAGCCAAGATTCTGCGCAGCCCCCAGGGCTAGAAGTTCGATTCGATTCGAAAGGACTCTTTTGAAGTGTGCTCCCTCATGGACGACGCCTTATAAAGCTGGATGGTGGATATCCGGACAATTACGACACCCATCACATCTTCCCACTTTTTATCCACCTTGTGCTGCACCTTCTCGAGCCAGGGTTGTGCTCAGTCTGTTTTTCTATCAGAACGCCTTGGTATACACATCATGGAACATCGTCCGTGTGCGTAGAACCTGTGGCTTTCTTTTCCCGTTAGTGTTGGACTGACCGCACTTTATGTCATAGTTGACTCGTCTCCGCCCATTCCGGACCCTTCATCTGCGCCTTTCCCGTCATTTTCTATGCCCATGCCTGAGATTTATGCGCAAATGCCTAGCGCTGAAGTACCGTACGGACAGCCGTATGCCTCTGAGAACTCATACGCCTCTGAGACCCCATACACCTCCGAACCCCCATATGCTTCTGAGCATCTCGCCTCTGAGCAACCATACCACCCCGACTACCCATATCCATTCCAGCAGTCTCAGCAACCATATGATGTCCCTCCTCACGTGTCAGTGCCATTTGATCGCGCTGATCTGCCGCTTGAGCCATGGGTCCCAGAGGTACCGGAGCAGTCGGACGGGGAGGAAGTTGACTCCATGACTGAGCCTATCCGCATTCCTACCCCTGAGCATGTGCAAACAGGAGCATCTGTTTCGCGCAGGCCATCGCGCTTACAGCGTTTGGCTTCCTTACTAGGACTGAAGCCCAAGAAATCGTCAGCCTCTCATCATTCCTGAATTCATAACCCCAGATCGAATACTTGAAATTATTGGCATAAGTCGTCGTGGCCTTCACCATATTCAGTTGCAGGTCGTCCTGGACGCCTAGAGAGTTTATACGTGCATTTATCGCTAGATTCAACTTAATCTTGCAGTTATAATGCTACGTACATGTCATATGCACATGTTTCAAGCGGACGTGAGCGACTACGTCCACACACTGGGGGCTGGTAGCAGAAAAAAAGAACGTAGATCATGTCAACATCGAGTACACTCGCCATATATCCATGGAACTTGTGCAACCCCGATCTGATATTCTCGCAGCGCATCGTCTGGGCCAGCAGACTGACACGAAGGACCCTCTCCATGGTTCCAACATCTGAAGGCGGAAGAAGGCATAGAGATCATCACAGCGATCTTTACAGCTTCTGGGTGATTCTCAGTTTCGTCTTCTGTGGGCTTTTCGGATGCCGCTGATCTATGATGAGTGCGTGAACGTCGTCGCGGGCCACATATGGAAGTTTAAGGATGTGCGAGAAGGAATGCAAATCGTCTTCGCGGAGGTAAAGGTAAGGGCGAAGAAGGCTGGGAATCATCGGGAAGAAGCTGTGCCACAGTAGAATGATCTGCAGGTACTTCTGACTCAGCTACCGCAAACTGACGTGCAGACCGAGAGCGGCATGTGTGGATGAGAGATACGTATACAGGCTGTTGAAGGCGATTATCGGACACAAAAGGCAACAGAACACCGGTGCATACCTGAATATTCGACCATTCAAACTGACCCGCACCCAAGACTTCCTTGGTCGACGCAAGAGGGCAGCTCAGCCAAGCATCCCACAAAACAGGAGGTACCAACTTCCTTCGTCTTCCGTCCAGTTGCTCTGTCGTATCCCAGGATGTACCGAGAAACGCGCCAGACCGGCAACGAAAAAAACAGCACGCAATGATGATGATGAACAGGGAAATAACTAATATGAATATGACGAGATAGCCAATGGAATAGGCTAAAATCGCAACGCCGGGCGATGAGCTGGAGCTGGAGCGGATATCTGTGGGTGTGGAAGTGACAGACGTGGAAGAAGACATAAGATAGGGGACCCAGACCAAGCACGAATTCTTCTCTGTACTCACGATTTACTAAGGACCTTGATTATTCATGTATGCACCAGGATCATGACATGTCATCTGTCCCCGGTTTGTACTAAATGACATTCCTGCATACTACTTCAAGCTTTCAAGCTCCATGACAGCACTGTCGTCCAGGCTTTCCATAGCCCCTATCTCGAGTTCCTTGTATACATCGTCAGTCATATCAAGACACCTAGGTGACTCTTAATCCCCATTATTGACGTTTCCCGCCATTAGCGAAAAGCTTAGAACTCGTGTATTTGATAGATGAATGCACCATACGAGGACTGAATAGAACGCATAGACCCATGTACTGTCAAATGACACATTCAATCCTTCGTATTGTCTGGGCAGTGAAGGCAACACAACTGCTACCTAAAATTAATACAAGGCTCCAGTAAGAGAACGGTGGACATAACCAACAACTATGTCACAATAAGAAGAGCAATTAATCGGTACTTGCAGACGAATACTCACCAATACATGGGGCGTGATGTTGTGTATCGCGGGTTTATGCATCTGGTTTTGCTGTCGTAAGGAGACACTTCTTGGGCCTAGGTTTTACACCATTCTTCTTGGCTGCAACTCTTGCTTTTGCCCTTTGTTCTTTTGCAGCTTTCATATCTTTGGGTGCAGTAGTGCGGAGTTGTTTGATATGAGTGGGAACCAAGCATTTCGGAGAATTGGGCTGGACTGGAGGCACAAGCCAAGGTGCGCTGATCACAGGTACAGATTGAAGCATATCGCGAAAAATCGGTAAATACGGGGCATCGTCCTATTGAAGGCATCAGAAGTAAGGATCCTGACATCTGAAACACTTACATGAACGGCTATTACGGCCGCTCTTCTTAGACCAAGCGCCTGCGCGAGTGCAGACTCTGAGCCCTTCGGTAGGACGATCAATTTCAGGGGCTGTCGAGCTTCTAGAGGGTTAGATCCGGGGCGCGTAGAGTTGCATCCTGCCACAAGGTGAGGGATGTGATCCAATAAGATCGGAGGATTGACGTCGGCACGGCACACAAAGACCACAGAAATGGGAGAAATGTCGGGGACTACTGGATTGGCATGAGAGGTGGTAGTGAGTGTAACCGAATGTCGGAAAGACTTCAACTGCGATTCAAGTCTCCTTGTCACTTCGTTGATACCGATAGCCATGTGGCCCGACGGGGCAAGTTTACTAACAGCCGGAGATGGCGAAGGAGTGGAACCCACGGCACATGCAGAGGGTTTTGAACATACTATCGAGTCTGAGCTCGGGTTTGTCCCTTCCACTGAATCTGCAATTTCTGATCGGGGTAGAGCTTTCCTAGCGTATGCCTTGAAAGATTTTCGACTTCCACTCCTTGCCGCACTTTCCAAAGTGGTTACGAGTGTCGCGAGAAATAAGTTTTGCGCGTTTGATGGGATTGAGGGCCTAGCTTAGGATGTTAGACACGTTGTAAGTTGGAAGAGACGAAAACAAACCATTGTATTCGGAATGGATTTTCAAGGACACTTTTATAAACGTCTTTTCGCTCTGCGGTTGCCCGTGCCTTTGCACGATTTGACGCATGAGTGTAGCTCCGAGCTGCTTTATCCGACATTGGTCCTAAAGACAGTTTACGTCACGGTTTACGTGACAATGGTTGTTTGGCTCTGTGTCAATAGGGTTCTGCCAAACAAGCTCGTGCCGAGTTGTCAACCAACACAATATGATACTTATACAAAATCTGATCATCCGCTCTCGCGACAGAAGCAGACCCAGGCTTCGAGTCGAACAGAGATGACCCTTACTACGTGCTGGACACGATGTGGTCGAGTGGAAAATATCAGACGTATCAGAATGAAGGGGATCTGTTGTAAGTACTTCACGATCCTCATACAATGTCATGGTTTAATTTTCACGTAGGTGAAACCGAGCAGTGACGTATCACAAAATCATCAAATTGAGTCTGAGATGCCCTACACATGCAAGTACTCGTGAACTTCCATGTTATTCGGACAAGCTAGAACGGGAGACGTTCCGCTGAAAAGCATTGGTGCACTAGTTCAAAATGTACTATCAGTGGTTTCCTGTGAACGCTATCCTCTGTCCTGTTTCGGCCACGTTAGCACCGCTTCGCAACATAATTCTCGTTGGAACATTTTCGGATGGTATCTTGCCCAACTTTAAAGTTAGCGTCTGTCATCTCCCTACCTCTTCCATTGTCAAAGAATGATGTTGGACACTCCATGCATGATTAATGGAACCCAGCCACACAACGCATCAGTGCTACTGGGTCGCACTCGCGGGGTCCAATGAGGGGAGGCTGCACCGTTGTAGGCTATGCTAAATGTCGAAACCTACAGGTCAATAAACAAGGATTCAAAAGAAAAAGTGTCGATACCGTTCCATGGAAACATCTTGTAAGAGATGAAAACGCATTTACCTGTAGCGATATCTAAAGTGTGCTCATAGCAATCGACGTTTCCCGGATCTTGCGATATTTCCTTGGGTACGACTACCGTTACGGGTACTTGAATATAGCACGGGCCGTAAGTTTATCGTACTTATTATGGCATAGATAACAGATTTTTCACGATCTAGCGTTCGTCCCTTGAACTCGACATACAGCCATATCTCCCTTGCATCAATGTCAGTACGTTGGAATACGTGGAGGGCGTTGTTCGCACGTGCCCGAGTGTTTCACAACTGCCCCTGGCGGAATTTCTCGGATACCATTCATCAAATATACCTTGTCTCATATGTTTTACAACCAGAGCCACGACAATCATCGTTCACCGAATGCTAGCATGTCGAGCTATTTTCTACCATTATGCAAGTGTCTTTGGACTTTCTTTTACCAAAGGATGATCATAGGTAAGATTCCATTATATTTCATGTTGGCATTTACTTCTCCTACACGGCGATACGTTTTAACGTTTGCTAGCCTCACTGCCACCCTGAGCTCTTTCTGCATATCGCAACGTTAGGATAACCTCACAACGTAGTCTGGCAGGCGCATTTATGGATATAAAGCTCGAGAACACACTCCATCATACCCAGTTATCCTTCCAGCCTCAGAATCCTTACACAAGACATGCCTGGCTTAAATTCATCTGTTCGGCGCTTTGATCGCACCAACATCCCAGAAGATGTCTGGGGTGCTCTACGGGACAGGGACAACGCTGCTCGCGCAAATGTGATCCTTCCACATGCCGAAAAGGTTTCCAGTCATCAAGAGTTCCTACCCGGTTCCGAGCAGCTTTGGCTGGTCTACTCGGAGCCTGCAACTTCTGACATCAGATTTATACTATCCTGCACGGAGGGACCATTGGGCAAATACCCTATTTTTATTATTCCCGTAGCCCCCATTCAATTGGCTTCTGAACTCCTCCAAGGCCCCATGGAGGCGTTCTGCGAGCCGCTTCTGAACGAGGCTGACTTCAGAAGGCAGAGGGTCTTTTCTGTCTTTTCTGTTGAACCAGTCTCCAGAGCTTTCGCTAGCGCATGGGAGAAAATCGCAGAGATCAAGTGCATTAATGAACCATACTACGATGCATTTTTTTCGGCGTGTACTCCTGAGACGTTTGTCCGCGATGGCTCTCAACCAGTGGATGAGGTCATTGAGCTACGTCTTGCTGTGCCACAGGATGCCAAGAAGATTCGTGACTTGTGTCAAGAATTTTCCGAGACTTCGGTATGTCCGCTGCACCACTCCCTTTTAAGCGCGTTCATTGATAAAAATCTGTAGAAGCCATTCACTCTCTCTTCCGAACAAGCTTCTAAAGAGGCTAGGCTCATGATTCAAAACGAGCAAGTCTGGGTATACGAGATCAAAGAGGGAGATGAAGAAACTGATATCGCAAGTATTGTCGCTGCCACGCGGCAGTCACACACTGTTGCTGCCATCACAAAGGTCTACACGCCAGAGAAGTGGCAGCATAAAGGACGTGCTGAAAGGTTGGTTCGCCGTGTCTGCAGAGAGTACGAATTATCATCTATGAGATTGTACTGTGATGCTAAATTCTGCTCGACCAGGTTGTTGAAGACGCATGAGCAAGTTGTGTTATACGTTGGCGCCAACTTGACTTCCGCTCAGAGGTTGTACGATCGAGTGGGCTTCCAAGCGACTTCTGGACCTGAGCGTTGGCTTGAAATTGGCTTTGATAGAGCCGAGGTCGACCTCGGTCACTGGTAGACTCGTAACCGGTCTGGACTACGTCTTTGAGATGTTAAATATTTGAGGTAGTCGGTAAATTTTAGTATATTCTGATTTGCTCTGCTTGTTCCCAGATCTTGTCTAGCATAGCCTTTTTGTCTACCTGTCCACTGTATTCTCTATATGTATCGTTAGCGTTTTGATTAGTGTACACGAATTGTTTATATGGATCTTGAAGCTTGACATTTTGATGAATGCTCAATGTAATTGAATCATCAATTATATTACTGGTCCCCTTGATTGAGTTACTGGCCAGTCAAAGACTCGCGCCGGGCACGATAGGGCGCGCTTCGCAGCGAGAAGTCAAAGGAGGATTAGTTAAAATTGGCTTCAGCAGATTCGTTGTCATTGCAAGTCTTTTACACGTCATCGACATTCACAGCGCACCAGCAGGTGGGAGCGTCATGGATGTTATTTTCTCAAGGTGAATTAGATGCGAAGAGACATCGGTTGAGGACCTAGCGCCTTAGTAAAGGATATCGTAGCTCATCACGGTCCATGACCATGGAGGACATCATTCTGCACGCATGCCCTTCATGGATAGGTCAATCGGGACAGCCACTGAAAGAGATTGTCTTCGATACACTGTACTGAGGTGTCCTTTGATGATATGCTAGACAGATAATAGTGTCTAGAAAAATTGTCTTGGAAATAACGATTACCCCATACAAGATGTTAGGTTTCCTCCCGTACTAGCGCTCAGATCATGGGCTGAGGGTATGCAGAGACAAGTCCGGGACAGCCACCGAAATACGCAAATTCAACCAATTCAGTCAAACTGCAGGAGTAATCCAACTCGCTCTACGCTCAAAAACAAAAAGTTAGAAGGGATACATAGCAAAGTTGAGAGAAAAAGGGCGGACTTCACACTGGCAACAAAGTATATTTTAACAGAAAATACGGACAAGCTGGGGCGCACAATGAACATGGAACACTAGATGCATAAGGAATTGAGTACATTGGAAGTCGAACACAACAGAAAGAAAAACGATACGATGTGGTGCTTGCCCGCAATGTGGCCCTGGGTCGAGATGACGGATGAGTTCTTCTATCCCGAACCCCCAGCACCGCTGCTCCCTTTACGAGTCCTGACAACTTTATTTCTCAACGCTCTCTCCTTCAGTTCTTTCTCTCGCTTTTCTAGATCATGCTGCTCTAGACCTCCCTAAAAGTCATCATCAACTTTGGCTGAGCACAAGTCATCAAGAAGGTAAGCATACGTCATCCCTGTCTGCATTATCCCACTTATTTCGCCTAGCTTGACCCTTGATTTTCAGCTCACCTCTGGCATTTTGGGGAAGGGGCTCATCAGTGATTCTCAGTCTATCAACATCCATACGCGAAGACGAAGGACTACGCCTCGCCGGACGCTTTCCTTTTCCGCCATCACCGGCTTCATCGCGAGTAACCCGTCGTCTTACAGGCGAACGAGAGATGCTGACCCGCCTACGAGGACTTGGACTCCTGCGACGGGCGTATCTCGTCGCAGACCGTGACTGGCTCGAACCGAGAGAGGGCGAACGCGATAGCTTACGACGCTGAAGCGGGGGACTTCTGCTATTTCTTTCTCGCCCGAATCTCCGTGGAGGCGAGCGCGAGTAACTGGGAGACCGTCTCCGTCTCCTTGGTGGCGGAGGCGATAAAGATCGAGATTCAACCGATGGCGAACGTCTGCGGCGGCGAGGAGAAGGAGTCAAGGAACGTCGGCGACGAGGAGGGGGTGAGCGCGTCCGGGATCTACGGGGCGGAGGAGAGCTTCGGCGGTACACAGGACTGCGAGATCTGGAACGCCTCGGAGAGCGCGAACGTCTGAGGGAAGGAGGCGGGGATCGGGAACTTCTTGCGTCAAATGGAGAGTTCGGAGATGGGGAGCGCCTGCGATGGGGCGGTGGACTACGAGATATCCTGCGACCAGGACGCTATATGGTATAAGTCTCGAAGGCTCAAACAAACACTGAATGGACTTACGCCGCCACCACGTCCACCCCAACCGTTATCTCTGCCTCGGCCACCACCTTCAAATCCGCCTCTGCCTCTGCCTCTACCCCTTCCGCGCCCGCGGCCTGTACGTTCACCTCTTTCCTGGTCTCTTATCTCGTCGAGACGGACCCTCCTGTCTCTCTCACCTATGGCACGCACGTCACCCTCGCGGGCTTTGCGCATTTCCTCTTTTTTCTCCTCCACAAACGTCTGTGGGACGCCTGCGGGATGCTCCTGAGCCTCCAGCAGTAGAGACCACAGGGCTGTCATGAATGAGGGTGTCGATGCCGTGAGGAAACCTGTCAGGTTTATCTGCATTTTCTTTGGGTCTGGAGTCTAAAGAAAAATACAATGGAGACGGAAAAGTCTTTGACATGTAAAAGGGCTTACGGTATGATTCGGGTCGTCGAGGAGACCCATGGCATATTCGACGACCACTTCATCTTCGAAGCCAACGAGTTCCGTGACTTTTTTGGCGATCCATGGACGTATGACGTTGAGATTTACTTTTTTGAGGTCCACCTGAGAAATGAGATAGGAATTAAATTTAGAGCACCAGACTTGGGTAGCGCACCTTTTTATCAAACTCTGATGGAAATTTCATAGACTTTAACAACTTCAACTCTTTGTCAGAGAAGCGACGGTCCTGGTCTGCAGAAGTGCCTTTGAAAAATCCTGTTATTCAAGGCGGTGAGCAGGATCTCGGTAAAAGCACTTGGTGAAAGGAAACTTACCTGCGTCGGCCATGACTTGACCAGAGCTTGGTTGATAATTAACTCAAGAGCAAGGAGCAAATATTTGAATATTGAATGTTTACATACGAGTTTGGAAAGGACCTCCCACGTACCCGGACTCCGGCGCGGGCGCTTAGTCAGCTAGTAAGAACGTACTTTTACTACTGGCAAGTCTTGTACTGCAGCTGCTGGCAACGGTCAAGCTGCTCGAAATTCCATACGATCGCTCTTGTGGCAGCTACTGATGCTACACGATTTTAACCAACTAACCATCTGCCACTGTAGGCAGTAGCCAAATCAGAGGTTAGATCTGTTGTTCGGGAATTTGCATTACCAGACTGATTTCAACGTTTTGCATTTGGAGTACCTAGTAGTACGTTGGACTAGGCCGAGGGGCTTACAGCCCGGAGACTGAGTCCTCGGTTTGGTATAGTCCTGACGGTTTTATTTTCCTCTGCAGCCGAATTCTAGGAATTCTAGTGACACTAGAAATCAGACATCAGCAATGCAATTTCAAAGCAGACCAACAGTCTAAAATTCTGTGATTCCCACTGTGCTGTTTTGCAATATCGCACACTCACCATGATAATCTGCTCTCGGACTGCAGTATGAAACAAGTGTTTGATATCGAACTGCCAAAAATCCAATAGTAAGCTGTCTCAGGCTTGTAGATATTCAGTTCGCTTTCGAAGGCCTTTGACATGCTGTGGTTGGACTGATACGTCTTTGCGATATGAAACAAGTCACTCATCAGCAGGCTTGGGTATAAAGGAGGCTCAGGCGAGCACTTCCATCTTTAACTCCTCTTCTGTGTCGCGCTCCATCCTCGCTCTCATTTTTTCGACGCCGTGCAATTACCTCGCAGTCTTACCTCAAGCCACTTCACGCCGTCATTATGATCGACTATACGAAGGCAATTCCTTTCGTCTTCGTTCTCGCACCTATCCAATACGCACGATACGCTACTTCTGGTATGGCCAGTCCAGCAGCATGCACCTTTTCGGCTCTCGCACAATCCTCTCCTGGTTCCGATACTCCCCACGCCCTCGTCGATTCATCCAGCTCGGACGATACAACATCAACGACAAATCAAGATGATACCATATTACACACCTTCTCATCTTCATTCTCGTGTCGTGTTGTCGAACTTTTCATCATACTTATCGGTCAAATCGGTTTCCTCGTACATCAATTCCTACGAATATCAGATGTTGTCGATGTTCTCTCTTCCTCGTTTACGACTCTCGAGCAGACTACCGACCTCGAAATCACGAACCTCTGTGCCACGATGGAGCTTGTCAAGCAAGATGTCGATTCCGTCAAAGATCAGACTCGTTGCCATGAACAAATAATAGCCCTTGAGGCTAGAGAATTCACTACCCTCATCGCTAATCAGCAACGCCAAATTGACGACCTCGGTAAACAACTCCACGAGGAACGCAAATTCTCGAGAGATGTCAAGAAGATTCTCGACAAGCTTACTTCTCGTGTCTCGCGGGACAACGAGGGGATTGACGCTTTCCACGGGCGTCTGCATGATGAACTTGCCTGTCAAATTAAGGACCAAATTAAAACGGCGCGAGATGTCATTGACCTTCGCAAGGAACTCGATGTCTTCCACGAACGCCTGCATGGCCAACTCATCTCTCAAGTCAAGGACCAAATCCGAACGGAGAACGATGTTGCCGACCTTCGCAAGGATATCCCGAAGACACTTTCTCTATACCACACGAGGATCTCAGCTCTGGAATTTGCATCATCTCAAACTAAGCTGCCTCTTTCACTTCAAGACGTTTGCAACTCCGAACCTGTACAAAGCGCTACATTTGTGGATGCTAGCGCCATTCCACAGCGAGTTCCTCCTGGGTTTCAACATCTTCCTACACCAACGAGTGCTGCACCGAAGCAAAGGTCAGGTATCTCAATCTCTGCTAGATCGCTTCGGTTCATTAATCGTGAATCAATCTACATTCGTATGTCCTCTCATTCATCAGTTGCGAAGTCTTATCTAACTGACAGATACTCCTGCAGAGCCATCCGCACGAGTCGGCTCAAAGGCAGCTGGAGCCCCCATCAAGTTCACCACTCCGAAGGCACTTATGACGGTTGATTCCGTCAGGCGTCCGGTTACTGTCAAGTCTTCGGTTTCTAGGGTCCTGCCGAGCTCGAAGATCCCCACTCCTGGCACGAGGGTGTCATCTGCACCTAAAGGAGTCCTCTTGAAGAATCCCCCATCCAAAGGTAAGGAGTTCTTGCTGTTACAGTTGATGATTCTCAAGACAAGGCATGCATAGCATCTTGTGATAACCGTCCCCCCCGAGAGTCTGCGACTCGTAGCAGTGCCACCGTGGGCAAGGTGCAAGAGCCTAGAGTTCCTTCTCTCAAGAAGAGCGGCAGTGCTGTCAAGCACAACGCAAAGGTGCCTAGACCTCTGAAGAAGAACAGCAGTACCGCCAAGGGCAGGGCGCGGGAACTTAGTCAGTGTTCTTCTCACTCCACTTCTTTCGTCCTCACCCACCCACTCTTTAGGTAACAACCAGGTGTTGCCCCCAACCTCGTCTCCAGTCACTCCCGCTACCAAATTGTGTGCCCCGGACTCGACATCCTGGCCCGATGACGCATCACATGGTATCGCTGGTCGACCCCGGACCCTGTCGTCATCGCCATCCTTGGAAGTTATGGATGTTGCTGTGCAACTGTACTCGTTGAGCGATCTACGCGATCCGTTACCTTCTCTAGATTCGATGTCTTGGCTCGACGCCGCATTGGATAGTGTTGCCAGTCAACCCCTGTCATCGTCATCATCTTTGGAAGCTCTGGATGCTGCTGTGCAGTGTCACTCTCTGGGCGATTTAAATGACCTGTTGCCTTCCTTGGACTCGATGTCCTGGCTTGATGAATGCCACGAAGTTTCAGGTCAACCTCTTCGCCCATCGTCTTCCACGGAAGCTTGGGATGCCGCTGTGCCGCTTTTATCGCTGGACGAATTGTGCAGGACGATGCCCTCGTTGGACTCGATGTCCTTCCTCGACAATGATGTTCTTCTTGTCCCTCCCTTCGAGAGTATGTATTCTTACCATTTTCTGGAAGTGTTCTGATTTAAATGTTTCCCCGCAGATCTTGACCGGAATAAGGCACGAAGCATCAATTGTCACCGAGACCCTCTCCACCTGTCACCTTCCATGAAAGCTTTGAATACTGCTGTGCAGCTTTCATCGCTGGATAACTTGTGCGAGACGATGCCTTCGCTGGACTCGATGTCCTTCCTTGACGACGATGCTCTGACGGTCCCTCCCTTCAAGTGTGCGTGTTTTTGTACTTTCCTTTTGTATGCATCTTTGATTCGAACATTCCATAGCCCTTCTCTGGAGCAAGCCTTGAAGCCTACGTGCTTGTTTGGCGTCTCTTGGTATTCTGCATACTTGAGCGCTGTATTCCCCACACCGATATATCCCATCCGTGGTTTCACCGTTAGTTGTATACCCTCTCATTTACCTCCATTCATGAATTGCATCCTATTTTTTCTATTCTATATACCATTTCTTCTCGTATCGTTCCATTTGCTTGCTCTCCGTCTTTCTATCTATCTCTCTCGTTTCCCCTGTACATGTTGTAGCTGTTTCTTCCCTGTAGTATTTCTTTCTCTTTATAATATCCTCTATCTCTACGTATACGATTTCCTTTCTACTTTTTATATCATTTTCCTCGCTTTCTATGATATCGTAGTCCAATATAATACATTTCTACTGGAAACTGTGACCGTGCATTACGAGACGCGTTGGCGTTTCAAAAGTATCTCACGTGTCAAGTTTCCAGGTTGGCATGCTTTTCCCGCGAACTTCATCGGATTCACATATGCTGGTAACAATATTCTCGTGCTACTACGGGCCATTTTTGCATTCCCTGGGCTATGACTCGGAATCACGGTTAGTCAGACTTTTAGAAGGATTTCCCTAGTTCTGCATGCATGATGAGCCGAGTCCAGTAGCTTGTCACTACGTGGCGACACGACTCCATTTAGCACTTGCAAGTTGGCGCCGTCGTGTATGATAAGGCTACTAGTATAGCCTATCGCCGCTCCAATATTGTTCATCACTCCTACTAGGCCTCAATTTCTACCATACATCCACAGTTTTTCCATTTATGCCGATGCATGACATGGCTGCCCAAGACCATTGTATGACTTATTCACGTCAGAGAGGGATAAATTATCCAGTGATGATTCTGGCACGTCAAATGGTGGATTCCGAGACCCCGCGGGCTTGCGCAGAGCAGCTTCTTTCTCCCCCACTCATTACGGACCGAAGTAAGATGAATGTGCGAGTGTGGAGGAAGTGGTGAAGTAGGTGGAGTTTCCTTGTTGGTCATAACATCTTCTGATCAGATCGAAAAGTTGGAAACGAGAGTTACTAAACCATCCTGCTATAAGGCGCAGCATGTTTTGATCCTGAATACCAGTTCCCTCTTCCTTATAATTGAGCCTCCACGTCACGAAGAACATGCCTCAATCGCCACGTCTAAATCCGATTGAGTCAAAGCCTGAGCAAGAGGGCGGGAACGCTGGATCGGAAGGTCGTGTTGGATTCAGAGGCCTTTTTGAAAATAAATTCATGTGAGCGGTTTGGAGATATGATGTGGATATGAATGATAGGATACATTGTGGCGCAGACTTGGTATATCGTTGTTCTCGACTCTTGGAGGATTCGTGAGTTATTTGTTACAAGATAGACGACCGTTGGTAACCCCCGTGCCTTCAACCTCGTCACGTGTATTTAACAGCTCTTTGGCTACGATCAGGTGAGTTAGGAAATGCCATATTCTTATAGTGGTAGGTAGACGTCTCACTGCGCATCAGGGAGTCGTGAGCAACGTGCTCGCCATTGAGTCTTTTGGAGCGAAGTTCCCGGCGATTTACACGAATGCAACGCTGAAGGTAAGGGCAATATTCCAATAGATATTCAATATGCCTGTCTGAATTACACAACTTTTAGGGATGGTTTGTCTCTACGCTTTTGCTCGGTAAGTCAATGTGGCATGCTGCAAACGTCTAGCTGATTCACATTTCAGCTGCCTGGTTCGGATCTATTGTGAACGGCCCCGTCTGTGACAAAGTGAGACATATCATTTGGCGAGATAGGACAAACTGTGATCGACTATGGCTCAGATCGGGAGAAAGGTAGACATAATATGCAATGTTGCCATCTTTCTTCTTGGTAGTTCACTCCAAGCGGGTGCTACATCTCCCGGTAAGCTCTATCCCGTTCACACTTATCAGCCTCGCTGAAGATTCTTTTTATAGTTTATCTGTTCGCCGGTCGCGCTGTTGCCGGCTTGGCAATCGGTTCGCTGACGCACGTCGTCCCGATGTATCTCGCTGAGATATCTAGTGCCAAAATTCGTGGATCTTTAGTTTCTCTGCAACAACTCTCTATCACATTTGGGGTGAGAAAAACATCCAGCACTGAGTTTATGAATTTGATACCACGAAATGTAGATTCTTGTTAGTTGTGCGTAGCAGTCAACTTTCATATATCTGTATGCGCTCACTTCTGGAAGACTGGCTTGCATATGGCACATCACATATCGGGGGAACTCGATGTGCCCCTCAAATATCATACACCGGGGCGCTTTTGAATGGCAGACCTACGTTCGATCCTTACACTGATGTCCCTCCTGGCGGCTGCACTGGTCAAACTCAAGCGTCGTGGAGAATCCCGCTTGCGTTCCAAATATTCCCTGCTTTGGTGCGTTGGCCATCTTCTGCCTCCCACTCATACCCACGGAAGCGCAGTGTCTTGGCGTTGGCATGCTCTTCATGCCATACTCGCCCCGTTGGCTCGTTGAGCAAGGTCGCGAGGAGGAGGCTCTAGAGGAGCTGTCGCGTCTTCGCCGGAAGCCCGCTGACAATCATTCGGTTCGCATTGAATTCCTGGAGATCATGGCTGAAGTTCGTTTTGCAAGAGAGGTCATGAAGACGGCATATCCTAATGCGGGGCCAGTCAGGCAGATAATCAATAAATACTTGGTATTGATTTCTAGCTGGCCAAAGTCCAAGCGTATCATTGTTGGTTGCCTTACTATGATGTTCCAACAATTTATGGTGGGTTTTCAAATCAGTCTTTCTTATCATTTGGTGATTTATGGTTTGCCAGGGTATAAACGTAAGTCGTCGTGGCACATCCTTCTGGAACTAACGTCGCTTACTTTGCTGAAGGCTATCATTTATTACGCGCCTACGAGTAAGCTTCACGAAAGATTAGAATGATTGACCTCGGGGTTGACTCTTATCCGCAGTTTTCGGCCAACTGGGCCTTGACCCAAACACTACCTCCCTGTTTGCCACTGGTGTTTATGGAATTGTAAACGTGAGTCCACAGTATGGACAATGTCACATATATTCCTAAATTATTATTCAAAGATGCTCGCTACTTTACCCGCTATTGTTTTGCTTGATAGTGTGGGCAGGCGGCCTTTGTTGATTTCTGGTGCCGCTGGATGTTTTACTTGCCTGGCAATTGTGGGTTCTCTTGTTACCGTTTACGGCATGGACTGGCCAGCACATGCAGTAGCGGCTCGCACAGCCATTGGTAAGTGCACTATGATATAATTACCTACAGGAACATGTTCAACTATCTTACAGTCTTCGTGTTTATCTACGATGTCAACTTCTCTTACTCGTGGGCCCCGATTGGATGGGGTGAGTGGCTCGTTTTACCTTCTTCAAGAATTTAATGCATTCGCCAGTAATTCCCAGCGAGATCTTTCCGTTGCACCTCCGGTCCACTGGCATCTCCATTACTACATCCACCACGTGGTTATCGAACTTGTGCGCGGTTTGATCGCCCTCTGTCTTTTTGGTATTGATATGCTTTAGTGTCGTTGGGCTCGTTACGCCAATAATGTTGGATGTGGGGGGGATGGCGTACTTTATCTTTGCCGGATTTTCTCTTGCCGCGTTACTCTCAGTTCGTACGTCAAACCCCACAATCGTGTTAAATAATCCGCTCAACTCGCTTTACAGTATTCTTCTTCCCAGAGACCAAGGGTCGGGTATGTTTTTCACGCACGCACGCATGTCTTGTCGAACATAACTGACAATGTCGTACAGACCTTGGAAGAAACGGATGCTGAGTTTGGTGATAATGCTACTAATAGGGAGCGAGAACACATGGAGCGTATTTGTCGGGAGCTTGGACTGCCCGTCCGGACGCTTTTGAATGCATAGTAATGAAATTCGCCTAGGTCATGTTTCCATTGAGTCGATTCATATAACATACTCCTTTTCCCCCTGCAACATCATGGCCTCATCATCTTGGAGTATTTCAAATGTCGGGGACTGGCGCGGCCGAGCGCCGTTACATTCAGTAATATAATATTTTACTGATGCCCTTCCAAGTGCATAATTCAACTAGGTTGTCATAGGGAAGAGAGATGTATAGATACATATCTGCAATTGTCACTAATTCGTACGTCCTCCTCACTAAGCTATGTACCTGAACATAGGCGCCTGCAGAATGTGTCAGCGGAGATTTATTCAGAGGCGGATAGTGTTCACCTTATCCGCCAATTTGCTTGTATCTACATTAGCACCTGGTTCCGGACGCCCATACTCACGATCGCGTTTCGCATTATCGTAGATGTATGACACCCACAGCACTAGCGCACAAACAGTGGCAAACGCCTCGAGGCCACATGATATAGCGAAGCCGGAGCTGCACCAGCGATAATCAATTAGCACATGCATACACAGAGCGAGGGGAGAAGGGTGGGACGCACATGTACTTCGGGCCGTCCGTCGATGGGTATATATGCGAGCCGAGGATACTCCCGCATTGCCCAATCGCCATGAACATCGGGATGCCCGTCGCTTTCTTGGTCTCAGAGCCGAGATTGTGTGCAACTGATGAAAACATGAGCTGTTGTGAGGAGAAGAGTGATTGAGTGATAAAGAGCGTACACCATGCAATGATTAAGCCAATGGCAGTATATGTCCCGCTCGTGATGCAGAACACGGCGAAGTATCGCACGTGGACATTGTTGGGGACTGTAAGCAAAAGAAGGTAGCCTGAAATGACACATGAGGGATACTTTAAACATAAAGAAAACTATGTGTCACGTACCAATAGTACCGACAGCACATGCACATGCAACCGCCAAGCCACGGTTTTGCATGCGATCGGACGTGTAGGATGTCATACAGAGGACGATGGCAGCCACTGCATATGGCGGTACTGTGAGTAACTGAGCGAGCGCGTTGGCTGGAAAGAAAATATCAACAAAGAATACCTTCATCAGACCACAAGGTAATACACACTGTACCCAAAAGTCGCGATGATCGTTGGCAAAAATGCCGAAATGCTTGCCAGAGCGCAGTTCACACCAAAGTAAATCATTCCCCCGGTGTATATACGCCAATCTAGGAGAGCTATCATGATGTGTTCTGCGGTAGGACAATTCTATGAGCTCTCGCTACGTAGCGTGAGGATGGAGAATTGGCTTGCCTTTGTTGATCACAGCACCAATATCCGCGCTCGTGCCCCTGTTCATGCGCTCCATTGCAATTTCTCTTTCTCTCGCATTCAAGTATCTAGTATTCTCCGGTCGGTCAGGGAGCGCGAAGAAAGTCAGAACACCAAGAAGAAGAGCCGGGATTCCCTGGGAACAACCGAATTGTTAGCCAATAAGTCTACAAGAGACAAAGCACATCAAAAAAACGGAAATAACCCTGACAGGTGTTTTATAGCATTCTGGGAAAGCGCTAGATAGTACCACTCGCATGCCTGCCTCTTAGGGGGAAAGTGCAATGCAAGAGAGGCTAGCACAGCAATCATTGGGCGGTATGGTCCAGGTAAACGGGATAACCATAACGATCCTCTTCCGCCTCTCAAAGCCCAGGAAGACTCGAAATATCAGCCGAAAATGACAAGATCCCAGAATGTAAAACACCATGACACCCGGCCAGATAAATGCGAGCGGATCAACATCTTGAAATAACACTCGTCCCTTCACGAAACATAGAGCACTGGTACTAACCTCGATAAGAAACAGGACTTTCCAGTCCCACTCTCCTCCTACGCCAACGATATACGGTCCGTACCCCACTTGCTGCACACCAAACGCGATAAGCCCACCGAAAGCACCTGCAACCGCCGCAAAACCAAACCAGTATGCCATGCGCAGGCCCATTTCGGTGCGAGTGTAGAAGAACGCTTGTATGGTTGTGTTAAGAGCCCTGTTTCTCCACGGGTTCATTGAGTGATGCATGACTTACAAAAATAAAGTGGAATTGCAGGGCCAAAGCCAGCTTCAAATATGCCAAGAAAAACACGGGCGGCTATGAGACTTCCAAAGTTGAATGTCGTTGCCTGCAGAAGAAATAGCATGCATCATGAGTAATAGTTCGGGCTCAAAATTGACAATAAAGAAGATAAAGATGCTGCAAAATGGTTGAATGTGAAAGAAGTCAGGTAGGTATTCAAACAGGGTGGTCGGAAAGGTCTATTCGATCTGCAGATAAAACAAATCAAACATCAAGCATCAGCACGCGTCACTGAATTTACGGCAGAAATTGGCCGCTCCGACGCGCTGGTATATTACTAGTGTTGATAGATACGTCACAGGAGGAATTGTTCATGAACAAGACATTCCTAGTAGCTAAGGAATGATTTTAAGAAGAGACAGAATGTACACATAAAGATGAGCAACAGTATGACTCGCCATTAACGTGGAACATATACCCCATCCAATAGCCGCGCACGCTATCCAATAGGATGGTGGAAACAACTTTGAGGTTATTGTTGCAGGCACTTGAAAAATAATCTGGGAGGTAATAAATCAAAACTAGGGCGATAAACTATAGCTGTATTACTCACATACGAAAAGAAAAATGCCGAGTTGACCCAATCATACAGTGTACCAGTAGGGTCGCCACCAAGGTTCTCTTCAGTCAGTCCTTGGAGGCGTGCATTTCCAAGATTCGTGCGATCAAGATCTGATTCACCGTCAGTACAACATGTCAGCCGGCTCTCATGATGAAATTTCACCCACAAGCAAAGAGATAGAGCAGGCATGTTATGGGCAGAATCCTACGGTCAAGCTTGCGCACGAGCCTCTTCTCTTCGTCAGACTTGGTGATGGGATTATTGCCGCCAGCGTCATTTATGGATCTGGTTTCCCTCTCATCGGAAGATGGGTGTTTTTCTTCGTCAATCATAGTGGACCGAGGTAGACCGAGGTGACTCGCGCACGTGAGCGAAGTACGTAGCGAGCTACTTCGCGATATTAAAGATGCTGACCGAGCGCTCGCAGAAGCAAGAGAACAAGAGGCATATTAGATCCGACGTTTATAATGAAATGCACAAGTCAGGTGGACTGCCATGTCATCAGCTGCTAGCCGTTTCTGTACCACGGTAATTCAAACAAAATGGAGGCGCTGCAATGATGCCAGCTGATGAGAAGAAATCTCACGCGAAATTACATAACTCGCCCCCGCTGGGCTCAAGTGGCCCCACATCAAAGAACTATTCCTGGGCAGTGGGCACTATCCTCACAGGGTAATCTTTGTCGGCGAGGCATGGGCGCACGGGCATGATACTGCCCCTTGGGCCAGCTTCCGGGTCCTGCGGATATGTATAATAATGTCATGCGAGTTTGAACGTGACGTGCATCGAATTGTCCAGTCGTTGAAATTCCAAACTCGAGTGATCCGAAGAAGTGGAAGCCTCAAGTACTTATGCCAATATTGGGTGCATATTGGGTGCAGTCACGACACGGCGATATAGTGTAGTGGTTATCACTCGGGATTCTGACAAGGGCTGATTTCCCGAAACCCAGGTTCGAGCCCTGGTATCGCCTTCACTTTTTACCTTTTTCATTCGAATTTCGCGCCTCATTCATTGAACGTCTCTACCGATGATCAGCATGAGGAGGGCCTTCCACGCGCGGTAGCGACCCAACGACTCCCACGAAAGTCTTTATATTGTCACCCTCTGCGATAGGCAATCTTCGGATGCTTCAAGTTCTCTAGTACGTCATATGCAAGGTCAATACTGATACGTCGAAAGGACCTATTGCAGCATGACCTGAACGTTTGAACCCCCATCTGAGTCTTACCCGAATCCCATCCCTTCCTCCCGTCTTTCACCACTCATTGTCCACCACGCAGCCCCGGGCCATTCTCGATCCTTGTCGTTTTGCTTCATCGCACTATCATGCCCGGTACCTTAGAAAGCCGGTATATCAAACTCGAACGTGATTCGCTTCATACCTCCGTCTCTGTTTCGTGATGCTCACTCTGTCTACAGTCATCAGCGGGAGGAATTTTAAAGTTCCCTCCCAGCGCATTCCAGCAGGCATCTACATATCCATCAATCTCGACTCGAGCAGGTGCTGGAATTCAGCCATTGGAGTCTTATTATCCGACGAATCTACAGCGTGGGCCGATACTGTGACCTTGTACAAGTTCATCGAGACTTTCAGACACAAGTCGAGGACTGATCTTTGGTCTCTAGATCATTGGACACGTCACTTGCATTATCGGTGGAGATCAGGGCCTCCTTCGAGCTCGATCGGATGTTGGGCAATGGAGAAGTCGTTGGAAAACTTGAAACATCATGGGATGCGCTGCTCGATCATAGAAGTGAACCTTTCAGTGAGTGACCTTCTCACTCATGCACACATACTCATATCTCGTAGATATCTCGTTCCCGTCCGTTCTTAGTGTTCACCCTTCCCTCACGCTGGAGGCTGTTGTTCTACTTGATAGCGACATTCAGGACAGCGTACTGCTTAACGTGAGTGCTATCAACCTCGGCGTTTCGGCTTTTTGGTTGACATGACACCTCCTGCAGTCCGTCGGTGAATGTGAGATTGTTCGGAATACAGATGCCGGCCATGAACGATTTGCCACATATATGACAAGCAACACGGTCTCTCACCTGAACGATGCCGTACAACATTTTCAGTCGGTCCTGGACCAATGTCCGGTCGGCCATCTTGACCGTGCAGCAGCTTTCACTAACCTCGCGTGGGCCCGCCTTCAAGGCTACATTCAAAACGACTCTCAAGACATTGACTCTATCAATTCTTTATTTCGCGAAGCCCTTGCATTGCGTCCGCAGGGCCACCCCGATCATCCATCATCCATCTATCACCTCCTTCACGCTTTGATTCGGTGCTACAGCGAGGAAGGCACCGCCGTTTATATTCAGGAATCTGCGCAACTGTCCTGCAAATTACTGCCCCTCTGTCCAGAGGGCACTTTCTTTCATAGCATTGCGGCAGGTGCAAATAGCATCGATTATGCGATTCGTGCATGTAACAATCTTCCAACCGACGCATCTGATGAAGGCATCCACTTTCGACAAGTCGTGCTCGACCTCTGTACTCTGGGGAGCGAACACCGTCCAAGAGCCCTCCAAGAGCTTGCACAGGCAGTAGAAGGACGCTTCCAAGAACGCGGCAGCATTGATGCCCTAGACGAGTGTATACAGCTTCGTCGTGAAGCTGTTTCTCTGTGTCCCCAGGGACATCCTGGACACTATACCTACCTGAATAACTTGGCTTTAGTCACTCCATTACCGCTTCGATCACCAAGACAACTCTCATGACCTCAATGAGGCCATCTCTTTGTACGAAGAAGGGCTGCGCTTGTGCCCCGTTGGGAATACATATCGTGATTTCTCATTGGACAACCTAGGACTTGCCCTCCGCACCCGTTTCAATCAACACAGTGATGTTAACGACATCATGAGAGCCATCAGCCTCCATCGCGAGGCACTGACGTTGTGCCCGCCTGGGAATTCATATCGTGAGACCACGCTCCACAACCTTGCTCTCGTGCTCCACGACAGATATGCCAAATTAGATGCCAGCGAGGATCTTGACGAGGCCATCGACCTGTACCGGGAATCACTTCAGTTACAGCAGCATGGCCATCCCAGTCGCCATAAAACTCTTGACAATTTGAGCTCGGCGCTCCGTTATCGTTTTACGCAAACTCAGAGGAATGGAGATGTCGAGGAGGCCATCCGACTGTGCCAGGAGTCGTTGGATACCTTGTCTTCACTGCACCTGGATAGATATTTCAGCTACATGGTGTTACAGGAAACCTATCTGTCTCGTTACCGAGTGCAATACGACCTTGCCGATTTGTCGCTCGCTGTGGAGAACTTCAGACTTGCATCACGTCACCCCACTCAAGAATTTCCGCACGCATCAGAGAGGCTATAGACTGGGCTCACCAAGCTGAGGTTTATCGACACGACTCTGCTCTCGAAGCATACCGAATCTGCTTGGAGCTTTTCGACAATCACGTGATGGCACGATCAACGATCATCTCACGACGTGAGGCTGCAACCGCTTTTCGCGATGCACAGTCACTGCCAGTAGATGCAGCCTCGTGTTCCATACGTCGCGAGGATCTGCAACAAGCAGTCGAACTCCTGGAGCAGGGTCGTGGCCAGCAGTGGTCGTTGGCCTCTCGACTTCGGACTCTGCTGGAAGACCTCGAGGTCACAAATTCCAACTTTGCTTACAAGTTCTCGGAACTCAGCAAGCGTCTTTCTGATGCTCATGGTTCTGCCGGCAGCGCTGACCGAGTTGCTGCTGATCAAGCAGCAACTCAGTACAGGAGACTTCAGGAGCAGTGGGGAGCTGCAGTAGCTGACATTCGCAATATCCCAGGTTTCTCGCGATTCCTGCTCCCCCCGTCTTTTACAGAATTGCAAGCGGCAGCACGTCATGGACCAGTCATCATTCTCGTTGCGAGTCAATACTCGTGCAGCGCCATCATTGTCCCGACCTCGGGAGAACCACACCATGTTCTCTTCCCGCGCATCACTCTCGTACATCTGGAGAGGCTCAAGAGCGACTTTGCCAGGGAGATACGACTTGCCTCTTTTATGCGACCAGAGGAGACGAGGAAGGAATTGCAAGTCCTCCTGAGGATAGTATGGGACGAGATCATGCTTCCCATCGTCATTGTCCTCCAGCGGGATCTCAGAGTGACAAGCCGGTCTCGAATCTGGCTGTGTCCAACTGCAACCTTCACTTCTATTCCTCTCCACGCAGCTCACCCTTTTCGAACGAAGGCGGACGGACGTGGGAGGGAACTATGCCTGGAGAACGTTTATATCTGTTCTTATACGCCGACACTTTCAGCTCTGATCAGATCTAGACAGACGATGAAGACACGTGTAACTACTCCGTCCTTCGCTGCAATCGGACAAAGTGTACCGGGTGCGGGGCAAGGTGGGGCGCTCTTGACTATCGACAGCGAGCTCGAGCTCGTCCGCAAGCTCGTCCCTACGACGGCCAAAACTACCACTCTCTCTGGCGATGACGCCACGCGAGCAGGTGCACTCGACGCAACACCTGGGTGCACCTCGCTTGTCATGGGAAACAGGACCGCGAGCAGCCTTACTATTCACGTTTCGCCATGAGACGAACCTCTGACGCTGCTCGACATCATGGAGAACGACACTCCGCAAGCGGAGTTCGCATTCTTATCGGCGTGTCATACCGCCGTTGGCGACGAGGAGACACCTAACGAAGTGATCCACCTCGCAGCTGGACTGCAGTTTTCTGGATTCAAGAGCGTCATTGGCACGCTGTGGGTGGTGGATGATGCTATCGCAAAACACGTCGTCGAAGCTTTCTATGAGAATATGTTCAAGGATGGTGCGATGGACTGCACGAAGGCAGCCTGGGCGCTGAATCGTGCTACGTGCTCGGTGAAGACGAAAGTGCCACTCGAGCAGAGGATGGTTTTCATACATATTGGTGTGTAGTTCTACTATGTCGCATTGCTTTGATCTGGTACAGTTTTACCAGTTGTTTATATGCATTCTCTTTCGTCTACGCTGTACTTAATGTTGTAGGAATTACCCTCTGTGTCACGCTCCCGCACTCCCGCACTCCAACAATCTTGTTTTCGCTTTTGCAGTTCAGCAAAGTCATTCGTTGCTCGACGATAACGTGTGTATTGGAATGTCCGTGACATCGCTTTCTGCTGACTCTGCTCGAGGACAAGTTGTCCTAACTAATCATCATTCAGGTCCAGAGGCCTGTGCTTTGCTTTCTGAAACCTGGTTACCTTCCAACTAAGCACCGTGAAGTCGCTGACATGAATGCAGTACACTGCGGATCCGTTCAACTATTCTACATACTCATAGAGGCCCCCAAGTCCCGTCGAGTGGTTATCAGACAGTGACCATGTCTATAGGCACTGGTCATCCAAATAAATTGCATAGATTGAACATTGGGTGACGCGGCGACAAAAACGTGTAATAATTACAAGATCCGTGCGATGAGCTGCTGATTGCGAAGAGATACACAAAAACATCGAATGAGTACTGTCCATAGCAAAGCAGCACGACTACCAGTTAGAAGGCACCAAAGAACATATTTCGTACATATTTCTATCTCCTAATTCGATTTGACGCTCGGCACAGTATTACATATGGATCCTCTGGTTTATGAACAGCGATGGTGTGTTTAGGTGATTGGGGCGGGACAGAAGGATATGATCTCTTCGTAGAGGAGCTCTTTGAGCTGTTCGCGGCTGATATCGTCCTTGTGTACTGCCGAATATGGTGAATATGCATGTGCGCTTATCAAACCTGAGTACTTACGGTCGAATTCGAAGAACTCCGGGTCGAGCGGTGGTGCAACTGGTTCGTCATCGGGATCGTGCTGAATCACAGGTAAGCTTGTGCGTTCGAGGAGTAAGAAGTACACATACATATGCTTCGAGGTATGGGTGAGCCAAAGCCTCTTCGACTGTTATGCGTTTCTTAGGATCGAATGTCTAGGAGAAAGGTTTGAGCTACCACTCAAATAGATGAGAAGATCGTGACTTACGAGAGTCTTTGTCAAGAAGTCTACAGCCAAAGGATTGGCGTTGGGGAAGATTTGCGCAAATGGCCGGCGTTTGCGGAAAGGAAGAGCTCGAATATAATCTCGTGATCTGCGTGTGGTAATGGCGTAAAACTCGTCCAGCGTTGGTGTGCCGAGAACATCCAAGATCAAGGTGAGCTGATGGTGGTAGTCTCTGCCGGGGAACAAAGGTTTTCCGGAGAGCATCTCAGCCAAAATGCATCCAACAGACCAGACGTCGATAGCTTTAGTATATTGCTTGAACGTCAGCATGATCTCAGGGGCTCGGTACCACCGTGTAGCGACATATTCGGTCATAAACCCGGTTTCGGTGCCTGATGGTTCGGCGGTCTTTACTGATCGTGCCAGCCCAAAGTCGCAGACCTTGAGATCACAGTTTGCATTAAGGAGGAGATTTGAAGGTTTGAGATCACGGTGGATGACATCAGCAGAATGTAGGGCCTTGAGTGCGCGCAGGGTTTGATAAATGAAATATTGAGCGTGGTCATCTGAGAGGTCTTGGGTTCGGATAACACGGTGCATGTCTGTTTCCATCAGCTCCTGGATCACTGTGTGAAAGTTTGAATGACATGTGGGTTGAATAACGTATTTTTACGCACGATAAACTTCTTTGAAAGCGTCTAGAGAAGGAGGCTTGATAATGTCCAAAATTGAAATGATCTTTAAAGTTATGACTGAGCACGTAAATATAACGAATGGCCAGCAGACACGCTCACATTCTCGCTTACGCCAGCTTCACTGAGAAATTTGAGGAGTTTTAGTTCTCGGAGTGTCCGCAAGCAGAACATGGAATGATCAAAGGGTGCGATCTTCTTGATGGCAACCTTGCGGCCACTGGGCCGGTGAACAGCTGAACAGACGATACCATATGCGCCCTCGCCTACGACATCGAGAACCTGATACTGAGTACCTATTGAAAGAAAGAATTTGTTAAATTGAATGAATGAACAGCAAGGATGAAGACATACCAACGTTGAATCTAACTTTCCTCGGTGCGGGTGCAGCTTGGGATGTAGCACCGTGTTTTGATTTTGAGGGTGCTGCAGCGACAGCTGGAGCCTGCTGAGGGTTTTCAGGCATCTAGAGATAAATGGGAGAAGGAGGGAACGTGGAGGACAAGAAAACTATGAGCAAGGCACAAAGTAGTATAATCTTGCGTGCGTTGTGTACGTAGAAGCAGCGTCCAAGTTTAGCGATGAGTATATATAATAGGAAATAATAACAATTGATTCGTTACAGAATGAAATAACAATAAGTCCCTGGAAAAGTATGTTCCACTGCATCCCATGATTGCCGCCAAGACAACCAAGTTCCGACTTCGTTGTCAACTACTTACGACACCCTTTGCTATAGCGATAGCAGCAACGCTGCCTGAGGCCACTGATTCCTAGCAGTCTGGCTCTGATACCAATGGCTACAACGCCCTGGCTTTTTCGCCAAAATGAATTAGAGCTCTTCGTGATGCGTGCTGCGGATGCGAGCACGCGCGGCAATGTATTGATAACCATGGGTGCCGCTGCGGACGCGCCATATATCTTGATGGTTTCAAGGTCACCTAGGTTTCGAGGCGATAGAATCGAATAGACCAGGTTCGTGACTATTCTAAGATTCTACTACATGCTTTGTCTGAGATGTCAAGGCTGCCACTGGGCTTGATTGGTCTCGAGCCTATTGTCATTCTGTCTAGTTCTTCGTCCTTCTTATAGTGCTCCCTGCCGAGATCATCCTTTTAATTGACTGCCAAATCGCTCAAGAACAAGATTCCACGGGGAGGTTCTAATACCGCACGCGCCCAATAGGCGGCCTATGTCTTCCTTCGAACGTATACAATCTTCCAAGTCGCGTCAGTAGCAGAAGACTCCTTCGCACTTGCCAATCTTAACCAATAGGCCCGCTCCCAGCATTCACTCTCACTTTCATCTCTTTTGAGATGATTCTCATCCCGTTCAGCACAATTTTCTCAATCTCAAAAACATCCGCTGAAAGACTGAGAAGCAGGATGGCTGTGGAGTTGCAGAACATGGCTGAAGTATTCCGACCACAGACTCGGATGTGTACGATCAAGTTGTGTGTTATCACTCCATAAAAATGATTTAGAGTGAAATCTGCAGCTGAATCCTCCATCGATGCTCCCGCTGACCTTCAATTATCTTAGTCTGCATAGTGCGTGCAGTGGATGGCAGGACACGCTATGTTTTGATGGTTTAAGGTCACCTAGATTTTGGAGTGATTCCCATCATCACAATAGACTGGTGGATCATGAATATGAATATTCTGGTAAAGGACGGGATATCAGGTGTGAAGGTACTTGGGAATGTCTCCTACAATAGCGTCATGACAGCATGATGAGATGTAAAAATTCGACAACAAGGCCAGACGACAATGCATATATCTGCACATGTGGTATATATACAAAATATATCCTACCATGAAATGAGTGGCAGCGAGCACACCATCATACTTACTAAGCTTTACCGCACGCCCCCAACGCGCGCCCAAAACATGTCTTCTTTCAAACGTACGATTTCTTTCCACGTACGATCCTCCCATGTCGCATCACCGGCGTAACCTTCCTCGTCGATAGTAGAAGAACGTTTTGTACTACTTGTGTCAATAGATTTACCGTGTGTGCTGGAATCTTGGGATGCACGCCTGGTTTGGCTAGCTTCGGAGGATGGGTCGACAACAGTGGCTTGTACGGTGTGGGGAGAAACATCCACGGACGCTCGCTTCTCGGGGAACGGATCTATGTTCATATTCGCATCAGGTAAGGGGTTGGGGGTTTCGGCGATGTTATGCTTGGTCGTCAAGGGCTCTACAACGTCCTCACCCATCACAACCTTCCGTTCAGGGGGAGGAGATGGTTTGTGTTCTTCTTCCTTCTCTGTGACAGGCGTATCAACTTTCGATGGGGCCTCATCTTTACTAACTTCAGTCGAAGGCATCGGAATTCCTTCCTTTGCTTCGGTCTGTGAAGCAGTAGGGGGCACGGGAACTGCCCTTCGTGCAGGAGCGCGCTTGGGGACGGGTGGAGCACCATTTGGTACAGGCGAAGCAGCCCTGGAAGACGTAAATGGAGAGCCCGTGCGTGGGGGAGCTGGTGAGCCGGCTCTCGATCGACTCGGAGCAATAGGTGTACTGACGCGATGAGGTATCGGCGAAGATATGCGTGAAGGTAAGGGAGCTGGAGAAGCCACACGAGAACGTGGGCGCGGAGGTGGCGATGTAGCACGGAACGCAGGTGACGTGGGTGTCTCTGGCAGGGGAATGGTGTGTGGGGAGGGAGGGCGTTCTGGCTGTGAAGCCGGGGCTTCAGGCTGTGTTGTTTTTTGTGGAGAAGACATATCTACGGAAAACGGGCGAGAGGAGGACATCTCATCAACGGGGGTGGTGAACGATTCTTGAGATGTCCCAGCTTCGGAACCGGCTTTTTTGTCAGTATCGTTTGAAACGGCAGGGCGAGTGTCGATCGAATGGCCACGCCCTTCGCTCCTTTTGGGGAGGGGAGGGGGTGCTTGGACCGGTAGATGGGAAACGGAAGGGAGGGTAGGTGGCGGTGGCGGAAGTTTCCTCGCAATTTTCTTAACCGTTTCCTCGTCCTTGTCTGTTTCCTTGTCCTTGTCCTTGTCCTTATCTTTCTCCTTGTCCTTATTTTCAGTCCAACCAGCAGCCCTCTCCCCAAATGCACTCGCCATTTCCCAAAGCCGCCTGCGCCGAGGAGGCACAGGCGGCTTCTCACCCACAGGGAGCGTAAATGCACTTGCAGCTGGCGAAAAGTTCCTTTTATTCGACTCTTGGGTATTCTCTGTCCCATTGCCACCCGAAATCACGGGCTTCTTATTGGGTATAACGGGCTCCTCCTCCCATATACGCTCCACGATGCATGTGCGGACAAAAGCCCACAGGGAACACGTACTCCGGAGGCGCAGGAGACAGTAATTAGATGTGCATAACGGATAGGGCTGTTGCATTTGAGTAGAGCTTGTGCGGGTTGCCCCCGTGGGGTGTGCTGGTGGCTTGGATACGGAAAGCGTCGAGGTGGAAGACGAAGAAGTGTGCAGTGGTAGAGAGGCAGGCGCGATAGCTGGGGCAGGGGTGGCAGGTGCCTGACGGAATACGTACACTTGCTCAGGCTGCTCGATATCTGCGTCATGTTCCACATGACTTGATGAGGAATTAAAAAGTGAATTCTTGAACCAAAGGTTGCCATTCGTGAGGCGGACATTGTTGCGGCTGCGTGCAAGGGACGCGAGTGGGTGGCTTGGAGGTGTTTCGTGCGATTGGGCGCGCACTATGGCCGTCCCGCAAAGAGCACATGAAATGGAAACGGGTGTGTTCGTTTGGGAGTGGGGATACAGCTCCTGCACAAGTGATGAGAATGGCACTGGTTCGACAATGAGCATCCCTGTGTGGATCGCTGTTAGAACGTTCCGTCGGGAGAGCCAGTTTAATGAAGGGGCCAGGTCAAGCCGAACGGTCGGTTCTCTAGATCACGATAAACAGATGAATCGGAGAAGAAGACGTGTAAGCCACTTACGAATCCTCCGTGAGCAACCGTGCGAGGAAGGGTAGACCCAGAAGTGTGGAGATAACAGGCGAAGTAACCTGTGAAACCCTTAGTCCCCGAAGGTGCGTAACAAACGCAATGAACTCTGCATAGGGGACATGCACGGTCACTAAACGCATTTTCCGTACATCTCCTGGATACTGCTGAGCCAGATGCGCATCCCGCTCGACCCACTTGCCCTTTCCCATACTGAGTCGCGCCTCCTCCGCCTGACGCTCAGCACCCTCTTTATCAGCCTGCATAGTCTGCATTTGAGTCTGCATCACTTTGACAGCTTCCTCAGCTCCCTTGAGCGCCTCCTCCGCCTCGCGCACCTTGCGTTCGCTCTTAGCCCGCGCCAATCGTGCTTCTGCGACCATCGTGTTCGCCTGGTGAAACAGCGATGCACTAAGATCATCGAGTTCTTTCTCAATATCACTCCTGGCTGTCTCTGCTTGCCCACGCTGCGCAGCTTCTTCCGTCGCACGTTCCATAAGCCTGTTCAGCTCAGCAGTGACATGCTCTTTCTCGACGAGCAGCCCTGTATCGAGCGCAGCGAGATGGTGGGTGCGCTCAAGCTCGAGCGATGAGACAGTGATACTCGCATTTCGCAGAGAGCTCTCACAGTCGTGTAGCTGATCTTCGAGGTCGGAGACGCGGTCGTAGGACTTGACGAGCTTGCCGTTGAGCTGGGTGACTTGCGAGAAGAGATCGGTGACTTGGGAACGGAGGGATGCGATTATTTGAGCTTGGGCATCTGAGGTATCTTGATCTTTCTGGTGTTCTTGGTTGAAGAGCTCAGGGTTGATGGCTGTTTCGTGTGTTGGCTCCGTCGATGCCATTGACGACGTGCTCAAGACGCAGTAGTGAACGTCAAACTTGACCAAACAAGAATTTTGAAACGACAGTGTTGCCTAGGGACGAATGCATGATGCATGCTACAATCAAGTACTAAGTACTACATAGTTAAACATGCTTTCATATACGTATGTAGAAGCACGAAGTAGCTAAGACGTCACATCGGCGATCAACACAATGAGACCCCTGAATTCATTAAACGAACCACTACCAAAACACGACAGCAAGCAAAACATACGAGGTGATTGTCGCATTATATCACGTCCACCACGCACGTCTACATGGACAAAAGCAAATGAAATAAGCTTAGGACAACAAGTATACCACGCAGATGAGCACCCCTCGCCCCTCCGAACCACCATGCACATGCGTTCTTACTGTTTGGGTGGCGGAGGGCCGCCACGACCCCGAGGTCCGCCACGGCCCCGGAATGAACCCCTGGACTCGCCATTAGGCGCACCACCCCTTGGCCGACTGATAGGCCGGTCGCCACGCTCCTTTCTGGTCTCAACGATGATCCGGACGTTGCCCTCAGGGCTATCGAAGCGCAATCCGCCCTCGCCACCAGCATTGGTGGGAAGCGAGGCGATGATCGCTTTTTTAGCAGCCTCAAGGCTGGCGAACTCGAGGAATGCACAAGCTTTGCTGCGCACGATCTCGACCTCCTTGACGGTGCCAAAGCGGGCCAGAAGGGTTATCAGTTGCTGTTGCGACACGACATCAGTGACACCCTAATGAAAAGTAGTGAGTGTGTGTATGGATAGTTAGAGAAGTAAGGCATACCTTGACAAAGCACTGCGGAGTGGTGAGTGCGTTGGCAGAAGCGATAGGCGAGTGAGGGTGCGAGTGCGAGTGCTCTCTCCGTGGAGCAGGAGAAGGAGCACTACTAGCCGGCGGTGCTGGGGATGTTGCGGAAGCCGGGACCTCAGACATCCCTTTCGACTCAGTAGCTACCTGTGCGCCCCAGCGCTTAGAGTCGGCGGCAGCGAGGCTGGCCCACGTTTTTGGCGCTGCAGGTTTTGGTGCAGGAGCTGGTTGCTGAGGAGCGGGTGCCTGTTCAGGAGCTGGTGGTGGAGCAACCAGAGCAGGAGGTGTAGGCACTGGTGGCGGCGCAACAAGCGGGGGAGGTGCAGGCGCTTGTGGCGGCGCAATCAGAGCAGGAGGTTCAGGCTCTGGCTCAGCTTCAGGAATGGATGGCTCAGGAGTAGGCTCCCGTTTGATCTCAGGCTCGTGATGGAAACCGTTGACCTCAACCGGAGCAAGTTCAGGCTCAGGTGGTGGGGAGATGGGCTCAGGGACCATAGTAGTTGGCTCTTCAACTTCGGGTTCGGGGGCAGGAGCAGTAGCAGTAGCAGTAGCAGGAGGCGGGAGAGTTGGCTCGCGAATTGATTCAGGTTCAGATTCAGAAGGTGCAGTAGATGAAGCCTCAGGTTCGCTGGCATCATCTTCGACGGTCTCCTCCTTGAGGAAGCGGAAGATGTCGTTGAGGACAAAATAACCGTTTGGCTGCTCTGCAAGGAAGAAGGTTTGCACGAACTTGCGCCAAGGGTCGCCATGATTTGACATTTCACCGATGACCTGAATGATGATACCACCATTGGCACTAGACTGGGCGTCGACTGAGTGGATGTAGACCTTGCAATCGTCGAAACCGAGAGAGGTGATCTTGTTATGGATTTCCTACGCTAGTTGTAAAACCTTATAAACGATGAATAGATAAAAATAGTGCATACCTGCTGGCCAAAACACGCCTTGACATCCTCGCCCTCCGTACCATGAATGAAGGTTGAGGTTTTTGTGTAGAAGCAATGCAAACGATTGGGCTGCTTGTTAACAAAAGTGTAATACTGAGGAACAAATTGCCATCCGACTTCAGAAGGAACGACGTTCTGATGAATCTGAGAAGGAGATGAAGTAGCGGAAGAGCTGGTCATTATGAGGGAATGATGCTGAAACTTGTTTTTTTTTTAACCCAATGACTGAAATTGAACGACTTTACTAACCTGAAGGGAATCAAAAGTGCGTGATAATGGAGTCTAAAGATTACAACGAACAGACGCAAGAAGCCGCGTTTATACTGACGGAGGATGCGAGAGACGGCGTAGACAGAAAAATCACAACAGAGTCAATTTTACACCGGTCTTTGCCGAATGCTGACAAATTACGTGGCGTCCCGTTCCCGCGCATTGTCAAGTTTCAGATCACACAACTGCTTTCATCGCTTCATCGCGGCATGGGGGATGCAGAGGACTTTGTGGCCCCGCTTTAAATCCTTTTGATCTAGGCAGGTTATTGACTTCATTCATACCTATGGTTAATGTTCACCAGTCATCTGATGGCTTGTCTAGTTTAACCAAGCAAGAAATACAAACTAACTTATGCAAACCTGATGTAGTCAATGGGTCTTACCACAGACGCACCTGAGGCTTCAGAATCATAATTAATGTCGATGTTTATCAGCTCAACGTGTTATCAGAAAGCCATGACGACAAGTTACACATAGCCTTATTGTCAAGTGACGAAGTTTCACTTGGCTGGCTCGTGGCCAAGACTAATTATAAGGGGCAACCGCTCCAGTTTTCTCCACTTCGACATATAAGTAGATAGCGCAGCAGCCATTCAGGTTGGTCGAAATAATTTCTCATATTCGCTCAAACACCGATGCCAGCCAGTATTAATCTTCTACTGCTCTTTATCCTTGTGTTCTGTTTGTCAAATAATGGTGTGCACGCCTTTGGGGCAGGCAACATTCCTTCGTAAAGCAGCACAGTCCATTCCTTAAATTCTGCTTTCACTCACGATTTGATAGATATGCATTTGTCGAAGGCAAGGCATTTAGGCATGGAGATATCGTAGGCGGTCTTCAACCTGATCGTTAGGCTGGCGTACTGATCGCCACCCTTTTTAGGAGGATGCGCTTGCAGACCTCTTGAAGAAGGGGGTTGGTGGATTCGCACTCTCCAGTCTCATTGGAAAGGGTCCCAAGTTTGGTGGCCTCGACATTAAGCGCGTATACTTTGGGTGTGTGTTTGCAGATGCCAACACGTATTTCTTCGTGATCTAATCCATCAACCGGCATGTAGCAATTGGTTGAGAGATTACAGTCAGGTAATTTAACGACTCTCCTAATGTATGAAAGTTTGGCAACTCCATGACATTTGATAGGCTGTTGATATCGGTACACTGAAGAAAGTGAATCTGCAAGTACGTCATGATTATCATCCTCTTGATTTTCAAAATATCAATCTACGAATTTCCAGACGATCCTCAATTTAGTTATGGTGCTCGGGTTTATGGCATGTGCGGTCGTCGCCCTTCAAACTTGCTCTTATTCTGCTTTAGGCCAATGGATATGCCACTGGGGAATTTGAAGTTACGCCAGAGAGACTGGGTGCATATCTACCAGTAAGTGCCCCGCGACATATAAACCACATGGCGTATCAACGTGCACTACACAGACAGAACATATTGATAATCCGAAAGGTTACGGAGAGGGAGAAGACGCACGGCAGTATGACCCCAGACTGCGCGGCCCTGTCCACGTACTTAACGTTTTTGGTTACCTATCACTTACCCTACTCACCTGCATCATTCTTTCCAGCCTGATGAACTCGCCATTGATCCGCAGACGGGAATGAAAAACTATATCGCAAATGGTTCGTCTCCTCACCTCGATTTTATTTTGACCTCGAGTGACTCATGGGTGCGACAGAAAATGGACATTGGGATACATCCAAGTCCCTCGTGCGTAGAGTACTCCAGCAGTGCATTTACCTCGGCAGGAAATATAAGAGTTCTGGAGATAACGCAGATCAATACGAGGCGTTTAGGCTCCTTGGACAAGCTGTAAGTTGAACATTCAGTTAAAAATATCTACCTGTGGCGCATAGATGCACCAAGTATGTGCGATGACCGTGCGATATACATTGTAGCGTATAGTCGTGCCCGTCGTCGGTGTCCATTGTTTTGCTATGAACAACTCGCACTGGTTTTATCGCAACACCAACTGATCTAACTAAATAGCTCCACACCCTTGAAGACTTCCCTGCGCACTCTAATCTCTGCGAGCTTGCTCTTGTTTCCATGGGACACGGTGATGTATTTGTGCATGTTGGTGATGCCGTACGAGTGCGAGCACACAACGGAAATATGGTCGCGCCAATCGTCACCGGTGGGTCTTTTTACGCTATGGTACCGTCAGGAATAACCACGCTCACTATGATTTCTGTTCAGGAACGTTTGGATCGAGTGATTTTATTCACAGCCTGCTTGGAGGTATGCACCTATAGTCTCTCGTCCTAGTGGCGATTATTGAAACTTACTCTCGTCCAGAGGCTACCGATCACATCGTAAGATTATTGGTCTGGGTATACATCACAATTCTCATCTTCATTCATTCTCTAGAGTGAAGCTTCTGTCACGGATCTCAATAAAGAGTTTGATCGCGCACGCTCCAAGTCCAATTCGTCGAGTGCCATACTCCGCGATGCTTTCCTTAAACTTCCTGGTGGAAGCGGTGATAAGATGCGCGGCGATATGGAAGGCATCGAGCGCATGCGCACTGGGATGGAACGTGGTGATAGGCGGCCTGAGGACATGAGCCCGCAAGAGTTGCATAGCGTGCTATGGAAGGTCTTGAGCTTCAGAGATTCTGGTATGCCCTTGATTTGATGCTCCTCAGTGGTGTCTCACTCTTTCAAAGTTATGAAAGGCATATCGGGGATGTTAGGTGAATTTGATTGTTTATGACAAGCACTCCCGGTACTAATGGATGCTACAGAGAAGATCCCTGGACTGAACTCGATCATAGAGAAGATTCAGGAGTCAATTTCTGGTCAGTTCATAATCGAAGTTGATGGCTAGGTCATACTGATGACTTCCCAACAGTGTTCGTTTTCACTACTTTGGAGGTAGGGAATTTGCTGAAAATGTGTCCTCCCCGCTGTGGTTGCTGATTACTCGGGACATAGCCTTTTTTGAAACCAATCCTGGAGACTGCGACGGCTGGACTATCA